TTGTTTGAACAAACTTTTTAAAAAAATTTTTTTCAAATTTTTTTCCAGTTATTAAAAAAAGATCACCTGAAAATTTGAGCAAAAATGACCGATTCAAACAATAGGTAGCGCTCTTTCCGTGGTATATGTGGGTCTTGACACGATTTACGCTGAAGTTCCTTTAGAGTTTACCGTATTGCATCAAACTGAGTTCAGTTCAAACCTTTTGCCAGAAGAAAGTATCAAAAAAGATCTTGAAAAAGTCCAGAAATACGAGATTCTGAGCGAATTCTTTCTTTTTTCTCCGAGTTTCAAAGGAATTTTGAGACAATTTTCTTACTTTCAGGTATATGCAAGGTCCAGAAGACACATGAAAAAAGTTTCGCTCAGAAAAACGGACACTGAAATTTCTCAGGCCGGAAAATGTACCTTGAAGTGGAAAATTTTGGAAAAAACGAAAAAATGTCATTTTTTCACAGGCAAAATGCATTTTTTCAATGAGATGTACTCAAGAAAAGTTTTGGGAAGGATACCTTTCACTTTCAAGTGAAAAAACTGAGTTTATTAATTTTTTCATTTTTACTCGATTTTGAGGTCGCCAGCTTCGGCGCTTCGGTGGTCAACTGCAACACTTAAAACTTGAAGACGGGAATATTTTTTCTGAACTAAGCAAGACCTGATTATTCATTTTATCAAATAAAATTCCAGGCCTTCTAGGGTCCTCTCCTCAGCAGAGCTTATAAACGGAAAAGCTGGGGGAAAAACAAAAAAGTCAAAAAATCGAAAACTTGAAAATTAAAATTTTTCAAGTTCTCGTTTTCCACTTTTTACTGTCCTGAGTTGAAAACAAGTTAGTTGTAGTACATCAAGAACAAAAACTCAACTGAAATCAAACTCTCAAAAAAAGTTATGGATTTTTTTGAAGTTTTTGGCCAATTTCAAGTTGGACGCGCTCTTTGAGATGGTGATGTACTACGACACTTAAAACTTGAATATAGGGATATTTTTTTCGAACACACAAGACCTCACTACATCGATTGAGAAAATAAAAATCAAGGCCATCGGGGGTCCCCGTTTTAGTAGAGCTCAAAAACTGCGGAAATCGTCATTTTTCAACTTTCAGCGATTTTTTTCCACAAGAAGAAAATTTTTTCCAGAGTAGTTTCCAACATGAAAAATGTTCAAAATGACGTGCTCTTTGCGTTACAGTTGGTTTGAACCGATTTGCTCGACCAGGAAAAAAGTTAGCTTTTTACGGTATTTTCTCCACCATAACCCTGAAAGTGGGCGGAGCCTGTCGAAACCGGGTGTCATGTGTTAAGAAGGTTATGTAGTATCTCTGATAGCAAAACGAGCTCTGAGGAAGTAACTTGAAATTCTTGTACCAAGTCATTTCTCAGTTCATCGATTTTCTCGGAGAACGTGTGTTAAAGCCTTTTTAAGCACGTTTGGACTCTGCCTGTTTTTCAAACTTTTTAATATAAAATTGTGATCGGAAAAAAATTGGCTCCAATTTCGACTTTTTTCAAAAATAAAATAAGAACCTAAAGTTTTTCGTGCACATGTTTCTGTTCTTCTCGCTGCTTATCTGACGGCGTTACTCATCCTTTAATCCGAACATAAGACGATTCAAACGTTTTTATCTCAATACTCCCTGCATATATACCTCAATCTTTAAGCATGATTGCTTATAAATTTCGACTTTCTTGTCGATTTGCAAGCTTCTCATCGCTTTTTATCCGTTTTGACTCAAAGTTATGTCTCCTGTTTCCCAAAGGGGGATCAGGAACTTTTCCATTTTTTAAAAGTGTAATTATTTGGTCTTTATAAATGTAACTGTTTCGATTGAAAACTCTATTAACAGTTTCCACAGGAATAGTCGATGTGAAGTTTCCGTTTCGATATTATTTTTTTTGAATGGCCATTTTTTCTTTTCTGGTCCTTCCGGTTTTCGAAGAAAATATTTTTGCATAATTTATTTGGTCTCTCGTTAATATCTCAAACTTCTTATCGTTTTGCGAGTTCTAATGGCACTCCTCTTCCTCTTTTGTTCGCGGTGCAGTCCCTTTATCAACAGAACTTTTATCGAACGTTTTCAAAGTTAGCCTTTCTGAACTACTCTTCGCAGATGGTTCAAACTTCTTCGGAAGACGAAACGCGCAATTTTTTAAAAGAAAAGAAGGAGCTGCGACAAACGCTGGATGAGATAACTTCCAAGAAAGTTGAGATGGAAAGTCAACTGCAACAGTTTGACGCGAGGATGAAGGATATAGAAGCAAAATTGGAAAAGCTGCAAGATCCGCAGACTACTGCTGGGCCAACAAACTTGAGTGGAAATTCAGAGGTACGTTTTTTTTTTTCAAACCAGTCAAAGATTTTTCCTCTTCTCCCAGCAGACAAGATTCAATCCAGCCCGAATCGAGAGCCGAGGAAGGCAGATAGGTGGGCGGGACGCGTAGCGTACACGTACGCGGTTCTTGACACGAATTCAATTCAAACGTCACCGGCTTGTTTAAAATGCTCTCGAACCGCTCTTTTTGTATCTATACTTCTCTTTTTCTAATGCACAGGTTTGCTTTACGTCGCTGGCGGTTGGATTGAACTTTTGTCAAGACCGCGTATAGTTTGTTCATGTTTTGAACGTCAAGTACAATGACGTCATTCGAAAACGCTCTGTGGATGGCTCGCTCTCTGATTCGTTTATCGAGCCATTAGGGGCGGAGCTTTAGAAGTGACTTGACATTTAAAATCTGAACAGACTATACGCGCCCTTCTCCGCCTCCCTGCCCTTTCAAGTCGCGTAAAATTGACTATACGAGAAAGTCTGAAAAACTTTGAGAAGCTTCTGAAAATGGGTGCTGACGTAAACGCCAAAGATAATGTCTCATTTTCTCTTTGAAAGGGAGACGATTTTTTCAATTATTACAAAAAGTCCGCACGGCTTTTTCTCATATATATTCTGTGTGCCACGACTTGAAATTCCACTGAACGACATTCCGCTCTACCGCTGCGTGCGTTCGCGAAGCGTTTTTCGAATCCTGGTCGCGATTTCAATCGATTGTCATTGCTGCGGGAGCACATGAAAGAGAGTACCTTAGTAAAAAAAAAGGACAAAAATTAAAAGCGCGACCAAGGTTCGCAAAGGCGCGCTGCGGAATGTCGTTAGGTGAAACTCCAAGTCGTGGTACACAGACTAGAGCTGACCGTTTATTTCAGGTCTCCAAGGAAATATTAACAAAGTTGGTGAAGTCTGGCGCTGATATCAACATTGTCGACAAGAATGGAGAAACCCCGTTAATTGCGGCAGCCTTCAATAATAATACAACTGCTATTAAAACACTGATAGAACTCGGCGCCGATGTTAACTTCACCGCAAGAAAAGTATTTTTTATTTATTTCCAATGATGCGTGAGTTGTGGAAAAAAAACTGTCTTCTTCTGAAAAATCGAGTTTGCTTTTTTGTACTTTGGTGGGCAACTCGGGCCTGCACCGTGCAATATCGGAGAGGTTGAATAATTCGTATTTTGTAGGACCTTTGCACACCGTTGCATCTGACGGTTTATAATGGAAACACATTAGCAACGTCTCTACTCTTGGAGAAAGGAGCCGACTTTCATTTGAAAGACGCAGTGGGCCGAACACCTTTATGCGTAGCTGCGCGTTATCGCCCCGAAGGAATCGCTGACTACACCGTTATTTGATGTGATTGTCCTCTTATTAAGCGAATAATAAAAGTTTTGTTTTGGAACATAAAAAATCATCGATTTCCTGACAAGAGCGACCTCATCGTGTCAAAAGGAACTTACCGATTGCAACCTCAAATCGCTGTTTAGAAGCTATATTCAGATCCTTATGAAAACAAGGATCATTTTTTGAAATAATCAGAGAGGGGCACATTTTATGGTGTATAGTCGATGTGCCACGAGTTGAAATTTCATGGAACGACATTCCGCTCGGTGGCCGTGAAAAACAAATGCCTTTGCGGATCTCGGTCACGCTTTCCCACTTTATAATTTATCGTCTTCAAATACATTTTCTTCGATAATTCTTTAGTTTTACGAACTTTTTGGCAGTGCAATGGATGAATAAAGTTTTTCGTAATGCCAATAATTCAATCAGAGGATAAATAAGCAGTGAAAAACCTTATGTTGACTGAAACCGATATCTCTGTTTCATAGTGCGTACACGTCTTCATTTTATAAGCCACTCACTTTCTGAAAAAATCCATTAACCATTGCAACAAACAGAAAAAAAAAACGATGAGAACATTAAAACATGGCTTTAACAAAAACACACTTTTTTTATCCCTCTTTTCGAGAAAGATCATGAAGTTTACTGTGTTCTTTCGATTACACTTGTACACCGCAATCTTTTTCAACGATAATAATACATTTTAAAGAAATAAAAAAATAAAAAAACGACCAAAATTATGATTAAAACCAAAAAAATTAGCGTGGTCGAGGTTGGCAAATTCGCACGATGCGCGCTACCGCACAAATCGAAACAGCGGGGTGTCGTTCCATGAAATTTCAACTTGTGGCACATCGACTACACCAGGCTTGTGCGTCAGGCCGTGCGGCCTGGCCCGGGCTTTGGACCTTATTTCCAGGAAAAAGCCCGCGTGGGCTCGGGCCGGGCCGGACCGGGCTTCAAAAAAAAAAATTTAAAATTTCATTTGAAAAATTTTCACTTAAATATGACTTTTTACTTTTGAAATCATAGTTTTTTTGTTAAACTTTAATTGAAAAAAATGAGCAAAAAAACATAATTTTTTTGTCGTAAAAAAACTTGATATTCGACAAGAAAAAAATTGCGCGCTTCGTGCCGGGCTAGCCATTTTTTTCTTGAGGCCCCTTTAAGGCCGGGCCGGGCTTACGAAATGGTCGGGAGGCCGGGAGGGTGACGGGCCGGCCCTCGCACAAGCCTGGACTGCACTAGCAAACTTTTTAAAGTATTTGGAATTCTTGACAGGCACCTGTCTCTTACAAAAATCGCTGTAAAGGGTACAAATTCGATCCGTAAACTGGAAAAATGATCCATAACCTAAACAACGACTATTTCATATCACTCTGTTGTATCACTAGGTTCTGTTTTTCTTTAAATTTATTTTTTTAAGATTATTTTTTTTTTCTAAGTTTTGATAGTTTCCCAACCAAGGAGTCCATCTAGCGAGTCTTTTTTGTTTTTGCGTACCGGCATGGCGTCCTGTGGAGCCTAGGTCAAAGAGAAGAGGTCAAACGCCACGCCCACATCTTCGGCGTGGGTCCGATCTGAGGTAAGATGACCCTTGCCTTCTGCTTCGGTTGCTCATTTCTCACTGTATTCTTCTTCTCCTTCTTTTCCGACTTCCCACTAATCTAATATTTTTTCTACATCGTCCTGCATTTTTGTCTTTTTTCGACAGCTCTGAGCACTGCAGGAACACTGGAATCGTTCAAGAAAAGAAACCGTTTTCGGTCTTTCAGTGTTACAAAAAACAGTTCCCTAACTTTTTTAAATTTTTATCAAATAATTTTCCACCTGTTTCTCTTTTAGGGGCTCTTTTGAAACCGAAATATAATATTTGAGATTATTTTTTTTTTTCTCTTGCTCTTAAGCTTCTCTTATCATTCTTCTTTTTTTTTCATTCATATACATGTATATTACTTTTTGTTGTTGTTTATATGTGAGGTTGAAGCTTTATTTTTTTCCAGTTAACCATAAAAATCTTAAAATTGACATGCTTTCTTCTTTCATTCAGTTTTTTCCCTCTTGCTAAAAATGGAAAACTTTCAGGAGTCTTCCAATCCTCCAAAAAAACTCAGAAAAAAATGTCGTCATCCCGTTCTGACGAGAGCTTCCTGCAGGCTGAGAGAGTGAGTTTTTTTGACAAATTTTTGCTGTAACTTTTAAATAATTTTTTTCTTATTCAAGAACTTCCGGAAACTGAGAGAAAAGATAGAAGGCAGGGCGGAAAAACCTGAACAAACGAGAGAACGACTTCCGGAGCCAAAAAGAGGGGATCGACGAGCTTCGTCAACAGTTGCAGCGGGACGAGGTGAGAATTTGAATCTTCAGGAAAACAGGCAAAAATAGTCTTTCAGTATTTTGGAGATTTCCAGATTTTTAAAACTCTAACTCTGTTTTATAATCTTTCTTAAAAGTATTGAAGAAGCTTTTTGATCTAAAAAATTCGAAAAAAGCAACTTTCTCGTCCATCAACTTAAATTAGAGCTCAAGTCTCTTCTGGACAGCAGAACTTCTTTCCTGAGCAAGCTTCAGTCAAAAATCGACTTTTCAAAGCTTTTAGCTTATCCTAACCATTAAACAAGATCTTGAAAATCAATAAATCAAAAAAAAAAATTCAAATGGCTTAATTGCAGGAGAACCAAAACGAAAAGATGAAGCAAAAGATCGCAACGCAACAGGAGCGGATCTTCCAGCTGGAGGGAATCTACAAATACCAGCTACTAGATTTGTATTCCATGAAGGAGACACTGAAGACGGTCATCGAGGTTAGAAATTGGAAAATTCTAATCAAAATGATAGAGAAAATCGTTAAACAGAACTCTTCCATCTAATTAAAAATTAGGAATGAATTACTCGGTTAAATGAAATTAGATACAATTGTTAACAGAAGAAGGCCGAAAAATCAAAAATCAAGGCGGTCAGAGAAAAAAAGGAAATTTACCAGTGTCAATCATGCCAATTGAATTTTCATAAAATTAGGCATTCGCTAACTCTCTCTGCTAAAAAATGCTCAAGTAGAGATTTACTTTAGAGTATAACCTTGTTGAAAAATATAGTCTACTTCGGAAAAAAATTTGCCCCAAAAGAAAAATATTCAACATGGAGCGTAACGAGTTTAGTCATTCCAAATGCGGCCAGATCGTTTCAAGGACAAACATGTAAAGAGATTTAGCAACTTCTGTATTTCTCTCAAGCTAACTATGGACGAACTATCGTCAAGCAGCTTTTTAATATATTTTTTTTCAGAAAGAAGAACGGAACAGAATCCCGGAGGAGTTCATCGCCCCGAGAAACATCGAGCTTGAGAGGGAGATTTTGGCGTTGGTCGCCGCGCAGGAGGAAGAAGACAGGAAAAGGAGGAAGACGAAGGCGGAGTTCAAGCGCCAGAAGGAGGATGTTTTGGCTCCCGTCGCTGCGCACGAGAAAGAAGACTGGAAGAGGTCAGAGCCGAAGGTCGAGTTCAATATCGAGAAAGAGAGTCCGGCGGTGCTCCCTGCGCAGGAGGAAGAAGACTCGAAAAGGTCGGAGCCAATCTTCGTGGATGAGATTTTGGCTTTGTTCGGAGCGCACGAGAAAGAGTACAAGAAACGGTCGGATCCGAGTATCGAGCTCAAGCGCCAGAAGGAGATTATGGCGATGGCCGCCGCGCAGGAGGAAGAAGACAGGAAAAGGTTGGAACTGGAGGTCGAGCTCGAGCGCCAGAAGGAGATTATGGCGATGGCCGCCGCGCAGAAGGAAGAAGACAAGAAGAGGTTAGAGCCGAAAGTCGAGCTCGAGCCGGTGGGACGACCGCAAGAGCAACGGATCGCGGAGGAGGGACCGAGGTTCCGTTTGGACATCTACCATCTCCTTCTCTTTTGCGCCCTTCTCGTCGTAGTGGTCGGAGTATTTAACATCATTGCCGAACCGAAAAAGCTTTTTGACTTTTCCGGGTACTCGAACCGTCTTTATAGGTATGCGTGCCGATTTGTCTCCTATGAATTCGCCTATAACTACTTGCGATTTGTGATCCCTTACTTGAGTAAATTCTGCTTTCTCTACAGTCTTATCTCGAGATGTTTTTCTTCCGGCTTAGTCAGCATCATACGCTTCATTTGGAAATTATTTTGTTGAAAAGTTTTCGCTTTTTATGACCGCTCTATGTTTTTTATTTCTCCTTCTTATTTCTTTCACGAGATAGAAAATTATTCCCAAAATTTTAGTCTACATAATTTCCTATTTTTTTTAGAAGAGGAAACGCGTTGGGCCATTTTTAGATTGTGATCTTTCTCCTCTTAAAAACTAGGAAATTCTCAAAAAAAGAAAGAGTGTTTTAGCCATTTTTTAGAAGATTCCCAACCGAATATTAAGCTTTCCCTTTTTTTAGAGGATCAAGTTTATTTTTTTCTCTATAAAGCTGCTATAATTTTTTTTTCACTTTTTTCACGAGTTCTCAAATTTTTAACGTCGCTTTGAGTGAATTTCTCCTTCATTCCGAGCCTTTTCAACGACTTTTTTGAAGCAGGATTGTTTCATTTCTCTTTGAAAGCTGTCCGAAACTTTCAACCTCTTTCGTCTTTTCCAGAAATAGTGAATCAAAAAAAAACTTCAAAAAACAAAAAAAAAAACATTTGGAAGAACATTTTTGCAGCCATTTTTTAATGTATTTTTTTGTTTATGCTTATTTTTATATTTTTTTCGTATGTTTTTCATGTTTAATTCCTCAGCCAATTTCATGTTTATTTTTTTGTGCATATTTTTTTCATTTCTCCTCTTGGAAATTTGTCTCTCAAGTCTTTCAAAAAAATCAATCCATCCATTTTTTTGGAATATCTTATTCTCAATTGTTTTTTTGTTACTCACTAACTTGTATTTATAACCTTCCAAAAAAACTTTAAAAAAATATATGTTCTGTTTCATTAGGTTTTTATTTTTGCCCTTTTGTATTTTTTTATTATTTCATGCGTTCTTCCCCGTTCCTTTGTCAAAAAAACTTCACAAAATGCAAAAAAAAAATTTTGTATTTGATGTTGCGTCTGTTGTGAAATGTTCATTGAGTTACTTTTTGTGGAATAAATTCTCTATTGCATTTTTATAGTAATGATGAAATGTAAGAGGAAAAGGTCGGTAAAAGAACAAAGTTGAAAAAAATAGCCGAGAAAAAAAGGAATGCAAAAAGTCAAACGGCGTCCTCAGAAAATTCTATTTGATACTCCGAATTCTCCCCAAAAGAGAGAAAATTTAAAAATAAAAATGAGAAATTCGAGCCTCGGTTTTTCCTTTGAACCGTCCGATTTATTTTTTTATGGTTCTTATACTCAACGTAGACGCTCAAAATACTCATCCGAGATTAATAAATAAGTTAATACACAAAAAAATGCGAAAAAAACAGCAAACGCGCCCCATCAGACGAGTACGCGTGTGCGTCGCGTGGCTTTGTTTTTTTTTTTGCATCAGTTGGCTTGCTTGGTGTCGCCGTGACCCTCGAAGTTTCAATAGAAAGCTCGTTAATAAAACTCGTTCTAGCGACTTTATCTTCGCAAAATCTCGCCAAAAGCCTTGGATATCGTCAGATCTTCATAAATTCTCACTATGACTCTTCAGATTGCCGGTCTTTTTTTGTTCATTACCACTGGAGCGTTTGCTGCTTTTCGATATGGTTATCTTTTTTGAGAGGCAATTTCAAAGATGGGATTTCTCAGAACCGCGACTTTTAACTTGTTATGGGGCCAACAACTGCACACTCGAGGCACCAGATGCTAAAAATCCAGTGAATTCGGATGGATTCAAGTTGGTTTCTGCGAAAATTTAGTTTCTTTTGGTAATATGACGATTTTTGTAAATTAAAAATATATTTCGATACCTTGTCATATTTATGACAAATTGTAGGTTTCATTGCTAGTTTTTTTTTTCTGAATTATTTGATTTCTCTCGTATAAAAATGAAAAAGCTAACACAGGTGCCGAAAAGAGCCCGTGGAGCAACGTCATCCGAAAATGACGTCATCGGAGCGGCTGGCCTGTCCTTTGAAGTGTCCCGCCACGAATGAGATTCACGTCAGGCTGAGTACCCGATCCCTCAATCCATACTGTTTAGGTGCTCGAAAAAATCCCTTCATCGAATAAAGACTGTGTGAAGTACTACACTTATGGCAAATACCAGGATAAGACGGAAAATGAGTGGTACGTTGAGTGGTCACTCGAGTAATATATGAATTTTTTGTTAGGTACATTTGGATGGCTGAACCGTGTCTAGCTTCCTTCCGAACCCACTGCCGAGTCGCTGAATGATTGTTGATATTTTCATCGATAAACTTTTTTCAAAGAAATTCTTGAAAAACAACGAAAATTGGGAAAATCGTGGTCTATGGGTCGATAAATCCCGCCATTTTGTTCCCATGCATCGGTTCTCGTTGTGATCATGATAATGCTCAGGTTAAACACGCTCAACGAAATAAAACTCAACCATACCAATTTTCGATTTAAATTTTCAAAAAGTGAGCATGGATAATGAAAGATATCATAAAAATAACAACAACGCATTTTAAATGGTTTTTTGTATGATGTTTCTTGTGCATGTACAGCCGACGAAAGTTACATAATGTCGATTTTATATATTTTTTAATGAATACAAAGTCTTTTTTTGAATCTAAGAAAAGTGGAACAGTGAATATTTGCTCATTCATCTTCAATATCGAAACGGGAAATACTAAAGAGATTCTTCATTGAAAAAAATTTTAACTACTTCGAAAATGTTTTTAATGCTCATAAAACTGCATTTACATTACTAGGAAAATGTTTAGTGGCCGCTATAGGGTTTTAACGTTTTGGTGGCCACTATAGTAGTCAAATTAATGGCCACTTAAGGGGTAAAAATTGGTGGCCACGATAGAGGTCTAAGTGCCACTACTAGACAACGAAAAATTTTAGTGGCCACTTTAGGGGTCAATGTATCAAAATAACTGGTCCAATATGTTTGTTTTGAATTTATCAGAGTTACTGGAAGGAATACTGGGTGAAAGGAATAACTGACGTGGCCACTAAAACGGAAAGTAGTGGCCACTATAGTTTTTTTCAAATTTTTTACGCTTCAAAAACTGTAATGAGCAAAACAATTTCATTCTGAACCATACTTGTCACTGGTCGCATTTTTTCAACGTTAATAAATTGTTCCTGCGCCATTCAACTTTCAACGTTTCTATGTTGATTATTTTGGATCTCAAAGAACAAGTTTCGGAGGCCTGTTGAAAACACGCGAGCATCCAAAAGAACAATGGATTATGCAAATTCCACTGTAGTTTCTCTTTTGAAACGAGAGGAAGTCGTGGAAAAACGGGACGGAAATGCCGTCGAGCGTCGCTCCGAGTACTTCTACCAAGGAGCCAACCGAGAATGAAAATGTCCAGGTCAGATTTTTGGATTGGGAAGATTTTTTGAAATTTAATCAGTTTGTTGTTTTAAAAACTTTTGAAGCAGTAATTCAGATTGCAAACTTGTAGATCTTTCATAGGCAAAGTCGAAAGGAACCTTCACGGACCCTTTGAGCTTCTTTTATGGGAGCAAAATAGGGACCGCAGACGAATTTTCAAAAAATTTTTTTCAGCATTCAGCTTTGTATGGTTCGATAGCTGTTTTGATTCAAAACTCAGAACCGTTTAGTTTTTCAAAAAAGATTGAGGATGAAAAAAGTTATGACGGAAAATGTGGCGCGCCGCGCACCATTTTTTTAGTACTGAAATTTTGGTATTATCCATTTTTGACATTTTTCTCGATTTTTCTTCTAGAACAAGTTTTGATACTGGTCTATTATGATGTAACAAATCATAATAGAGTGCTAAAATGATGCTAATCAGCTAGTTTGCCGAAAAAGTCGGTATTTTCCAGAAAACAAAAAACTGCCGCTTGCGGGCATCGAACTCGCGACCTCAAAATGAAAGATCGCAGCGCACGCGTTGCGCCAAGTTGTCAGGTCTAGCGCGGGGAGCTTCCATCCGCCTTACCCTTGAGCCGTTTGCACAGCACAGATTGCCTATTTCAAAAATAAAAATTTGAAGTAATTCAGCTATTTTTATCAGAATATGTTCGCAAATCTTTACTCAAACTTTCCGTGAAAAATTCACTTCGAAAAAAAGCTGTTTTTTTAATGCTTTTTTTGCCTCGTTTAACGATCGCTGCATTAAAAACGGCCCCGTAAATTTTTTTGGCAAAGACGAATTTTTTTATTTTTATTCTTTTTAATTGAAAGATTTTTTTACTAATAAATGTATATAATCGTTTGAAAAACCTGCGTTCGACCGCTTTCTGTGTGATAAACGCCTTTTTTTCTCTAGTTTCAAGAGCATTTTTGTGTATTAAACAACTTTTTTTCAAGCAAAGATGCTGTAGAGAAATATTTAAGTAAGCTCATGATCTAAATTTTGGAAAAAAACAAAAAAACTCGATTATATTCGCTTATTAACGATATTTTTGAAGTATGACTTTCGGCACTCCCTAAAAATTTTTTTGGCAAAGACGAATTTTTTTATTTTATTGTTTTAAAATTACCGTTACTTGAATCAAAAATCATTATTTAAAAAAAGAAAGAGTGCGTTCGACCTAAAAAAACACATGGAAAAAGCAAAAAAACGACAAAAATTTTTTTAGTTCCATTCACGTTTTTGTACGACATTCCGCGCGAACGCATCAAAAAAACGTGAAATATTTTTTAAACGAAAGAGGAAGCTTTTCTGTACATGTGTGTCAAATTTTATTCGCCAGTTCCACATATTTTACAACTACAACAAAATGAAAGTTAAAACCAAAAAAAAGCCACTTTTTCTATCGCGAAAAGGGGCGTGGCTTTGCGGTCCCTAGAGCAAAAGGTTTCCAATAATTTTTCCTAAACCAGTGGCATCGGTTTCCTTTTTGCTGCTTTTTTTGTCCTGTCATCGGCTTTTTTTCCACCCTTTTTGGACACACAAAACTTTTTCAAGTTGGGAATAATCTTCACCAGTGACTGTATGAACCAAAATGTGCTACAGTAATAGTATTGGAAATCATCAATATCCGAGACTTTCTTCACCATTTTTGCGGCCTCTCCCTTTTTGAGGCTTTTTAGCCCACCTAGAATGAAAGGCATGAAAGGCTCAATAAAGACCACAAAAAGGAGCCCTTTTTAGAGGTCATTTTGCACTCGTTTTACGCGCTTCCGACTTTGGCAGATGTACGAAATTATTCAATAGAGGCTTTTAAGAGTAAAAGAAGCAGTTCATCTTTATTTGTTCAAAGGGCGAACTCTGGCAGAGGAAAGGCAAACATTTAAAAATTTGATGATACTTTGGTTTTTTCCGTTCTATTCTTCAAGACTGTTTAAAAAAAAACTGTTTATTACATCTTCAATGTAAGAGTACATGTGCAATCGACTTTCATTGATTTGACTGTGTTTAAACGGCGGCAGGAGCTGTGGCTTAGGCAGAGAAGTTGTGAATTTGGCTCGTAGAACATCAGGTACAAGAGAGGTCGTAGGAAGAAGTACGGTGCCGGCTTTCCAAAGGCCGATGGCAGAGATTGAGCCTTTTCGCTGCATTCAGCTCCCAATTTTATCTACCCCGGAGAGATGAAAGGCTTAATCGACCTCGGCGGGACTCGAACCTACGACCTCGCGGACGTTAGAAATGAGTTATTCCAGCTGAGCTATGCCGCCCTCTCTTCAGGACACCTTGATTCAAGAAAAGTTCGATTTGGAAAAAAATATGAGCTACCCTGATAACCCCTGTTGAAAAAGGTCGAAGAATTTTTCCACGAATATCCATATTTTAGGCAATCCCATTTTTCTTCATCCTCCTCTGCACTGCTTGCATGTGCGCCGTGTACACCAACTCGATCGTCTTCCATTCGACGATCAATTTCCTGCACGCCTTCGAAAACGCCTCTTCTTCTGATTGTACAGTTTACTTCACGCCTCTCAGTCTTTTGAGAAAAAATAATGATTCATCATAAAGTTGCAAAAAAAATGGCTCAAAGCGTTTTTTTGTCCCTCAAAGCTGCCCGCGACCTTGAAAAGCTTTTATTTTTGATCTGAAGATGTCGAAATGCGCAAGTAGTTTTCAGTCGGGCGCGCTTTAATAGTTCGTTAAACTCGTGCTGAGCAACCTTGACTTGGGCCGGTCAAAAAAATTTTCCATATGACGTCATGGGAACAACAGGGAATATTAAAGGCGCATGCTCAATGGGTCATGAGACGAAACGTTTCCTCATTTGAGAAAAACGCAGATGCCGTGTTCCAAGAGATTCCGCGGAATTCAAAATAGCGGCCAGAGAAATGAATTTCGGAAGATCAGAGATGGTTTTGAATATTGCGAAAATTACATTGAACACGGCATGTGTTAGGGCGCCGCAGTGCACACACACTACACACTACACTTTACGAAAAATGGGTAGAGGGTCGTCAAAAAAACACCGTGTTCCATGACCCTGTGAGCTAGATAAAAAAGAGCGCTGGTCAGAATTTACCAGTCGTGGCGGTTCAACTATATCTGACGTCTGTATCTTTTTTTAAGATTACGAAGAAGTAGACGTGCGGATGAACGCTTCGACCTTACAGTCCTACAACGTCGTCACCCGCAAAGTCTACTATCTTTCCAATCCCCAGAAAGAGTCTTTGATTACGGTGACTTCCATTGGAACTGCAGTTGCTGCGGCTCCCATAGCATACGCCTATAATCATATGGGGTTCAGGTGAGGTTGTGGATGACTTTGACCATTTTGAGGAAGCTGTAGATGATATTGATTGTGTAAGGGAAGTTGTAGATGATCTTTTTCATGTTGGGTAAGTTGTAGATGAAGTTGAAAATTTAGGTTAAGTTGTAGATGATCTTGATGATTTAGAAAAAGTTGTAGATGATCTCGAAAATCTAGAAGAAGTTGTAGATAATATTGATTGTGTAAGGGAATTTGTAGATGATCTTCATGATGTAGGGGAAGTTGTAGATGAAGTTGAAAATTTAGGTTAAGCTGTAGATGATCTCGAAAATCTAGAAGAAGTTGTAGATGATATTGATTGTGTAAGGGAATTTGTAGATGATCTTCATGATGTAGGGGAAGCTGTAGAAGATCTTGAACATTCAGGTTAAGTTGTAGATGATCTTAATGATTTAGAAAAGGTTGTAGATGATCTTGAACATTTAGAGAAAGTTGTAGATGATTTTCATTCGCGTGTAATTTTTCATTCGCGTGTAATTTTTCATTCGCGTGTAATTTTTCATTCGCGTGTAATTTTTCACGGAGAGCGGTTGCTCTTCCACGCGTGCCACGTCATGGATCATCGATCCAAATCATCGTCTGTTGCTGATACTCCTGTCCTTCGATCCAAATCGTCTGTTGCTGATACTCCTGTCCAAGCACGAAAGGGCATTCTAAAAGCCCGATCATCATCTCCGGTCAATGTGTCCGAGCCTGCTGTCAAGACGAAGCCGTTGCCCGAGCCACCTGTTGCCAAGACCAAGCCGTTGCCCGAGCCGTCAGCTGTCAAGACCAAGCCGTTGCCCGAGTCAGTGTCCGAGCCATCTCAGCCTGATCTAAAGAAGACCACGGAGGAGCTCATTCTGGAGATGCGTTGCGACTACGAAAGCAGGATCGACGTCATGCAGACAGAAATCAGTACGTTGAAAACTCTTGTACACCAAGTTGTCGGCGCCCTAGCAGAAAAGGAAAAGAAAGAAGTTCACGTTGTTAATCTTCTAAATCTTATCCTATCAAAACTAGATAATAATGTCCAGTCTGATATTAGCCGCCCTTCTTATGCATCCGTAGTTTCATCCCAGCCCCTTCGACAAAATCCCATCATTGCCTCAATGCAAGCACAGAAATTTCTCAAGATTAGGGAGGAGCAGGAGAAAGACCGTACTTTTGTTATTGTTGGATCCCCGGAAGTTAAGAATGAAGATCTTGTTGCTGAAATTAATTGTTGTCTGTCTTCTGAAGATATTCCCAATGACTGTATTGAAACGGCTTTCCGTCATGGTAAAATGAAACCTGAGGGCCAATATAGGATAATCAAGGCCAAAATTTCTCCTCATCGTGTGTCCTTTTATCATAAAATCAAATCTACTGTAGGAAAGTCTGATTTATGTTGGTACACTCGTGATGATTTAACTAGTATCGAGCAGCAGGAAGACTCTCGTTTGAGATCTGAGTGCCGGCTCGAGAACAAGCGATGCGGCTTTAAGAAATACATTGTTAAGAACTTGCAGCTGACTGAAGTTGCAAGAAAGCCGGTCGCGGCTTCTGTGGAAACGGCTTCTGAGAGGATTGATCTTAACGCTAACCCCCAATAAATTGAAAATGGATGTAAGAAGCGAGGAAAAAATTAATTTCAATGAGTCACATCTATTTTTGGCCAATGTTAGAGGTTTAAAATCAAAATTGCAAATTTTGGAATATGAAATTAATGCACTAACGATAGGGATTCTTACTGAAACTTGGATGGACGATAATGATGATATATTCTCTCTACCAGTTTTTAAAAATCACATGGTATACTCGAGTAACAGGAAAAAATTGTTAGGAGGCGGGGTGTCAATACTCATTCCCAAATCATTGCATTCTAAGTTCCTTTGTTTCCATATCTGAGCCTGATATAAACGCGATTTCAGTCGAAGTTTTTCCTCTCGAACTCAAAACTAATTATAACAGGAGTCTATAGAAAACCGGGATGGAATGATCATATACATAAAACGTTTGAAAACTACATCCATAACTTCGATAGGTTATCGGTAACACATATAATAGGCGGAGACTTTAATTTACCAAACATAGATTGGAGCCAAAATATAGGGACAGACTCTCTAAGTAGGCGATTTTTGAGCGTTTTCAATAGTTTCGGCCTCACTCAACATGTAAAGCATCCTACAAGGCATCATAATATATTAGATCTAGTGTTGACAAACAACTCTTACATCTTTAAGAAAGTTGTAGTAGGATCTCCAATCAGTGATCATAATAAAATAATTTGCAACTTGAATTTAGAAGAGCGCATAATAAGAGAACCTCCTAGGAATGTTTTGTTGTTTAAAAAAGCCGATTTCATTAGTATGAACAGTGAGCTATCCTATATAGACTGGAATTATCGTTTCAGCACTTGCTCAACGGTTGAGGCCATGTATGATGTCTTCATAAAAATAATCCAAAAATCTATAACAAAATATGTCCCTAAAAAAGTCTTTCATACCGAAAAGAAACCTCAGTGGATTTTGAGACTTAAACGAAAGTGTGAGAGGGACTATGTTCGATACCGTAAACAAAACTCAGAAGAAAATAAAGTGCGATATTCACTCTCGTACAAAAAGTACACCCAAGCTCTGAAATCTCATTCGATTCACTTAGAAAATCTGGCATTAGGAGAAAATAAATCCACGAAAGCTTTCTGGCAATACGTTCGCAAAAAATCAACAAGTCCTAATGAAATACCAGACCTAATTGTAGAAAATGAAGTTATTAAAGACAGCATGGAGAAATCCAATCATTTCAATAAATTCTTTTCGACGGTATTCACAGATGATAATAATTTGCCTTTCAACATAGCTACTAAAACAAGCAGGAATCTAATGGACGTTGATGTTGCACCTCATGTGGTGTACGAGTGCCTTAGAAGAATTAAAAACGTAAATTCAGCAGGTCCTGATGGTTTACCTAGTTCAATTTGCAGAGGTCTAGCTATATCGATAGCTCTCCCTTTATCACTGATATACAGGAAAAGTTTAGATTCGGGCAAGTTGCCTAGTTTTTGGAAAAAATCAATCGTAGTACCTATATACAAAAAAGGAGATCCAAACGACGTAGGTAATTATAGACCAGTTAGTTTGACATCAGTCCCGTGTAGAGTTTTAGAATCTTTAATGGTGAGAGCTTTGAGAAACCACATGTGGCAATCTTCGCTCATCTCTGATAGCCAGCATGGATTTTTTTAAATCATCGCAGTACTATCTCCCAATTGTTGCCGCTTCAAAAAAATATCTGTTTGAGGAAACTCGAAATCATTACGTTGAAGTCATATATTTAGATATTAAAAAAGCTTTTGACACGGTTTGTCATAGAAGATTGATTGAAGTCTTGAAATCCTACGGATGTAAGGGAGTAATACTCAACTGGTTCGAAGAGTTTTTGAAAGATAGATCACAAAAAGTTAAAGTCAATAACAGTATTTCGAATGAGATAAAAATATCGTCAGGTGTACCGCAAGGTAGCTCATTGGGACCTCTTATGTTTTTAGTATATATCAATGACTTGTCAGAAGTTATTAAATACTGTAACTTGAGCATGTTCGCAGATGATTGTAAACTGTATTTATCTAGTAATGTAACAAACCATAAAGCCAAACTTCAAGAAGACTTAAAAAATGTATACCAATGGTTAGAGGGCCGTCAACTATCAATATCTCCTGAGAAGTGCATGTTAGTCCAGTTTGGAAAAAAGACAGAACCCAGTACATACAAAATTAACGATCAAACTCTTAGCACTAAACAAAATGTCAGAGACCTGGGATTCTTCTTCACGAGTAATCTGAAAATGGGGCACCATGTGAGTATAGTAGTACAAAAAAATGTATGAAAATAATAAATAATTTATTTCGCTGTTTTTCATTTCTCTCAAAAATAACTTTCTAAAATGCTATAAAGCCAAAATCTTGCCTATCATTGAGTACGGATCCGAACTAATGTGCCCGCTAAATTTGAATGATATAAATCAACTAGAATCAGTCCAGAGAAAATTTACCAAAAGATTATATCCGAAATTGGATTATCGCAGTAGATTAGCCAAACTGAAACTATCGACGTTATGGACTAGAAGACTTTTTAAAGACGTTTGTTGCGTTCATAAATACATTCATGGATATTTTTGGAGTGAGTCGCCTGTTGAATTAATGATGAATTCGAGTAGAAATAATCAACTCAGAGGAAATGGAATGAGACTTGTTCAACCAATGAATGAATTGATCAAACAACGCTTCCTAAATCATAGAGTCATACCCATTTGGAACCAACTGGAGAGAGAAATTATCATTGAATACGAAATCGGCAAGTTTCAGATTATGCTCACCTCATGGTTCGAATCAAACACATCGTTTTTAAAATCATTAGATCCTACTAAAATCTAGAAAAATTCTAACTTATTAAAAATACAAAGAACAAACTTAAATACCAAATGGGGGTTAGCACCGTCTACTCAGACAATCTTTTCCTCCAGCCGTTTCCACAGATCAGCTGTTAGATTTATTTGATTGTCTTGATGTTTTATTTTTTTTGTATTTGTCGTGCTGATTGCGGAATGGCGAATAAACACTTGAAATGAAATGAAATGAATGAATCTTGATATGTAGGGGAAGCTGTAGAAGATCTGATTTAGAAAAAGTTGTAGATGAATTTCATTATGTTGAGGAAGCTGTTGATCATCTTGAAAATTTAGGAGAAGTTGTAGATGATCTTTTCTTGTAGGGTAAGTTGTAGATGAGCTTGAACATTCAGGTTAAGTTGTAGATGATCTCGATTATGAAGGGAAGCTGTAGATGATCTTGATTCTGTAGGAGAAGTTGTAGATTATCTCGAAAATCTAGAAGAAGTTTTAGATGATCTTCTTCTTGTAGAATAAGTTGTATATGATCTTGTTTATGTAGGGGTTTTCAGAAGAAGTTTCCTGTTGTGCGGAGTGATAAGCATCATCCCGGCGTTGTTCTTCCCAATGTGCGTCAACGCCAAAACCTACCTTTTGGCCTGTGTTTTGAGAATTTTCCAAGGTTCCTTTCTGAATATTCTCATAAGCCTACTATGACTCTTCTCAATTCTTTTTTCTTTCATCACTTTTTAGGTTCAAGAAAAAAAATGGTAGGACCGAATACAGAATCCCGCGCTTTTAAGTGGCTTTTTCGTGACCTAAATTTCCTGAAAACTCGAAAAATGCATTTATTGTCATGTTACTAAAGTGAGCTCTTTATCCAGGCTGCTCCCTGGCCATTTTCATTCCCTACGTCTGCAAACTTTCCGTTTTTCTACCTTTTGATCATCTGGCGATCCCCGCTATCGCCTTCGCCTACACGCAGGTGAGTCCTAACTCGTTTTCTGACTTGTCTGCGCTCTCTTTTCTCTCTTCCGCTAAGTTACGAAGCACTTGGAGATAAAGAAAGACAAGTCATGCAGTCAAAAAAGAAGAAATTGAGATATCGGAAATCTTCGCTCCACCGCTCTCGACCATCCTCTCGATGACGTCATTCGGCTGGCACGCTCCTCAATATGCGGCCTGTATCATCATCTTCATTCTCTTCCTCCTCTTCGTTTTGATTCATTTCGATGAAGATTTCAAATATCGCGCTTCCTCGATCGGATTTTGTAATGTGAGAAGAAAAATATGATTTATCGATTCGTAAAAAAAAAACTTCAGGCCATGTTCGAATATGAGAGAACCCGGTCGAGAACTTTCGACCTGCGCATTCCCTATTTGTCCATTTATCAGGTCTTTTTGAACTTTTTTTTTTGAGTTTGTATAAAAAAAAAGACTGAAAACTGTTTTCCAGTACAAACTTTGACTTCAATTTGAGGCTTGTGATAATTTGCAAATCAACATAAAGTGGAGTATCGTTACAATTAATTTGTCGGAAGCAGGTCCATTTTCCTACGTTTTTTCCAACTTTTCTTCGTTCTTTTTAGATTCTCGAGTTTATTTTCTTGCTTAAAAAAAATTTTTGAAAGAATTTGAAGGCACATGGGTCTGTGAAATTTCGATAAAACTTGTCCATACCTTTTGAAAATTTTTCAAAAATCATTTCAGAATTTGGTATCAAGTGATATATTCACGAACAATTTGGTAGACTTCCCGAGAATTCAAGGTTTTTTAAAGGCGCATGGGCGCATTTTCAATAGGTCTTGAAGCGAAAAGTTCCTCTCCGTGGCATTTAAGGTCACGGTTACGTTTTTAAAATTCGATCCAACAAGGATTTAAGAAACCTTGAGAAAGAAGCTTAGATTTAGGGTAGGATAATAATACCTGACATCAATCAAAAGTATTTTTTTTCAAAAAGGCTAGCGAAAAATTTTTTTTTAATTCTCGAACAATGCTCGATATCAAAAAAGTCAAAATTCGCTTCAGGATTTCCGAATCTGGGTTATTTTTTTCTCCTCTTTCGCTTATGGCTGTGCCCTCCAACTTTTCCTTCAGTTTGGCCCGACTTTTCTCCACAAGGTCTAACTCAAAAATTATTTCTTAATTTGAATAAAAAAAAAGCTTTTTCCAGGTTGTTGGGCACGATGAGTTTTCCGCCAGCATTATCACAATGTTCGCCCCGGTTTCAAATATCCTTGTTACAATTGTATCATTGGTGATGTATTCGAGACTTGCGTGAGTTTGATGAAAATATTAGCCACAAAAAAAAACTTCTTCAAAAAAAGTTTTAAAGGCGCATAGGCCGGTTCTCTGTAAAAAATTGAGGCGAAAAATCAATCTCAGATACTTTTAAGGTCATTTATTGTTTTTAAATCTTCGCAGCATTGATTTCGAACGAAATATTAGCCAAAAAAACGAGGTACATTTTTGGAAAAATTGAGGTATTTTAAAGGCACAGAGGCTGGTTTTAAAAATATTTTAAGGCGAAAGGCCATTTTCATGGTTTTCAAAAGTGTGTGTATTGAATAAAGTAATAGCTAAAGCAAATAAGGGACGAAAATTTCTGTAGAAAATCCGAGCTTTCGAGGTTTTCTTAAAGGCGCATGGACTTGTTTTCAATAGGTCTGGAAGCGAAAATTAATTATCAGTAGCATTTAAGGTCATTTTTGCGTTTTTCAAAAATCCCCCTCGGCAAAGGTTTTGAATGAAGAAATAGTCATAAAAGCAGCGACAAATATTTTGAGAGAAAATAGAGATTTAGAGGTCTTTTAAAGGCGCATGGGCTAGTTTTTATAAAGTCTTGGGGCGAAAAGTCATTTTCAGTGGCATTTAGGGTTACTGGAGTGTTTTAAAAATCCAGCGAAATTTTTGAGTAAACTATAAAAAGAAGCTTGGATTTGGGGGATATCATAATTTCTTAATTCTCTTTTTTCTAACGCTTATTTTCGAATCGGCTCATGTAACTCAATAAATTACTCTCTCAGGAACACGGAAACGAACAAAATGCGTTTTTTCAACACGGTTGGATTCGTAGTTTGCGGGGTTTTCCTCTTCGCGATGGGCTGGTTCGACCCAATCAAGCATAACATTCTTATCACTGTGAGTTTTTTGTTTAAAAATATAGCTGGTGAGAAAAAGTTATCAATGAAATGCGCTTATTGGAAGCTTCGTGGTAAATGGCAAAAAAAAAATTAAAATGAAAGAGCATTTTATCTGCACCCGACCTTCCGCGACTTTGTGATGTGTCAGAGAAAAAGAAGCCGAGATTGCTCGAAAAAATCAATAACTGAGTCTCTAATATTCTCACGATAATTAAAATTATTTTTCTCATTAATTTGTGATTGATTGGCTCAAGACAACCGGGAATAATGAATAGCGAAACGCGCAAGTCGCGAATGGTCGGGTGCCTTGAAAGAAGCTATTCGGTATGGAAGCCAGTTTATAATTTTGGACGAAGTTTCCTCCCTGATTCTGAGCTCTAAACTTTTGGCCCAATAGTTGCAAAATGGTCGATTCCTCCCTGACTTGAAAGAAGATGGGCGAAGGTGACGCATTGCGTGTGCGACGCGGCTTATGGCGGGAAACTCGAGGTCGAATATGATCATAGAAAAATTTAGAAGAAAAATATTTGTATATTCACCTGAGTCTAAATAAAACGTTATCAAAAAACTGTCATGAAATGAGAAAAAATGATGTTCCCGGCCAAAAAACCGCGCCGCGCACGCAACGCGTCACACTTGACAATCAACCCATCTTGCCAGTCAAGTCAGCAAAAATGACTTTTCAAAAGGAATTTTCTTGCCAGCTGATGTTCGTGATGTCGTCCTCGATGTTGGGCTGTTCCTACGCCGGCCATTTCCGGATGAACCAAATGCGCGCCGGTCATCTGCACCTTTTCCTTCTGGTCAACCTCTTTTTCGTCCAGTGCGCCGCCATGTTCACTTCGTCGCTGCTCAATGTTCTCATCGCTAAGAACACGGATTATGGTCGGTGAGATTGTTGCTGAGGATATTACAGTCTGTGTGCAACGACTTGGAATTTCCCCGAACGACATTCCGCTGTTCCGCTGCGTGCGTTCGCGAAGCGTCTTTCGAATCTAGGTCACGCTTTGAATTGATTGTTATTGCTGTGGGAGCACAGGAAAGTAGAGCACTTTTATAAAAGAAAAAGAAATTCAAAGCGTGAGCAAGGTTCGCAAAGGCGCGCAGCGGCACAGCGGAATGTCGTTTGGAAAATTCCAAGTCGGGGTGCACAGGCTATAGAAAGATCCTCAAAAGTTCACATAAGTTGGGTATATTTTCAAAGACATAGGACAACTCGACGTTAAGAAATATAGTTAATCGTTCATCTTATTTTCTATAGCCTTTAGCGCAAGTAGCTTTTCGTCGAACGCGGCTAAAAGCTCTTGCGTCGCTTTTTGTTGCATTTCTGCGGCCTTTTGAAGCCTCGGGTGGATATTGGCTGCTGAAAAAAGAGGCTCAAAAAAGGACGCAGAAAGGCAGCAAAAGGAACATTTACATGGAACTTTTTCCACCCTTTCCGACTTTGCCTATGAACGAGATCTTGAAAAATCCCGAATCCACACCTCCTCATTAGAATCTTCAGCCTCCTGGTCAGTACTGTTCATCGTGCACGCAGTTCTGCTAATTTTGGCCAACCTGGTCTTTTGCGTTTTCTGTTCGGCGGAACGCGCTCCATGGGCAAAAGAAGGCTACGAAGACACTTCCATTGAACCTTCCCGTGGTGAACCTCTCCCACAATTCCCATTGTAACCGTACTTAATGGAAGTTTCAAAGAAAAATTAGTTTGAATCAATTTTTGTATAAAAGTGATAATTTCTTGTTTCTCATCCTGTGCACTTTTCAAAAGGACGTGAAAATAAATACATACTTATTTACAAACATTAAAATCGTCTGAATACAAATTATCGGACGTCACGGCGTTTTTTTGTTAGTGGAAAAAAATGCAAAACCAAAAAGGAAGGGGCGGAGTCAAAACCTCCGGTGGTATGAAAAGAACACCAGCGAAAATTCAAACGGCGACTTTTCCGATTTTTTCATATCGCTAGGGAACTTTCCGACGGCCACCTTCCGACAAAATTTTTTCCGACTTTTTTCCTTTATATTTTTTGGTTTATAAGACATCTATTTACTTTTTTTCCTGTCTTTGTGTTTTTAATCATGAACCAACTACCTACTTTATATAGGAAGATGTAAAACGAAGAGTTTATCGAGAAAAAAAGTCGGAAAAAATTTCGTCGGAAAGGTGGCCGTCGGAAAGTTCCCTAGCGATATGAAAAAATCGGAAAAGTCGCCGTTTGAATTTTCGCTGGTGTTTTTTTCATACCACCAAACCTCCGTTGTTCCCATGTGACGTCATGCGAAACTAGAGTAAACAACAGGGAATATTAAAGGCGCACGTTCAATGGGTCATGAGACGAATCGTTTTCTCATTTGAAAGAACCAATTTTCCTGTTTAATTTTTATTTAAAACACATGCCGTGTTGAAAGTAATTCCGCGAAATTCAAAATAGCCAACAGAGAGTGAATAATATTACTGAATTTCGGAAAGTCACAAATTTCGCGAAAGTTGTTTTTAACACGGCATGTGCGAAAGCGGCGCAAATTCTTAAGAGTTTTCGTTGTCTTACAATCCAACAGTATAATTTGGTTTTCAATCTATTTGTGAAGCCTCACCTTGACTACTGCAGTGACGTTTTTTATCCCGCAATTGATTCCGAGCAGGCATATCAACTTGAAAAACCTTATAGGTGTTTCACTAGAGAAATTTTCATGCGCAGAAACTTAAGATTCAATTCATACTCTGAAAGATTGCTAAAGCTTGAAACTAAAGCTATGTTTAGAAGAAGACTCAATCTCGCACTCTGCACACTTCACAAAATTGTCCTCAAGATAGATCATTTCCCAAGCGCTCACAGGTTTTTCAGAATCTCTCATTCGGGTCGGCATCCTCTGCGGTTAATTCAGGCTGGTCCTTTGTGTGATTCTTTCTTTTCAAAACTGATTCCAATCTGGAACAAAATCTGCTCTAGATTCAACGTCTCTGTTCCTCCAAAATTTTTCAAATCTCATCCGGACAACATCCCCGACAATGAATTATTCATCAGCATCCCTAGACGGCTACTATGATCTCAAAAATCTCAATATGCTTATACGTGTATTTTATCAACTGTGATATCTATTGTATTCCCTATCCGGTGAAGTCACTCGTGAGGGTGACCTTAAACCGGTTCTAATTTATTTATTCTTTTCACCTTGTGGATGAATAAATTATTATAGTAAAACCAATTTTTCCTGTTTAATTTTTTTATTTAAAACACATGCCGTGTTGAAAGTAATTCCGCGAAATTCAAAATAGCCAACAGAGAGTGAATAATATTACTGAATTTCGGAAAGTCACAAATTTCGCGAAAGTTGTTTTTAACACGGCATGTGCGAAAGCGGCGCAGTGTATGCACACGACACACTACACTTTACGGAAAAAAATATGGCGTCGTCAAAAAAACGTCATATGAACTTGAAACATCAAGTTCCTATTTCAGTTAATAAAAAAAATTGTTTCTCAATAAAAAATTTTAAAACGCAGTCATTTGCAATATCGAGATAATGAGAATGAAGGTAGGAAGTTGTGGTTTTTAAATAAAGAAGGCAAAAAACCATAAGAGGGAAAGTGGAGAAATTAACTGGTCCAGGAGCTGGAGTTTACACAAAAAGTTTGAGTACCAAGGAAAAAAAACTTTTAACTTTAAATTTGACGGTTTTCAAAATTTTATGAAAAAGGCCAATTGATTTTCGTGGCTCTTTCAAGACTCAGGAATTAAATAAACATCAAGTCAAACTGCGAAGTCTCTTGTTCAAACGTTATTTCTTATCAGTTTCATCGCGTCAACCTTCCATGCTCGCCCACCTTTTTTTATTCTCTTTACGTTGTACCTTCTTCAAAATTTTTGTGCAAAACTCAATTTCAACCGTTTTCAGCCATCCCACATAATTTTTCCAGATTGTTTCTCTTTTGGTAGGCCTTTTTCTGGGTATATTGTAAAAAAAGGTGCGAAAAACGAGCAAATGAAAAACTTGCACGTGAAAAATTCCCGAGAATTCACGGCTACGTCTCGAATTACACTGAGTATTCAAAGTTAATAACGTGTTTGTTCGATCGCCATTGGCTGCGTACTTGAAATTTGAATTTTCGCTCCAAAATTTTTTGGCGTCTTCCCACCCCGTTTGATAACGTCGTGGTGAAAGAAATAGCTTCAAATGAGCCGCGTAAATTTCGCGTAGGCAAACATTGGTTTTGAAAGCGCGCCCCATAGACAACGTTTCCGAACTTCAGTCTTTTGAACTTAATGAGATTTGGCAGTTCTATCGCCAGCTCATTATAGTCCGTCCACCGCGACTCGACAGTCTCTCATGTGTCTGCGTCTCTATGATCCCTCATCGGCGAGGTCATAGAAACGCGGAAACAGCGCGTTAACAACAGAGGGTCGTCGAGAGACGAGGAGAGCGCAGAGAAGTCCCGCCCTTTCAAGTCGCGAAAAACGGACTACAGTCTGTTCAGATTTTGAATGTCAAGCAGCTAACTCCACCCCCAAGGCTACAATATAGTTTGCGTCAATGTTTTATTGCGCGTGAAGATGCTCCTTTAATATGGCTGCATTTTTTGACTTATTTTTCTATCTTGCAGAACAAAAAAGATGAAAAATCGTCCCGCGCCCCGAAAAATCGACGCTAAAAGATACCGTCCAGTGGCGGAGTTAGCTGCTTGACGTTTAAAATCTGAACAGACTATATAATATTCGGGTGTCTTGGCATGGTTTTTCTCAACGCTTTTTTTATGTACTCCTTTTTCATTCATAGAGGCGGAATTTTTTTCAGATGGATCACATTTTTTCGGAGGACGAATGGCGCGATTTTCTGGAAGAAAAGTCGAAGCTACGCGAATTGCTGGATGAGATAAATTCCAAGAAAGTTGAAATGGAAATTCAACAACAAGAGCTCGACAAAAGGACGGAAGGTGTTGAAACCCAGATGCAAAAGCTGAAAGAAACGATTGAAACCGTCAAAAATCTCTCCTCGGAAGCAGTCAGAGCGGAAAACAGCAGCAAAATGATTCTAGAAGAAGTTAAAAGAGAGAGAGCTGAAGTATTGAAGCTCACAGAAATGCTGGGAAAGCTTCAACTAAACCAAAAACCGAATGAAAAAGGAGATTTACTGGTTAGCTTTTATTTTCCATTGACCAACTATAAAGTTGATATGTGATGAAAAGAGAAAGCGGATTCATGCTCAACTATATGGCTTTTCTATACGGAAGCTGAACAAAAAGCAAGATGAAAACAAATAACTAATAAAAAGTGATTCACGTAGTATCCATTTGTATCGGAATGCTTTCACGCCTGTTTAAGGCGGCCGGTCGTATTACGGTAGTCAAGCTAGGTTTTTCGGTAATAAAATGAAAACTTGTTCAATTTTTGTGACGGAAATTATCTTGTAACCTCGAGAAGTAAGTCCTTAACAAATTGCAGAAAAGAAAAAAAGTTTTAAAAATTTCCTGGCTCCGAAACTGACGGCGCAATATTGACCGGCCACCGGCCGCCATAGCACTGCCTCAAACAGTGCTTTGATTCGCAATAAGGTACGGTACCGCCAGCTGGACATTACACAGTTACGCAAAAGTTCAGATCAAACTTTTTTTTTTCTCGGAAAAAGTTTGATCAAACCATCGCGCATATAGCGGATTCACGGCTAGCTTGGCACGCTAAGGCGCCATCTCGTGGCGCTATCTCGTGCATTATCGTTTCAGGACCCTTTTTTTTAATGGCTCAAGCCAGCCGTGAATCAGCTATATATCAGTTTAGGGAGCGCCGTGAACTCAGAGAAAAAAGAATCTTACTCTCCACGTTCTACACTCTGTCTTTTGACCTGTGCGCTAAAATGCCAATTTAACAGAAAACTAGGCGTTGTTTGTCCAATAAAATTCCCTGCGATCAGTTTCAGGCAGAAGAGAACCTTCGGTCAGCAGCTTCTGACGGCGACTTTGACCAAGTTCGGGAGCTCATTCGAGAAGGGGTCAACGTCAATAGCAGAGATCCTTGCAGCGACAAAACCGCCTTGATGTGCTCTGTGCAAAACGGGCATTTAATAATAGTTCATTGGCTTTTGGAAAACGGCGCTGACGTCTCTGCTGCTACTGAGGTTGCTATAACTCACGAGAGAGCCCTTTTCACTGTGCGGTTGGAAATTTTTGTAAATTGGTCATAATACTTATTGATATATTTTATAAAAAGACTATTGAAACTCCCACCTGTAAACACAAGCGAATCGAGAAGGTACCACAATGTGTCCATCGTGAGACCTCCGGTATACCTTTTAGCTATATCTGAGCCATCTCGGAGGTATTTCACTTTCAGAGTCTTTCTAAAGTCTCTCTCGTTTTGCTCAAAATCCTCAGAGGGTCTCGCGATACCCTTTCTCGATTCGACTATGAAAAATCGTCCATTTTTTTAACGAATAGTATCTCAGAGTTGTAGTATAGCCCATTCCACGCCAGCTTGTCACGTTTTTCTTTCTACTCTGAGCTACAGAACCCTTCCTTTCAATGTGCGCGATATTTTTAGCTGCCTGCGCCTTGAATATAACGGATTAGGCCAAATGAAAGACGCAGGCAGAGAAACGTAGCGCGCGCTTTGAACGGAATAATTCTCTAGCTCGAATGGAAACGAAAATCGTTACAAGCTGGCGCGGAATAGCCTATAAACCATAAAGCCCGCCTTTATTCATTGAGCCTTTCACGCAATACTTTTTTTTGTGTTTTAACCATCGATGTAATTGACAAGGCGGCAAATTTGACCAAAATTCGCTTCAAAACCTATTTTTTCGCAATCTTTTTTTGCAGATTTGTAGAGCGAACTTTCCAAATAACTGTGTTTATGGTAGCTCTTTTCCTGCTATGCTTTCAAGAAGTCCGACCAGTTGTCGAAATATTACCAATCGCAAAGTATAGTCAATTTTTCCCGACTTGAAGGCGAGCGAGGCGGGGCAGGGAACGGTACGCGTAGCGTGTGCGTACGCAGTTCTTGGCACGAGTTCAATTCAAGCGGCATCGACTATTCAAAAAGCTCAGTCAAGTCACCGCTCTTTTTCTATATGTTCTACTATTTTCAATGAAAATCAATAAATGATTGAAAAATAAATGAAAACAGCGATAAAGGAATAATCACTGGCGGTTGAATAGAACCCGTGCCCATAACCGGGTACGCACACGCTACGCGTCCCGCACCCTTCTCCGCCTACCTCGCCTTTCAAGTCCGGAAAAATTGACAATAACAAGGCCTCTCTCGTCATCAGAAACCTTATAAAATTAATCTTTGCAGCTAGGCACCACGGCTCTTCACTATGCATCACAATGTCATGGTGCGGAAGCCGGTGAAATCGTTTCCGCCTTAGTGGATCACGGAGCTGATCTCAACGTTTCCGACAGAAATGGAAATACTCCTCTGCACAATGCCGTTTCTGCCGAGTTTGCGATTGCATTTCAATCACTGATAGATTGCGGCGCCGATATCAATTCATGTCCTCCGAGGAATAGGGTGTGTTATAGTCAATCCTTCACGACTCGACACGCGTACGCCGTTCTGAGGCTAATTCAAGCGCCACCGACTATTTGAAACAGCTTGGTCATCTTTCTTTTTGTATCCATTCTGCTAACTTTTAATGCAAAAACGAAAAAAAGTCAATGATTAGTTATAGTCTGTGTGCCGCGACTTGGAATTTCACCGAACGACATTCCGCTACGCCGCTGCGCGCCGTTGCGAACCTTGGTCGCGCTTTTATTTTTTCTTTCTTCTTTTGTTAAGGTACTCTACTTTCATGTGCTTCCACAGCAATAACAATCAATTGAAATTTCAAGTCGTGGCATACAGACTAAAGGAGGACGTGGCGTGTCTGCGCTCCCCAGCAACCAGGCACTGGATCTTTTAATATCGTGTCAGGACCCTTTTTGATGGCTCACGCCAACCGGGAATGAGCTATAAATAATTTCCTGCCAAAACGGATATAATATGTACCATTTAAACGATCCTCCTCGATTTGAAAGGCGAGCGAGGCGAAGAAGGGGCGGGACGCGTACGCGGTTCTTGGATTGACTAAAAACAATTTCGCGTTCAGTTTCGCATTTCCCGCCAAAAGCCGTGTCGCGAAGTGAATGTATAGTTTGTTCAGATTTTGAATGTCAAGTCGTTGCTCAAGCTCCGCCCCTAATGGTGCGTTAAACCAATCAGAGAGCGAGCCATCCATAGAGTGTTTTTGAATGATGTCATTGCACTGGACATTTAAAATCTGAACAGACTATAGTTGAATCAAGGCTGGCTCGAGCCAACGAAAAAAATATCCAGACGCGGTAAAAAAGATCGTGCCTCGTTGGTGGGAAGCGCATTCACGCGCCCTAAAGTTCCAAGCTAGCCTAGAATAGACTAGGTAATCATGCGCGGGCCACCTTTCAAGCCTGGGTAAAATGGCTAGTGAAAAACAGCTCCTAAAACCTTCTATTCAAAGTTTTCCGATAAAAAAAGAACCTTTAAAGACGCTGATATAGTCCGTTCAGCTTTTGAATGTCAAATAGAATGACGTCATTCGAAAACACTCTGTGGATGGCTCGCTCTCTGATTGGTTTATTGCAAAATTAAGGGGCGGAGCTTGAGCGAGTACTTTAAATCTCAACAGACTACATCTTGAAAATTTGAAAGAGAAAGTTTGATAATTTCAGGATCAAGAAACTCCTTTACATTTGGCTGTTCTTTATAACAACTTATCAGCGATAAAGTTGTTATTGGAAAGAGGCGCCGACATCCATCTGAAGGATTACCACGGCAACACAGCTTTGTCTATCGCTCAGAGATTTGGAAACGAAGAAGTTCAAAAGATTTTTGTTAAAAGCCAACTTGCCAGAAAAAAAGATTTGAGACAATGAAGTTTTATTTTGGAGTTCAGCGTCGCATTTCGAAACGTTTACTTGAAACCGCTTGAACGTCCTTTTTTCCAGAGATATTTCTTCGCCTCGAGGCGGCCTCGGACAGCTAGAAATTGGTGAACGGCATCTATTACTCAAAAAAGCGAAACTTCGCGCTCAAATATGGAAGCCTTCATGTCGATAAGTTATATGAGCGCCACAGAAAAAACATCAAAAAAATGAGGGAATCTCGAACCTTGGTAACGCAAACCGAACGTTTCTGAGCATTTATAGTAAGCACTTAAGAGGGCTGACGTCGCTAAAGGTGCCTCTAGGAATGCTCAGAAAAGCCCGGATCACGTCCGTTTTCGTGAGTTAGGAGTTCCAGAGTAGTCCCTATGAGGTTTAGGCCCCCTATAAGATATATAGTCTGTGTACCACGACTTGGAATTTCACCGAACGACATTCCGCTGTTCCGATGCGTGCCTTTGCGCGTCTTTAGTTTCTCATTGCATCTAAGAACTCGACCAACACGTTTTCCGAGGGGAACAGTCCATCTATCAGAAATAAGACCAATTCAAAGGGAGACCGATGCTCGCAAAGACGCTTCGCGACGCAGAGGAAGAGCGGAATTTCGTTCATTGAAATTTCAGGTCGTGGCACACAAACTATATAACTTTAATTTTTACTGGCCATAACCTTCAAGAAATTGGTAAGAGAAACTATGGATAATTTACATTTTAACACCCTGTGTTAGGAGAGATAAGAATACTTAAAATATCACATGGTAAACTGAAGCATCAATATTATTCATCTTAATATGTTTGTACAACTGTTCACTTTTATGAATATTCCAAGGAAAAATTTCGAATTAGGCACACAGTCCACTGTTCTGGACGCATTGTGTTCCACTTGGGCACTGGGAGCACGTTTTTCCCGAATTGTAGATGTACTGGCCGAGGTAGTTGCCTCTGGAAATGCTCTACAGTAACCTTCATTTGCTACAGTAATTCCTACGGAGGCTTATATTGACAAACTACGGTGACTTTCTGCCAGCTGCCGTCCTGACATTGGGAGACGCCGCAACCGATTTTCCCCGAGTTTGCCCAGGCCATCTGAAAACAAGTCTTGTGGGAAGTTGAGCGGTCATTTAAGTGTTCTCTCAAGTTGGCGCTTGAGTGGTTCCTCAGATTTTGGAAGGTATATGGACGGTTAAGCCGCGAAAAGGTGAGAACGGAACGTTTTGACATGGGAGGTCATTTCAGCGTAGGGCTCAGAATATTCTATAAATTTGCTCAAACAATCTTTGATGAATCGATCCCGCATAGTCGCTATCTGCGCAAACTTCTAGTTTTGGAGATATGATTCTTTAAAGTTTACATCATTAAGCATGTTCAGAAGAAATCTGGCCGCGCCACCAACCATTGGATGGCAGATGTGAGCGTGGTGCAGTGGCTAGCGCATTAGCTTGCGGAGTCTATGATCAGGGTTCGAGTCCTTTTGCCGCTAACTTTTTTTTGCTTTTTTTTTTGAAAAAATCTGAGGAGAATATTAAATTTTTTGAGACTGAGGTGGTAAAAAAAAAGAGAATTTAAAAAAAGACTATTTTTAAAGAACTCAATCTCTCAAACTATTTTACCTGCGTAGCATGACCGATTCCAGTATTGAACAAGTTATTGTCGAAATAATTAGTCGGCCAGCCCTTGTCCTGGAACTCCTTGGCCCAAGCCGCTGACGCCATGGCTCCCTGAACATCGACAACTCTTTCAGACGATTTTTCCGCCACGAACATATTGGTTGAGATCGCCGACGTTGGAGCTCCAGTACCAGTAGAGATTCTCACCGACGCCATTAGTGCCTGAGTGACCTGTTGGACATCGATTGGCGTAGTTCTGGGCCGATTGTTCCAGGCCGGAGTCCCATTTCTGCGAGACAAATATTGTTTTAATATAGTCGGCTGAAAAACTTTCTTATAACTTTGAGCCCAATATAGGCTCAAAATAAGAGTAAAACGAGAGAACAACAGCGTTTAGAAGAGACGCCAGAAAAGTGGAGATATATTTTTTTTTTCTGACGACTTCTCTAACCTCGTTCTCTCATGATAACACTTAGAACAGTCTCATTTCTCTGCGGTCTCTTCCTCCACGAAGTCTCTCTCATTTAACTGCCCTATTTGCAGGACCTTGCCAGCGAGGAAGAAGAGAGCACAGACAGGTCGCACTTTTCCAAGTCAACACGTTCCATTTCCAAGAGATAATCAAAAACTCCTCATCAGTCATGATTTTTTTTATCAGTTTTGTTCTCGTGAAATGTTTGCTTTCCGCTGATAAGAAAGCTAGCAAAAAAGAAAACTAAAGTTTAGTTGATTAAAAAGTTCTCAAAACAGGACTTTTTTCATGAATTATGGATCATATAGTCTGTCCGTCGCGATTTGACAGTTTTCAAGTGTCTGCGTTTCTATGTTCCCTCACCGGCGAGGTCAGAGAAGTATGAAAATAGCGCGTCAACAAGAGAGGGTCGCCGAGAAGTCCCGCCCCCGCCCTATCGTTGCGAAAATTAGGATTTTGAATTTTTTGAAAATCTGGGATTTTTATTACTTTGTAGAAACATTTTGTTATCTAGTCGCAAAAATGAGAGGAGTACTAAAAGATTGGAGCCTTCATTTCAAGACCATTTTTTCAAATTAAAAACTACTTGAATTTGCCCCAATTGAAAAGGTTTGAGCGTCACATTTTCAGCTTGAACACCGCGGCTTTTTTTTTGGCGACGGACCGCCCATATTTTTTTTTCGTAAAGTGTAGTGTGTCGTGTGCACACACTGCGGCACTCTGGCACACGCCGCGTTCAACTTAATTTTTCGCGAATTCAGTTATATTTTTTTCACACTCTGGTGACTATTTTTGAATTTCGCGGAATAATTTTCAACACGGCATGTTTTAAAATTTAAAAAAAAACAGAAAAATCGCGTTTTTTGAATGAGAAATAGATTCGTCTCGTGACCCACTGATGCGTCTTTAAAGTTTCCTGTTGTTTACGCGTTTTTTCCATGACGTCACATGGGAACGGCGGAGACTTTGACCACGCCCCCTTAATTTTTGGTTTTGCATTTTGTTCACTAATAAAAACGCCGTGACACCTTTTCTGAATTTTTTAAAGACGCATCGGACCCAAATACAATTCAAATTACAACGCGAAGAGCAATTCTACAACCGAAAACAAACCATTTGAAGCATATTAGTGGCTGTGGCTTTCCTTGCCCCTTTCACTACATAATTTCCCAAAGCGATTGAAGATCTCAAGTTGTTATGAGCGTTGAGGATTCCTTGCTGTCCGCTGGACCCGAAATTGGCCAAAACGCCTAGAAAATTCGTTTCAAAAATTTCAAGAAAAAAGTAACTTACTTGACACAAAAACCAAGCAAAGAATTGAAGTCAGAAGCATCTTTACCAAGAAAGCGGCTGATAGCAAATCCGACAGAGGAGTTTTATTAACTCTCTTATCACTTCTAGCCTTAATTTACGTTTATCAGAGTTATACTCGTGACATTTTATCCTTCCGGTGATAAGGCGAGTTCTCCAAACGTGGCGGAAAAATGTTGGTTTTGCTTCGATAGCATAAGCAAGTCACTCAGAAACGACTTGGGATTTTTATTTTTCCAAATAATAACCTCGAGAAGATTTGAAAAATATTGAAAGATCTTTGCTTCCATATAAAAACTTATGAAGTATGATTATTTTCACAAACTTTTTAGGAACTCCAGAGTGGTCCCTACAGTGGCCCTTGAAGGGTCTACTTCCCTTTACTAACCCCTATAGGGATAACTTAAGCTTTCGCGACTAGAGTCCTGAACCTCTATAGATGTTGTTTTTCTCTATAACCCCTATATGGGCCACTAAAGCTTGCAGAAGTGGTCTCTATAGGGGTTTCAGTTAGTTACCACTATAGATGACATGCTGGTTGATAATTGTTATGAAATTTATGCGTAAAACTAAATATTTAAGGTTTTTCTGAGCAGAGTTGAAAGACCCCTATAGGGACCACTTAAGCTTTAGAAGCCGCGAATCGGACGTTTCGGGGCATTTCTAGTGACCACTTTAGTAGCGTCAGCACTCTTTAAGTGATCCCTTTCGAGAATGAAAACTGAAAATGGACTGAAATTAAAGAAGTTCTCTAACTGAAAAACAAGTTTAATAGAAAATCCTAGCGACCAGAATAAAGTCGAGAGAACTATAATGAAGTTTCCAAAAGAAAGCCAAAACTCGTATGAATATTGTTGACAAAAAGGTCAACCATTTTATAAGCCCCAAGTTTTATTGGAACACCTGTCTTTCGATTTCATATCGCCCACACTTGAAAATTTGTCACATTTTTCTATCGAACGCCCACATTTTTTGAATTTAAAACTTTTTTTAAGGTTCAAAACATGGAGGTATTGAGGTTTAATCAATAACTATTTAAATCACCGAAAACTTTGATTTCGATGAATTTTTTTCGATTTTCACAATCACAAGTTTATTCAACAAGAGCCGAACCGAAAAAACCGAACAAGTCAATTTTCAACCCCGGACGACGCGACGAAACCCTCCTGGCGGCGCACAAAGGCCTAAATGTTGATTGCAAGTGGTCCCTGTAGGGCACGAGGAGCACGTTTTCCCTTCGTCGTAGATTAGCCTCGACAAGGTGTTGCCTCTGAAAAAAATCAAGATAAAGTGATATAATTTTTTTAAAACTTCTACGCGCATGCTTCTTCAAATGAACGTATAGATGAAATTTTTCAATGAGTTTTTTTCTGAAAAAAAATAGTTTCCTGTAACTAGAATAGTCGCATTAACTACATGAAAGGCCTGAAACAAAGTAAATAATATATCATTTTTTTCTAAAAAAATTCTGACTCACGCTGGATAATAATGACAGACGACGGCGATTTTCGGCGACTTTCGACCGCACAATTTTGCGCCACAGCCAATTCTGTCCGTATCGGCCCAAACCATCTGTAAACCAAAAAAATTCTTACAAAACGAATTTTTAAAATTTTTCGCTTTAAAAAAATCAGAAAATTCTATAAAAAAAATAAAACTTGTTTTTTTGTATATTAAAATTTGCGAAATAAATTTTTCAAAAATTCAACGAAAAAGAAACCTGAGTTGCATGGCCAACACCAGATTTAAACAGCGTCGCCGTTAAATTGTTTGTCGACCAGTCAAACTTTTGGAATTCCTCCTTCCAAACGTCCGACGCCATTTTCGCCTAAAAAAATATTTTTTTCAATTAAGGCGAAAAGCTCAAAAAAACTAACATATTGATTATAATCTTCGGAGAGTTTCTCGCCACCGATCCAGAACAAGCTCTCGCCAATATTATCTATTTCAGAGTGCTCTTTGGGGCATGTTTCCGCGTACTTTTGAGCGGAATCGGCCAATGAACTGTTCCATAACTGTAAACAAATTCTTTGATTTTCTGAAGCCATTTATTGCGATTGAATCTAGCTAAAAGGTAGAGAACTTGAATATATTTGGATTAAAATTGGGGAATAGCTTCAATAGAATCAAAATAGAAAGCGAAAAAAATAGACAAAGTGAAACGGTTATTAAAGGCGCATCGACCAATTGTCGCTTTAGCCATGAACGGAAGAGATGACAGTAAATTGCAATAAGATTGACCTCTTTTTGAATTTTTTATTTCTTCTTTTTTTTCCTCTTTTCCAATTTTTTTCTTTTTTTCTTTTTCTGACATGCTGGAAAATTCCGTCAATACGGTCGGTTTTTTTATAGTAGTCAGCTTTTGAAATTTTGAAGTTTTTTTTGACTTGAAAAAAGCTTATATAAAAAATCGACTAAATTTTCCAACATGCCCTTTTTTCTTCCTACTTTCTCTTGAAAAACACATGTAGAATAATATTTTAGACATTTAGTTCTTTCAAACTTTTTTTCACATCGCCTGATTTTTCTTCCCATTCCACTTTAATATATCTTTCTCACCAGCATTTTCATATTTGTGGCTGGCGGTTTCTTGACGCCGCCTTTTGCAACGTATCGTCCCATTGCAACATCGGATCGGAGTTTGTTATGTACTCTCAGAAAGCTTCGATGTCCTTCATGTGTGAACCCAGCCGCCGCACACAGAGCTGCAGGTCCATTTCAAAATTTGTAATCAAAAGGGAAATAGGAAATAAAATAAAACTAACCTATTGAGCAAACGATTCCCACGAAGATACAGCCATTGGGTTGCCACATGAAAAGAGACGAAATTCTTGAAATTAAATTTTTTTACAGAAAATGAAAAAAAGTGCTTTTTTTATCTATTTTTTTAAAAAAATTCAATTTAGGGTCTGTCTTTTAACAGATTTTTTTCATGTATGTCCAGAATATGTCAGTTTAATATATATATATATATATATATATTCAAAATTATATTTTTCTTTGAAAGCGATGAAAGATTTTATTTTTCTTATTTTTATCTTCTCGACTACTTTTTTTGTCAGAATTTAAACAGAAATGTGTCTAAAAATTTTATCTTTTTCTCGAATCGAATGATTTATTCATCTTTCTATGACTATAATTAAGACATTCAGAAAAATCTTTAAGCAAGAAAGACGAGTAAAAATGCGTAAATAATCATGTCAATGTTCATATTTCACTAATTGCCAGCTTGCCTCAAAATTTGAAGAACTTTGAATTTTGAAAAGAAATATCTCATCACGATTAGAAGACTTTTCGGTGAAAAAACCAGGGTCTCACAGTAAATTCTGTATTTTTTTTTTCCTGACATGTTGCAAAAAAGCAGAGGTTACTGTAAAAACATCTTTTTTCATGAAACATTTGGTCATTCGTGATTAGAATAATTTTTCAAAGTTCAATGTTTCTTCGAATTTCGTTTCAAGCCAACAATTGAATGAAAAAAAAGGAGAAAAAAGGAAGAAGAAAGACATCAAAAAATTGGTTCTTGGGAATGAAATTGCTTGGTAAATATCACATTTTTTTTGTGTTGTGGAAAAATTTTTGGCGTCCAAATTATTTGCTGGGAAACTGTGCGTACACGTAGGCGATATGAATATGAATTGTGGGAAGTTTGACGATAAAAAATGCGATTTTAAGAAGTAATTTGAAAGAAAATTTCTCAGTTTTTCATATCATAACGGTGAAGTCGATTCTCGATGCTGAAAACGGGGCAGTTGACGCAGCCTTTCTGCCAGGTTAACCCGTGTCGGACCGGCATTATCTGAAAATTACTGGTTTTTTTCAAAAAAATTAGACTTTTTCTGTTCTGGAATATATATCTAATTTTTAAGAGCTTATCCCATTCGTTTCTTGAAAAAAATCGTATTTTCAGCTGATAAAAAAATCTCATTTTTTTAAACGTGTCTTAAAAAGAATTTCCTCGAAGTTATAACAATTATTAGGTATTTTAGGGTTTTTCTGACTGAGAATATTGATATTTTTGTTTCTGTTGAAACAATTTTTTTCCGTTAAATTATAATTTTTTTGTTTTTGAAAAAGTAATAGGTTTTTTTAAATCTCTTTTTTTGGTCTTTTTTTGGAAAAAAATCCAAGGCTCTTAGGTAGGTCAATTTTTACTTACTGGAAAAAAAAGGACTTTTCTCCAGTTTTTCTTTGAAATTTTTTTATAATCAAGAAATTTTTAAAAAAATTGAAGATTAGAGACTTTTTCGCGTATCTTTATTATTGTGATACAGAAAATTTTGAGTCTATCAAGCAAAATTTTGAATCAAGTTCCAAAATTTCGGAGCTTCTACAGCTGATTCATGGCTAGCTTGGCCGAAAAATGGGTCCTGACACGATAAAACAGGAGACATTGTGGGGTTGGTGGAGGGCACAGACAGGCCACGCCTCTTAGCGTCCGAATTTAGCCGTAAATCAGCTATACTGGGAAAATTTAAAAAAAAAAAGGCTCGCCAAGGACTACTTGGAAAGGACATGTTGATCCATTGACCCCTTAAGTGGCCACTAAAAATTTTTGTGGTCTTGTAGTAGCACTGAGACCTCTATAGTGGCCACTAATTTTAACCCCTTAAGTGGCCACTAATTTGTCTACTGACCAGTGGCCACTAAAACTTCAAAACCTTTTAGTGGCCACTAAAAATTTTGCAAGTATTTTGAAAAAGTAAAAAATCAGCTTAAACTGGAAAAAAAACTCACTTGGTTATTTCTCAAGGGCTCGAGGTTGTCGACGACGAGCCAAGGGACCAGTTGAGGATATTCTGTGGCGAAAACGATGACGACGTCGAAAATGATGCGGACGGTCCAAAGAAGAACGGCGCCGCCCGCCAAAGTTTCCAGTCGGATTATCGTGTCGATGTACTGGAAAAATTAGAGGTAAAAGATTAGAATGGAAATGTTTCAGAAATGTGATAAAAACGGATAGAACTATTAAATTCAAAATTTTGAGTATATAGGATGAAATAAATATTGAAAAAAACCCACATCGAGAACGTCGCAATTGCGCTGAACCATGGCGCGGACGTTGTTGTAGATGAACAAGTTATGGGCGATGATGATGGCGCCGGAAAGTACCAAAGCCGTGATGAAAAGGTACAGTGCCACGTGGCCACCGTAGCCCAGGAATTTGAACAATTTTCGACGGGTCACATTTGGCTCGTTGTGCATTCTGAAGTTTGAAAGATTTGAAGGAGGTGTGCTTTTTTTTAGATTTGTAGGTCCTTGAAGGATTAGAACTTCGGGCAGTTCTTTAAATTTTTAAAGTAGTAGATATCAGAAGGGAAAACAACAACAGAACCACCTTAGGATCTCCAGAGTGGTCCCTATAGAGGCAACCTTACGGACTCTTGAAGGGTTCCCTCTAAGAACTACTTCAGCAAGCTCTATAGGGGCCACTGCAGCTAGGATGGCATGGAAAGAAGCATGAAAAAATTAAAAAAAAATTTTCTAAATGAAATTGGAAGATCCCCATAGGGACCACTTAAGCTTTAGGGGCTAATGGGTCAGACCCTGAACCCCTATAGGGACCACCTTGATTTTACCCCAAATAGGAACCACTTTTTCTGCCCCCCAAAGAGCTTCCCTAACCCGTTTAGGAAAGTTGTGCCTTTCTGGAGGTGTAGAATTTTTTCTGGCCAAATTTTGAATTTTTGATCATTTTCCCTATGTTCACGGTGGTTAACCAGACTTGGAAAAATTTATTTTAAGAATGGCAACCTTTCACTGTAGGAGATCTGCCGGAGTTTGGCCACGACGAAGCCGTAGCACACAACAACGGTTGACATGGAGATGGCTATGATGCAGATTGCGGTGATGATCAGTGGCCGTTGGCAGTTGGAGTAGGAACATACTGAAAGATAGAAAATGGAAATGGTGTAAGCTTGTGGGCAGTATGAAGGGAGATATGAGCTTCTTTTTAAAAAAATCGATTTTTTTTTGTTTTTCTCATAGATGTAATCGACTGGGTGGCCTTCGGCAAACTAAAAGTCCAAACGTGTAGTTGATCAAGTGGAAAGCATGGTCTTACAGTCCTTCTCCTCGGTCTACTGTTCTTATTTCATTCGGTTGCGCCTTGAAGAGTTCAGAACTCAGGAGATAATAAATCTGTTCCCCCCCTCCTCCATTTTTGAATAATCGTCTTCGGAACGAACTAGAAGTTCGAACGTGTAGTTGATCAAGTTGCAAGCATGGTCTTACAGTCCTTCTCCTCGGTCTACTGTTCTTATTTCATTCGGTTGCGCCTTGAAGAGTTCAGAACTCAGGAGATAATAAATCTGTTCCCCCCCCCCTCCTCCATTTTTGAATAATCGTCTTCGGAACGAACTAGAAGTTCGAACGTGTAGTTGATCAAGTTGCAAGCATGGTCTTACAGTCCTTCTCCTCGGTCTACTGTTCTTATTTAATTCGGTTGCGCCTTGAAGAGTTCAGAACTCAGGAGATAATAAATCTGTTCCCCCTCCTCCATTTTTGAATAATCGTCTTCGGAACGAACTAGAAGTTCGAACGTGTAGTTGATCAAGTTGCAAGCATGGTCTTACAGTCCTTCTCCTCGGTCTACTGTTCTTATTTCATTCGGTTGCGCCTTGAAGAGTTCAGAACTCAGGAGATAATAAATCTGTTCCCCCCTCCTCCATTTTGAATAATCGTCTTCGGAACGAACTAGAAGTTCGAACGTGTAGTTGATCAAGTGGAAAGCATGGTCTTACAGTCCTTCTCCTCGGTCTACTGTTCTTATTTCATTCGGTTGCGCCTTGAAGAGTTCAGAACTCAGGAGATAATAAATCTGTTCCCCCCCTCCTCCATTTTTGAATAATCGTCTTCGGAACGAACTAGAAGTTCGAACGTGTAGTTGATCAAGTTGCAAGCATGGTCTTACAGTCCTTCTCCTCGGTCTACTGTTCTTATTTCATTCGGTTGCGCCTTGAAGAGTTCAGAACTCAGGAGATAATAAATCTGTTCCCCCCTCCTCCATTTTTGAATAATCGTCTTCGGAACGAACTAGAAGTTCGAACGTGTAGTTGATCAAGTGGAAAGCATGGTCTTACAGTCCTTCTCCTCGGTCTACTGTTCTTATTTCATTCGGTTGCGCCTTGAAGAGTTCAGAACTCAGGAGATAATAAATCTGTTCCCCCCCTCCTCCATTTTTGAATAATCGTCTTCGGAACGAACTAGAAGTTCGAACGTGTAGTTGATCAAGTTGCAAGCATGGTCTTACAGTCCTTCTCCTCGGTCTACTGTTCTTATTTCATTCGGTTGCGCCTTGAAGAGTTCAGAACTCAGGAGATAATAAATCTGTTCCCCCCCTCCTCCATTTTGAATAATCGTCTTCGGAACGAACTAGAAGTTCGAACGTGTAGTTGATCAAGTGGAAAGCATGGTCTTACAGTCCTTCTCCTCGGTCTACTGTTCTTATTTCATTCGGTTGCGCCTTGAAGAGTTCAGAACTCAGGAGATAATAAATCTGTTCCCCCCTCCTCCATTTTTGAATAATCGTCTTCGGAACGAACTAGAAGTTCGAACGTGTAGTTGATCAAGTTGCAAGCATGGTCTTACAGTCCTTCTCCTCGGTCTACTGTTCTTATTTCATTCGGTTGCGCCTTGAAGAGTTCAGAACTCAGGAGATAATAAATCTGTTCCCCCCTCCTCCATTTTGAATAATCGTCTTCGGAACGAACTAGAAGTTCGAACGTGTAGTTGATCAAGTGGAAAGCATGGTCTTACAGTCCTTCTCCTCGGTCTACTGTTCTTATTTCATTCGGTTGCGCCTTGAAGAGTTCAGAACTCAGGAGATAATAAATCTGTTCCCCCCCTCTCCTCCATTTTGAATAATCGTCTTCGGAACGAACTAGAAGTTCGAACGTGTAGTTGATCAAGTTGCAAGCATGGTCTTACAGTCCTTCTCCTCGGTCTACTGTTCTTATTTCATTCGGTTGCGCCTTGAAGAGTTCAGAACTCAGGAGATAATAAATCTGTTCCCCCCTCTCCTCCATTTTTGAATAATCGTCTTCGGAACGAACTAGAAGTTCGAACGTGTAGTTGATCAAGTTGCAAGCATGGTCTTACAGTCCTTCTCCTCGGTCTACTGTTCTTATTTCATTCGGTTGCGCCTTGAAGAGTTCAGAACTCAGGAGATAATAAATCTGTTCCCCCCCTCCTCCATTTTTGAATAATCGTCTTCGGAACGAACTAGAAGTTCGAACGTGTAGTTGATCAAGTGGAAAGCATGGTCTTACAGTCCTTCTCCTCGGTCTACTGTTCTTATTTCATTCGGTTGCGCCTTGAAGAGTTCAGAACTCAGGAGATAATAAATCTGTTCCCCCCTCTCCTCCATTTTTGAATAATCGTCTTCGGAACGAACTAGAAGTTCGAACGTGTAGTTGATCAAGTTGCAAGCATGGTCTTACAGTCCTTCTCCTCGGTCTACTGTTCTTATTTCATTCGGTTGCGCCTTGAAGAGTTCAGAACTCAGGAGATAATAAATCTTTTCCCCCTCTCCTCCATTTTTGAATAATCGTCTTCGGAACGAACTAGAAGTTCGAACGTGTAGTTGATCAAGTGGAAAGCATGGTCTTACAGTCCTTCTCCTCGGTCTACTGTTCTTATTTCATTCGGTTGCGCCTTGAAGAGTTCAGAACTCAGGAGATAATAAATCTGTTCCCCCCTCTCCTCCATTTTTGAATAATCGTCTTCGGAACGAACTAGAAGTTCGAACGTGTAGTTGATCAAGTTGCAAGCATGGTCTTACAGTCCTTCTCCTCGGTCTACTGTTCTTATTTCATTCGGTTGCGCCTTGAAGAGTTCAGAACTCAGGAGATAATAAATCTTTCCCCCCTCTCCTCCATTTTGAATAATCGTCTTCGGAACGAACTAGAAGTTCGAACGTGTAGTTGATCAAGTGGAAAGCATGGTCTTACAGTCCTTCTCCTCGGTCTACTGTTCTTATTTCATTCGGTTGCGCCTTGAAGAGTTCAGAACTCAGGAGATAATAAATCTGTTTCCCCCTCCTCCATTTTGAATAATCGTCTTCGGAACGAACTAGAAGTTCGAACGTGTAGTTGATCAAGTTGCAAGCATGGTCTTACAGTCCTTCTCCTCGGTCTACTGTTCTTATTTCATTCGGTTGCGCCTTGAAGAGTTCAGAACTCAGGAGATAATAAATCTTTTTCCCCCCTCTCCTCCATTTTTGAATAATCGTCTTCGGAACGAACTAGAAGTTCGAACGTGTAGTTGATCAAGTTGCAAGCATGGTCTTACAGTCCTTCTCCTCGGTCTACTGTTCTTATTTCATTCGGTTGCGCCTTGAAGAGTTCAGAACTCAGGAGATAATAAATCTGTTTCCCCCCCTCCATTTTTGAATAATCGTCTTCGGAACGAACTAGAAGTTCGAACGTGTAGTTGATCAAGTTGCAAGCATGGTCTTACAGTCCTTCTCCTCGGTCTACTGTTCTTATTTCATTCGGTTGCGCCTTGAAGAGTTCAGAACTCAGGAGATAATAAATCTGTTCCCCCCCCCCCCCTCCTCCATTTTGAATAATCGTCTTCGGAACGAACTAGAAGTTCGAACGTGTAGTTGATCAAGTGGAAAGCATGGTCTTACAGTCCTTCTCCTCGGTCTACTGTTCTTATTTCATTCGGTTGCGCCTTGAAGAGTTCAGAACTCAGGAGATAATAAATCTGTTCCCCCCTCCTCCATCTTGAATAATCGTCTTCGGAACGAACTAGAAGTTCGAACGTGTAGTTGATCAAGTTGCAAGCATGGTCTTACAGTCCTTCTCCTCGGTCTACTGTTCTTATTTCATTCGGTTGCGCCTTGAAGAGTTCAGAACTCAGGAGATAATAAATCTGTTCCCCCCTCCTCCATTTTTGAATAATCGTCTTCGGAACGAACTAGAAGTTCGAACGTGTAGTTGATCAAGTTGCAAGCATGGTCTTAGTCCTTCTCCTCGGTCTACTGTTCTTATTTCATTCGGTTGCGCCTTGAAGAGTTCAGAACTCAGGAGATAATAAATCTGTTCCCCCCTCCTCCATTTTTGAATAATCGTCTTCGGAACGAACTAGAAGTTCGAACGTGTAGTTGATCAAGTTGCAAGCATGGTCTTACAGTCCTTCTCCTCGGTCTACTGTTCTTATTTCATTCGGTTGCGCCTTGAAGAGTTCAGAACTCAGGAGATAATAAATCTGTTCCCCCCTCCTCCATTTTTGAATAATCGTCTTCGGAACGAACTAGAAGTTCGAACGTGTAGTTGATCAAGTGGAAAGCATGGTCTTACAGTCCTTCTCCTCGGTCTACTGTTCTTATTTCATTCAGTTGCGCCTTGAAGAGTTCAGAACTCAGGAGATAATAAATCTGTTCCCCCCTCCTCCATTTTTGAATAATCGTCTTCGGAACGAACTAGAAGTTCGAACGTGTAGTTGATCAAGTGGAAAGCATGGTCTTACAGTCCTTCTCCTCGGTCTACTGTTCTTATTTCATTCGGTTGCGCCTTGAAGAGTTCAGAACTCAGGAGATAATAAATCTGTTCCCCCCCCCCTCCTCCATTTTGAATAATCGTCTTCGGAACGAACTAGAAGTTCGAACGTGTAGTTGATCAAGTTGCAAAGCATGGTCTTACAGTCCTTCTCCTCGGTCTACTGTTCTTATTTCATTCGGTTGCGCCTTGAAGAGTTCAGAACTCAGGAGATAATAAATCTGTTCCCCCCCTCCTCCATTTTGAATAATCGTCTTCGGAACGAACTAGAAGTTCGAACGTGTAGTTGATCAAGTTGCAAGCATGGTCTTACAGTCCTTCTCCTCGGTCTACTGTTCTTATTTCATTCAGTTTGCGCCTTGAAGAGTTCAGAACTCAGGAGATAATAAATCTGTTCCCCCCTCCTCCATTTTTGAATAATCGTCTTCGGAACGAACTAGAAGTTCGAACGTGTAGTTGATCAAGTTGCAAGCATGGTCTTACAGTCCTTCTCCTCGGTCTACTGTTCTTATTTCATTCGGTTGCGCCTTGAAGAGTTCAGAACTCAGGAGATAATAAATCTGTTCCCCCCCTCCTCCATCTTTGAATAATCGTCTTCGGAACGAACTAGAAGTTCGAACGTGTAGTTGATCAAGTTGCAAGCATGGTCTTACAGTCCTTCTCCTCGGTCTACTGTTCTTATTTCATTCGGTTGCGCCTTGAAGAGTTCAGAACTCAGGAGATAATAAATCTGTTCCCCCCCTCCTCCATTTTGAATAATCGTCTTCGGAACGAACTAGAAGTTCGAACGTGTAGTTGATCAAGTTGCAAGCATGGTCTTACAGTCCTTCTCCTCGGTCTACTGTTCTTATTTCATTCGGTTGCGCCTTGAAGAGTTCAGAACTCAGGAGATAATAAATCTGTTCCCCCTCCTCCATTTTTGAATAATCGTCTTCGGAACGAACTAGAAGTTCGAACGTGTAGTTGATCAAGTGGAAAGCATGGTCTTACAGTCCTTCTCCTCGGTCTACTGTTCTTATTTCATTCGGTTGCGCCTTGAAGAGTTCAGAACTCAGGAGATAATAAATCTGTTCCCCCCTCCTCCATTTTTGAATAATCGTCTTCGGAACGAACTAGAAGTTCGAACGTGTAGTTGATCAAGTGGAAAGCATAGTCTTACAGTCCTTCTCCTCGGTCTACTGTTCTTAGTTCAATCGGTTGCGCCTTGAAGAGCTCACGGTTCGTGAAAGGATGAAGCTGCTCCCCCCCAAGACTAGTCAAGGAAATAAAATAAAAGGCCCTGATAGCTTTTTTCTGCGATTCTTCCACCACACAAGTATATTTTCGGAAAAGTGACAGTTTAATTTCCGCATCAAACAACGCCAAGAATACGTTCCAAGAAACCGTACCATTATCAGTCTTGGACGGGTCGATAATGGCTGTGGCGAGGGGCGCAAAGGCGGCAGCATAGAGAATGCTGATACACCAGGTGAAGGCGATCGCCATGGAGAGCCGTCTGATGCTGCACATCGACTGGAAACCGTACGGACGGGTCACACTTATCTGAAATTTTTAGTGGGCTTTCTAGCGGAAGATGTTGTCAGGGGAACCACATAAGAGCTTCTGAATGAGACTGAATCCACTGGATGCTTAAAAATCACCATCTTCGGAAAAAAAAAACTCATGGGGGCTAGAAAAGCCCACCGAACCGTTACACTAACAAAGTAGTACACTAACAACACACATAAAAACTCACATGCCGAAGAACGATGATTGCCAAATGAGACAGCGTGGATTGAACCAAACCGAACGTGGCGACGTACAAGAACAAGGCCATGACAGCGTATGAAGCTGACCATTTGTTGGCCAACAGAGTTGCCGAGGCGATCAAAGCTGATGAGAAGATGTCGGCCGCCGTTCGAGATATCACAAAACTGGAAAAGTTCGATTAACTATAAAAGTATAGCCTGTGTATAGTCTGTGTCAAGACTTGGAATTTTACGGAACGACATTCCGCTGTTCCGCTGCGTGCGTTCGCGAAGCGTCTTTCGGATCTAGGTCACGCTTCCAATTGATTGTTATTGCTGTGGTAGCACATGAAAGTAGAGAGCCCAAGCGCGACCAAGATTCGCAAAGGCGCACAGCGGAATGTCGTTCCGTGAAACTTCAAGCAGACTGTACCACGACTTGGAATTTCACCAAACGACATTCCGCGGTTCCGCTGCGCGCCTTTGCGAACCTTGTCTTTTATTAAGGTCATGTGCTCCCACAGCAACAACAATCAATCGAAAGCGAGACCTAGATTCAAAAGACGCTTCGCGAACGCACGCAGCGGAACAGCGGAATGTCGTTCCGTGAAACTTCAAGCAGACTATACCACGACTTGGAATTTCACCAAACGACATTCCGCGGTTCCGCTGCGCGCCTTTGCGAACCTTGTCTTTTATTAAAGTCATGTGCTCCCTCAGCAACAACAATCAATCGAAAGCGTGACCTAGATTCGAAAGACGCTTCGCGAACGCACGCAGCGGAACAGCGGAATGTCGTTCCGTGAAATTTCAAGTCGTGGCACACAGACTATACCAGATTCTTGAGAAAGCTTCAGAAGCGAGATATGTCCTGAAGTAACGGCAAAAAGGAATGAACCTCATTTTCTTCCATAACTATCAGACAGTACCTGTACTTTCTCGATGGAATTCTTCGCCGTAAAAGGGCGAATATGATGGCGCCAAGGAGAATTATGCAGAAGACGAAGGCGATTATCGAGAAGGCCGGTGCCATTCTGAGAATTGTCGATGAGGCCTGGAAAGAGGAACCTGTGGACGCGATCAAAGTTGGGAAAAGAAAAAATAACTCAAAAAAAAAAGGTTTTTTTGGTTCGGAAGGTTAAACTTTCACTAGTTTTCCTATTTTCATTACTTAGGAATTCCAGAGTGGTACCCATAGGTGTTAGAATAATAAACAGCCCCTATAGGGCCCGAAAAAGTGGTCCCTCTAGGAGTAAAATTAAGGTGGTCCCTACAGACTATAGATGGCCCCTATAGGGGTTGGTAAAGTGGTCTCTAGAGGGGACCCTCTACTCGGAAGCTCCTAAGTAAGCTTGAGATTATTTCAATTTGAAACAGAACTTTCGAATAAAAAACGAACATTATCCCATCGCGACTGTCGCTGAACGACGTCGTCTATCTGGAAGTTGGGCACTCGGGCGGCGCAATCGCGCACGAGTTGGGCCAACTGATCGCTCATTATCGCATAGTCTTGGCTGAAAAGGAAGGAATTGATGAGAAATCGAGCCGTGAGGAGATTCGAGTGGATCTTTTGTCGAGATGAAGAGTGACTGTTGAAAATGGACGGGAGAAAGTCAAATAAGGAGCTTTTCGGTCTTTGATACTGAAATACTCGGAGTTTATCCGGTTCAGAAGGGCAGGGTATCTTCCATCAGAAGTAAAAAAATAAAAAGGTCATTTTGAACTTGAATTGATAGAAAAATCTCTTCGGGTGAGATAGGTAGCGGTAGATGATATAGAAGGTTTTTGTGAGGTTTCCAAGTTCTCAAAAGAAAATGAAGATAGAAAAGGCTGCTTTCATTGAACCGGGCGTGTCTGAAAAGTGTAGGCGGATAATAAGGAAGTGGAAGTTAATTTATACTTTGGAACAAAGTTTTCACCGGACTTATACACTATCATTTTTGACAAAATTGCCGATTGAAATTATATATATATTAGGATAAGAGCATATAGTTATAAAGCAGATGGTTCAAAGAGACCAAAGATTGAGAAAAAGAAATTTTTTTAAATTCTAAATGCCCTTTCCAGAAATGACTTTTACTTTTTCTGAATTTTCGACTGAAATTTTTTTGAAAATTTTTAACAAATCCAAACGCTCCGACTGTTAATACAGTAACTGATGTTTATTTGAAAATTTGCTTCAAATTTTCGAAAAGCCCTGAAAACTGCCGCTGCAAAACGGCCGCAAAAAGGGTTCCGTTTTGCCGCCTTTTTATTACTGTAACACATTTTTGGTTCACACAAAGTCACTGGCAAAGATTATTCTCAATTAAAAAAAGTTTTTCCTTTTCTTTTTTTAATAGGGTCCAAAAAAAGGTTGATAAAGGTCGATGAAAGGACAGAAAAAGGCATTAAAAAGGGAACCGTTGCCACCCGTTTAGGAACAATAAATGGAAACTTTTTGCACCTGTAACGGGCGCTTAAAGGGCCCGTAACGGGTTTTTCTGACTTTGCTTATAAACGGTGAGCCTCTATTTAAAAAAAAACTATATCTGTGCAGATTGAGACTACCAGGGTTTCATTCTAGTTTCCAACAGATTTTATGAGAATTATATATTTCAATCACAAATAAGCCGGGACAAATCGGAAGATGGCACACAAAAAACGAGGTGAATGGAAATGAATATAACCCGCTTTTTTGGCTCCCCAACGAGTGCAGATAGTTCATGATTACTATTGAAAAAATGGCCGACTTTGTAAAGTGACCGATTTCGGTCGATACTTGCTCCCGTCATAATAACAAAGAAAGTCGAAAGAAATCGAGCCGAATGAGGAAAGAGAGGGGAGAGAAAGAGGTAGCGTAAACTCGGATTGTGCAAACACTTTTACCGAGTGGTACGAAGGAGTGGACAGCGGCCAGAGATTTTTTTTCTCGGGAAAAAAATTCTGCTGAACATGAGAGGAACTTTGAATGGGACCCGGTTATCTATTTTCCGATTATTATGTCTTGAAGCTTTGAAAATCAATAGATATGAAGTTTGGATTTCCTCTCACTATTCAGAACTGTCAGGTGAAGATTATGAAATCAAGGTGATTCACTGAATAAGTATATGTTTTGATGAACCGATCGCATTTTTGCAAAATCAAATTCATTACCTTCTTTTTGATACTCGGGCAGTCGGAATGGTGGATAATGGCCGCTTAAAGGGAGAGGCTCAAAAAAGGCCGCAAAAAGGCAGGAAAATAAGTCCTTTTACTGAGCCTTCCATTTTTTCTGGGGCGCAAGGGATAGTGGAAAAAGGGAGAGGCAGAAAAAATGGTGCATAATAGCCGATCAAATAGCGCAAAAAGGCTGTAAAAAGGGACAAGGAAAAATGTTCGTTTTTGGTTGGAAAAGGTTTAAGATGAGAGAAAGAAAATTCACTTGATTGGCATAGAAATATTGACCATCTCTGCTAGAAGGTTAAGGATTCTGGAAACCAAAAGTAAGTGAATACCACAAATTAGCATTTTCATCAATTGAATCTCTACTACAAGGCAACACTAAACCTGAAAAGGAAGATTTTAATAATACAAAAAAACAACCGTTCTGTCACACGAGGAAGCTTCTTGTTAAGCTTAACCAAACTGAAAGGAACAGAAGAAGAAAAAAAGGCGGAAATGATCGAGGCGTCCGGCGGCCGACCCTCGTCCAACATTGCCTGGCCGAGTTTCTAAACAAACAGTCCCCCTCAAAGCCTCCGGCTGTTCTCAGACTTACGCTTTTGGGAAAAGGAAAAGCGCTGTTGTTTCGTAGGCGCTTTATGGATTGTTTGAAGAAAGGTTGAGAAAAAAAATTGAGAAGTTTTGAAGAGGAGAGCTTTTATTCAGGACTGGTATAGGCCATTCCGCGCTAGCTTGACACGTTTTTCGTTCCGCCAAAAGGCCAGGTCAAATTTAACCAACTTTCGCTTCAAGACCTGAGTTTCTTGCCGTTATAAAAGCAGAAATTTGATCTAATTTGATATACGGTCTTTTTGGCGGAAAGAAAAACGTGACAAGCTGGCTCGGAATAGGCTATAAGTTAGGTGATAATCTGGTCGACAGTTTTGTACTCCTGTGGAAGCGGTTGTGAATTATCTAAGTTTTAATTAAGAAAAATTGAAGAGCAAGCAGATTTTTATTTCTTTCCAGTTGTTATCTTCTGACATGGGGTGCCAAAAGATCGCCACAACTATTTCCCTGACACACACTATTTCGTCGTTATCTAGCTGCGAGGTAGCGCGTGTCAGAGCGATTTTCTGGCGCCCCATGTAAGAGTCTTGCTCATTTTAGACTTTTTGTTGAGGTTTTTTAATAATTTATACTGTAGGTCACAAGGAGACATGATGCGGTCAAGTAGAAAAAAGCTCAAATAAAAAAAAAAGAATTTTTGTTGCGCTATAACTATTGAATCAACCTTCATTCGACCAGTTTTTGTATTTTCTCTGACTAAGAAGGCCACTCCACTTTTTAAGGATGTATAGGTTGCCAGAATTCTCTTGGAAGTTCGTAGAACTAAGAAGGATCCCGATTTTTTTTTCGCATTAAGACCGAATCGAGGCTGATTCAATAGTTCTGACGCAGTAAAAAAATAATTTTTTTAATTTTTGACATCAATAAAAATTTGTCTTGAGAATCGTCCATGAAGTGAGCAAAATACACTTTTAGTTATCCGATTCTGAAAACCTTCTTTAAATTTTTGAAAGATCTTGCTGACTTTTATCAAATTCAAGCTTCCAAGTTGACCGTAATCTTCATGGCAAAAAACATTTTTTTAAAACTTTTTGACAACAATAAAAATTTTTTTTGAAAATCGCTCAATAATTGGGCAGAACACTCTTTGACTCAACAGAAGCAGGTTCTGAAAACCTTCTTGAAACTTTTGAAAGATCTTGCAAAAAATTCAAGCTTCCAGGTTGACCATAACCTCTATAGCAAAAAATTTTTTTTAGGTTTCAAAATAGCAGCGCGGTGGGCTCTTTTGAAGGTGATCTTTATGCCTGAATTAGGAAAACATCCATCAGAACCCTTCGTAATCTTCATTGTGAGCTGAACCTTTGGTCCCTTTTTTTTTCCTCATTTGTTTTCCCTTGCAAGATAACGAGGGAGGCGAAACAAATGGCATAAGGAACACCGGAGGCCTTTTATCGCTTTGTGTTGCCCTGACAACTCGACAACTTCCAATACCCAGCCACGTCTCGGTGTCTCTTTCTTCCGAAATGCCACCACTATTCTCAATTCTGCCCCCCGCACCTATTTTTTTCAGGCTTCATTAGGCACCCTTTTTTCTCCTTTTCCGTTGTTTTTCGAAGATATGGACGTCTAGAGATTGAAAAATAGTGTATAGTTTTTCTTCCAACTTTTTAAAGACCGTCTGGAATTTTTTTAACTTTTTGATGTGAAACTCAAAAGAAATATTCTCAAGAGCTCAAAATTCATTTCAAACCGGTCTTTCGTCGCCAGGAAGCCCTTCTAGGAGAAGCTTAAAAAGGTTTAAGAACAAAGAATGCAAAATTATTTCTCACTGGCAAAAATCATTTATTGAGAAATTTTTTTAATAGGGTAAAAAGCTAAACCCTTTTTTTAAAAATTTTTTTCTAAATAAAAAGAATTTAACCTCTATAAGTAGTAGCATTTCTCGAAGCTTCCAATGATAATATTTTTCCTGATTTTTTTCTTGAAGACTTCAGTATCGAAATCGGAACTCGTATCTTTACATCATTGATAATTTCAACATGAAAAAACACTTCATCAAAAAAATTCCAGTTATATGCCTTTTTATACAGAAAAAAAGCTTTTTTTTTCAAATTTTCCCATAATATTGGAATCCCACACGGCGTTCTCAAACGGGGTGGGGAGACGTCAAAAAAATTTTGGAATTTGAAATCTCAAGTACGCAGCCAAAGGCGATCGAACAAACAAGTTATCAACGTTGAATACTCAGTGTAGTTATGACGTCATTTTGTCCGGAGCGCGCACTTACTTTTTTTTGTAAATTCAGAAACTTTGACGCTTCGCCCACCTTCCCTTACCCCATTAGGATTGCCGTTCCCAAGACCTTAGATGTAACATAAAACGATTATAAATCTTACAACAGTTGAAAGCCTTTTGTCATTAATTTTTTTGCGACGTGCATTTTAGCCGGAACTAAAATATGAAAAAAATGTGGAATAATTAGTTCAAATCTCATTTAACTGGTCATATTTCTTCAAAAGCACTTTTCAGAAAATTACGTCTCGAAATGGAACATCACGATCAAATGGAGCATCGCGAAAGCGACAGCGGCTACTACTTAACGCAAGACGATGGCGTCTGGATGACCGCCTCGAGTTTCACCATCTTCACAATGACCGCAGGTGAGACGCAGAGGAGGGCGTATGGCGGCAAACGGTGGCCAGCGTTCCCGTCGGTCCCGTGGTGTAGCGGTTAGCACTCAGGACTCTGAATCCTGCGACGGGAGTTCAAATCTCCCCGGGACCTTTCTTCTTTTTGCCATTTTTCTCTTCGATCTTCCTGCTTCTTCTCGCGTTTCTCATTGATTTCTTGCAAAAATAAATGCTTTGATTTTAGTTTATTGGTCCCGTGGCGTAGCGGTTAGCACTCAGGACTCTGAATCCTGCGACGGGAGTTCAAATCTCCCCGGGACCTTTTTCCTTTTTGCCATTTTTCTCTTCGATCTTCCTGCTTCTTCTCGCGTTTCTCATTGATTTCTTGCAAAAATAAATGCTTTGATTTTAGTTTATTGGTCCCGTGGCGTAGCGGTTAGCACTCAGGACTCTGAATCCTGCGACGGGAGTTCAAATCTCCCCGGGACCTTTCTTCTTTTTGCCATTTTTCTCTTCGATCTTCCTGCTTCTTCTCGCGTTTCTCATTGATTTCTTGCAAAAATAAATGCTTTGATTTTAGTTTATTGGTCCCGTGGTGTAGCGGTTAGCACTCAGGACTCTGAATCCTGCGACGGGAGTTCAAATCTCCCAGGACCTTTCTTCTTTTTTTGCCATTTTTCTCTTCGATCTTCCTGCTTCTTCTCGCGTTTCTCATTGATTTCTTGCAAAAAAATAAATGCTTTGATTTTTAGTTTATTGGTCCCGTGGTGTAGCGGTTAGCACTCAGGACTCTGAATCCTGCGACGGGAGTTCAAATCTCCCCAGGACCTTTTTTTCCTTTTTTTGCCATTTTTTTCTCTTCGATCTTCCTGCTTCTTCTCGCGTTTCTCATTGATTTCTTGCAAAAAAATAAATGCTTTGATTTTTAGTTTATTGGTCCCGTGGTGTAGCGGTTAGCACTCAGGACTCTGAATCCTGCGACGGGAGTTCAAATCTCCCCAGGGACCTTTTCTTCCTTTTTGCCATTTTTTTCTCTTCGATCTTCCTGCTTCTTCTCGCGTTTCTCATTGATTTCTTGCAAAAAAATAAATGCTTTGATTTTTAGTTTATTGGTCCCGTGGCGTAGCGGTTAGCACTCAGGACTCTGAATCCTGCGACGGGAGTTCAAATCTCCCCGGGACCTTTTTCCTTTTTGCCATTTTTCTCTTCGATCTTCCTGCTTCTTCTCGCGTTTCTCATTGATTTCTTGCAAAAATAAATGCTTTGATTTTAGTTTATTGGTCCCGTGGCGTAGCGGTTAGCACTCAGGACTCTGAATCCTGCGACGGGAGTTCAAATCTCCCCGGGACCTTTTTCCTTTTTGCCATTTTCTTCCTTGACTTTCCTGTTTCCTTCTGCACCTCCCATTTATTCATTGCAAGAATCAGAAGTTTAGGCTTCGGGCTGTTGGAATCTGGACGAGTTTCATCGAAAGATGAGGTCAATGTGATGGTCAAGAACGTCATCGATGTCATTTTTTTGGTGGTGAATTCCATAAAATGAAGAAAAAAAGTATATATTTTTTTGTTTTTTTATAGGATTGGCATATTGGATGTTTGGCTATGGGCTGACATTCGGTGTTGGAGAATCCGGGAACCCTTATATAGGCCTTGGTGATTTTTTCTTCGATCCAGAAAGGGATGATGATATTACGTTAGATTCGGTGAGGATTTGACTTTTAAAAAAAATTTAATCATTTAGGGCTTAACTTTTTCCTTGTTGAATCGATGTATTGGATTCTTGATCTCTTTTTTTTTTGAATAATAAAATCTTCTCATTTACCGTTCTTTGGAACTCCAAAGGGGTTCCTATAGGGGCAACCTTAGGGGCTCTTAGAGGGTCCCTTTAACGACCCCTATAGGGTCCACTAAAGCTTGCAAATGTGATCCCTCTTTAGAGGACATGCTGGTCGATACCTTTCAAGAAAAACAACCGTTTTTTGAATAAAATTGAAAGACCCTATAGGGACCACTTAAGCTTTAGGGGGCTGGACCTCTTTAGGGACCACCTTGATTTTACCCCTATAGGGACCACTTTTCCTAAACACCTTCTGGAACCAAGTGGAAGCCTATCTTTCCCTTTTATCTAGAAAATAACAAAAATTGATTTACAGCGAGGCATTTCCTACACTTTATTCATCTTCCAAATGAGTTTTGCCACAACAACTTCTACTATTGTTTCAGGTTTTAAAGGTAAATGTGTACCGAAAAGATTCTCTTTTTTTCAGCTGGGATGGCGGAACGGATTTATTTGAAATCCCACTGCTTTGTCTCGTTTTTTATCACCCTCGTTCACTCCATCGCCGGCCATTGGGTGAATTTTATTGAATTAAAAAGAAAAGGCGAAAAGTTAAAGGCATAGGGGCAGCACAGTGTTCCAAAAGAGACGGCGGAAAGCGAAAAAAAAGGTCGTCGCAATGGGGCGAAAACGCGAGTTTTTTCTAACGCAACGCGGTGCGGCGCGTGTCACCCCCACAAAATTTCATTCACTTTTAATACGGTTGTTTCTCTTTTTCTTGCATATTTTACCATTCTTTCGTATTTTTTCACATTGTATGTGTTCTCAAAACGTGTTTATCGCGTTTTCCAGAGGTTTGAAGTGATTTTCGATTGTTCTCGTCACAGAAATTCGCATTAAAATGACATTTTTTTGATGACAACTTATTTCGCATAAGATATTTCGTTTGTTTTTTTGTTTAAGAATTTTCAAATGGACTTTCTTAAGAGAAACGCTGTGAGATTTTTTTCTCAAAAATTTTTTTCGAGGCAGTATTCGACGAAATTATTCCTGAAAATGTCATTTTTGGGTGACAACTTTATTCGTACAAGATAATATGTATTTGTTTTTTTGTTTTAAAACGTTCAAATGGTATTTCTTGAGAGAAGTGCTTTGAGCTTTTTCTCAATTTTTCCCTTTGGAAGTTCGATTTGACGAGTTTTCCTAAAAAACGACATTTTGGGAGATATTGTGTTTTGCAAAAACTTTTTCGTCTCTTTCTTCATTTAAATTTGTTCTTTACAATTTATTACACATCAAAAATTTTTGAAAACTTGCGAGAACCTAGGAAAAACATCATTTAATGGTCTTTTTCCAACCACTAAATCCACAAAACTTGACTCTCATTCCCGCGCCCCTATTGCAATAAACCGTGCCGCTGTTGCAGTCAGCCACGCCTACTGACCACAGCTGCCGCTCGTTTGGGAACACTGTGGGCAGTAAAAAACGGGGTTCCAGGTGAAAGCAGTATCTTGTATAGTTTTTCATTACGAATCGAATGGAGTACTCAAAAAAAATTACAGATGTGACTAATAATTTTGAAGAAAAACGCGATTTCACTTTCCCGCCTTTAAATTTGAAAAAAGCTTTGGATCGGTATGCAGACAAATGTTTACAGTAGCCGTGAACGCGATGTTGCGGACGTCTCATTAGACTCGCATTTTGTGAGAAATAACCGGATATCTGCTTCAAATTAAGGACTTCTTTTCTGAAAAAACATTGAGTCAAACAAAAAACAGACACCGATAATAAAGGTAGGGGGCGCAAAGCCCCGCCCCCACGCCACCAAAATGACGATTTTTTTGTTGCAAAAACGGTTTTGAGGCGTTTATACTAGCTAAAGTCCCACTTTAAAAATAAACTGTTTTTGTTAAACTATGTAATCGACAACGCTCTACAAGACTGAATATTTTTTAAAACTATTTATTTTTTTCAAAAAAATAAGCGAAAAAAAGTAAGATTTAACACGAAAAAAACTGACAAGTTTCACAAAATCGTCGCGTTTCAGAAAACCAAGTGAGGAACGCGTCTAAATTTTTTTCAGTATGTTATACATTAACACTTTCTTTATTTTTTTGAGTGAAAATGAAAAAAATCTACCGACGCGAAAAAAATATTAAAGCTTGTAAAGTGACACCAAACTTTGAAGCTGAAATGCGAAAAAAAATTTCAGCGACAAGGTATACTTTTTTTATTTGATTTTTAAACTAACAGTGTGTCCAAAAAAATAAAAAAATTCAAAAATGAAAACAATTATTGGGACAGCGAATCAAATTATATTTGAGTTTTACCAAAACCTCCTTTTTTTCGCCTGCCTCGTTGACGCATGAGAGAATAGGATCGCGTCTATATTTTTTTGATTATGTTATTAAGCGTTCAAAAACTCTATCAATGAAAAAAAATTAAGAAAAAAATCGATCGACGCGAAAAAAATAACGGCTTTGAAAAACCTCGAAAAAAATGGCAATTTTTTTGAAATTTCGGAAGATTTCGTGCAAGTGTCCGTAGCAGTGTTTGCGTCAAACACACCGATGCGCCCCTTTTAAATGTCGCAGGAGCCGTTTTTTTCGGAGTCAAATTGCACTTTTTTTCCTGTTTTATTTCGAAATAACATTATTTTTTTCATTTTTTTCTTTTTTTCCAAACCAAATGATAATAATTTTTTTCTGAGTAGAAAAAAAGAAAAAAAATAAGCTGAAAAAAATCCCTTTGACCTTTTTTTGCTAGGTAGTTTTTTTGATATTTTATCAAAAAAATTCTTATGAGGATTGTACAAAAGATTCATACCAAAACATGAAGCTCAGTTCGGATAACCTCTCAGAACAGAAAACCGATTTAAAAACGGTCCAGAAACGCGTAAAAACATTTAAAAAGAAAGCGTGCGGCAGTGGGTAAACCGTGAGATTTCGCCTCCAGTTGAACGCCGAGCGCGCTAGTTTTTTGGCCATAACTTTTTTCTTAGTGGAGCTTTTTTCAAAACTAAACGGATTATGAAAATGGACAGTCTCCTCTAGCGAACAATGTGAAAAACATATTTTTTGAATCGTTCTGAAGAAATGGCTTGCGGTCCCTAAATAAAGGAAACACAAAATATCGCAATCCCAATCGAAACCTGTGTAAAATCATCATTTTTCACCAGAAATGTTTTTTTGCGATCAAAGTTTGCAAATTATTCATGAATAGAAAGCTTTTGTGACGAAAAGAACTTTGGTGACAACAGAAAAAATTGAAAATTGAAAGAAACGAAGAAAAAAGCGAAAATCCGAAAAATGGCAAAGCCTGTTGTCCATAGAGCAACTTTACTGCAAAGCGCCCTTTTCGCGGGAACTCAAGCTTTCTCTCTCCGACTTTAAATTATTTTTTCTCCAAAACTAGGAAGTTTGGTACATTTCCAAGTTCGCCGTTCGATTCGCAATGAAAATCTTTACAAAGTGCTGCTTTGAACTGAAACACGGTTTTTTACTGCCCCTATGCCTTTAATCAAGTCCTTATGAAATATTTGCGGATTCTGCGTCATTATTTCTCATACTTTCAGGTGTGGCACTCGCGAGGGATCTTCCGACAAATGGGCGTAATCGACTCGGCCGGCTGCTCTGCCGTTCATCTTGTCGGAGGCGTTTCTGGCCTCGTCGCCACGATCTATTTGAGGCCAAGAAGGGGAAGATTCACCAAGAAAGAGTCGAAAACCGTCAGCGACCCGACCAAAGCCATTTTGGGTAGAAGTCTCGAAATTCCCAAAAATCCTTCATTTTCAAGGCTTTTTGATGATCTGGTGGGGCTGGTTGGCCTTCAACACCTCGTCGAATTATGCGGTCACCAATCGGCAATGGACCGAAGGGATACGGTAGGGGAAAACTGTGTAATTTGGCGTGGGAATGAGGCGTTTTTCTAGTTCAGCGGTCGGCACGATCATGGCGTCGGCTGGAGGAGGTGGGCTTAGGAATGTTAAAATTTACGTAAATTTAAAAATTAAGAACTCCAGAGTGGTCCCTATAGGGGCAACCTTAGATTTTACCAACTCCTATAAGGGCCCCTTTGATTTTACCCCTAAAGGGAGCACTTTTTCGGTCCCTAAAAGGGGTCATTTCTCCTAACCCCTATAGGGATCATTCTATTTCGTATATTGTATTATTAACCATCTAGGAACTCCAGAGTGGTCCCTATAATGGCAGCCTTAGGGGCCCTTGGGTGGAGTCCTTTAGGGATCATTTTACCCACTCCTATAGGGGCCACCTTGATTTTACCCCTAAAGGGACCACTTTTTCGGTCCCCATAAGGATCATTCTCCTTCTAACGGTTTTGTATATTGTATTATCCCATTTAGGAACTCCAGAGTGGTCCCTATAGGGACCCTTGAATGGTGCCATCTAGGGGCCACTTTACTAACCCCTATAGGGTTCACTAAAGCTTGCAAAATTGGCCCCTATAGGGGTTTTAGTTTGTGGCCTCTATAGGGGACATGCTAGTCGATAATTTTTATGAACCCTATGCGAAAAACTAAACAAATAACCCTTTTTGAATAAGTTCGAACAATCCCCAAAGGGGCCACTTAAGTTCAGACCCTTAACCCGTATCGGGACCATTTGACCCCTATAGGAATCACTTACGAGTCTTTTTGTTCGTCGAACCCCTATAGGGACCACTCCGAAACTGCAAAGCGTTACAGGTGTGGTTACGGTGATCGTTTCCAAAGTGACCACGAAAAAGATCGAAATGGACATGTTGATTGATGGTCTCCTTGCTTCTCTTGTTTCCAGTGCTGGTGAGGATTTTTTAAAAGTATTTTTCACTTTTCTTTCTCTTCTCATTTTGGAAACCATATCTTTTCTCGATATGAAACATAATTTTATTATCATTTTCTTCAAAATATTATTTATTGAAGTAGTTATGAACAAGGTACCTAGTTAGGCAAAGTCGGAAAGGGTGGAAAAAGGTACCTTTTTGCAGCCTTTTTGCGCCTTTTTTTCAGTATTTATGCACCATTTTTGCTGCCTCTCTCTTTCTGCACCATTTCTAGAGCCTTTAAAATTCCAGAAAAGAAATGGTAGGCTTGATAAAGGGGCCCTTTTGCTGCCTTTCTGCGGCCTTTTTTTTTGAAATCAGTGAAGAAAACTACGTCTAATGAAGGTGGTTCCATTGGGAAACCTCACTTTTCTGAAGGAATTTGTTTTTTTTTAACCCAATCTTATTTCCGACCCACTTCTACCTATAGCTGATTCACGGCTGGCTTGAGCCATTGAAAAAGGGTCCTGACACGATAATGCACGAGATAGCGCCTGGCTGGTGGAGTGCGCAGACAGGACACGCCCCCTCCCAAGCTGACCGTGAATCAGCTATAAGAAAAAAGATTTTTCAGGCGGCTGTCTGTACTACAATCCCTGGCAAGCGACCGTAGTCGGAGCCATCGGATCGAGTCTGGCCTTGGCCGCCTATCCGCTCACGGAATGGCTCAAAATCGACGATCCCGTTGGCGTCGTGCCAGTCCATGTCGTCGGGTCCATCTGGGGCATGATCAGTCCGGCCATTTTCCTCAGTCGCGAGGGAGGAATCGAGTCCTACATTGAGCCGGATGAGAGCGCGGTTAGTGAGAGGTGGAATGCGAAAAAAATATTTCAATCCAAGTTTCACCTTTTTTCTATAGTCGATGTGCCACAAGTTGAAATTTCATGGAACGACACTCCGCTGTTTCGATTTGTGCGGTAGCGCGCATCTTGCGAATTTGCCAACCTCGGCTACGCTAATTTTTTTGGTTTTAATTCTAATTTTGATCGTTTTTTTCAATTGTTTTTATTTCTTTTTAAATGTATTATTATAGTTGAAAAAGATTGCGTTGTACAAATGTAAACGAAAGAACACGGTAAATTTCATGATCTTCCTCGAAAAGAGCGATAAAAAAAGTGTGTTTTTGTTGAAGCCATGTTTTAATGTTTTCATCGTTTTTTTCTCTGTTTGTTGCAGCGGTTAATAGATTTTTTCAGAAAGTGAGTGGCTTATAAAATAAATATTAAAATCAAAAAAATTAGCGTGGCCGAGGTTGGCAAATTCGCAAAAAGCGCGCTACCGCATAAATCGAAACAGCGGAGTGTCGTTCCATGAAGTTTCAACTTGTGGCACATCGACTATATAAGGGCGAAAATCGCTAAGAGACCTGTTTTTTTACAGTTTTTAGTGCTTGAGTTTAAAAGAAAAAACAAAGAATACGAGGAAGTCTATAAACTTCAGAGACACGTAAACCCTCAGAAAAAAAAAATCAGAAATTGGCTAGATTTATATCGGCCACGAGTAGACTTTTGCAGACCCATAGCAAATTAAAAAATGAGAATTTTTTATTTTTTGTTTATCGAGTACAGAATCGCATAATTGACGGTTCAGGGAAAGCTGCGATTCTAGAAAAAGTTAAATTTCGAAAAGCTTCCAAAAAGCTTCAGAAAGGCTTGAACTTTACTGAAAGTTGACTTGATTTTTGTTGTCAAATCAAATTTTCTTCGTCTCTCTTCACAAATCCCCTATGAGACAGCTGGATGTCAAACACATATTTTCAGCCCAAAAACCTGAACGGACTATTTTACGGCGGAGGTCTGGAACTGATGTACCTCCAGCTATTGGCCGTCGGCGTTATTTCCATCTACAGCTCTGTCTGCTCCTTTCTGATCCTTTTCGTAAGAAAACTTCTCCAAAATTCCATTCTCTCTTTTTTTCCAGTTGCTCCAACATTCTCCCATCGGCTTGAGGATTTCCAAGTACGACGAGGAACTCGGCGCCGACTTGAGGGAACATGGCCTCGCCGGACAGAATATCATGACGTACACCGTGGAGAAGAAGCTCAGCGCTGAGTGAGTTACTCGATTTTTGAAATCTTTACCGAAAAATCGGAAAGAGAGATATGGAAAAGGATAGAAACTTTTTAAGAAAATTTCTTTTTTGAGGACTCATTTTTGAAGAATAACGACGAAAAATCATATCTACTCTTCGAAAAACTGGCAAAAAGGACCAGAAAATTATCCTAGACCTATGTGTGGCTGAAAATTGAGATTTCGTACTACGTGGATTATTTACGAGATAAATGAGGGATTTACGGTTCAACGAGAAAAAAAATCCTCAAAAAATAACCTAGAAAATGAAATGGAAGTTCTTTCTGGTTGATTTTCAAAAAATTAATTTATAAAAATTCTGAGGATGGCTCAAATAATCGGAGTCTTTTGTGCTCCATGCCTAATTAGATAAAAATATATTTTATTCGGAAACGGACGTGTCGGGGCATTTAGTGACCACTCTAGTAGCGTGAGTACTCTTAAGTGACACCTAGATTTGCTCAGAAACCCCCAAGCTACGTCCGGGCCCCGTTTCAAGTTCTCGGATCTTGGTAACGAAAACCAGACGTGCTCCGGACGTTTCTGAGCAATTTTAGGGATCACTTAAGAGGGGTGACGCTACTAAAGTGGTCACTAGAAACGACACGTCCGATTCGCGTAACCGTCCGAGTTTAACCTCGAATCCTAGTTTTTAGTTAATTTCTTCAAAAGTTTTTTTTAAATTCATCGTAAACGCCCATTTTTTTACATTCTTCTCATTGGCCTTTGTTTCTTCTTTTCCTAAATTTTTATGGAAGTTGTCATTTTTCCAGGATGATCTCCTCAGTGATGATGTTGATCGTGAGATGGAGAATCAAGGCAAGAATGCGAGCCGTCCGAAGGAAGCAAATCAGCGACGTTTCGACCCTTCAAGAAGACATTCAAAGCAACGAATCGGGCGTTCATCGCAGAAACACCGCCACGTCTTCTGTTTAAAAGAAGAAAACTTGTAAATCGTGTGAATAATTTCAGCTTCTCAAGACTTCTGAAGTCGTTTCGAATTTTTTTTGAATCAGCTTGAAAGCGTCCGACGCTATGTGACTTACACTTTTTTAAAGCTCCAGCGAACTTTTTTTTTAAAGATTTTATCAGTAGAACTGGTCTGAACATATCACGATTATCCAATTGTTCATGTAACTGTGTATAGTTCTAATCTGTGATCCTGAAATGTGATTTTGAACGAATCGATGTGATAAATCTTTGCATATTTATTGATTTTTTCGACTCATTGATGAATCAGGAGAAGGTATTTTATGTCATTTTTGTCGTTAACGTCATATGAATTGTTTCATTTTTTGAAATTTCAGACGTCAGACTCATCAAGTTTTTCGAATTTTTGTTTTTTTCTCTATTTATAGTCTGTTTTCAACAACTTGAAATTTCGCCGAACAACATTCCGCTGTTCCGCTGCGTGCGTTCGCGAAGCGTCTTTCGAATCTAGGTCACGCTTTCAAATGATTTTTATTGCTGTGGGAGCACATGAAAGTAAAACCAAGGGTCGCAAAGGCGCGCAGCGGCACAGCGGAATGTCGTTGGGTGAAATTCCAAGTCGTGGTACACAGGCTATATAAAATTTATTCAGAAGCAAGGATTCACAGCTTATAAAGAAATTTGTATTCCTTTCAGGAAAATTTAACACTGGATTTTATACCGACTACTTTATCATTCTCTTCAAGAAGGTTTTCAAGAATTCACAATCTTCAGACAATAATTCTCGACGACAAAATTGGTCCCAGGCCTCGTTGGAAAATCGTCAGCGATGACGAAAGTCCGCAAAGCTTCGCCGTAAAGATGGTCGGTGATCACGGTCACATAGGCGATCCCTTCGGCGGCGACGAAAAAATCGAGCGTCTGCCCAGGGGCCAAACGCGTCAAGCCTCCCAGAATGGAGAACAGAGCGCGGTCTTCTGCAATTTTTCAGATTCTTTTCTCTGATAACATGAACATTTGGAAATGTCGGCTCCTGGCCTTATTTGGTGGAATAAACCTGTTTTTTTTCCAGAAGTAAAGGATTTTTTTTAAAGCTGATATGAAGTTCTTAAAAATGGCCAATATCCGCTAAAAACCCTAGAGTGGTCCCTATAAGGGCTACCTGAAAGATTGTTGGAGGGATCCCTCCAGGGACCACTTTACCAGCCCCTAAAGGGGCCACTGAACCTTGCAAAAATAATCCCTATAGGGATCTTAGTTAGTGGCCCTTATAGGGGACTTGCTAATCGATAATTTTTATGTACTGTAGGCAAAGAAGCATTTCCATGCGAAAAATTAAATAAACAAGCGTTTTTAAATGAAGTTCAAAGACCCCTATAGGGACCACTTAAGCTTTAGTGGCTAAGGGGTCAGACCATAAACCCCTATAGGGACCCCCTTGACCTCTATAAGGAATTATCAAACTTCGAAGAAAAAGGGTTACAGGCCGCGTTATAACTCGAAACAAGACCATTGGCAAGAAATTTTTTTCTTTTTGTGGAACTTTTTAAAGTAAATTCTAGCTAAGTTTCATCAAAACTTCGACAGGAGATTAAAGAAGTTTTCTTTTTTTTTGAAGAAGAAGAAGAAATTTTGACTATTTTCGACCAAACGAATAATGTTTCAAAGCCACGTGTTTTTGTCTAAATTCCTTTTTTGGAGCTCTTCTAAATCAAAAAAAAAAGCCAACCTCTGATATATCCTTCCGAGGTGAGCCGCTTATTCACGTAGGATCGTATCATTGTCCAGACGCCTTCTGAAATTATAGAAAAGTTATTTCAAAGTGTAGAAATTTCATCTCTAATAATCAATTTTTCGTTCCAATTCTCCTAGTATAGTCAATGTGCCACGACTTGAAATTTCATGGAACGAAACTCCGCTGGGTGGCCTTGTGGCCGTGAAAGCGCCTCGCCTTTGCGAATTTCGGTCGCGCTTTCCATTTTTTCTTCCATTTGAAATTTTGACTATTTTTCTGTGCAAAAGCAATAATAGTTCCGTTTTTTGGCCATAAAAACAATTAAAACATTGTCAAAAAAGTGAAAATATCAAAAAAAGAAAAAATGGAAAGCGCGACCGAAATTCGCAAAGGCAAGGCGCTTCGCGACAGCGCGCACTAGTACCACAAGAACATCGGAGTGTCGTTCCATGAAATTTCAAGTCGTGGCACATCGACTATAACCTTATTGCAGTTCGAAATGTTCAAAAAATATTTTCAAAAGTCGAAAAAAATCTAAAAAAAGAGGAAAAATGGTTTACTAGCGGCCGAGACCAACGCACGTCGTTCGCTGAGTTGCTGGACGACGCTCCGATTTTCCATCAGACAGGGTTCGGAACTGATAGCGGCGTAGATGGACACCTTGACGTTGTTCGTCAGTTTCATCGAGCAATATATCTTGGAAGGTGGCACGGCGACGTCCATGGCGACATTATGAGAAGCTTCGAATACCTCTTGACCTCTTTTTTTGGGTATCGGTTTCAGCTCTTTTTTTGAAAAACGTCGCTTTTCGCGGATTATTTGAACAATGAACAGCAGGAATAACACCATTGGGGCGTTGTAATTTTTAAGTTTTTGATGAGTTTTCGGTGGCCACGGCTTCTCGTTAGTGGAAGAAAATGCGAAACGAAAAACACGGTTCGCCGTTCCCGCGTGACGTCTTGGGATCGGCAGAGATTCCAGCTCTAAAAGCGTAAATAACAGGGCTTATTAAAGGCGCAGGCCACCCTATTGACAGAGGTTTTTGAGACGAATCTGAATTTCTAGACAAAAACGGATTTTTCTGCGCGAAAGCGTCGCAGTGCATGCACAAGACACACGACACTTCACGGAAAAAAACTGCACGCCGTGTGGCGCAACTGGTTGTGTTTCTGTCTACCGTCCAAAGGGCCACAAGTTCGGTCCCAGTCGCAAAAAAGCCTTTGAGAGAAGTTAGAAAACCACGGCTATATAAAGCGATACAAAGGCCTAAAAATCTTTAAAAAATTTTCGCTCAACTTGAGACTCGATGGGCGCATTTGGAATGGCTGTTGAGTTGAGTTGCACCCGACCAGAAACGACTTGGCTCGCGACGCTTCGAGCCATTCGAAGTGCGACCACGGCCTTGAAAAGGAATTTTTATGAATTTTGGATAATACTATAATTTTCTTGAACCTCTTCGTTTTCTAAAGAAAATGTTAATAATAAATTATCCTGGTTGTTTTTTGTTCTTCAAAATATTCATTACTTTGTCCTTTGTAATCTCTTAAGGAACCACTTATCGTTGAAATAAACTCAAATGAAGAAAAAAAGAAACGAAAAAACAAAAATGAGCGTCCGAGAAGGCTTTATCTGATCGAATCTCCGTTATTTCACAACTAATCCTCAATACTAACCGCCAGCTCTCAACTAACCCCTTGCCATGTCGTCGGTATGTTACAGGATCCTACAGTAACCCAGGGTCAAGATACAGTAACCTTATCATGGCGCTTAAGTAGAGATTGAATAAATTGTACACGGAAAGCCTTGAAATCGATAATTTAATTCTTTGTGTCTTTCCGTATAAGGCTAGTCTACAGTAATCCAGCTCCGAGCTACAGTAACCTTTGAGAACTTGGAAGGAGATACTGTTTATCTTTAGAATTTCCCTAGAAGATCTACAGTAACCTAAACTAGTCAGAAATGCTATACAGTAACCTACAGTAGTCACATATGCTCTATAGCAATCTGAAGTAGTCAAATATGCTCTACAGTAACCTGCGGTACTCAAATAAACTCTACAGTAACCTACACTGTCGAAATAATACAATAATCTCTTCGGCATCACATTTTTAATCAGCTAAAGAAGGAAAAGCGTAATGAAAACTGAAGAGCTCGATTCAACCGTGTATACAGTGCCCCAACTCCGATCTCTAGAATATATACTGTAGTATCACCATACCGTAATCATTCAGGGATCATCCTCCTACACTGGAAGCTCGCGCTCCTCAGCTAGCTCTCGTGTTGTTTCCATTGACATTGTCATCTCTTCTCCTGAGGTACCGTATGACAAAATAACTACAGTAACCTATCGTAAGCTAATTTTCAGGAGGACGAGCCGAGAAGACCCCGTCGTGGCCGTTCTTCATCGGTTTTGACTTTTTTTAATTTTTAAAGTTTTAATAAATAATAAATAAAACTTACAGCGCACCAGCTATGCATCAACGGAATCGCCCAGAACCCGATCTACCTCGGTAATTTTTCATAATAATTTTTTGTAAATATTTTTTTCTCTAGGCTACGTCTCAACGCAGCTCGGTAAGGCAGAACATGGGTGCGAAACAGCGAGAGGAGCGCCGGTGATCTCGTGGTGTAGTGGTTATCACATCTGTCTAACACACAGAAGGCCGGCGGTTCGAGCCCGCCCGAGATCAAACTTCTTTTGCCATTTTTCCTTTAAAGATTTTTCGGTAGCTTTCAGCAAGACGCTTGTAAATGACGTCATTTTTTTTTTGTTCAAATGACGTATATAAAATTTTTGATAGGTATAATGGAAAGTTGAATGAAAGAGTGAAAAAAAAATTTTGATTAGATTGGTTTTTTGTTTCAGAGCCGCAGATCTAGGAGTTCTTCGGCTTCTGGAAGCAGCTCTAGACGGTCGATCTCAACCAGAAGATCATCAAGCCGTTCAACGAGGGTTTGAAAGAATAAAAAAATCGAATTTTTTTAAATTTTCATTTTAGCGGACTCCCAGGTCGGCCTCTTCTCGCCGTTCTCGTCTTTCTAGCCGGTCCACCTCGGTAATTTTTTTTTTTCTAATTGATTGCAGTTATCACTATTTCCTTAACTCTTGATTCAATTACATGAAAGAGTGAGTTGGAAAAAAAATTAAGTGAATTTTGACGAAATTTTAACTTCTTCTTAACTGTTTTGTTTTAATTTTCTTAGCCCCTCAAAATTTATTCTTTCAGAACAGCCGTCGTCGCCTCGGCCGCTCCAGAACTCCAAGATCGACAAGGACTTCTGCTTCCAGCCGATCGCCAGCCTTGGTGAGAAAGCAAGATGGACCATTTCTGGAATAATTTCCATACAAAGACTATAAAAACGAGCAGAATGAAAGAAAATACATATCGATATATATATATATATATATTAGAGTTCTCAAAAGTAAATGTTTGAACGAACGTTCAACCAAACATTTCCCGAACGTTTGATGAATTCGACCAATTAGTTAAATTTCACATGAACCGTTTGTTAAAAAAACTTCATTTTGGTTAAATTTCATAACTGAGCATTTAAAAAAATGAACAATTACTTATTTTTTTCGAAAAAAATTTGGTTAAAAAAATGAACATTTAAATTTCATTTTTGAAGTTTTTTTGGTCAAAAAAATAAACATTTAAAATTCATTTTAGAAATTTTTGGTCAAAAAAAGTGAACATTTAAAAATTCATTTTGGAAATTTTTGGTCAAAAAAAGTGAACATTTAAATTTCACTTTTTGAAAAATTTTTGGTCAGAAAAAGTAAACATTTGAAGTTCACTTTGAAAATAAATTTTTGGTCAAAAAAATGAACATTTAAAATTCATTTTTAAAAATTTTGGTCAAAATAGTGACCAATCAAATTTAACTTTGAAAATTTTTGTTTAAAAAAAGGTAAACATTTATTCATTAATTAATTCATTACTATTACGGCACTTGGCAGTATCTGTGCCAGAGTCAATTCTATCTCAGTCTCTCCAAATGAAATCTTGAATCGATTACTTCGAAATTCAAACTAATTTCTGGTTATAAATTAATAAATCTGTTGGAAAACAGTGATCTGGATGGTCAAGGGCAAAGCTAAAAGCCGGTTAAGGCCGAGAAAAATTATATAGAACCGGTCAAAAAAATGAGCAGAACGAAAGAAAGGTGCTATCTGGATTAATTGAATGAGGAAAAAGAAAAAAAGTATTGATTTGGATTTTTGGTTCGGAAAAGTCCAGGTTCGGAAAAATTATCGGCCAAAAAAATGAACATTTAATTTTTCACAGTTGAAAAAAAATTTTTTTCTAAGAAAAAAAGTAAACATTTAAAAATTCGTTTTGAAAATTTTTGGTCAAAAAAATGAACATTTAAAATTTCTCTCTTGAAAATTTTTGGTCAAAAAAAGTAAACATTTAAAATTCATTTTGAAAAATTTTGTTCAAAAAAATGAACATTTAAAAGTTCATTTTGAAAATTTTTGGTCAAAAAAAGTAAACATTTAAAGTTTCATTTTTGAAATTTTGGTCAAAAAAAGTAAACATTTACTTTTCACTTTGAAAAAAATTTGGTCATTAGGACGAACATTTATTTACTAGTCAGAATATGATTGTTTAGAAAATGACCATTTATTTTTTTCAGTCATTATTTGAAAAAGTCACAAAATGAAAAGAATGAAAGTGATCAATTTTTGGTTGATCTTTCAAAAAAACGACATTCGTTTGAAATGTCAAAAAGAAAAATTTTTTTCGTTTTTTTGAAAAAAATTTCATTTTTTTCAATTGGTCATTTTGAGAACTCTAATATATATATCTTGAAAAAAGAAATAAAAAGAAAAAATGATTTTTGAGTTAAGCGCGCTCCATGGATAACAGGGCCAATTTTTTTTTCATTTTTCTCTTTTTTTTCTGTTGGTTTTAGTCATCCTAATAGAAACAGAAAGGTCCTCTGTTAGATTAGAATGATTGAAAAGTTGCAACTGGAAAAAAAAAAAAAAGCCTCTATTTTTTTACTTGTTTTCTTAGTTCAGAATTTCGAAAGAGAAAAAATTCACTTTTATTGGTTGTTTGGAAGGTTATATCAGTGTCTATAAGATTCCTTTTCATAAGTTTTACGAAAAAAGGGAAAATAACTCTAAACAATGCAAGATTTTTAGTTTCTGGCTTAAATTCTTTGTTTTTTTTCAATCCGCTCTGGTTCGTATCTCACATTTTCATCATTTTTTTGAGTTGAATTTTTTTTTTCTCAATTTCTTGTTTTTCAGAATGGCCGCCGTCGTCCGAGCCGCTCCAGAACTCCAGGATCAGCCAGAACTTCGACTTACAGTCGATCTCCAGCTCCGGTACAAAAATTTGATGATTTTTCCTTTAACTTAAAAATTTCCCAGTCCTCTTCCGGCTCCAGTCTTTACACTTCTGCTTCGGTATTTTTTTCAAATTCTCTCTCGTTTTAAAAGTATTTTTCCAGCCCAAAAAGTACCGCAAGACGCCGCGAGTGCTCTTTAGGAACCCTCCGACCGAGGTGAATTTACTTTTTCAAGGGAATTTTGTTGAAAAATTGATTTTAGAGCTATTCGGAGCGTATGGCCGCCGCTTCAACTCCGCGACGTTTGTACTCGGCGAAAAAGGAAGAGGAAAGACGGGTGGAAATTACGGAAACACCCAGAAGAACCCGGGTTTGATTTGATAGAAAAAAATACTATTCGTAGTTTTTTTACAGTGCTAGGTCCGAAAAAGTTTCCTATTTTTTTAACTGCTTTTTCCCGTTCCTTGAATCAATTTTTTTCAGATAAAAGTGAAAATTTTTAATAAAAAAAGAACCTTAAAAAAATTAAGCTTTTTACTTCATTGAAATTCATGTTTTTTGAAAATTCTTGTCCTTGACTTTTCTTTTTTTGAGTCTATTTTTTTCAGATGGTTTTTTTCAGAAAAAAACCAGTGTTTGATTAATTTTTCTTATTTAGTAAAAAAAGGCTTTTTTTAAAGGATGACTAGGTACATAAACATCTATTTTTCTTTAAATTATTTTTTTTTTTTTTGAGTTTATTTTTTTCAGATAGTTGAAAAAAACTTGAAGCCTTTATTTTCAAAATCGTAAAAATGTATATAGTGTCTTGCGAAAATCGGAATTTTTTTCTGATTCTGAAAATTTTTTTTTCTTTTTTATGGTTTTTTGAAATCGCGAAACCATTTAAAATTTCGCTTAAAAATAAATTTTGAGGCCGAAAAATGAGAATTATTGTTTAATTCATAAGAAAACGGTTCCTAAATACTCTCAATCGCCTTGTTAAGGCGCATTTTTCGTCTCATTTTTAGCAAAAATTTTTTGGATGCGTACCTTGAGCCATTGAAAAAAGGGTCCTGACACGATAATGCACGAGATAGTGCCTGAATCGTGGAGAGAGCAGACAGGCCACGCCCCTTGAGCCAGCCGTGAATCGGCTATAACATCTTTTACTTTTATTCAAAAGGAACTTTTTCCAGGGCTTCCCCATCCAAGCCAGAAACCTCAACTTCCACCCGACGACCCTTGCCGGACCTGTTAGTTCGAATTATCGATTGAAATTGATTGATTATTGATTTTTCAGGCTCCAGAAGTCTCTCGGCCGCCTTCCGTCAGCGGATCTCCCCGAAGATCTTCTTCAAGGTGAACCCGAAGATAATTGAGACAATAAAAAATTACACCCAACAAGTTTAGCTTTGTTTTTCGTGTATGAAAGAGGATAGTGTTTGAATGGATTTGACCAGGAAATTTTGAATTTTTCTCGATTTGGTACTTATCCTTTGAGTCTTTCTTACTAAAAATAAGCGACTTTTGATTAATTATAGTAATTTTATTCGGTTCCTGCTGTTAGAGGATCATGTAGGCGGAATTATTTATATTTTTGGTATTTTTTTATAAGGAAGAATAAAAAAATAAAAAAAAGAAGGCTTTGTAATGAATTCCAGGCTGATTTTGTTTGAAAATCCTTTCTGGAAAGTCTAAAAAATTTGGAAAGCCGAAAATCTGTTTTCAGTGTCATTTTTTTAGTATTACAAAACTATTTTCAACATTTTCCATTTTCTTGACCAATAGTTTTAGAAGAAACTAGTTGATTCTGAGAAATCCAAGAAAAGAAAAAAATCCCGATAACTGTGTTTCTGACAAGCTATCGAACTATTGGAGCTAGTATAATTTTTTCCAAAAGTCAAAAAAAGTGGAAAATGAAGATTTTGAGCTGTAAATCTTGCAGCAGAGGATCCAGCGACCCGCTCAAGTTCCCCACGACCCTGAAACTGACGGCGCCGTTGAGAGCCTACTGCTCGAACGTCGCCACCCAAAACAAGGCCGAGAATCGCGTCGAGATCATTTCCGAGACGGTCTTCTCCTCGTTCGACCTCTCGGTTGAGGAGTTGAAGCGTCGCTGCCAGGAGACGATGCACGAAGTGGGTTGGGTCGGGTCAAAAATACCTTTTTCCAGCCTTGGGGGACCCTTATGGGGAATCTTTGACCTTAAAAGTAATTTATTAATAAATTATGCAATGAAGAATGGATAGATTCTGAATTTCTATAGCTTGCGGACATGTCAATAGACTCGCATTTTGTGACAAATAACAGGATTTCTGCTTCAAATGAATGGTTTCTCTTCTGAAAAAAGCATTTAGTCAAACAAAAAACACACACCGATAATAAAGAAAACACAAATTATTGCTATCCCAAGCGAAACCTGTGTAAAATCATCATTTTTCACCAAAGAAGCATTTTTGCGATCAAAGTTTGCAATTCATACATGAATAGAAAGCTTTTGTGACGAAAATAACTTTGGTGACAACAGAAAGCATTGAAATTCGAAAGAAACGAAGAAAAAAGCGAAAATCCAGAAGATGGCGAAGCCTGTTGTCCATAGAGAAACTTTACTGCAAAACGCTCTTTTTGCGTGAACTCAAACTTTCTTCTCTCCGACTTTGAATAATTTTTTTCTCTGAAACTAGGAACTTCTGTACGTTTCCAAGTTCACCGTTCGATTCGCAATGATAAACTCTACAAAGTACTGCTTTGAACTGAAACACGGTTTTTTACTGCCCCTATGTCTTTAAGAAATACACAACTAATTTGGCTTGAACAGCTCTTTTCAAAATTACTGATTAAAATGTACGTGCATTCCAAGTTTTTTGAGGAAATTAGGCTGCGCCGGTCGACTTTGAATTCACGTAACAGTTTATAAAATCATACGTAAATTCTAAATCTCCTATCAAAACTGCGCAAAATACAAGAATTTTCATGTCAAAAGACGATGCACAAAGTGAGGTTTACCTAGAAAAATTGGTAATTGGGTCAACCAAAATAAATCATTTGATTTTTTGATAAAATAGTGTGGGTAGTGTCGTTGAACTCTAGAACTGAGTATCCTAATAAATTTTAAAAAAAACTTGAGAAACTAGGTCAAAAACCACATAGTTAGTGACGCCATCAGACTTCTAAAAATGACGTCATTCAGTGAGCTTACTAGGGAACGTTTTTTACCCCCCGGTTGAACTTTTGACGAAACTTTGCAGAGATGTACTTTGAGGTCTCCTGAATCCAGAACAAGAAAAAAATTTCTCGCAATAGACCTTGTTTTCGAGATATGCAGCCTCGAAGTTTGCACGCGAAATCTGCGGAAGCATGGAAGAGGAAATATGTTGCGCGCAGTGTCGGTGGAATGCCAGTTGATTCGTGGCAGAGTGGAATGAGGGCGCGCGCTATGTGCGAGCTGTGGTGGGTTCAATCCCATTTCGCTGCCAAATTTTGCAAAACTCTTTTGCTAAAACTCCAATCATTCGAAACACTTGGTAAGCCATTTTCCTGGATGGAACGAATTGAAATAAATCAATTTTGTGGAATAAAAAAAATTTCCATTCTCAACAGTTTTGAAATGATGAATGAAAATCAACTCGAGTAAAGTATAACAATATGCAAAACACAACCAATACATTCAAATCAAACAAAATTTCAGCACTTATGACAGATTTGCGTTGGCAAAAGACGCTTCTTTTTTCTGAAGGTGTGGGCGCTTCGGAGAATTCCTCCATTACCCCCTTTTTGAATATAAATAATATAGAAATATGAGAACTATTAGGCAGAAGAGAAACAGAAAAATCTTTCTGAAAATTCAAATGAATAAAGGAATACTGTTGCGAAGAGTTTGAAAAATTGCATCATCCTTCTTTTAAATAACATTTGGCAAAAGAAATTTTGCAAAATTTGGCAGCGAAATGGGATCGAACCCACCACAGCTCGCACATAGCGCGCGCCCTCATACCACTCTGCCACGAATCAACTGGCATTCCACCGACACTGCGCGCAACATATTTCCTCTTCCATGCTTCCGCAGATTTCGCGTGCAAACTTCGAGGCTGCATATCTCGAAAACAAGGTCTATTGCGAGAAATTTTTTTCTTGTTCTGGATTCAGGAGACCTCAAAGTACATCTCTGCGAAGTTTCGTCAAAAGTTCAACCGGGGGGTAAAAAACGTTCCCTAGTTAGAGATTTCTGTCTTCATATGACGTCACTAAAGGTGGTTTATAGGTTAACTAGGTAAGATTTAGGTCAAATCTTTGGGAAAAAGTCGCTAAATAATTTGCAAAGTTGTAATCAGCCGGAAAAAAGGTTCTATACAGCGTTTTTGTCAGTGGAAGAAAATGCAAAACGAAAAATGAAGAGGGCGTGGTCAAAACCTCCGCCGTTCCGATATGACGTCATGAGAAACACGCGTAAACAACAGAAATATTGAAGGCGCATGTTCATTGGGTCTTGAGACGAATCGTTTTCTCTTTTCCAAAGAAACTTAACTTTTCTGTTTCCGTGGTCGAAGTGATTCCGCGAAATTCAAAATAACCGCCAGAAAGTGAAAAATAAAACTGAATTTTCGAAATGCAGAGATGATTTTGATATTTCTATTCGAAACTTTAATTATTAATTGAAAAAATGATGAATATTTTCAGACGAAATGCATTTCTGTGCAGCGAAACTCGAAGGACGACCTCAAAGACGGCCCCCATTGAGAACACTTTGCGACGAATTTTTTTGTCGGCGACCAGATTTTCATCCTCCAGAGCTTTACCGTCATTGATGTGTGTTTTAGGAAATTTTTTTTTTGCATCTTTTAGAATTTTTTAGGTCCTTGAAAGGTCCTATTGTTCTTTTTCCTTGTAAAAATTTCATTATTTCACTTTTATTATCAATTTTTCAACTTTGATGTTTCTCATATACCTTTGGATTAGCGATGAAACTACAAACTTTTTTTTGAAAATATTCTGAACCTGGAAAACTTATTTGAAAGCTTCAGAGGAAGGACCAAGACCTCGGCATCGACATCCGAGACGTTCGTGAGATCTTTAACATTTGTCAGACTGAGTACACGGACAACCGAGGAAGGTAAACATGAGCAATACGGCGTCATTATGAGCAATTCTGAGCAATTACAGAACCCACCGTGGAATAATGAGCATCACGGCCGACCAGAAAATCACTGGCACCCCTCAAAAATACTGTTACGACGAATCGTTCCTCATTCGTTTCGGCGACAATGAATCGATGATTGTCGAGGAGAGGTGAATTTCGAAAAAAAAATGAGAATTCCTTACTTTTTCAAAACATTATGTCTTGAACTGTTGAAATTTGGCTAATTTCGAAGGCCTACAGTAGCCTCAGGCGTAGGTTTTTCTTTCGCGACGAGACCTCCCTTTTTGGATCTTTAAAAGTTTTTTGATTGTTTTAAGGTGATTTGACATATTTTCTGTAATGTTTCTGATCGGAAGGAAGCTTTCAGTAGTGAGTAACTCGGAGCATTTGAAAATTAGGTTGAAATATACTCTTAAAAGAAGTGCAGGCTCGTTTTCGTGTGAATTTTGATAGTTTTGCCCTCTTCAGTTGTATTTTTCTCGAGTTTTTTGCATCATCTAGTTATTGAACGCCAGTTTAGATTTTCTGAATCCTAAAAAAAAACCCGTAACACGAAGATGAGGCCCAGAAAAAGCGAAATAAAAGAATAAAGATATACCTATCGTAGCCCCAGGCGTAGTTTTTGTTTTCGCGGCGAGACCTCATTTTTTGGATTCCTAAAAGTTTTTTGATTGTTTTAAAGTGGTTAGACCTATTTTCTGTAATGTTTTTGATCGGAAGGAAGCTTCCGGTAGTGAGTAACTCGGAGCATTTGATAGTTGGGAGGGACAGAAAGTGGATAGACTTTTGCACATGTTTTCGTGCAAATTTTGACGTTTTCAGCTACTTCAGTTGAATTTTTCTCGAGTTTTTTGCATCATCTAGTTAGTAAACGCCAGATTTGATTTTTTGAAACCAAAAAGATGTATTCATGAGAAGATCAGGTTGAGAAAAAGGCAAATTTTAAAAACATAAGCCTATCGTAGCTCCAGCCGTAGTTTTTGTTTTCGCGGCGAGACCTCACTTTTTGGATCTTTAAAAGTTTTTTGGTTGTTTTAAGGTGGTTTGGAATATTTTCTAAAATGTTTTTGATTGGAAGGAAGCTTTCAGTAGTGAGTAACTCGGAGCATTTGATAATTTCGAGGAATAAAAAGTGGAAAGACTTTTGCGCATGTTTTCGTGTAAATTCTGACATTTTTAGCTACTTCGGTTGGTTATTTCTTGAGCTTTTTGCCTTCATCCGTTACTGAACGCCGGTTTAAATCTTATGAAGCCAAAAACAATCAATTTCCTGAGCAAAAAGTCAAGAAAAAGCAGAATAAAGGCGAAAAGAGAAACCTACCGTAGCCTCATGTCTAGCTGTTGTTTTCGCGGCGAAACCTTACTTTTTGGATCCTTTTGGTTTTTTGATTGTTTTAAGGTGATTTGACATATTTTTTGAGACTTTTTTGATCAAAACTACGCTTTCTGTTGTAACTTATCGGAATCATTCGTAAATAACGTTGAATTTACTTTGAAAAGACTTTTAAGCTCGTTTTCGTGGGAATTTTGATAGTTTCAGCTCAATTGGTTGGATTTCATTCGAGTTTTTTGCATTTATCCGTTACTGAACGCCAGTTCTGATTTTCTGAAGCCCAAAAAACCTAGTAACACAAAGATAAGGCCATGAAAAAACGAAAAAAAAGGCGAAAGGGTAGCCTACCGTAGCCTCAAGCGTAGTTTTCGCCTTCGCGGCGAGACCTCACTTTTTCAATCCTTCAAAATTTTTTGATTGTTTTAAAGTGGTCGTAACTATTATCTGAAAATTTATTGAACCAATTAATGTCTGTAGTTAAGTACTATGTCAAACATTAGGATATGAAGTGGAATATTCTGTTAAAAGACGCGTAGGCTCGTTTTCGTGTGAATTTCGATAGTTTCAGCTTAATTTTTCGGATTTTCTTTAAGTTTTTTGCATTCATCCGTTACTGAACGCCAGTTTTTGATTTTTCTGAAGCCCAAAAAAACCCATTAAAACGAAGATAAGGCAAAGAAAAAAAGCAAAATAAAAAGGCAAAAAGAGTAGCCTACCGTAGCCTTAGACCTATCCTTAGTTTTCGCAGCGAGACCTCACTTTTCGGATCCTCCAGTGTTTTTTGATTGTTTTAAGATCATTAGACTTATTTTTTGAGACTTTTTTGATCAAAACTACGCTTTCTGTTGTAACTTATCGGAATCATTCGTAAATAACGTTGAATTTACTTTGAAAAGACTTTTAAGCTCGTTTTCGTGGGAATTTTGATAGTTTCAGCTCAATTGGTTGGATTTCATTCGAGTTTTTTGCATTTATCCGTTACTGAACGCCAGTTCTGATTTTCTGAAGCCCAAAAAACCTAGTAACACAAAGATAAGGCCATGAAAAAACGAAAAAAAAGGCGAAAGGGTAGCCTACCGTAGCCTCAAGCGTAGTTTTCGCCTTCGCGGCGAGACCTCACTTTTTCAATCCTTCAAAATTTTTTGATTGTTTTAAAGTGGTCGTAACTATTATCTGAAAATTTATTGAACCAATTAATGTCTGTAGTTAAGTACTATGTCAAACATTAGGATATGAAGTGGAATATTCTGTTAAAAGACGCGTAGGCTCGTTTTCGTGTGAATTTTGATAGTTTCAGCTTAATTTTTCGGATTTTCTTTAAGTTTTTTGCATTCATCCGTTACTGAACGCCAGTTTTGATTTTCTGAAGCCCAAAAAACCCATTAAAACGAAGATAAGGCAAAGAAAAAGCAAAATAAAAGGCAAAAGAGTAGCCTACCGTAGCCTTAGACCTATCCTTAGTTTTCGCAGCGAGACCTCACTTTTCGGATCCTCCAGTGTTTTTTGATTGTTTTAAGATCATTAGACTTATTTTTTGAGACTTTTTTGATCAAAACTACGCTTTCTGTTGTAACTAATCGGAATCATTTGATAATGAAGTTGGATTTACTGGGAAAATACTTTGAGACCTGTTTTCGTGTAAATTTTGACATTTTTAGCAACTTTGGTTGGATTTTTCTTGAGCTTTTTGCATTCATCTGTTAGTAAACCCCAGTTTTGCTTTTCTGAAGCTCAAAAAATCCGATTAACACGGAGATAAGGCCAAGAAAAAGCGAAATGAAAGCAAGAAGAGCAGTCTACCGTAGCCTCAGGTCTAGCTGTTGTTTTCGCGGCGAAACCCCACTTTCTGGATCTTTCATTGTTTTAAGATTGTTTTAAGATTGCTAGGTTTATTCTCTGAGATTTTTTTGATCGAAATGATGCATTCCATTTGCGAATAATTGGTATCATTCGGAGATGAAGTTAAATTTACTTTGAAAAGACTTTGAGACTCGTTTTCGGGAGGTTTTTGATAGTTTCAGCTTTATTGGTTGGACTTTTCTTGAGCTTTTCACAGTCATCAGTTACTGAAAACCATTGTAGATTTTCTGAACGCAAAAAAAATTATTAACACAGAGTCAAGGCCAAGAAAAAGCCAAATAAAGACAAGTCAGGTAGCCTACCGTAGCCCCAGGCGTTGTTTCTGCTTTCGCGGCGAGACCTCTCTTTTGGGGTCTTTTAATTTTCTTTGATTGTTTTAAGGTGGCTAGACCTATTTTCTGTAATGTTTTTGAACAAAACAATGCTTGCTGTTGCGAATAAGTGGAATAATTCGAAAATTAAGTGAAATACATTGTCGATAGACTTTTAGGCTCGTTTTTGTCTGCATTTTGATAGTTTCAGCCTCTTCGGTTGGACTTTTCTTGAGCTTTTTGCATTCATCAGTTACTGAACATTAGTTTAGATTTTTTGAAGCCGAAAAAACCCATTAACACGAAGATAAGGCTAATGAAAAAGCGAAATAAAAGGCAAAAAAGTTGCCTACCGTAGCCTCAGGTGTGGTTTTTGTTTTCGCGGCGATACTTCTCTTTTTGGATCCTTCACAGTTCTATAAGGTGGTCTCAATTATTTTCTGAAGAACTTTCAAACCAATAAATGCTTGTAGTCAAGTACTATGTCAAAAATTTGGAAATTAGGTTGAAATATTCTGTTAAAAGACGCGTAGGCTCGTTTTCGTGTAAATTTTGACATTTTTAGCTACTTTGGTTGGATTTTTCTTGAGCTTTTTGCATTCATCCGTTACTGAACGTCAATTTAGATTGCATGAGGCCAAAAACAATCTATTTCCAGAGCAAAAATTCAAGGAAAACCGAACTAAAAGCGAAAAGAGAAGCCTACCGTAGCCTCAGGCGTAGCTTTTGCTTTCGCGGCGAAACCACACTTTTTCAATTCTTCAAAGTTTTTTGATTGTTTTAAGCTCTGGAGGACTGTTTTTTGGAAATTTTTTGAACTGATGGATGCTTTAATAAAGTAATATGTCAAAAATTTAGGGAATGAGTGGAATGTTATGTTACTTGTAGACCTGTTTCGAAAAGAAAAATAAAATTACGATTTTGAAAAGTCTTTACCATTCTTCTCTCAGGTCGCTCATCAAGCCCAGCCAGATTGACGTGAAAGCCAAGGAGCTGAAGTGTCTCCACACCTTGGAACTCTATGACCCCTCGGCACTGTAAGAAACACAAGTCTTCTTCGTTCTTGACCCCTTTGACGTCTTCAGAATCAACTTGAACACGTTTATCGTCTTCGAAGTGGGCGAAGCCTCGTGGGCCGGCCTGGACGCTCCATCCAGCGACAAGACCTTCTATTACCCCGAGGTTGTACCTTCTGAAAATTAATAAAAAATTATTGACCCTTGAGTTGAGTTCTTATCAATGGGTAGGCATTGGGAAGAATTAGTTTTGGAGATACTTAGATATATTTTTGAGCTGAGTTTTCAAGGCTAGAAGATCTCTTAAACGGTCCAACACACACTGTAAAGTGGATCATCGTTGTTATTGATTTTTTTCGAAGTTGATTAATTTCCCGAGTTGATTTCATATCTATAAATACGCAAAAAGTAACTTTAACCTAAATTAATATTTAGATATTTTCGAAACAATTTTCAAAACGATAAAACGAACACCGTAAAGTGGAACATCGTTGTTATTGATTTTTTCGAAGTTATTGATTGATTTCTCAAGTTTTCATCAATGGGTTAAGAGTCGCAGGAGGTAGCTTATTAGTTTAATTTTCATAATTTACATTTTTAGTTTTGAATAGAATTTTTTTGAAAATAGCGTAATTTGGAGTATCGTTGGTTTTGATTTTTCTGAAGTTATGGATAAATTTCCTGAGTTCTTATCAATGGTTTAGATATCGTAGAAAGGCTTGATATTCCCCGGAAAGTTTAATTTGCAATTTTTTTGAATGAAGTTTTTGAAGAAAAAGTGAAATTAACTGTTTTTTTGCTCATTTTTTTGTTACTTAACCTTTTTTTCATGATTTTTTTAAAAAAATCTGAACTTTCACAATTTCTTTCTAATTTGGGCTGAGTAGAATGAATAGCCTCAAGGGCTTGAGGAAAAAAATCGTTTTTCATTAAGTTTCAAAAAGTTGGAAATCTTTGGCCGGAACACTTGAAGTTTTTCTCAATTTTGAGTCTTCTAAAGCTCTAACATCAGTTTAGGGTTTCAATCATTTTTGAAAAAGGTTCTCACATTGTCATTTTTTGGTGCTAAATCGAACATTTCATTAAAAAAATTATTTTTTTCTATTTTAATTTTTCTAAGCTGTTTTTTTCCGCTTTATTCGCTCCTTTTTCTCAATCCCGTGGCCGCCCGTGTAATGGCTTGAAGCTTTGCTGTTAGAACTAGATTCACAGCCAGAATTAAAAAATATGATTCATAAAAGTCTGAAGTATTTGGTGCAGTGGTTGTGTCGAGCCATTCCAAGTGCGGCCAAAGTTACAACAATTGAAAAGTACAAAACTTCTTTTCAGTTGAAGGCGACGAATGGAGAAACTGCTTCTATGGCCCAAAACTCCAGAAAAGTGCCACATTCGGCGATTTTGGTGAGCCCAAGTAGAACATTGAAAATTGCAGATCTGTTTCAAAATTCTGGGAACTTAGGCAATTTCGAGTGGTCCCTATAGGGGTTAGGGAAATAACAGCCTCTATAGGGGCCGAAAAGGTGGTCCCTATAACCCCTGACCTCTTGGCCCCTGAAGCTTAAGTGATCCCTAAAAGGGTTTTTCATTTTTATTCAAAAAATGTTATTTGTTCAGTGACAATGCTTCATCGCATAGAGTTTAGAAAGTTGTCCTCTTTAGGGACCCCTTTTGCAAGCTTTAGTGGCCCTTTTAGGTTGGTACAGTGATCCCTAGAGGGGACCCTATATAGACCACTCTGGAGTTCCTAAGAATGGTAATCATCCAGATCAGTCGTTTTTGTAGACTAAATTCCGAAAAAAGCGAATTTTGAGCCCTTTCTGCTTGTTCTCTGTATCCTACTACTACGTTCTGCAGATAATAAGTTTTTTTCTTTCCGAGTACCTTCCATAGGATTTCGAAACAGTTCTGCGTCACTTCCTGAGTCGGATGAAGCTCAAAACTCATCTCCTTGACTTCAGAAGTCGACGCCGACGAAAAATGCCGCACCGCAGATGAGCATGTCTTGTCCGCCGGCCCGACAGCGCGTCGAGTTCCCCGACACGTCCACTTCGGCTTCTTCCAACGCTTCGTCGACGTCATCTTCCACTTCTTCTCGGAGACGTCTGAACTTTGACGGGCCTTCCAGGACGTATTCTGTTGGTGGATCCAGCTCTCGGCCAAACACCAGATTCGCCTCGGCTTCTCCAGCTCGGCCCAGGACACCGTCAGCTCGCGAAGTCCTTTCCGCGGGTCAGAAGCTTGTCGGGGATCCCGACTCTTTGAAGCTGGTAGCAAAGGCACCCACGTCATCTACCTCGACGCCTTCAGCTCGCGAAGTCCTTTCCGCGGGTCAGAAGCTTGTCGGGAATCCTGACTCCTTGAATCTGGTAGCGAAGGCACCCACGTCATCTACCTCGACGCCTTCAGCTCGCGAAGTCCTTTCATTGAGCCAGAAGCTTGACCTGAAGCCCCTTTCGACTCCACCGAAGGCCACGACGCCTTCAGCTCGTGGAGCCCTGTCCTCGGGTCAGAAGCTCGACGTGGAGTTTTCTGAGCCTCCTCAGAAGCCTCAACTCCTGACACCGTTAGCTTCAGCTCCACCCACGTCTTCAAACCCGACACCACCAGCCCACGTGGCTCTCTCGTCGAGCCAGAAGCTCGAGTTCACTGAGCCTCCACAGAAGCCGCAAGCCCTGACGCCGGTCTTGACGACTTCAGTACCACCAAAGCCCGTTGCGCCTCTTCATCAAACGTCGTCGACCTCGCAGTCCCTTCCCGCGGCGCCTCCATCCAGCCCGGCTTCGTCTTCCTCGTCGTCGAAGTCGTCGTCCCGACCTCGTAAGTTTGGAGCTTCTTTTTTGAATTCTGAAGGCTTGAAAACGTGAATATTTCGTGCCGCCGGCGCGCTCCCAGCGTCAGATGATCTCGTGGTGTAGTGGTTATCACATCTGTCTAACACACAGAAGGCCGGCGGTTCGAGCCCGCCCGAGATCAAATGTTTTTTGCCATTTTTTTTTCAAAGTATTTTCAAAGAAATCGTATATATTTCGATAGCTTTTTGCAAGGCCTACAATCTGGCGGGTATAATTATGAAAAAATCCTGTTTTTGGAATAATTTTTTTTTCAAATTTTTCGAGGGTCAAGGAAGTTTTTCTGAATTTTGGTGGCTCAACTTGCTATTTTTTTAGCTTCTAGAGTTTTTGACGACTTTTGAATGTCCCTCACGCTGTTAATGAACTCTCTGAAGCCTCCTGAAAATTTCCAGTTTGACAATTTTTTTGAGACTGATAAAAACTTGGTTTTGATGAAAAGACGATTGAAAATTTTCATTTTTCGAAGGCCGCCGCCGCGTCCGATCGTCGTCCAGAAACACCCGGGGAAAAGTCGTGACCAAGGAGACGACGATCGTGAAAGAAGTGAGGCAGAAGCCCGGAGAGCAGCCGTCGGTCACCGAAACGATGGAAGTCGTCAAGACGATTGACAAAAGTTTGCGAAAATTAAGAAAATGCGTGAAAAGTTGTGTGCATTTGAAGCATGTGGCCAATATGATATCAGTTTTGAGATTTTCATGTCCCTCATTTTTCACTGAGCAACATCATTCTACTTCCTCTAGACTTCCTGAGACTCTTTATTTCAAATTTCTCAAGCTTTGAGAATTTTCCAACCCTCCAAGATTATCTTAAAACTGTCTCCCAACTGCATAAAGTAGAAGTTATCCTTCAGCGCCACAAAAATCGTTCCGAATCGTCCAAATCGACGAAAAGCCGATTAATGACTCGGTCCGCCTTGAACCGGAAAGCCTCAATCAGAGCATGCCCACGATTTCGCCACACGATTCAACGGAGACGAACGTCGAGATTGAGAACTTTGTCAAGCCCTCCCCGAAGTCCGACTCTTTCGAAAAGCATTAAGACTTGATCTTTTCCAGGGCTCCCCTGAACCCGGCCCCGCCCACACCGAGAAGTGTCACCAATCAGATGGTCGTCAATTTGGCGGAGAACGAGGCTGGGAAGAATGGTGAAGATTTGAGTATTAGAACGAAAAAAAAGTTTAAAGGCGCAGGGAAAGTTTAGATTAGAAGATTTAAAGGCGCAGGGAGGAGTTTGAAGGATGACATTTAAAGGTGCAGAGAGTTCATTTTGTATTTTGAGAGCTTCAAATATGAGTAAAGGGATCAAAAAAAGCCTGGGATAGAAAAATACCCTTCATTATCCGAATCAGCCTGAAAATTTTGAAATTTTCAGCCTCAAAACTTTTGTTAAAAAAAATAATTCCAGTTTGAGCCGCTAATCTGAGCATTTTTAGATTTGTCGATCATAAAATTGAGTAAAAAATTGTTGAAACGACGTCAAAATTTTTATTTTTATCAGTTAGAAACATATTTTCCAGTTTTTTCCAATTTTAAGCGTTCAAAGCTCTCAAAACTGTGTCTTTCTAGTTCATTTCAGCATCTAGATTGTAGACCTCTCGATAAGCTTCTGAAAAATATATCATTTACCGCATAAAACGCTAAAAAGAAAATGGCAAAAAGGAGTTTGATCTCGGGCGGGCTCGAACCGCCGGCCTTCTGTGTGTTAGACAGATGTGATAACCACTACACCACGAGATCACCGGCAGTTTGGCCTGCGCCGGCGGCACTTCCCTCCTCTCTGCTTTCTTTTCACTGGAATACCAGAATTTTAAAAAATTTGGAAAAATACAATTTTTCAATTTTTGAATATTTTTCTTTAAGAATGATGGATTTAGATGAGAAACCGAAAGCGCGAAAGATGTTCAACAAGAAATTGACGTTGAACGGCGTGGTTGACAAGACGCCCTACGAGTTCAACTTGTTCATCCATCTTGAGGTTGGAAATTCTTTGAAAATTCGTATTTTCTCATTAAATTAACATATTTAGGCCTACAATGACCCTAACTTTGAGCCAACGAAAATCACACTTGAGGGCGATGTTTTGTGGCAAAAAACTTCGGATTGGGCGCCGATTAAGGACAACACTAGTCATGTAAGTGGCGAAAGTTTTATGATTCTGAATATTTGAAGCAATTTTCGAAAAAGCCATGAAATTCCAGTTTTGCAGACGAAAACACTCGCTGTGCAGGCGAGTGAGATTACCAGTGAGGAGGAGAAGTCGAATGGCCAGAAGAAGTAGCTACTCACTTTGAAATTATATCAAAATAAAATATGTAAAACTTGTTTTATTTTTTTCGTTTCCCCCACAATACACGGAGCAAGAGCGAGCTGGGAAGTGCCGCCGGCGCGCTACCAGCGTCAGGTGATCTCGTGGTGTAGTGGTTATCACATCTGTCTAACACACAGAAGGCCGGCGGTTCAAGCCCGCCCGAGATCAAATCCTTTTTGCCATTTTTCAAAGTTTTTTTCAAAGAAATCGTATATATTTCGATAGCTTTTTTTGCAAGGCCTACAATCTGGCGGGTATAATTATGAAAAAAATCCTGTTTTTTTGAATTAATTTTTTTCAAAATTGGAGTAAATATACAGTTTTTTTAATAGTTTTGCTTGATTCATATTCTGAATCGAAACAAATATTTAAAGTTTAAATTACAGAAAAATCACTTTCAGTGCAATATTTCATACACAAAACCCGCTTTTCATGTTTTTTTCATGAAAATATTGAAATAAAAAGCTTAAATTTCAACTTTTTTCATTTCCCTCACAAATAAGACAAAAAAAAACTTTATCCGCTCTCTTTCAACTATACAAATTCGCTTTTTGGCGACAAAAAACAGGAGAAAATCTAATGAAAATTTGTTCTAAAAAACGTGATTTCGTTCAATTTTGCTCTTTTTTCTCGGCCGGTTGCCATCCGAGGGTCTTGGTTCGCGTCGTCGAGTACGGGATGTACTTCTGGCCGCCTTCGTTCTGGCCTCTGGAAGATTGAGAAAATAATTGCTGAACTTTCCTTAAAATAATGAAATGAAGAAACAGTTTTCTTTCAGGATCAGGATGAAGGATTCACTTCCAAAATAGGAAAATGTGATTTTTAAATAATAGAAAGATTTTCTTGGAAGAGTAAGGGCAAAGAGAAATTTCATCCAGAGCTTGTTCCAAAAATTCACCTTGAGGACATTTTAAAATATGTAGAAGATCCCCAAGACTCGATTATTCTTATTCTTATGGTTTTCAGTCTGCAATCAGAAAAAATTCTGATGAAATGGTCCAAAAGATCAACTACTTGTCACTTTTTTCCGACCAAGATACCGTACATCTTTAAATTGGATGGTCTTGAAGCGATCCCTGTGAAAGTGTGTGATACTAAGAGTTATCTAACTTTATTTTTCGAAAAAAAAAACGTGAACGGGAAACTTCCCAAAGAGATTCCGTAGCTCGGAGGAAAACAAAAACTGAGAAAATTTGACGCGGAATGGGCTATGTTGACTTCTCTTCCAAGGTAGATGCTTAACGACCTGACGACGGAAATCGGAAGACGCAGAAGAGCAGGTTGGGCAGCCTTCAACAACATCCGGGAAGTCACGAGTCAAATCAAGGACCCAAAGGTCCGTGCTCACATCTTCGAGGCATCAGTGATCCCCGCCCTGTCCTACGGATCCGAAGTTTGGCCAGACACCAAGGAGACCTCCTCCGCCCTAAGAACGGCATACCGCGCACTGGAAAGAGCTCATCTCGGCACCACCCGCTACCAACAATGGAACCAAAACCAGAGAAGCACAGATCTCGGCAGTTATCCCAAATCAAAGACCTCGAAAAGCATATCAGGCAAACACCGATGGGCAGGACATGTCATCAGAAGAGCAGACGACCGTTGGAGCACAAGAGTAACATCTTGGATTCCCAGAAACACGAGGCGCACCCGCGGACGACCAGCGACCCGATGGCAGACCACTTCAAGAAGAACATCAGCCGTCATGGACGCCACTGGATGAACGTCGCCAGAGACCGGGATGCATGGAGGACGTGTGGTTCGCGCTGACTAGGGGAAGACCATTCCCCTAGTGAGAAGGAAGATCATCAGCAAAGACGAACCATCAAAGTATCAAAGTAAGTAAGTAAGTAAGTAATGGGCTATAACTAAATCTTCAAAACCATTGAATTATATATTTTTCCCAAAATCCCTCTTTTTTGAAGGTACTAACGGGACGATTGAGACGTTTTCCCGATGTTCGAGGACCCATTTTTGGGTCAGAGGTTCCTTGACCGTCGGCGGGTCGTCGGTTATGTGGTGGAGCCAGCCGTGCCTGCAATTTTACGCTGAAAAACTGGAAAATGGTGCCAAATATATACTATAAAGTATCCGTCTTTTTCAAAAATTTGTACCTTAAAAATGGACCCCAACAGGTAACCAACATATTTTTATTATTTTCACCTAGGGACTCCAAAGTGGCCCCTATAGGGGCAGCTAAATTTTGCAAAAATGATCCCTCTTGGGGTTTTAGTTAGTGGTCCCTATAGGGGGCATGCTAGTCGATAGTTTTCATTATTCTTTCCCCTATAAGGACCACTTTTTCGGCCTCTATATTTCTCCTACCCTCACAGGGACCACTTGGGAATTCATTTTTAGCAAGCGTGACAATTTAAATTAAAGGTTTTAGAAGTTTTTTTCAGTGATAAATTGGTTGTTTTTCTATAAAATCTTCTAGAAAAATTTATGAGAAACCGAAATTTTTTTAATTTTTCCTATAGAGCTAGTGTCATATCAGCTGAAAAAAATTGATATAAATCATTTTAAAAATATTTGAAAGGAATAAAAATTTCACCAATCCGGAGGAACCTGGGAGGCGTCGTAGTCCAACCAAACCTGAAAAAAATCCATAATTTCTTACGAATAATACATGTTTAAATATAAATTTAAGTTCATTTCAATCGAGAAAATGATGAAAAAAATGTCGGAAATCACAAGAATACTCAGTTAAAATGTTGTCATTGTCTTTATTTTTCATTGCAACTGCCCGAAAAAAAGTCATATCGACTTATTTCTACTCAATTTATCGCTAGATAAGCTAAAAATGCTCTAGGAAACTTTTTTCAGAGTCAACCACTTCATAAATCTTGAAGAAAAAAAATTTAAAAAAAGTAGAAAAAAATATTTTTTTAGAAACGAAGAAAAAAAGCTGAAAATTAATCCAAAAAAAGAGTTAACTTTATGTTTTCTAGCGCAAAACTTTGGCAGAAATTAAACGGATCATTTTATTGATATTCAAAAAACAAATACCTAAAAAAAGTTCTTATCAAGAAAAAAATAGTATATAAACTGCAAAAAAATGATTGTGAATCGTTTTTTTAAATCTCCTGACAGTTTCTCAGGCCCGACAACTATATATTTTATAGTTATAAAAAAATATAGGAACCTGGAAATTCTTTTTTTCAAAAAAATACATTTTTCAAAAAAATCGATAATGATTGACCTTATCGGGGAACTCGACCCAACGGTTTCTGGGAATGAAATAAGAGTTATCCTCGTAATAACGGTTGCCAAATTTGTCAGTTCCAACGTGTCGGCCAACTCGGGTCACATCCATCCTAAAAAATATCCTTTAATTCTTGTAAAATTTTATTTTTATTCAATTACACATAGGAAAAGTCAGAAAGGGTGGAAAAGGCTCCCATTTTGCTGCCTTTTTGGGCCATTTATGCACCATTTTTGCTACCTTTCTTCCACCATTCCGAAATCCCAGAAAAAATGGAAGGCTCAATACTGGGAAAATTTTTAGCGGCCACTATAGGTTTTTGACGTCTCAGTGGCCACTATAGTAGTCAAATTAGTAACCACTTAAGGGATAAAAAATTAGTGGCCACTATAGAGGTCCAAGTGCTACTACTAGACCACTAAAAAGTGGCCACTTTAGGGGTCAATGGATCAACATAACTGGTCCAGTCTGTCTGTTTTAAAATCATCAGAGTTACTGGAAGGAATACTGGATGAAAAACTACTGAAGTGGCCACTAAAACGGAAAATAGTGGCCACTATAGAGGTGGGTTTAGTGGCCACTTTAGTGTCTTCTCCAAGTAGTCCTTGGCTAGCCACTAAAAATTTTCCCAGTAAAGGGACTCTTTTTGCTGCCTTTCTGTGGCCTTTTTTGAGCCTCTCCTTTTTTGTGGCCATTATCCACCTTTCCGGCTTTGCCCGAGTGGACAAATTTTGTATAAGAAATTCGACAAATCCATATATTCCTTTTAAAAGTTCAGCGCATTGAAATCTAATCTCTTAAACTGATTTTTTGGGTTTCTTCAGTACCCGTTTGTTAATTTACAGTGTAAAACATTAGAAATTAATAAAATCCTTTAAAATAAGGTCTATTCAAAGGTTATCGTCACCAAGTTGAAATGGGAATAATTTTTAAAAAGCGGCAAGTTATTTTTGCTTCTTCCAGAAACAAGATGAACCATACGAAACCCAGAAAAAAAGTTAAATCATATCAAAAACCCCAATTTGAACAAAATTTTCTCTTACCATCGAAAAATTTCTAGTAAAAACTCACAAATATCTCTTCCTCAAGGCGGCCTTCACACCGCCCATCTCTTTGACGATTTTTGCCGAGTTTCTGGAGCTTTTCAAGCCCCAGCCATTGTTTAACCGACATTCTGAAATATTTCTCAAGAAAATCAGGAAAAAAATTGGCTTAAAAAAACCGTTAAAAAAATTTTTTTGTTCATATGTTCGATTTTTATATGTAGTATTATCTATATAAACTACAAAAAAATTTTTAAAAAAATAACATTTTTCGATAAAATGAAAGATTTTTATTCTTTTTCCATGGAAATTCAAAACTTAACTTTAATTGAAAAAAATAAAAAAATCTCAATTTTTCATACCTATATTAAAGTTTGAAAAAAACTATCAATAAACCTAACTTTTTCCCAATTTTCCGCTTATAAGGTCCCTATAACCCGCAAATAAAGCAATAAAAAAACCATTTATTCTCATTTTTTTGAACAAAAAAATCCTCTTTTTCTTCAAAAAAATGCAACGGTCAATGAACCGGAAAAAAACACGACTTCGAAGAAAAAAATTGAATGGCAAAAAAATATTTATTCCCAACAACACGCAATAAATATGAGGATTTCAATAAGTACAAATACAAGTACAGGTAAAAAAAACTTGAAACGGTGAAATGAGAAAAAATTGATTAAACAGATTGTTGTTTGACAACAACCACGGCGTTGAGCAGATTCGCGTCCTTCAAGCTCAAAGATTCGTCATCGATCACCTTGAATATATGTTGTATAGTCGTGGGAAAACTTTTAGTGGCCACTTTAGGGGTCAATGGATCAACATAACTGGTCCAATATGTTTTTTTTTAATTATCAGAGTTACTGGAAGGAACACTGGATGAAAAACTACTAAAGTGGCCACTAAAACGGAAAATAGTAGCCACTATAGAGGTGGGTTTAGTGCCCTTTCCAAGTAGTCCTTAGCGAGCCTCTATAGTGGCCACTGAGAATTTTCCCAACCCGTTCACCGCGACTTGACAGTTTTCACGTGTCTGCGTCTCTCTGTCCCCTCACCGGCGAGGTCAGAGAAACATGGAAATAGCCCGTAAACAGGAGAGAGACGCCGAGAGATAAGGATGGCGCAGAGAAGGGCATGTCTGCGCTCTCCTCCAACCAAGCACTATCTCTTTTATTCTCGTGTCAGGACCCTTTTTTCGATGGCTCAAGCCAGCCGCGATTCAGCTATATATAGTTCATTCCGCGCTAAATTTTCAAGATTTCCTCTCCGGAACCCGTCCCTTCGATGCGCGCGGTCTTTCTCTCTGCATGCGCCTTTAATACAAGCCGAAATTTTGAGCCAATCACTATGCGCGAGGGATCTTTCTCTTCCTGCGCCTCTAATATAATCGAAATTTTGAGCCAAATTAAAGGCGCATGCCCAAAAACAGGTCGCGCGTTTCAAAGGGAAAGGTTCTGTAGCTCGGGTTAAAGAAAAATCGTGAGGATTGGGCGCGGAATGGGCTATTACGATTGACAAAAGACATTTTTATTCAATTTTTAGCTTTTTAAAAAACGAGGTTCAATCCAATAGATAGATAATTGAGGATGCCTTTATAAACAAAACGAAATTGCTCCAGAATATTACTTTTTCGAAATGTTATGTTTCGAAATCAGCTGCGTTTTTTCGATGAACAGGTTCCTTTAAAACTACTTCCCTCATTTCCAATTTGAAAACAAGGAAAACAAAATCCGTGGAAAAATCAAGCCAAGTCCCCTCATGCGTCTTTAAGACTACCGTCATTTGAACTTTTAAAGGCGCATATCATCAAAAGATATTTTATTGAAGGCGCATGGTAACGCTCGAGTTTCGCCAAAAAAGTCAGCCATGTGAAGTCTAGGAAAAATGAAATTTCGAACCAAGGGCATTAAAAAATTATACATGCATTTCATCTGGCTAAAAAGGACCTAAAAGCTAATTTTAAAAAATTACCTTGTTTGGAAAAGTTGTCATTAACTGGAACGGCGCGTATTCCATTTCAGGATAAGCGCTGAAAAAGTTGGAATATTGAAAAAACTCAAAAGTCAGATTTTGAATGTCAAGTCATCGCTCAAGCTCCGCCCCCTAATGGCGCGATAAACCAATCAGAGAGCGAGTCATCCACAGAGTGTTTTCGAATGACGTCATTCGACTTGACTACTAAATGACGTCATTCCACTTGACATTCAAAATCTGAACGGACTATATTTGAACTTCTCGTCAAAATCAGACACTTAAGGGAAAAAAAACCCACGAGCAGATGAAACTGCGAACAGTAGTAACCGTGTGAGTGTGGTTGAAGGTTCCGACGAGTCGCTGGCCGCTTGGCAGACGGATTTGAACCTGTTAAATCCATTTTCGAAGCTCAATATTCAAAAAGCTCTTACATTAGTAGTAGGTTGACCAGCTTCGAGCTTCACTTCTTCCTTGGCTTTCTCCAAGTTTTTCGCTGCTTCTGGAAAATTTCCACTCTCGGGATTTTACTTATTTTATTTTCAATGGTGTTTAGTTTCAAGCGTACGGAAGATGAGACTCAAGGGGTTTTTTTTTTCTGGGATGCTAAGTGACCTTAGGTGACTGCTTATAGCCTGTTCAGATTTTGAAAGTCAAGAATGACGTCATTCAAAAACACTCTGTGGATGGCTCGCTCTCTGATTGGTTTATCGCACCATTGGGGGCGGAGCTTAAGCGATGACTTGACATTCAAAATCTGAACAGACTATATTCACCTGCACATCTCAAATCTCTCAACGTAGGTTTTTGGATTGACACTAATTTCAAGGGGAACCAAACGTTTCTGATATTTTCAAGTAATCACTTAAGAGTTTTGACACCGCTAAAGGGACCACTAGGAATGGTCAGAGGCCGGTTTACGTTACCAAGGACCGAAAACTCTTTAACCTACAGTCTTCTTTGAACTTTTTTGACATACGTCGGCTGGATCCCACCCTGGGGTGCGGCCTACCCCCCAAAAGTGCGGTCTGCCTTCCCCCAGCCGGTGTATGTTTTTTGAATATTTTTTCCCTTTCGACCAAATCTTTCAGAAACGAACCATCTGGAGTTGACTGAGGTGCAGCCGGTTCAGGAGCCGCACTGCTGCTTCCAGCTCCAACAACCGTCGGCACCACGTTCCCCAGCCGAGCTCCGGATCCCTGAAAATTGGATAAAATGAAAAGAGAATTGAAACACGATCATTACAGGAACAATGGACCACTATGAGAGAAAATCTTCATTCCTTTCAATAAATTTTCTCGGCTAAAAAAACCGGCTTCTAAATTTGCAGTCGAAAAGCGTTTTTATATGAAAATTTTCGCTCTTTTAATTTTTTTGAAGATTTAGAATGCACTCCAAAAAATGTCCAAGAAGAAATATTTAAAATATCAGATTAATAAAAATGGTTTACATAAAACATTCCTAATAAGCTTCTAGGCGCTAAACAGAGCGTTAAAAATAATTTTTCCGTGTTAAAAGTGATTCTACGAAATCCAAAAAACCGTCAGAGAATGAAAAAGATAACTAAAATTTGGAGAGTTAGAGATAATTTTGCCTATCGCGAAAATTACTTTGAACACGGCATACCTTTTCAAAAAAATTATAAACTTTTTATCATTTAAAATATTGGATGTACCTACACGAAGACAAACCCAGTCAAACTTTTTTGTAAAAATAAAAAAAATTACCTGGAAAGGTTTCATTTTCGGCGGCTCATAAGGAGTCAATTTTCGTTCCATGTGAAGATCGATCTGACGGCCACGATGGAGCTGAAGAAGTTCCCTCGGGATTCGGCTGAAAAAATTAGTTTCATTGAGCTATTTTTAATTGAATAATGTCAATTGAAATAATCAACGAAAATCATAATAATGAAATCTTAACGTTTGAGTGACGGCTACACGTGATTTGGCTTTAAAAAAAAAATCGAATTTTTCAATTTGAAATGACATAAAAACTATAAAATGACGATACTACGTAAACCATGAGGATTATATCGGTTTAGGGTCAATTTTAAATTCAAAATTCTCAAGAATAAACGAAAAAAGTCCATCAAATCTTGATATTCACCCCTGCATGATATCCTGAATAAACTGTTCGGATTCCGGATCGTTCAACATTCTCAACGGACCATCGTCGATGGAGAAACCGTTGGGGTACATGTACAAGGTGACGCGGACCTGGAAAAAATCGATTCACTAGGGAATGGTCTCCATTCGCAGTGGGACTTCTGAATGAGACTAGGTTCCCTAGATGTAGTTTTTCACGCTGATTCCAAATCTAGTCTCGAAAACTGCCCTCGAGGCCTGTGAAAAAAGTTAGGGGCTCTCAAACCCGAAAAATTCGATTTCTCCGATTGAGCTCCTTTTTGGAAGGTATAAAGTCCTTGTTCCCCCGGTAACGGAAAACCATTAAATTTTTCTCGAAAAGGTTCTGGAGCGCAGATATGATTTTTCAAAGCTCGTCAGAAGAATATTGTATACCAAGTAATAGATATTCAAAAAAAGTTGAAAAAATGGCTGAATCTTAGGAAAAATTCTAATTTTTCCAAAATATAGTAAAGTAGAACCAGTTATTTTTTGGATATGATAAGCCTTATCAAGTTACTTTTTTACAAGGTCACTCCTGAAAATTTTCAACAGAGCGAACTTTGATTCGAAACAAATTTTGGTGCATTTTGAAGCAATTTTAGACAATTCGCAAACTTCGAAAAAAAAAATTTAAACATTTTCGACCATTTTAAGACAATTTTCGTGCATTTTTTGAAGATTTTGACCATTCTGGGAAAGTTTTTAGTGGCCACTATAGGGTTTTGACGTTTTAGTGGCCACTATTGTAGTCGAATTAGTGGCCACTTGAGGGGTTAAAAATTAGTGGCCCGTATAGAGGTCTAAGTGCTACTACTAGACCTCCTAGTGGCCACTTTAGGGGGCAATGAATCAACATAACTGGTCCAATCTGTTTGTTTTAAAATTATCAGAGTTACTGGAAGGAATACTGGATGAAAAACTACTGAAGTGGCCACTAAAAAGGAAAATAGTGGCCACTTTAGCGTCCTCTCCAACTAGTCCTTGGCGAGCCTCTATAGTGACCACTAAAAATTTTTCTGAATTTCCAAACATTTTCGCGCGCTTTAAAACTTGCATTTCAGACACTTTTTGACAAAAAAAAAGCCCTTCACAAGTATATTTCAACAAAACTTCATCCCTTACCGGCCCCTCAGTCGCCTCGCCGTCGCTGACACGGACCGCCGGTTCGGGATTGCCGTTGAGACGAACGCCACGTCCTGTAGTCGCGGGACGACGCGACCGCGATGTCGCGTCGTCTGCACTGACGGCTTCAGCTCCATGTCGCGACGCCGACTGGAAGACTCGCGCCGCGAGATCGTCGCCGTCGCGGCCCGATGGTCCCAACACTTGCTGGCCACTGGAAAATAAGATTTTCCGGTGAAAGATCTCAATTTGAAACCAATTTGAGCAATTTAACACATAAAACGAATTTCTCAACATCCCAACAACCAATAATTCAATAAATTCAGGTATTTCTGACCTGTGCTCACTACCGCCAACAAAAAATCCCTGACGACCATCTTCGCCGTCAGAATCCGCTCCAGAATCATGGCCACCACCACTTTGCAAGTCACGCAAACCACGGATGCTGCAAAAAATATTTTCAAAATTAGAAATTTATCAAAAAACTCACTTTCTGCTCATTTTTCGTAAATTTTGCTGGGAAGGATCCTGTAAAATGTATGAATGAAAAAACAAGCAGCTATTCAAGAACTACAGACGTTGATTACCTTTGAAATGAGAACAAACGATTATAAAAAAAATGATTAAAAAAATAAAATGTGACGCGCGTTGGGAAAAAGTTGCGCGTCATGACATCGCTTTGCCCGCATACACTTCGCAAATAGCGCTGCAGGGAAGACACCTACAGTAAACTACACGAAATTTGACCTCGCCAAATTTTGCTCCAATTTTTGGTCAAAAAACATGCAGAAGGTCTTCGATTTTGGCGGAATCTCGATGAGGTAGGCGAAAAATTTGTTTCGCAGGTTTTTAAATTTTTTAAAATTTAATTTCTTGATGCTGAAATTAATTTTATGTTCGATCAAAAAAATATTTTGAAGGGATGGAAAAGCCGGTCGAAGACGCGGCTCCTCCGGCATATTCTACTGCGATTGCCAGTCCGTCTGATTCTGTTTTACCAGCAACAGCACCAGTAGAAGGTTTGATTTGATCTTTTTCATGGGATGAAAGGAAAGATTGAATTTTTAGAAGTTCCGAAAACGGCGGCCCCTCCAGCATATTCTGCTGCGGTCGCCAGTCAGCCGGCTCCAGCAACAGCTCCAGTAGAAGGTTTGAATCATTGAGGAACGATATTTTATTAATAATTGCTTTTAAGAGTCTCCAAGAATTGCCCAAGCTTCTCCGCCAGCTCGCCCATCACCTCCACTTCCACAGTGTTCCCAAACGAGCGGCAGCTGTGGTCAGTAGGCGTGGCTGACTGCAACAGCGGCACGGTTTATTGCAATAGGGGCGCGGGAATGAGAGTCAAGTTTTGTGGATTTAGTGGTTGGAAAAAGACCATTAAATGATGTTTTTCCTAGGTTCTCGCAAGTTTTCGAAGATTTTTAATGTGTATATAATTATAACGAACAAATTTAAATGAAGAAAGAGACGAAAAAGTTTTTGCAAAACACAATATCTCCCAAAATGTCGTTTTTTAGGAAAACTCGTCAAATCGAACTTCCAAAGGGAAAATTGAGAAAAAGCTCAAACCACTTCTCTCAAGAAATACCATTTGAACGTTTTAAAACAAAAACAAATACATATTATCTTGTACGAATAAAGTTGTCACCCAAAATGACATTTTCAGGAATAATTTCGTCGAATACTGCCTCGAAAAAAAAATTTTGAGAAAAATCTCACAGCGTTTCTCTTAAGAAAGTCCATTTGAAAATTCTTAAACAAAAAAACAAACGAAATATCTTATGCGAAATAAGTTGTCATCAAAAATGTCCTTTTAATGCAAATTTCTGTGATGAGAAAAATCGAAAATCACTTCAAATCTCTGGAAAACGCGATAAACACGTTTTGAGAACACATACAATGTGAAAAAATACGAAAGAATGGTAAAATACGCAAGAAAAAGAGAAAAAACCGTATTAAAAGTGAATGAAATTTTGTGGGGGTGACACGCGCCGCACCGCGTTGCGTTAGAAAAAACTCGCGTTTTCGCCCCATTGCGACGACCTTTTTTTTCGCTTGCCGCCGTCTCTTTTGGAACACTGTGACTTCCAGTTCCGCCTCCACCCCAACAATTCTTGCCACAACCTCAGCCTCAAGTTCAATTCGTTGGCCCACAAGGGGTTCAATACTTCTCGCCTCCACAAATGGCAATGGCTCCTGGATATGGGTTTTTTTTTTGAAAATGAGTTTTTTCGAATGGAAATATTCAAGAATGATGTCCCCTCCGAATCCGTACATGATGTGTCCGCAGATGTACCAACCACCTGCACCTAGTCAAGGTAAGAATTTTAGAAATATATCAAAAAAATTCAAAATTGTTTGAAAGTTACTGTAAATTCATTTTCAAGCGTACTTTTATCGACTGAGTGTTGAAGTTTATCTTGAAAAAATGCTATTCAATCAATTTTAATTAAAATCATTGAAAAAATCTTCAAAATAAAAAAATCACTATGAAATGAATTAAAAAATCGAGCCAAAAATCAAGAAAAAAAATTTTATTTTTTCTTTTGAATTTACGGTGATTTTATGCAAAGGGTTCTTCTATTCAATCAAATTTTGATTCAAATTAATAAAAAAAGTGCTCAAAATTGAAAAAAATCACGATGAAATGAACTGAAAAAAATCGAGACAAAAAAATCAAGAAAAAAAAATTTTTTTGAGGACGATTTTTTTAAGTTTTTAAGTTCAAGTTTTTTTAGTTTTGAAAAAAAAATTTTTTTGAGCTAATATAGTAAAATGTGGTTCAAAAAAACGTAACCAAATTAAAATTTTTCATTTTTCATCGAAAAAAATGCTTCAAAATTCAACATATCTTCAGAAAAAAATGAGTATAGATTCTTTTTAACGGCTGGAATGAGACACAAAAAAAACATCATAATTATAATTTTTTTCTTGAAAAAAAGACTCAAAAAGCTATAACTCGACTATAAGCTCTTTTAAATTTTAAGATTATTCGAAAAAACGGAAAAATTAGAGCCGAGGCTAAATAGTTTCATCTTTAGAAAAAAAGGCTGTGTGAATTTTTTTGGACGCCGAACTCAAGATATCAAATTTTAAAATTTAAAAAAAAGACATCAAAAGTAAGTTTCGACGAGTTCAGCACCAATCAACGTGGTGGTGAACTCCAACGCGAACGCCGGAGGAGGCGGCGGCGGTGGCGGAGGAACCGGCGGAGCTGGAGGAGGTCTAGGAGGAGCTGGAGGAGCCAATGGCGGCGGCGGAGCCCTTGTCTGTCCGAAATGCCGGAAAGGCATCATCTCGAGGGCTCAGGCGCGGAGACGAAAAGTTTGTTTTTTTGGGTCTTTAAAAGCTCGAGTTAAGCGGTTAATTTTATTAAAAAAAGGTACCTAGTTTCACGGGAAAAACTTGTGAGCTTTTTTTCAAAAATTTTCTAGTTCAAAAAAAAGACTTCATCCTTTTTTTCGTTTCGATACCATTTAAAGAAAATAAATGCAAAAAAATTTAAATAGTCGCTGTGCCACGAGTTGAAATTTCATGGAACGACACTCCGCTCGGTGGCCTTGTGGCCGTGATGAATCAATGCCTTTGCGGATCTCGGTCACGCTTTCCCACTTTATAATTTGCCGTTTTTAAATACATTTTCTTCGATAACTCCTTAGTTTTAGGAACTTTTCAGCAGTGCAATGGATGAATAAAATTTTTCGGAATGCCAGTAATTTAACCAGAGGATAAATGAGCCATGGCTTTAACAAAAACACACTTTTTTAATCCCTCTTTTCGAGGAAGACCATGAAACTAACTGTGTTCTTTAGTTTACATTCGTACAACGCAATCTTTTTCAACGATAATAATACATTTTAAAGAAATAAAACAATTAAAAAACGATCAAAATTAGAATTAAAACCAAAAAAAATTAGCGTGGCCGAGGTTGGCAAATTCGCACGATGCGCGCTACCGCACAAATCGAAACAGCGGGGTGTCGTTCCATGAAATTTCAACTTGTGGCCCATCAACTATATGAAAAATAAATTTAGATGATTGATTTCCTTAAAAAAAAAGGTACCTAGGTTTACAAGATCTCCTTGTGAGCTCTATTTTCAAAAATTACGGAATTAAAAAAAATGAATTTTTTTTCTTTGTTACGTTGACATTTCATGCAAAGAAAAAAACGTTTTTCTGAGTGCGTAAAAAAATTAGAATTAGGTTCTTAATTTTTATTTTTAAAAAGACACCTGGTTTTTACAAGAGTTACTTGTGAGTTTCATTTTCAGGAATTTCAATTAAAAAAAGTTTCGCTTTTTCTTTTTGTACAGATGAAATTTTTAAGCTAAGGTTCACATGATAAAAAAATTCTTATTTATGAAAAATATCTTGGAATTTTTAGAGCTATAAAACCGTGAAAACATAGTCTGTATTAGCCTTGAAATCATACTGAACTTCAATTAAAAAAATGATTTTTCAGTTCAAAAAAATATAAATTGTCTTATAACTTCCACAAAAAAACTCTAATTTTTTTAAATTTTCAGGGGTAAAATTCCACGAAAATGTTATTGAAAAGCGCTTTTTCCTTAATTTTTAAACCGTTTATTCCTTACTAAAAATCTTGCTGAGTTAATTAAAGGCGCATAGAAAATTACATTAAAGGTCTCGAGACGAAGAGCCATTTTGAGTGTTATTTTGAGTCCCGCAATGCCTGTAGTGATTCAGAAAGGAATTTTTAAACGGTCTATAATTTTTTGATATTTTTAAAGTCGTTCCAAAATCGGCACTGGAATATCAAAAAATATTCATAATTGAATTTTAGGTAAAGCTTAAAAAAATTGCTTCAGATGGTGATCATGTGCCTGTCAACCATTCTGTTCCCCTGTACCTGCGGATTACTGTACTGTTTATTGCTGAAAAACTACGTGGACACCTGCACGGCCTGCGGGAAGCAGTACGGTCACCGTGGCGGCAAGAAAGCCGGCAAAGTCAACGCCGTCACTTTGTAAATCCACCGTAATCCATGTTAAATACGTCCCTTTTGTACTTTATTGCATCCTTCTTGTCATAAATCCTCACTTTGATTCAAAATCGATGTCTTTATTGACAAATGCCGTAGCCTAATTTAGTCCGTTTACCATGACTTGGAACAGTCTGGGCCCTCTTTTCTCTAACCTGAGAGAGAAAAATAAATGAGAGAGAGCAGAGAGGTCATGTTTCAAGTCATGCTGAATGGACTATAAAACATTCTGAACATGAATATGCTGTTTATTGTGTGCGAGTATAAATTAATCTTTGGTCGGAGCTTCAGAGAAGCTTCTGGATGACGCTGGCCGTGATCGGATGCATGTTCGGAATATTGGCCTTAAACTGGGCGATTGCGCGGTCGCGAGCCTGTGGCCAGGCGAAGAGGGCTCTAAAATGTGAAATTAATTGAATCGAAATCAAAAAGATAATCGGCCAAGTGCTTCTGTCGTGTGCAAAGGAATTTCGGGTTGTCCAAATTGAAAAACCGACAGCGCGAAATCGACAAAAGTTACTCCAAAAAATGGGTCTCAAAACGAAAAGAATAAATAGACGATAAGGTTACTGTAAACGTCCAAACTGAACAAGTTCCTGATTTTGAACAGGTCAGCGCTAAATTTTACAGTATTCACTACAAACTTTAGAGTGGTCCCTATAGGGGCCCTTGGAGATCCCCCTCTAGAAACTACTTTACCAACCCCTATAGGGATCACTACAACTTGCAAGAGTGGTCCCTATAGGTGTTAAGGGTAAAAACCCTTACAGGGGCCGTAAAGGTGGTCCTTATAGGGTTTTAGTTTCTGACCCCTTGGCCCCTACAGTTGAAATTCTAGTCGATAATTTTTATGAAGAAGCATTTTCATGCGAAAAAAAATAACGAATAAAAATGAAAAACCCCTAAAGGAACCACTTAAGGTTTAAGGGCTAAGGGGTCAGGCACTAAACTCCTATAGAGACCAACTTCCTTATAACCCTATAGGGACCAATTTTTCGGCCCCCATAGGTGCTGTTTTCCCCCTAACCCCTATAGGGACCACTCTGGAACTCCTAAGATCAACAACTCCCATTTGAAACTTAATTTTTGTCTTTTTCTCTTCAACTTCGAGATGTAATTTTTCCAAATAAAGTCGTTTTTTCTGAAATCCCTTTGCATGATAATGTGAGTTACTAGAACCCAAAAAATCTCACCTACATCCAAGAATTTGTCTTTGAAAAGCTTCGACAGATTTTCCATTAATCAAGCCAGAAATGACGAATTTCGAATACGATGCTCAACCTCATTGACATACGCTACAGTTGGAAATTATTTAGCCAAAAAAATCTGTTGGATATTATCTTTTTTATATATTGATGGTCATTTCACTTTGCGATTGAGAATTTCGTAAAAATTGGCCAGAACACTTCTTGATGTACCAAATGAAGATTCTGAAAGTTTCGACCTGCACAACTTCCTAGTTTTCGAGAAATAAGGGCTCAAAATAACCCATTTTTTTATGGATTTCGAGAGTTTTCTTTGAATTTTAGGCGTCTTTTCTCAAAACGAGAAATTTTTGCAGGTTGAAACTTTCAGAATCCTCTTCTGGTACATCAAGGAGTGTTCTGGCCAACTTTCACGAAAATCCCAACCGCAAAGTAAAATTTAAGGAAATCCCAATCGACTATCCTCTTTGAATCTCACCTTTTTTCGATAATTGAAATCTCGAGATCTCAAAAACCTTTAAAGAGCTTCGAAAAGAAAGGGTAAAGATAACAATTTCGTCCAGAATACTACCCGGGGAAAGAGTTTTTTCTCACAAATTTCAGAAAACTCTGAAGTTCTGTGATTTTATCTGACCAAGGAACTCTCTTGGAATCATTTTAACATGGACATTTTTCAAGACCTTCTCAATTATTCTCCGCTTCTACCTGTAATTCTTACCTATAAATCCTCGAATTTCTACTTTACCTATCCAACCTATAATCTCTTAAAATTCAGGTTAACCTTCCATTTTCAGGACTTCCTTATATCAAATTTAAGCTTCAACACTGGCTTCTCAATCATTTTCAGCTTCTACCTGTAATTCTCACCTATAAATCGGCATGAAGCCCAGCCAACTTCACGGCGTTTTTGTAAGTCAAAAAAAATGCAAAACCAAAAATTAAGGGGGCGTGGTCAAAATCTCCGCCGTTCCCATGTGACGTCAAAGGGAAAACGCGTAAACAACAGGAAATATTAAAGGCGCATGAATGGGTCATGAGACGAATCCACTTCTCGTTTTAAAAAAACGCCATTTTTGTTTTAAAACACATGCCGCGTTGAAAGTGATTCAGCGAAATTAAAAATAGCCACCAGAGTGAAAAATATAACTGAAATTCAGTTGGAGAGAATTACGTTGAACGCGGCGTGTGCCAGAGCGCCGCAGTGTATGCACACGACGCAGTACACTTTCCGGAAAAAATATGGACAGGCCGTCGCCAAAAAAAAAACGCCGTGGCTTGATCTTTCTTGAACTTGAGGTGAACCTACTCTGTTCAGAAATTCCCTATTTCAAAATTCAGCTTCAACACAAGCTTCTCAACCATTTACAGCTCAAACCCTTAATTCTCACTTATAAATCGGCATGCAGCCCTCCCAAAATAATATTTCTTAACCTTGAGCTGGATCTACTCTTTTCAGAACTTCCTTACTTAAAATCTGGCTTCTCAACCATTTCCCGCTTCAACCCTCAAATCTCACCTATAAATCGGCTTGCAGTACTTCATCCTTCCAATGGCCAGGGCGAAGGCCAAAGACGGCTCCAGAATCGGTTGCCACTGGATCTCCAGTCCTAACATCAGCCAACTGAACTTGAGCTCGCAATTTTTGGCCTGATCAAGTTGATAAGTCGTCGTGAGCTGCGGCATCTGAAGGGAAGGAGTATTTCTAAGAAAAAGGAAGATTTTGGGGTACTTTGGCTTCAGAAAAGCCGCCTGAAGCACGGATCGCGTCGATGACGGCACACTGAAAAAAATCCGGGGTTTTTTTGAAATTATCAAATTTAGAATAAAAAAACTCTTTTTTTAGAGTTCTTTTAACGACGTTTTTAGCTCTGGAAAAAAATTTTAAAGGCAGTTATTTTTTTCAGATTTTTCGGACCAAACAAATTTTTTTTAATCAAGAATTCTGTTCAGTTCCACCATAATAAACCAAAAATTGTCTAGAAAAATTTCTCATTTTTTTCGATAACTTTTTTAGAATTTTTTTCAGTTCATTTCCGAATCTCCAAACCCTCTGCGAGTTTCCCATTTTGATAAAAGGCGCTGAATCCGTCGGCGGCGCTTCAGAAGACGTCCATTGGCTGGCGAGTTGCTTACAAGCCGTCATGAGGGTCGAATCATATCTTTGAAAATGCCAAAATGTAAGCTTTGTTCGTCAAAATAGGCCGCACGTGGAATGGCTCAAAGCATCGCCGTCGCGCTTTTTTTTAAATCAATCTGTTCCTTGAGCTGAAGACCGGCCCGTTAGCGAGCAAGGCCCCCATCAGAAAAAAGCCAAATCGTCTCAAAGAGCTCAGATTTCCAATATCAGACTTTTTTCAAGGAAAAAATCTCGTTTTCATTAATTTTTTTCCTCTCAAAATTAAACAGAAATTACGTTTCAACCAGTAAAAAAATAGAAATTTTTCCAATAAAGGTAAGGTTAAAAAAATGTTTTTTTGATGGACTTGTAAATTTTTCATTTAAACCTTGGGGGAGGGGTGGGGGGCAAGCCCGGCGCATGCCCGTCTGGCGCAAGTCGTTTCAAGTCCGGCGCGCTTTTCAGTGTACCAGAAATCCAAGTGAAGCCGAATAATATCAAAATAAACTCATTTTTAAAAGAATTCCGAAAAAATAGTGGCATCTCGATTTTTTTGAGCTTTTTTTTTAAGCTAGAGCACTTTTTTGAGCCATTCTCCGTGCGACCATTCCCAAAAACCCAGCAAAAAAATCACTTGGGCTTCGGTGGGACACCGGGCCGATTCAGCCACAAATTCCAGTCGATCGAGTCCAAAACGGCTTTTTTATCCGAAAAAAACTCGTAGAGATTCTCTTTCCACTGGTCTGTGTACACAGATTTGTGAGCGAACCTGTAAATTATATCATTTTATTTCTGATTAAATGATTTTTTTTTTCCATTTTCTTCTTGAATTTCATTCTATTACTCTGAGAAAATTGAGTTTTGGGCAAAAATCTGGAAAAAAAGGCCTAAAATTTTTTGAAGGGAAGGAAAAAATTCGAAAAACGCAGAGAAACGCAGAAAAGTCTGTTTTTCTCTGCGCCTCTTTACTTTACACTCTCTCTCTAGTTCCTTTTTAAAATAACTAGAGGCCAAGGTAAGAAAAGAAGTGGTTCGAAACTTGGGAAAAAAATTCAAAATTCAAAAAATACCAAAAAATACCCATTTTCTCAATGGAGCGCAAGTACTTTATGTTCAAGCTTCCCATTATTTTTTTTTTCAACTATCCCTTTTGAAATATTTTCAAAAAGAAGAGAGACAATTTAAAAAACACACAGAGAAACGCAGAAAAGTCTGTTTTCTCTGCGCCTCTTCTATTTACACCCTCTCTAGTTCTTTTTTAGAATTTCTAGGGGTCAAGGTAAAAAAAGTTGTAGAGTACAAGCAGGCTTGTGCGAGGGCCGGCCCGTCAACCTCTCGGCCCCCCGGCCACTTCCCAAGCCCGGCCCGACCCGGCCCTAGGGGGGCCTTAAGCAAAAATGGCTAGCCCGGCCCAAAAAACTTAAATTCTGTTCAAGTCGATTTTTTCGTTTTTTTTTAACGAGAAAATTGGTATTCTTGCTTATTTTTTCTCATAGAGTTATTAGAAACTATGATTCAAGAATTAAAAATAATTTTTCCGTGAAATTTTTTTTCAATATGAAATTTAAGATTTCTTTCGAAGCCCGGCCTGGCCCGAGCCCGTGGAGGCTTTTTTTTATAATTGAAGGCCCAAAGCCCGGGCCTGACGCACAAGCCTGAGTACAAGTGGTTCAAAACTTGGAAAAACCAAAAATGCCTATTTTCTCAATAGAGCGCGAATGCTTCATTTCGACATTTCTCTAAATTTTCACTTTCGTACTTTCTCCCAACTCACTTCGAAATATAAGTCTTCAGGAACTTTTCAAATCGCTCATTGTCGCCGATCAGTTGCTCAATGGTAAAAAGGAGGGCTGATCCCTTAAAAAACAAATTTTTTCAAAAATTTGTAGGATTTTCCAACTTTTTCATAAGGAACACAACTGAAAGCGTCGTCCGGATCGACTCCTTTCAGGTTTTGGACAAGTTTCGTGAACTCGTGATTTCTTCCGAAAACTTTTTCGACTGTGGGCACCAGGGTGTCCTGAAAACGGAGGAAAAAACCTGAATTTCTTCCCGAAAAATCTTAAAAAAAGAATCTCAACGTTTTTGATTTTTCCTGTGTTCAAAAGTTCACCTAAGAAATAAAAACTATAATTTCTAGGTCCGATTTCTGTCAAATTATAGATAAATTTACCTACTGGAGCAGCTGAAAAGCTTGTCATTCTCAAGCTCCCCAGTAAATCAAAAAACCAGATTTCTTGCAGAAAAACCGCGAAAAAAAGAAGAAAAAACTCAACTTCATGACAATTTCGTTATAAGGTTCCCTCTGTCCGTAAAAATAATAATCTCTACGTATCAGTCAAAAGAATATATCTTTGAAATCTCAGATTTTTTTAAAAGCTTTTTTCTCCTGCGAGAATGAGATCAGATTTAATTATTAAGCCTTTTTTCCCGAGTTTCTTAACTTTCAAACTGAAAAAAAATTAGGTTCGAAAACCCGAAATCTACATGGAACATTGATAAAAAGCCGTATTGTCATCTAGAATTTTTTTTTCCGTTTCTCCAAAGTTTTCAAAAATCCCCCCCCCCCTTTCTCACCTGAAACCCGCACTCGCTCTCAAACTGTCTTTCCTGTTCCCCGTACATTCTACCATGGATTTTCCGCTCCAAAAACACGGTGAAACCTTCGTTTAGCCTGAAAATCCTCAAAAACTCCAGGACCCATAATTTTCTACCAAAAGTGTTCCCAACTACAGTTCGTGACCAGATTCCCAGTCCAACTGTGGGAGATTTCATGGGCGATCACGTTGACCAATGAGCGATCTCCGGCCTGAAAAATCCGGTAGAAAATACGGGAGAAAATCTATAAAATGCGGACAGAACGGACGAACCAAGAGGGTCGGGGTGACAAATGTCAGACACGGATTTTCCATTCCTCCGAATGGGAAAGTGGCTGGGAGGACGACCAGGTCGTACCTGAACCACGAAAAAGGTGAAAATAGGTAAAAAGATGGACAAAAAAAAGTTTTAAAAAATATAAAAAATATTGAAATAGTCCCAAAAAAACAGCAGTTTGAAGTGAAAAAGTGCTAGAAAATAATAGGTTTGAAAAAGCTCTGGACAAAAACTGAAAAGGTAAAATTAATGAGGGCAAGGAAAAAAACAGCCATCTCAAGCCAATCAAGTGCGCTCCATGGCTAATTTTTGAAAAAGTAAGGATTGGTTTCCAGGAAAGGAAGATTCACAGAGCTCCACGGACAAGAAAAACTTTCGAATATTTGAATTTATGATTCGGTGAAAATAGCCACATATGCGCTCCATGGATAAAAAAAAAAAATCAAAAAAAGTGTTTCAAGTTTTTTCCACAAAAAAGTTTTTAAACCCCACAGGCGTTTTTAGACCACTTTTTTCAAAAGGATGAAGAAAAAAAAAGTGAAAAGTTAGGGCAAGGAAAAAACAGCAATCTCAAGCCAATCAAGTGCGCTCCATGGCTAATTTTTTTTGAAAAGTGAGGCTTAATTTTTAAGGAAACGAAGATTCACAAAGCTTTACGGACAACATAATTTTTTTAAATTTTTTGTGATTTTTTTCAATAAATTTTTACACACACCCCCATAATATAGCCATTTTTTTGACCACTATTTTTAAAACTTGTAATTTTTTTCGCCTTGTTCAACCGTAAGCCAACTTGTGAAGAAAAAAAAATAAAATCTTATATTTTTTTGATTTATTTTTTTCTAACAGTTTTTTTGCTCATTGTGTATTTAAACTTGTCACAAATTCTAGCAAAATAACTTTTTGAAGAATCTCAAAAAAACTATTAGTAAAGCTGGATTTCTACTCAATTAAATCCAATAGAAGTCGCTGGAGATCTAGAATGGCTAATTTATAATTTGACACCAATTAAAACCATCTATGAAACGTATGTTCAACTGTTTGTCATAAGTTTGAATTTCCCGGTATTTTTATCAAATCCATCTGGTCTTTGATGAAATTTTCGAGTTTGAAACGATTTCTCTTCCACACAAAACACAAAAAACGGACAAAAATCACATAAATCTTTTTTTAAAATTCCCAATAATCCTCACCTTCCCCAAACATACGGTCCAGCCACATCCTCAGCCACTTTCAGAATTTTTTCAGTTTCTGCAAATTCATAGGCGGCGGCTTCAGCGACAGAAGGTTCACTCCAAACGGCGCATCTTGAAAAAATGGCCGTTGTTTCTTTTTCCAAGTGCGCTCGATTGAGAAAACCTTTCACTGATAACTCTCTGTTCCAAATGGCCAACTACAATCGCGAGGAGGTAGGCCGGGACGGCCACTGGCTGATTGAATTTGTATTCCGTGACGTCACCAGACTCCTAGGAAACGTGACGTCACTATTTCTCCAGCGGTCATGATTATTATTCAAAAAATCAAAAGTTCTCATTAAAAATGGTGTCATCGGAGCTTCAAGAACGACGTCAGTATATTTAAAAATAGAGGCAGTGCAGATTTGGCTTGAGCCATTGAAAAAAGTCCTGATATGACAAGGAAAAAAATAGTGTTTTTTTGACGGAGAGCACAGACAGGCCACGCCCCTTGACGTCATAAGTTATATAAGGGTCACTGATCACAGTCTGTTCAGATTTTGTACGTCAAGCGAGCGCTCAAGCTCCGCCCCTAACGCCGCGACAAGCAAATCAGAGAGCGAGCGCTCCAGACAGGAGATATGAATGACGTCATTCCGTTTCATTGTCCGTGACACATGTGGGCTGAATTCCGGCGCAGCCTTTTTGCGCGCGAAAATTTGAAAATTTTTCGAAAATGGCCGCACTTTTCGGAGGGGTTTGCGGCGCAGAGGTTGGATCCAGCCCACGTATGGTTCGTGACGTCATCAGCCGCCAAAAAAGACATGGTTTCAGGAAAAAACTTTCAGAGCTGGAAAGTTCAAACCCAACGGCTTCCAATAATATTTAGGTTCAGGAAAATAATTATATAATCAAGAAATGGCCTCAAATTTTATGTGATTTTTGATGACGTCAGCAAACTTCTAGCCATGACGTCATTTTATATAAGTTTCATTGCTTTCCATTCAAAAACCTTGTGGATATCGCCTATTCACGGGGAACTTGCTAAGGGGGCGTGGCCTGTCTCGGCTCTCCATCTATCATACACTATATTTCCTTTTATCGTGTCAAGACTTTTTTCGACAGCCAAGCCATCAGCTCTACATTCCGTTAATATGCTCATTATGAACTATTTTCTTTTCCTCAGACTTCCTGAAAACAATTTTTTTCTCAACTCACCGTATTTCCATCGCCAATCGCACTCATTAGACACGTCAAACCCTTGGGGACCGATACCTAAAAATCAACTTTTTTTCCTTTTTTATTGCCTTTTTCTGAAACCTTAGCGGAATATGTGCTTTTGACGGAAGGCGTGTCCATAGAAGGCACAATCGTTCTGGCGTGAATCGCTTGACATTGAGAAAAAAGGTAGGGCGCCTTGAAATTCAAAACTAAACTTAGAAGGGCTTTAATGACCTTTTTTCTTTGATTATAGTGGAATCCAACTCAGAAAAAGCCCTTAAGTGACACCTTGACCTTTCCATTCTGCTCTATTTCTTGATGCTATGTTTAGCTTCGGGAAAACTTCAAGAGATCGCTTAAGGGACTAAAATAATAGTTCTAATCGAGCTCTCTTAAGGGATCACTTCTAGTTTAATTTTGCGTATGAAAGGGAAGAAAGATCACTAAAGAGGGCACTATGAACTATTTGGAAGTAATCCCTTGAGTGGAATATTTTTCCTTAATATTCTGAACTTCCTTATCCTTCTAACGACGAAAAATAATAGAGGGAAGCGCAGAAAATCCAGGAATCTACTGGGAAACCCTCTAGGGGCCACTTAAGAGGTTCCCCAAGGACTAGTTGGAGAGAACACTAAAGTGGATACTAGAAAAAACCTCTACAGAAACCACTGCAGTAGTTTTTGTGGTCTAGTCGTACCACTCAATCTTTTAAAGGGACCCCTACATTTTTGCCACTTAAGAGGCCACTATACCAGTTTTTTAATGGTCATTTGGTACCACTCAGACTTCTAAAGTGACCACTACAGTTTAAGCACTTAAGTGACCACTATAGTAGTTTTTTGTATTCTAGTAGAACCACTCACACTTCTAAAGGGACCACTACATTTTAACCACTTAAGTGACCAATAATTCGACTACCATGAAAGCCATTAAAACGTCAAAACCCTAAAGTGGCCACTGAAAATATTCCCAGTGAAGCTCAACCGATCAAATGCGCTCCATTGAACTATTGACTTTTTTCACCTTTTTATCCGTCGTCTGTTCGCCGGTCAAAAACTGCAAAGCGGCCGCATTTTCGCCAGTTGTATATGCAATTGTGACGACTCTAGAACCAATATTTTCAATATTTTTCTGTTTTTTGGGGATTCTCACGGTAAAGATCCAACGTTTTGTACTGAACCAAAATCGATTTCAAGTTTCTGGCCCAGGGGTCCATTTGACTCAATTGTATACTTCAATTCCTTATCGTTCCATTTAATTGATGAAATCGCAAGGCCGTTAGAGTCGAGAACCTTAAAATTAATAAAACGCATATTTTTCTTCAAATGAAAAGCTGGGGTCGCATTTGGAATGGCTTTGACTCAAAAAAATATTTTTTTACTCGATTTTTTTGTCAAATTCGCCCTTTTTTTCTATATAGAAATCTATCAAAAAAACGTATCTATTTCTGGAAAAATAAATGAATTATAAAGTTACAAACGATAAAAATATAGTTCATTCATGACCATTTCGTGAAAAAAAAATAAACATGAAAAATTTTTTTGAATTTTAGGCGGCTAAACTGCAAAAAGGATAGAAAAAAAGTAACGAAAAAAATGAATTTTTCAAGCTCTTAATATTAGGTTCTAAAAATATAAAATAACCATTTCCAGAAAAAAATAAAATCAAAAACCAACCAATTTCGACGTATTTTTTTCAGCACTTCAACCGTCAAATCGACATTCCCAGAAATATTTTTCTTATTAAAATCGACGTTCCAATCAAGTTTGTAATGCTTGACCACAACCTTGAAAAATAGTTAATTATTATATTTTTCGAAAATATTATGAGAACTTCTTCGTAATTCGAGCAGGTTGATGGATCGCGCGGGGCCGGCATTTTTTCTGTTGGAAAAACATTTTATTTCTCTTTTTTCACGAAAATAATAAAGTTTAAAGAAACACAAGTTCGCATTTGACGATTTCAGAAACACTCACACGCATAAAAAAATATTGAATAATATTTATTGGGTCCAAAAATGAATAAAAATAAAAATTGTGCCACTTTCATCTTAAAAATAAGGTTGTTAACGGATAATTTTTCTGACAAATGCAATAAATTGAGCAAATCATGAAGTTTTATCACAAGTATTTCTGTTCAAAAAGTCCCAAAATAGTCTTTTTTTGAATAATTAAAAAGTCTTGCAAGAAAAAAAGAAAAAAATTATTTTTCGTCTTCGAATTTTTGATTAACTTTTTTTCTAAAAAAAGCTTTAGAACTCTAAAAAAATGTTTTTGAACAAAAAAATTAAACATGAAATCTTTTTCTCAAGATCTCAACAAGTTTCTGTGACACAGCTTTGAACTGAAATCAATTATTCACGATAACTCTAAAGAACTAAGTTTTGGTCAAGGACAAGCAAACGATATCATCAGAATAATAATCGGGATCAAAATCAGATCTAGGCAATGCATTACAATGAAAATATTGCTTAACACTGTCAAAAAACAGCTTTTGAGCCTCGGCAGGCTGACCTATGTCCCGTTTCTCAAAAACACACAGAAATTCATCGGCAGAACTGGAATGGAGCAATTTCAAGAGAGGATCAATACTATCGATGTAATAAATACAATCAATCAGAAGAACCATGGAGAAAGATTCAGGAATGGGGTCTTTCAGCCAATCTAACGACTTCGCATGGACTTTTCCTTTCAGAAGATGCTGATTTTCGGAAAGATTCTTTTCGAGAAGAGGAAGTCTTTCTGGAAGATCTGTGAGGAGAACTTCAGCTCCGAGGGCCCCGAGGACCAATCCGCAGACGCCAGTTCCTGCGCCCAGTTCCACCACCTAGAACTGAAATGAAAAAGTTGGAAAATTGTAGAAGTTAATCTTAAAATTTAGTTTTTAATTCATAGAAATCTCAAGCTTTGGCCATAACTTTATATTGTGTCTGACTGAACAACCAACTCGAAAATCTAAGCCAAAGTTCGTTAAAATGAAACAAAATTCCAAATCTACCTTCTTATCCATCCAATATTCGCGATTTTTCAGGAATAAGTGAGCTGCTACAAGAGCACTGTCCCAGATTACGCCACCGACATCGCTTATCAATTCCTGCAACAAATATTACTTCAACACGATTCAAAACTAAACTTCAAAAATTAAACAGAAATTTACCTGATGAATAGTTAGTGTTCTGCCGTCGCCCAATTCTACTTCTCGAGTAAAGTCTTCGCTCATTTTTTTTAGAGCAATCGAGCCTTACCACGTGAGCGCAAGCTTGATAAGCTTGTAAGAAATGAATGAAAGGAAAAATGAAGTTTCAAAATGAAAGTTTAAATACTGCGACGAAGTTGCTCAATGAGTGCGCACCCGTTGCGGAACCCCGCTCATTTTTTCCTTTTTCCTTTTTTATTTTTATTTTTATTTTCCGTTTTATCAAAGCTGAATGCTAATTTTGTTTAAATTTACGCATTCATTCAGAAATAGCTCTAGTAATTTCCCATTTTTCATGCAGCTTGTTTTTTATTTCTTCCCGAACACCCCTTATCGCTGGTATCTCTTTTTTCATTTTCTCTCTAAATTTCTTCTGTTTTTCTTCTCTCTTTCTCTCTCTGAAGTCATTGTTCTGAACACTCACTGTTTCCGAGAGAAATCAGTCACGTTCCACGCTTTCAATCGCTCGATACAAAAGAAATTCTTTTATTAATTGGATTCTTCCTATTTTGCGCTGAAATCAAACCCCAACCAAAGTAATTTTGTAGGAGGGGTTTTAAACTGAGAAACAGTCGGGAAATGCAATCCCTGGTGCCACATCTGAAATTCCTATCTGTATTTTGCGTCTATGTGGCCTACGTTCTATTCCGACGGCTGCCAATTGCGTTTTTGTCGCAAATTCGCACTGAAATACCGTTGAGCAACGACGATATCGGTATGTTTTCTTGTTTAGGGAATGGAAAAAATAATAAGTGTGGAAAACGTGAAAAAGTGGATTCGAAGCCCTTCAAACACCTTCAAAAAAATACCGAAAATCCGAATTTTTCGTTTTTCAACGGATTTTTGGCTTGTATTTAAAGATTTAAGAACTTTTCAATGAAGTTGATCCAAAAAATTGTTTGGAAGGACTGTGAAAGTATAAAAATTGAGCTGAAAAATAAAATATCAAGGTGTTTAGAACGAAAATTGCGTTTAAAACATAAGGTAAACGATGAAAATAATTTGAAAATCGAAAAAATAGGAAATTTGGCAGTTTTTCTGTGATTTTCTTCCTGATTGATAGCATATCAAGCCATCTGCTACGAAACTACGTTTTTAATAAAATAATAAAAAAAGAGTGAAAAGATGAAAATAAAACTCAGCAATCGTGTACCGGTAAAACCTCACCCAGTCCTTCGATTTTCTCTATTTTTGCCCCATTTCTTGTTGTCTTCTTCCTTTTTTATCTCTCCCCTTCTGCGCTTCACTTTTTATCGCTGTTTACCTTTTAAACTTGTTTGTTCCCACGTGTGGTTTCTTCATTTTGCAGACGAATGTAAAATCCAAGTTTGTGAATATTTGTGTGATAAACTTTGAATATTCAACGTGTCGCCATGGTCGGCTACACACCGGAGCCGATCAACGGCCAGCTGCAACTCACTTCGACTGAATATAGGTAGGATTTTGTGGGTTGAGTCTTGAAGATAAATGAGAGTAAAAAGTTTGATTTTCAGGTTTTCTTGTTTTAGGTAGGATTTCATGAGTAAAAATTATGAAGGCTTGGATATAAATGAAAGTAAAAAGTTTGATTTTCAGGTTTTCTTGTTTTAGGTAGGATTTTGTGGGTTAAAGGTTGAATTTATGACTGTGAGTTAAAATATAAAAGATTTATTTGAAAGCTTACGAGTTTTTAGATAGGATTTTGTGGGTAAAAGATTTTTTTTTTGGGTAGAAAAATGTTCAATTTTGAATTTTAGGCAGGATTTTATGGATAACAGGTTTAATTTAAGTCTTCCTGGTTTTTCTCTAGGAGTTCTTCGGATCATTTTTAGGTGCAGAAAAGTTTAATTTTAAGTTAAGATTTCGTGGATCAATAGATAAATTCATGATTTCGCTGTTTTGTTAATAAAACATTATAAAGAAGAGAAATTTTTCAATTTTTTTCAATTTTTAGGTTGGGTTCTGTGAACTAGTTTAGGTAGAAAAATAGTTCAGATTCGATTTTTAGGGGGATTTCATAGATAAAAGATTGAATTTACGATTATTAATGGAAAAAACGGGTTTTTTTGAGGCTTTCAGATTTTAGTTGAAGAAATCGGTTTATAAAGGGATGAATTTATCCCTTTTAGGTAGAAAAACGTTTATTTTAGAAGGGATCTGCGAGTAAAGAATCTTTTTTCAGGTAGAAAGTCGTCATTCTCGAAATTCGTGTAGTAATTTGTGAATAAAGGAATCATTTTTAGCTAGAAAATTTTTTATTTTCAGAAGTTAGGTAGGATTTAGTGATTAAAATGGATCACTTATGGTTTTTAGGTAGAGAAGAGCTTGATTAAAAGTTTCATATAGGATTCTATAGATTAAATAATGAATATGAGATTCTGAATAACAAAAAAAAGATTTATTTCAAGGCTTGCAGGTTTTGAGCTCGTTTTTGTGGAGTAATTTGAAGAAAATCTCATTTTTTACAGTTTGGAGTAGTTTTCAGGAGATTTTTATTAGTAAATAGTTCAGAAAGAAGGTTTTCATGGAGTAATTTCAACTTGGCATGAAATTATATGGCCAGAAGCTCTCAGTTTTTCAAAGATTCATTTTTTAACGATTTTGCTCAAGAAGCCATTTTTCGTACACGAGTTTAATGCTGCCTTTTGATACTTTTTTAAATTTCTTTCTCAAAAATTTCGGTTCTGAAAAATAAGTTTTTTCTTTCCAGTGAAGCAGGCCTAGCGAGTGGCGTGCTAACCCGAGTTATCATTCAACCTTTGGATGTCTTGAAAATTCGGTTTCAACTACAAGAAGAGCCGATTCGCGGCAAGGCTTCTGGGAAGTATAAGGTGATTGGAAAAAATCGAAAAAGCTGAATTTTCGCAGCTTCTGGCTATGAAGCCTCATTGTAGTGAAAAAAATTTTTAATTTTTTTATCATAATTTTTCTAATTTTTCAAGTTTATTTTTTTGCTCAAAAAAACGACTTTTAAAAAAAGCCAATTTCAGTGAAGGAAGCTTATAAAAACTTCACTTTCTGACAACATTGCATCATTTTCGAATTATTGATTTTTCCAGGGCGTGATCCAATCAATATTATTAATTTCACGAGAAGAAGGCGTTTCGGCCTTTTGGAAGGGTCATATTCCAGCCCAGGGACTGTCCGCAATGTACGGCCTCGTACAGTTTTCCTCCTTCGAATGGCTTTCCAGAGAGGTTTGTCGAGATTTTCAGCAAAAAAAAAATGTGGGAAAATGTTGATTTTCTGCTTGAAAATTGATTGAAATCGCGTTTGAAACTTATTTTTCGGTTTTTGTAGAGAAAAAACGAAAAATTTTGGGGGTTTTTGTCGGGAAAAGACTGAATTTTCTGCTTTGAAAAGTCTTCAAAAAAAAAAATGGAAACTTCAAAAATTCGATTTTTTTAATGTATTAATTTCATCATTAACGCCTTTTTCAACATAGTTTTTTTGAAGGAAAAAAACGGTAAAGACATTTAATTTTTTTAATTTTTCGAAGCCTCCAAATTCTTCAAAACCTCTTTCCAAGTTCCGTTTTCACTTCAATTTCGATTGAAATGTACAATTTGAATAGGAAATTTCGTTAAGTTTCCAATTTTAGTCTGGATTTATAATAAACAATGAGAAAATTTCACTTTTTTTCACGTTATCGTATAGATTTTTTTTTAAAAGAATGTTAATTTTTCAATTATTTTTTTAGAAAATGATGTCAAGTCCCGTTTTTCCCCTAACTGAAACTTTAATTCACAGTGGCAAATCTTGTATAATTTCCCTTTTTCCAGGTTGGATACTTCGTACCTTCGGAAAATCAAACAATCCGATCCTGTGCCGATTTTGCATGTGGCGCCGCCAGTGGATGTCTGGCCATGACGGCGGTGAGCTTCATTTTTTTTTCTGTTTTTTGAACTCCGTCGAAATGGATCATTACGGCAGGAAGAAGTTAAAATGCATCAAATATCCATTTTAATTCATTAAAAATCAATTTTAAAGCATCTGGGGAACTTATGGATGTTTATTGCGGCCTAAGCCTTTCAACTAGTTAAAAATTCAATTTTTTCGTGTCTTTTCATTTTTCTCATTGCGCTTCTCCAGTTAAAAACAATTTGAAAGCCTAAAAAATTGAAAATAGCTACCGTTCATTTGGAAATTTTCCATAATTCTGTTCGAAAGTGTTCGGAACAGCTTTCAAAAGTATGCAGGAGCAATGGGTACTATCATGAAAGCGTAAAAAAAATTATTTCAGAACTTTGTTTCAATGGAAAAGACAAAAAACTTTTTTTAAAAGTCAAATTTAAAAAGTTCAATTTCCAGGCGATGCCTCTGGATGTTATTCGAACTCGGTTAGTGGCTCAATCTGGAAAAGCTGTCTATCACGGTTCGTTTGAATAATCTTTATGGATGTTGAAGAAATCGTTAAAAGTTTCGTTTTTGAGCTTTTCCTAGTTCCAAAGATTTTTTTAAAATTACACTTTTTCAGTTGAAAATCTGTAAAAGAGGCCATAATATAGTCAATGTTTCCCGACTTGAAAGGCGAAGGAGGCGGGGCGACGGGCGGGACGCGTAGCGTGTGCGTACGCGGTTCTTGGCGCCAGTTCAATTCAATCGCCGCCGACTATTTAAAAAGCTCGGCAACCGCTCTTTTTCTGTATTTTCTTCTATTTCTTTGATGCACACATGAACATAATCAATAAATAATTAAAAAAGGAGTGAAAAGAGCGATAAATAAGCTCTCTGAATGCTCGCTAGCGGTTTAATTGAACACGTGCCAAGAACCGCGTACACACACGCCACGCCTCCCTTGCCTTTCAAGTCGGGAAACATTGACTATATAAAGGTTTTTTCAAGGTACCCTCCACGCGATGAAGCATATTTGGAAGAAAGAAGGCGTTTCTGGATATTTCCGAGGATGGGTCCCGAGTGTCGCCCAGGTAGGGGCCACTTAAGGTTAAGAGGACCCTGAACCCCTAGAGGGACGCCTTTGGCGTTCCGAAAAAGATTTATAACGGGTGAAATTCGATATTTTGTTCAAAAAGTGTATTATCTATAAAAAAAACGATTATTTACTTGAGTAAGACACGTTCCTAAGATTTTGATGTTTTTCCTTTCTCGGGCAAAGTGGCCGCTAAAAGGGAGATCCTCAAAAAAGGTTGCAGAAAGGCATCAAAAAGAGTACCTTCGTCGAACCTTTCATTTTTTTTCTGGTATTTTAAAGGCTCAAAAAAAGGTGATAAAATGGCAGCAAAAATGGTGCAAAATAGGCGCAAAAATGCAGAAAAAAAGGAGCCTTTGTCACCCTAAAAGGAACCTTTATGGACCCTCGGAGGGTCCTTCCGACTTTGCCTATAAAGGAAAAAGGTAGAACTTAAATCAACATTTTTCTCAATTAATCAAAAAATTGATTCAAATTTTACGGTCTTTCCTATGGAAGTAGTCGGACGGAAAAATTCAAAAAGTTATATTTTTCATAACATGGCGGAAAGTGCGGAAAACGGGTGCAAAATGGCCGCTAAAAGGGTTCCTTTTGCGGCCTTTCTTGAGCCTCTCATTCTTGGTGGGAAAAGGGTGCTGAAAGTCTCGGCTTTTTTTCGGCCTTTATGACTTTTCCTATGTTCTCTCCTTTGTTGAATATTTCATTCCTTGATGGAAATTTTCAATTTTTTCTATCATCTTTTGGATCTCTTTTTCCAGATCGCCCCATTCACGGGCATCCAGTTCGCCCTGTACAACGTTTTCATGGACGTTTGGCCCTTCCAAGGACACGAATCAACGGCGGCGTTGTTCAGCGGCGCCTTGGCTGGAACCACGGCAAAAACGGTCTTTTTCAGGATTTTTTTGGGGAGAAATCATAGTTTATCCCACGTTAAAACGGATAGCTTGAATCAATAAAAGAAGAATATTTTAGAAAATTTTTTTTTGTAGTTCAACGGTACGTGAGCTGGATCCCACTCCAGCCTTTTCGCGCCAAAAATTTTCAAAATGTAAAAATTTTTAAGGGTTGAAGAAAACGATTATTTATCAGGTTTTTGGAGCTTCTCTTATCTATTTTTCCATCCCTTACAATAGAAAATTGAGATTTAACCCTAAATCGGTCAATAAACTTGATGAGAAAGACCAAATTTGGAAGATAATTTTTTTTCTGTTCAAAAATTGTTCTATTTTCCTATAAGTTCATTCCAAGTGGTACCAGAATTCCAAACGGTTATTTTTTCAGGATTTTTTGAATAAAATGTTTGATTTACCCTGAAATTTTTTTCATTTTTTTAATTCAAGTTGGTTCAAAAGTGGTCAAATAATGTGTTTTTTTGAAAAAAATTTTTGATTTTAACTGTGCCTTATTCTAAAGTAGGCTTTCTTTTGCATCATAAAGTGGCTAAAAAAACTCATTCTTTCATCAAAAATTTCTTCAAAAAGACATTTTTTTCATTTCGAACTAAGTTGAGCTGGATCCCGCCCCAGCCTTTTTCGCGCCAAAAAAATTTCGAAAAAAAGTAAAAAAATTTTTTTAAGGGTTGAAAAAAACGATTATTTATCAGGTTTTTTTGGAGCTTCTCTTATCTATTTTTTTCCATCCCTTACAATAGAAAAATTGAGATTTAACCCTAAATCGGTCAATAAACTTGATGAGAAAAGACCAAATTTGGAAGATAATTTTTCTGTTCAAAAAAATTGTTCTATTTTTCCTATAAGTTCATTCCAAGTGGTACCAGAATTCCAAACGGTTATTTTTTTCAGGATTTTTTTGAATAAAATGTTTGATTTACCTCGAAAAATTTTTTTCATTTTTTTAATTCAAGTTGGTTCAAAAAGTGGTCAAATAATGTGTTTTTGAAAAAAATTTTGATTTTAACTGTGCCTTATTCTAAAGTAGGCTTTCTTTTGCATCATAAAGTGGCTAAAAAAACTCATTCTTTCATCAAAAATTTCTTCAAAAAGACATTTTTTCATTTCGAACTAAGTTGAGCTGGATCCCGCCCCAGCCTTTTCGCGCCAAAAAAATTCGAAAAAGTAAAAATTTTTAAGGGTTGAAAAAAACGATTATTTATCAGGTTTTTGGAGCTTCTCTTATCGATTTTTCCATCCCTTACAATAGAAAAATTGAGATTTAACCCTAAATCAGTCAATAAACTTGATGAGAAAGACCAAATTTGGAAGATAATTTTTCTTTATGATAAAAAAACCGTTTCATTTTTCCTATCAGTTCATTCCAAGTGTTTCCAGAACTTCAAGCGGTTATTTTTTTCAGGATTTTTTTGAAGAAAATGTTTGATTTATTCAAAAAAATATTCATTTTTTTCAAGTTAGTTCAAAAATGGTCAACTAAATGAGGTTTTGAAAAGTTTAGTTTTTTGCTGTACCTTATTCTAAAAGTACTCTTTTTCTTCAACTTTTTATGTGTAAAATGAGCTTGTTTTGAAGCTTCATTTCAAATTTTACTTACTGGGGAACTACTCGGACTCGGGTACGGATTTCGAGTTCAAACTTTAGTGGTTTATAGACCCAAGTCAGAATACTTGAAAACAAGAGAGAATATCTGCTAAACCCGATAGAGAACTGAGAAAAAAATATGTGGAAAACAGAGAAATTAGGCCTGAAAATTTTCAAAATACTGTTTTTTACCTTATTTTATATTTTAATACAATCACCTTGGATGATCCGGCTATGATACACTCTAAAAAACTTTTTTCCAGCCAAAAGAAGGAGGAAAGCAAAAATTTGATAATTTTCAAGCCTAAACTGTTCATTTTCAAAAAGCTTTTTCTCAGAAGGGTTTAGCATATAATCTCTCTTGTTTCCAAGTACTCTTACCCGGTTCTATAGCCACCAAAGTTTCAACTTGAAACGCGTACCCGAGTCCGAGTAGTTCCCTGTTAGTAAAATCTTAAGAAAGTAAGAAAATTGGAATTTTATCCAGGTCCTCTACCCCCTTGACATGGTCCGACATCGTCTGCAAATGAACGGATTTGAAAGGAAAGGTTTCGGAAAGGCGAGCAACTACAGCCAGGGCATGGTCCGCACTATGCTCATGGTAGAAAAATAGTCCCGAAATTGCGATTTCGAAACATTTGCAGGTGGTGCGAAACGAAGGCTGGTACGGACTGTTCAAGGGTCTCTGGCCAAGCCAAATCAAAGCCGCTGCCAATTCCGGATGCGCCTTTCTTTTCTACGAGATGTTCTGCGACTTGATCAGATCTAGGAAAGGGGTCACGGCTTCTTGAATTTGAAAAAAGAGCCTGAAAAGATCAATTTTGGAGGCGAAAAGAGTACTTAGAAAGGTAGAAAGAACTGTTTTTGGCGTTCATCTTTAAAAAAATTGAAATATAAACAATTTATTGAAAAGCCTGTGTTATACTTAACTTCATTAAACAGCTCTGAATTTTTTTTTTGACCTCTTTTAAGGTAAATTTTATGAATTTCACGGAAAAATCAGCCTTTTCCCAAGTTCCAAGGCGTTTTGTAGTCCTTTAGAAGCTTTTATATAGGTTTTTAGGGTTTTATTAACCTTAAGGAAATATCAAAAAACTGCCCAGGAAGTACCAGAAAGCACTATAAAACTTTATAAATAAATTGTTACTTTTTGAAGATTTTGGGGACCCTTTTTAAGCATTAAATTGCTTTTAAAGGAGTGGTTATTCAGCTTTCGAAGTGATTTTCCTGAATGTTAAAGGATTTTCAAGGTTTTCTTAGGCTTCCAGTGGATTTTAGAAGAACTTGGGGCTTCTAGTAGAAATTTATACCACTTTTGAAAAATCTCAGGGCGGTTTTTTGGCTCTAAGAAGGTTCAAAATTTTTTTTTGATGATTATTGCTCAGATTAGAGACTAGGCGCGGTAGAAAAAAAGAGAATTTTTTGTTTCAAAAATAAATTTTGCCATTCTTCAGGAGCATTTTCTCAATAGATACTCAAAAATCTCAGTTTTTGAGCTTTTCCCCATCAAATTTGGACTTGAAACATGATTTTTTCCGATTTTTAAGCTTTGAGGCGGTTACTAGGGAAACATTGGCATTTATTTTTTGTATTTGTACAAAGTAGGTCATTTCTAGCACAATATATATGTTTGTTACTTCTTTAGCCATGTTTTGAAACCAATTGGTCGCATTTGGAATGGCTCAAGGCGTCGCGCTGAGGCTCAACTTAAAAGAACGATATTGAACTTGAACGCGAAAGTCGTTTCTGGTCGGGTGAAGCCGCGACGCGTTGAGCCATTCCAAATGCGACCAGATTCTTTTCTCCAAGCCAATTATATTGCTCACCATCTTTTTCAGCATTTTTTCGTGTCTTTCCACCTCTCCTGATGACTTTTTCGCATGATTTTGTAAAAATTTAACGGTTATACGATTGCTGAACGACATATTTTCATATAGAAAAAAATTTTTTTAAATAAATGTTTCGTTTTATTATTTTTTTGTAAGTTGTTTGGGTTTTTTTGTTGAAATTCGGTGAATTATTTGAAGTTTGACAGATATTTTTTCTTGGTTAGAATCACGGAAACGGAAACCGGCCTTTTTGAGCATTTCTAGTGACCACTTTAGTAGCGTCAGCACCCTCAAGTGATCCCTAGAAATGTTCAGAAAGGTTCGGTCTGCGTTACTAAAGTTCAGGCTTGGAAAAGTGTGCGTTAGAGCGCACATGCCAGGTTTTGAATGTCAAGTCCTCGCTCAAGCTCCGCCCCTAATGGTTCGATAAACCAATCAGAAAGCGAGTCAACCACAGAGTGTTTTCTAGTGACGTCATTGAACTTGGCATTCAAAATCTGGACAGACTATAGCCCATTCTGCACTAGCTTGTCACGATTTTCATTTCCCTCAAGCTACGGATCCTTTCGCTTCGATGCGCGCGGCCCTTTCCTTTGTATGCGCCTTTAATTTAACGGAAATTTTGAGGATAAATTAAAGGCGCACGCACAGAGAAAGGTCGCGCGCATCAAAGGGAATGCTTAGCGCGCTATAAATATAGCTGACCCACGGCTGGCTTGAACCATCGGAGAAAGGGTCCTGAAAAAAAGACATTCTGTGAAAATTTCTAGCGGCCACTATAGGGTTTTGACGTTTTAGTGGCCACTATTGTAGTCGAATTAGTGGCCACTTGAGGGGTTAAAAATTAGTGGCCCGTATAGAGGTCTAAGTGCTACTACTAGACCTCCTAGTGGCCACTTTAGGGGGCAATGAATCAACATAACTGGTCCAATCTGTTTGTTTTAAAATAATCAGAGTTACTGGAAGGAATACTGAATGAAAAACTACTAAAGTGGTCACTAAAACGGAAAATAATGGGCACTATAGAGGTGGGTTTAGTGGCCACTTTAGAGTCCTCTCCAATTAGTCCTTAGCGAGCCTCTGTAGTGGTCACTAAAAAATTTCCCAGACAAGCCACGCCCCCTTAGTGTTCCAAGCTGGATCGGCTATATACGAAGATTCCACAACAGATTTTTTGGTTGATGATTTCAAATTATTATCATTCTTAAGGCCTTCTGGTGTCAAGCCATGCGGTCTGCTTCACCGCCAGCAAACTCTTCTTCGGCGTCGCCGCCGACAGAACGTCGAATGTTAGAATCCTTCTTTATGGAGCTATCACTTGTGCGATGGCTTCCATTTGTTTGGGTAAGTTCAACCAATGAAAGCAGGGTCATTCAAAAAAGGGCACTTCTCGGGATTTTATAAAGGCTTGGTCCTTTAAAAGAACCTTCTGATTCCGGATTCGAGCCCGATAACTTCCCATGAGGACTTTGAGGGAGGTTGAAGTACCTAGGAACGCTATAGTAGTCCCTATAGAGAAAGAAGTGCTCTTTGAAGGGGGAAATTTAGGTGGTCCCTATAGGTTTCGAGGGAGAAGCAGCCCCTAAAGAGGGGCAGAAAATTCTTTTTAAAGGGTACAATTTAGGTGGTCCCTATAGGGTTCGACTCCTAAGCCTCTAAAGCTTAAGTGGTCCTCATAGGGGTTAGGGAGGAACAGCTCCTTAAGGGTAGAAAGTGACCGATGAAAGGGTAAAATTGAAGTGGTCCCCATAGGGTTCGATGGTTTGACCCGTGAGCCTTTAAAGCTTGAGTGGTCCCTATAGGGTTTGAGAAAAAACATGCCCAATAGAACAAAAAGGGCTCTTTAAAGGGTAAAATTTGAGTGGTCCCTATAGGGTTTGAGAAAGAAGCAGCCCCTAAAGAGTGACAAAAATACCCCATCTAAAGGAAAATTTTAAGTGGTCCCTATAGGGTACGAAGGTCTGACTCTTGAGTCTCTAAAGTTTGAGTGGTTCCTATAGGGGTTAGGGAGAAAACAGGCCCAATAGGACAACAAGTGCTCTGTAAAGCGTAAAATTTAAGTGGTCCCTGTATGGTTCGATCCCTGAGCCTTTAAAGCTCAAGTGATCTTCATAGGGTTTTTTTTAAATTGATCGATTAAACCTTCATTTAAAAAACCCCTATTTTTTGAGTTTTTCGCATAAAAATGATCAATCGAGAATGATTTGATATTCTCAAGAATGGGTAAAGCGAAACGGACGTGCTCCGGAACTTTCTGTGCCGTTCTAGGGATCACTTAAGAGTTCTGATGATACTAAAGTGGTCACTAGAAGTGCCCAGAAACGTCCGAGTAGAAATGAAGAGATTTTCAAGCGTTTCAAAAAGAAAAAACTGAAAAAAACGTCTAAATTGATGTTTTCTCAATAAATTTGGTTGATTATAAATAGGCACCACAAGCCATTTCTCGAAAAATGTAACGCATAATCGATTTAAACAAAAATTCAAAATTCAGATGTGGAACGCATGTAGTTTTGTGAAACGGGTTCTTTTTGTAAACTGTATTAGCTTTTGTGGCAGTTTTCTTCTTTTTTGGGTTAAATTTCAAAAATTGCTAGACTTGAAAGTTATCTAGTTTTGTAAAGCGATTTTGATTACGTAGGAAAATAAGAAATATGAATTTTTCAAATGTTTGCTCTTTGCTCACTAACAGAGCTTCAAACCAGTTTTTCAACCGAAAAGTCGTCAATTTTGGTGCGATGAAGGGGCGAGGCTTTGCGCTCCCTAATTTAAAAAATGATTCCAGCCTTTTCAACGGAATCCACTCATCTACTCCTCGTGATGTTGATGATCGGATCGGTTCAAGGGGCCGGTTGGGTTCCCGCCACGAAACTTGTTCAAAAGGTGATTGAAAAAATCAGGAAATTAATCAATAAACCTATGGATTCAGTGGTACTCCGCGACGGCCTACGGCAAGGTTTTCTCGATTTTGGGCTGTGGAAGCACTTTGGCCGGGCTTATCCTCCCGATTTTGAAGCCGTTCTACTGGAGAACTGTAGAATTGAACTCTGGTTGGGTTTTGAAGCTAAAAAAAAATCTCGAATTCAAGCCACAATTCGAAACTGCTCCCTTTCTCTGCGCCCTCCTTGTCTCTCACGTTGACGTGCTATTTTCCTGTTTCTCTGACCTTTTCAGTCTTACAGGGAAAATTTTTAGTGGCCACTATAGAGGCTCGCCGAGGACTACTTGGAAAGGACACTAAAGTGGCCACTAAACCCACCCCTATAGTGGCCACTATTTTCCGTTGTAGTGGCCACTTCAGTAGTTTTTCATCCAGTATTCCTTCCAGTAACTCTGATAAATTTAAAAAAACAGATTGGACCAGTTATGTTGATCCATTGACCCATAAAGTGGCCACTAGGAGGTCTAGTAGTAGCACTATTTGACCCCTAAAGTGGCCACTAGGAGGTCTAGTAGTAGCACTCAGACCTCTATAGTGGCCACTAATTTTTAACCCCTTCAGTGGCCACTAATTTGACTACTATAGTGGCCACTAAAAATTTTCCCAGTCTTTCAAGTATTTCAACACATGGCAAGAGCCCAAACAGAATTTCGAATTTATGAAAAGTGAGAGATAAAGAGACGCAGACAGGCAGAAAGTTTCAAGTCGTGGTGAATGGACTATACCAATAAAACTTCAATTTTGTCGGATTCATGTTTTGAAGCTTCTTATAAATCAGATTTTCCTATAGACCATCCAAAAATTATTTTTAAAGGAGCATAGGAACATTTTTTTATGAATTTATTGACACGAAAAACGGTTTTTGAGTCTAATTTTAGGTACTTCAAGGCTTCTGCGCTTTTTAAAAGCTCAAAAAAACGTCTTGAACGGAATTTATAAAAAAATTTTTTTCTATTTTTGACTCATTTCTAGTTCCTACGGTTACAGTGCGAAAAAATTTGGAAGCCCAGGAGAAAATTTTCAAATTTTGAAGTTTTAGGCCTTCTCATGATCATTTTCTCATCACTGAGCTTCATCCTACTACGAGGCGACCACACCTCGCCGCGGGAGGAAAACCGGCGCAAGTCGGGACACGAAGAAACGTCGGGCGAAAAGCTGGGAATCGCGGATGTCGCCAAATCTCCCGTTATTTGGCACATTGCTGCAATCTACTTCTTTTCATTGGAGGTTGAAAACATCCTTAAAAACGCTCAAGTGGTCCCTATAGGGGACTAGGGGACAAAAAAGCCCCTTTAGGGGTAAAAAGGGCTTCCTAGAGGGGTAAAATTTTAGTGCTTCCTATAGGGATAATGGTCTGATCCCTGAGCTACCAATGCTCAAGTGATCCCTATAGGTGACTTTTGCCTCTTCTCGTTGGAGCTAGAATATATATTACTAACTTAGGAACGCCAGAGTGGCCCTTCTAGGGGCTCGGAAAAAAAAAAACAGCCCCTAAAGAGGGCAAGAAAGTGCTCCCTAGAGGGCTAAAACTTAGCTGGTCGCTAAATGGTTCAAAGTCGGACCCTAAGCCTCTAAAGTTTGAGTGGTCCCTATAGGGCTAGGGGAACAAACAATCCCTATAGGGGTCGAAAAAGTGCTCCCTAGAGCGGTAAATTTAGGTGGTCTTTATAGGGGTTATAGTCTGATCCTTAAGACCCTAAAGCTCAAGTGGTCCCTAGAGGGGTCTTTTAACTCTTCTCGTAGAATATAATACTGGAATATATTACTAAATTAGGAACGCCAGAGTGGCCCCTCTAGGGGCTCGGAAAAAAAAAACAGCCCCTAAAGAGGGCAAGAAAGTGCTCCCTAGAGGGCTAAAAGTTAGCTAATCGCTAAATGGTTTAAAGTCGGATCCCGAAGCCCCTAAAGCTTGAGTGGTCCCTATAGGGGTCTTTTGGTTTTTTGTAGAAATTTACTTTTGTAAGCATTAGGGGCCTCTAGGGGAACCTTCAAATGCTTCTATGGGGACCACTCTGGCGTTCTTAAGAACTTGTATATTATAATTTGAAAGTTATTAAAGTCTCATTTTTTTATTTTGAAGACTTGAAAGGTCTAAAAATGGTTAATAATGTTTCGTTTGCGTTAAGTTTTTACGTACTTGAACAATTTGGATACTCAGTTTGAAGCTGCGCCCGACCTGGAGCGACTTTGCTCTTGCTATGCTTTTGTATTAGTAGTTTTATGGTCCGGCGCACTGAAATTTTGAAATTCTTTAGAATCCCTACGTTCTGATTTCAAGAGTTTTCTCAGAAAACGAAAAAGAAAAAAGATTATTTTTTCAGATGCGAACAATATGCGAAACCTGGGTACCTCTATACTTGAACGAAGTGAAATTGCCTTCTGAAGGGTTTCAGGTCTTTTTATGAGTTTGGCGGGTGAGAATTCGCTTCTTTAGCTTCTTTATAAGCAAAAATAACATATTAGAAAAAAATATCTTTCTTTTTTTATAAAAAAACTTCATTTTTGAAACTTTTTTTATTCTGTTATAAGCCTTCATAGCGGTTATCATTTTTTTCATTATTTTTTTCCTATTTTTGCAACGAAATTATCCTAAGATTCACTTAAATTTCGATTTTTTTGGTATTTACAATGAAATTTAATCACAGCGAAGATCAAAATAACAAGTATTTTTTTCTAGGTTTCTCGAAAAAAATTTACTTTTTTTAATCTTTTTTTCTTCTTTTATTACTTTCCAAACAGGTTATTTTTGAATTCTTCGAAGAATTTCCATTCCAGTTGATCCCATTTGACTAAAACAACCAATAAATATTGATTGATTGATATTGATGATTCCAAATTCAACATATTTTCCTTCAGGCTTATTGGAACTATCACTTCGGGTCTTATTGTCGATTATTTATCTCCGAAAATTGGAATCGACGGATCCAGAAGACTTATCGGCGTCGTTTGCACCACTTTGATGATGGCTGCCACGATTCTTATTTTCAAATTTGCGGTATTATCAAAGTTTTCAGCTTTATTGAACTTGAAAGCTTTAAAAACGGTATAATTGGATCAACTTTGAAAATATCGATCTTGGGCTTCTAAAAATTGTTTAGATGAAAAGGGTTCAACACTTTGAACGGTATTCTTCGTTCCATCTTCAAAACTTCATCAATTTTTTTGAAAAAGTTCCTGGCAAAAACAAATTTCCCCCAAACAGGACCGAACCTGCATCATAGGTTTCACAGCGCAGGTCGCTAGCCACTACACCACGCCACCTGCTGGTAGCGGACGTTTGCCGCCGCCACATATTCCCTCCTTATACTCATCGGATCGCCATAGGACACCGCGCTCGCATGCTCTTATCACGCGTCGAGCTTTGAAAAATCATATCTGGGCTCCAGAATCTTTTCGAAAAAAATCGAATGGTTTTTCGTGACCGGGGGAATGACTGTATACCCTCCAAAAATGAGCTCAATCAGAGACATTAAAATTTTTGACTTTGAGAGCCCATAACTTTTTTCACAGGCCTCGAGGGCAGTTTTCAAGACCAGATTTGGAATCAGCGTGAAAAACTACATTTAGTGAACCTAGTCTCATCCAGAAGTCCCACTGCGAATGGAGACCATTCCCTAGTCAATGCATTTTTCGCGTACAAACTTCGAGATGCCATAACTCGACTACAACCAAAAAGGCGCACTTTTTTTCAACTTTAATTGATTCAGGGTGTCCGAAAGTACCTATATACCAAGTTTCATCAAATTCTCAACCCACCACCTTTTGCCCTCCCCGTTAAAAATGCTTTGAGAGCGGTTTTTAGGACTTATTGTTCATATAATTTATCAGAAATACGCCAATCATACCTCCTTCCATGAATATTTTTCAATTTTCTTCAATTTTTTTTTTTAGGTTTTCAACACAATTTTGGGATTCTTCATCGGTTTCTTCATCAACGGATCAATCAATATTTGGTGTTTGATCGGTTCCCAATCGGGTTATGAGAATATTTCCGGGGCCTGCAGTGCTTTCATCTCTTTTTGTGGCTAGTAGTAAGTTTCAGGGTTTTTATTTAAATAGAAAAAAAGAAAAAAAGAAAAAAAGATATATGCGGATTTTTATGTGAAGGGAACGTGAAAAATGGTTTTTTTAAATTTTTTTAAAGGTCAAAAAGGACAGTTTTCATAAAAATTCAGCTATGACCGGAAGTTCTCAGCTTTTTTTATATGTATTTTTTTGAGAAAAAAACTTCATAAATTTCGGGCTTTTTATATTTTTAAATTTCATCCAATTAGGCTCAAATTTGGCAGTTTTTTTCGCAATTTTTCTGCCCTTTTTTTCAAAATTTTAAGTCCCTTTATATACTAACCCTTCTCCAGCGACAAAAAATAAAGTAATGAAAGCAAAATAAATTTGCCCGGGGTGGGAAATCTGAGAAGACGGCACGCCAAGACAACAAAAATTGTGGTTTTTTGAGGCGTAGGAGGAGTTTTTGGAGAGAAAAAGGGTTTCGCTAGATCTTAAAGACCTATAGGCAGTAAAAAACGGTGTTTAAAGCATTACTTTGTAGAGCTTTTCATTGCGAATCGAACGGTGAACCTGGAAACGTACAGAAGTTCCTAGTTTTGGAGAAAAAATAATTTAAAATCGGAGCCAAAAAAGCGTTTTGCAGCAAAGTTGCTCTATGGACAACACGTATCGCCATTTTCCGGATTTTAATCTCCCTAGGCCTTTAATTCTACATTCTGTTCACAAATTTACTCGAAACAAACTTTACGGTCTTTCCTATGGAAGTAGTCGGGCTTTTTTTATTTAAAAAAATTGATAATTTTTCATGAACATTATCTGAAATAAATTGAAAATTCGAGTTTACGGTCCTTCTATGGATTTTTAGAACATGTTGAAAAATATTGAAAAACTAAAAAATGTTCATTTTCTAACTTGAAAATCGAAGTGGGTGCTTAAAATTTTTCGGATTTTACTCTCCCTATGCCTTTAATTCTATATTTTTGTTCACAAATTTTTTTCGAAATCGGACTTTAAACTTTACGTTCTTTCCTATGAAAGTAATCGGGCCAAAAAAATTCAAAAAAATTGATATTTTTTTCATGGACATAATCTGAAATAAATTGAAAATTCGAGTTTACGGACCTTCTACGATTTTTTTAGAACATGTGGGAAAAATATTCAAGAAACAAAAAATATCCTTTTTTCAACTTTGAAATCGAAATGAAGGCTCAAAAAAAATTTATTTGTCTAAAAAAACGAAATTTTTGAAATTTCACGATTTCAGCCGGTTCGGTCTTCGCCGGCTCACCATTGGCGGGTCTTATCGCGAAATTCGGTTACGACGTTTTCGCGGCCCTTTTCACGATTCAAATCATTTTCGTCTTGTCCGTTTCCTATTTTAGATTCCCATTGAGAATGAGTCATCAGAAAACCAAAGCACAGTGATTTTCCCTTTCCTTGTTGCTTATTTTCCCTTCAGGTTTGCTCACATTTATCATTTTTTTATAATAATAAGTGTTTTTTTGTAATATTTTTTTCTGTTAAATTTGATAATTCAGTTATAATTATTGTTCCACTCATGATAGGTTTGATTGTGATACATTTTTCTTCATGTTTACTCACAAATTCATATTTTTTCACTTTGGAATGGGGAGAATTTCGCTCGAAAGGTAGTAATTTTCAAGAAAACCTTTAATTTTAGACATTTTGCTTCACTTTTTCAATTCATAATGCTATCAAGTGCCTATTTCTTTTTAGAATAAATGCTCTATTTTCAATAAAAGTTTTATTTAAGGTTTTTTTCTGTTGAGAAGAAGTTGGAAGCTACTGTATTTTCATGTTCAATTCGGTCATTTTGCATTGAAACTCTTGTCGATTTAAACTATTAATTTTTTTTTTTTTTGAAAAATCAAAAAGTGATTTTTTTCAAGAAGTATTTTCGATAGAATAAGAACGATCTATTGGAAAATCCTGAAAAAAATCAAAACCATAAAACTTTAAGGATGATCACGATACAAATAATAGGAAAAATGTTAAAAAAATGGCTTTACCTCATCCTGAAAAAATAAAAGCCGTGTTGAAATTAATTTTCGGGAAGTTCAAAATTTATCTCTGACTCTCCGAAATTCATAAATATTTTTCAACCTTTGACGGCTATTTCGCAAATTGAACACGACATATAAAATTATGATAAAGAAAAATATAGCATCAACACAAAAAAAATTTGAAAAATGATGAAAATTACGACACTTCCGTTTACGTTCCTTGGGGCGCATTTCCTTCGAAATACCTTTTTAGCAATTTGCTTTTTTTTACCGTGTAAAAGTCCTTGCTGATGTTTCTCAACCCATAAACGACTTACCGTCTATATATCCTCCAAAAAACGACCAATTTCTCTTCAAACCTAAAAATTCGTGACGTTGCAGAGCTATGGGTCTTAATTTTTTTCGTACCAAAATGTATGTTTTCTGTTTTTCTTGCTAAATTTCGTTTTTACTCGGTTTTCAATGGATTAACAATTTCATTTTTATCATCTTTTTTGAAGCTTTCAGGATGTTGGAACATCTCGCGGGAATGATGACCGCGCTAACCACGCTTTTCCTCACTTTGGCATTGCATAAAATTGAAGAGGGCCATGTTGGTGTGTATTATAGGGTTGGTTCTAGTTTTTCTAAAAATACAAAATGTTATTTTTTTATAGAATTCAGATTCAATAAATTCATACAGGAGCAAATTTTTTTGATGTTTTTAATCGTGAAAAAAACCCATTTTATGATTTATAATCCTGGCTTTTTTTCAAAGTTTATTCTAAAATTATGAGATCTCTATAAGCGTTTTTTGCATTTTCTGCTAGTTTTCATCATTAATTTGTATTTTCACCAGATTTTCGAAACTTTTTCCAGGGCGGAGCCTTGCTGAAAGGAATTTCGAACCCGGGGTATCATCTTTGCGCTCCTCTCATAACCACTGTGAAAAGTGTACAGGTGAAAGTTCTTATCAACTTAGTTTTATTAGTTTATTTTTCAAGGAAAATAATGAAATAGAAATTTTACAATTTTTCAAGAAAAAAATAATAAAATAGTAATTTTTATAAGTATCGGAAAAATCGTGAAAAAGCAAAGAAAAAAAAGAGGATATTTTTTTATTGAAAGAAATTTTTCGGACATAAATGCGCTCTACTGATAATTTGAACGATTTATTTATTTTTTTCTATAACAGAATTTGCATTATTCTTGTTGAAACGATTTTTTTGAAGTTCAGTTTTTTTCTATCAAAAATTTAAGTATTATAAAAAGTAAGGTTCAAGTTTAAGAATTTTGAACAAAAATACCGGTATTATGATGAAAAAAATCGTGAATTTTTTTTTTCGATAAAATCAGCCATCTCCAGTCAAACTATTCGATCAAATGCGCTCTATTGACAATACAATTTCATTCTAGGTGACCCTTCAAACCGACGAAGCTCGGAATGTTCCCTGCGGGACAAGCGGGGGCGTCATGATTTATTTTGATCGAATCGAAGTTGTGAATATTTTGGCGGCTTCTAGTGGTGAGTAATGCATGAAAATTCCATTTTTATGTTGAAAAATGTTATTGAAAGCTTAATTTTCAAGAATATTACAATTTCACGCGAAATTGTCACGATTTAAAACGATACAGTATACTGAGCTTCTATGCGCGTTTTCGCTTCAAGACCTGCTCTTTTTGCGCTTTCGCTTCGAGACCTGTTTTTTGAAGGTATACGGTATTTTAGTCAGGAAAAAACTTTTTCATTACATATTTTCCATCTTAATGAAGTTTCTTCTAGATATTTTGATGTTTCAAATGAATAATTGAATTCTTTTGGTGAAGGTCAGAAAATTGATTAGATTCCGTTTTTTCTCCAAAATCTCAACTTTGTATTTTAATAACCTCATTCTTACTCTTTTTTTCCGGTTTTTTCAATTTCCTGAAACTTTTCCGATGATTTTTATAGTTATATCGTCTTTAGACAGCTTCATTTCTCAGATTCTTGGGTTATATTTTTACCAGAAAAACTTCAAAAATAATTTTTTTCAGTCTACGACATCGTCAAAAAAACTACACGGTGGACTATGATAAGCCTCTGATTTTTAATAAGGTTTTTTTTCTCGAAAAATCTGTATTTTGCGAACATTTTTAGGTCCATCACGAGGTAAATCAGTTCTGCAGCAGCCACAGCCTTCAGGAAGTCTACATTGATTTATTTGGTAATCAGAAATGAAAAAAGAAGTTTTCTAGTCGCTTTTCCAAGCTTTCTGACATTTCCTCGCTCATTTTTTGATTGATGACCGTGGAAATATTCATCATTTTCCAAGCTTGTCAGGGTTTTTTGCAGACTAAATGTCGGAAAATGACTGAATTTTTGAATTTTTCATGAGACTATTAACCAAATTTATTAGTAGAAAGTAAATGGAAAGAAGTTTGTAATTTTCGAATCAAATTTCTTTTTTTAAAATTAAATTGTTCAGCGATGATATCATAACGTTGAAATATTCATTTCGTGGTTTATTATTTGAATTTGAAACGTAGGTTTATAGAGAATATCATTTTTTTCCACTTTTTAAAAAAACGTGACTTCCAAGGAAAAAGGTCTTTTTCAGCGTGAATTTTTAAAAAAAGAAGGTCCAGAACAAAAATTCCTTATAGTTGCTCTACGCACAAAAATTTTTTTAGTTTTTAAAGAAAATATTTTTCAGAAATATGGATTTTTAGGCCTGAATTTGAAGTGAACATTTTTGAAAAATTTAAATGTTCAATTCAAAATTTTCAAAGGATATATTGATTTTTCTGAGATCTTGTATGCTCCAAAAATTAATTTTGACGTTGAAAATAATTTTTTTATTTTTCAAATCTTGAATTTTAACCCTAAATTTCTCGAACCAAGCTGTCAGAAAAAAATTTCATTTTTACGAAAAAAATTGAACTTTAACTCAAACTATATGAAACCGAGCTTCAAAATATTGAAAAAGAGTCAAAATTGGAAAATATTAAGCGATTGAAAGTTCAATTTTGACCACTATAAGCAATTTCTTCTGTACCCTTCAAATTAAATTTCCCAAAAATCCAAACTATGCACTAAAGTTCTCACAAGGGAGGTCATTTCCCGGTTGGGATTTTCATGAAAACTGGCCAAAACATTCTTTGATGTACCAGAAAATGATCCTGAAAGTTTCAACCTGTAAAACTTCCTAGTTTTTGAGAAATGAGACTTTAAATCTTCAAAAAGGCCTTGTTTTACAGATTTTTAGCGTTTTCTTTGACTTGGAGACCTGTTTTTTCGAAATTTGTGTTGGATGAGACCTACCGGACATCAAGAAGTGTTTTGGCCAATTTTCTGGAAATTCCCAACCTCCCTTGTTAGGAATTTCATCAACTCCTGGCATCTGAAACAAGAAAAATTCGCTAAAAACTCGATTTTCTTGTTGGAAATGAAGATTTTACCTTTTGAGCTTTGTCGGACCTTTGAAAATTTTTTTGATTGCTCAGATATTTTCCTTTAGCTTCAAGATCTGGACTTTTCCAGACCGAATTGACGAAGATCTCAAAAGAGCCCTCCAAGAAGATCTGACAGTAATGGCCCCGGGGCTGTATGTCCAGGCGGTCCGTGTCACAAAACCCAAGATTCCCGAGGCCATCCGACATAATTATGAACAGATGGAGGCTGAGAAGGTAGGAAAGAACTTTCTACAGGAAAATTCTGATTGGATCTATGATTTTTTTGAGTCATATGACAGAAAAGGAACAATGAAAATGACATGGTTCTAGCAGAAATACCTAGATTATCCGTGGGGCGCACATTCGCCTGGCCAAGCTTGTTTCATTTAATTTTCTTGTAGCTTTTTTTTAATTGAAAATGTTGTTTTGCCAGATATTTTTTTATTCTGAAGGGAGTTTAGCAAACAAAAAAAGATGGTTAATCTGAAGATTTATATGAAGTTTTCAGAAAATCTACAGTTCGAGTGCCTCATTAAGATTATATTTTTCTTGAGAGAATTCACTGGTATGATGCGACCGACTATTAACTACTTGCGCGCGGTGACATTTTGTAGCCTGTCGCTTGAAGATTGGAAAAAAAAAGATTGGCCAAGATGTGGTACAGTTGTTGAACAGCTACCGAATTTTGAGAACAATTTTCAACGCCGAACCGCACCGCAACCGCAACGCTTACATTTCAAGTCATGAAAAATCTAGAATACAGCTCAATCATATCCTACTTTATAAGGTCTGACCTTCATTTCCATCCACATCTAGAGCAGCTCATTTGGATTAATTCCTTCATTTTTATATTTTGGTTTCACGCGTCGCGGTCGCGAAGCGGTTCTTGAGAGAAATCACTGGTATAATGCGACCGACTATGAACTACTTGCGCGCGGTGGCATTTTGTAGCCTGTCGCGTGAAGATTGGAAAAAAATGACTGGCCAAGATCAGGTGCAGCTGTTGAACAACTACCGACTTTTGAGAACCATTTTTAACCCCGGACCGCAGCGCAACCGCAACGCTCCCCTTTCAAGTCAGGAAAAATCTACTTCAGCTCAATTATATCCTACTTTAAAAGGTCCGACCTTCATGTCCATCCACAGCTCGAGCAGCTCGAGCAGCTCATTTGGATTAATTCCTTCTCTCGCATTCATTTGCTCGGTTTTACGGCGTCGCGACACGAGAATCTTCCTCGTGTTGATTTGTTGATGAGAGTGAGATTTGCACTGGTCGATGAGCTGTTCTCTCTTTTTTTCCCCGTTTGACTTGGAAATTATTACTTTCCGGGTTATTCAATGGAGTATGACTTGCAAGAGAATGTTGGGGTCGAAAAATAATTTTTTTTTTGATTTTGAGGTGTCCTTGCTAGAAAGTTGTGCAGATTGAGGCCTTCTGGTACGTAGGAAAATATCTTGGTCGATTTTTAGAAAATTCGTGAAGGGATATGAACTTTGTTAGATCAATATTTGGACTTCATTTCGAGGCTTTTCTATTTTTTTTCACTCAAAATGGCCGCACTTGGAACGGCTTAAGCGTCGCGGTTTAGTTCTTTACGATTCTCTAACGCGTAAGTCGTTTTGGGTCGGTCGCACCTCAATCCAAGCACTCATGAGCCTCCAAGATCACCCGTTACATCAAAAAAAATTTTTCTTCGTTTTTTCAGAGACTGAAGTCGAAGTTTATTAGTCATTTCTGATGCTAGGAATTTTTTAAAGTCACGTTTTTTCCACAGAGACGAAAAGAATAATTAGAAAAATAAGGACCATTTTATCAATTTTTCGCCTTGAAAAAAATAAATTGAATCATTTTTTTCATTCAAATATCTCAATTCTAGACTTTTTCCTTAGAAAAATGAAGTCCAGCTTTATAAATTTTTGAAGATCGTTAGATTTTTTTCCAACCGGGACTTTGGTAGATGGAAGAAGGCCGCTAAATAAATATCTAGGCTGAAAATTTCAGTCCTTAGTTGAAGACATACATGGATATTTATCACTTTTGTACCACCCCCCTTCCTCTAAGGGGGATTTTGGATTTTTAAGCAGCTGAAAACGTCTTCATACTATTTATTCTCAGAAGTACGTGTTCTTCTATGTTCCGAAAAAAATGAAAACCTATTTCCGGACCGACGATCAAGGAAGTTTGAGGAAACCCCCACTTGAAGCCTAATGGGAACACATCTCCTAGCCATCTCTCACCCTTTGAGTTGTTTTGACGAACACCCAAACTCGTGTTCCGGAATAATGAATAGAGAATATAAAGATTACAGACCAAACTTCTCGTCGCCACACAACATCAAAAGGTCGTCGAGAAGGAGGCGGAAACTGAGCGCAAGAAGGCGGTGATTGGTCCGTATTGCTCATGTTAGAAGGATTATTGGGAGGATAGGAGAGGAATCTGTTTCAGGAAAAGTATAAGTCTCAATATTTATGACCTCTTTCGGTGCCTTGGGAGGAACTTCTAAAACTAGGGATTTTACATCAAAGTGCGCTCCAATGATAAAAAACTTTAATTTTAAAAATGTTTTCACATTGATCTCGTAACAGTGCAAAAAAAGTGACAAGGAGAAAATAATCAAAAGGTGATTTTGATAAATAGTTAATAAAGTTTTTCCAGGACAGGTTTAATTTCGATAGGAATAACTTCCGATTTTTCCCCCTAAGAAGCTCAAAAAAGGCTTTTTTTTTTTTACATGAAAGTGTGCTCTAATGATAATAAGGGTTGAAATCAGAGAAATGGCTTTCAAAATTTTCTGAAAACTATGGTCGCATTTGGAATGGCTCAAAGCGTCGCGGCTTTTTCTAACGATCCCTTATGCGTTTTTGCGGAAGTCGTATTGGGTCGGGCGCGTCTGAAAGCGTCTTTGATCCATTCCCTGTGCGGCCACGGCAATCCTAATTTATGCTATTGAAGCTTGGTCGAATTAATCGTGCGCGATTTACGGGAAGACATTGAAAATTATCATTGGAGCGCACTTGACTTCTGTGAAAAGCTCTGTAAAGATTCTTCAATTTTTTACTGTTTCTTGGGACTTACATATGAGAGACACGGGTCAAATCAATAATGATGACTTTTCTTGACTTTTTTAAATAAATTTGTCTGGTTTTTGTACCATCTCAAAAGCCAAGGCTATCATGAGCAATGCTGAGAAAAACGAAGAAACATTTCCAGAAGCCGAAAAAATCGCCCAAGTTGCCACAATCCATCAGAGGCAGTTGATCAGCGAAAAAGAGACCCAGAAGCAAATGAGCCAACTCGAAGATGAAAGTCATTTAGGTGACGTCATAATCAGAATAAAATGACGTCATTTAGAAGATTTTCAGCTTCTGAAAAAGCCAAGGCCGACGCTGAGTTCTACAGAGCGCAGAAGCTCGCCGAATCGAATAAGTTGCTGTTGACGGGGTTGGTTTTTTTTTTCCGAGTCGCTTGGCTGTGCGCCCGACCAAAAACGACTTTCGCGGCTCTACCTAATTTTAGGGCTGTTTCTCCTTCATCTGCGCGTTTTTTGATAAATATCAAAAATGAACCAGAAAAATTCATTTTTTCATCGAAAAAACCCAAATTTATCCTTGGAGCGCAGCTGAGTGCCGAAAAAAGCCGAATTCATATCGCAGGTCAAAATGAATTTCAAACCATTATAAAAAAATGTCTCATTTTCTGAAAATTAATAATAATTGTTTCCCCTCAAGATCTCCATGAATTTTAGATTATTATCATGTAAAACTTTCCAATTTCTTCCACGATTTGAAAAAAAAAGGAACAAATTCATTGCGAGCACGAAATCATCATTTTCCGCCATTTTTTGTGTTCTCTCCGTCATTTAATAGGTGATTAATGTGTCGTAGTTTGTTATTTTATGCTGGGAAGAGGAAATTCCCCGCCTGAATATATCAATATGAGCAACGCTTCCGAATTTAATGAGGTTCTGGAGAAAGACGGGGAAGTTTCCAAGCCTTTTTCCGGTTTTTATGAGTTTTTCCTTCAAAAAAGCGGTTCCTGGAAAAAAAGTTATATCGTAGAACTGATATTATTGAAAGTGCAGAAAATCCAAGTTTTTGAAAAAAAAAGCTGTTTTTAGTTGGGAAAGTTAGGGCCATTGATAATTTTTTTGAAAAAAATTTTGATTTCTCTCATTTTTTTCACTTAGAATCATTGATTTCTCTCATTTTTTTCACTTAGAATCATCACGTGGAAAAACATGATTTTTCAAATTTTTTTCAAGTGCGCTCCAATGAGAATTTAGAGGTTTCGAAAACAATAAGAGAAAAATAAAAAAGTTGAAGAAATTTTCGGAAATTGAGCTTTTTACCTGGAAGCTGTAGCCTTTTTAATACGAAAAGTTAGCTCTAATAATGATTTCTCAGGAAAAATTGGTTTTTCTGATTTTTCCCTTTAAATAAACTTGAAATTAACCTGGAAGCCCATTCGAAAAAAAAAATGAGCTTGAAAAAATTCAAGTGCGCTCCAATGAGAATTTAAGGTTTCCAGATTATTTTTCAAGAATTGTTTGGCTTAGGAAGTGGCCTGTGGCTTTTAATTGAGAGGAAAAATGTGCTCCATTTATAAAATAGGTTTTTTTAGAGCATTTTTTTCGAGTTTGAATGATTTTTCAGCGATTTTTTGAAATTAGTATTTTTTTGCAGTTAAAAAGTATACCTCTAGCGGAAAAAAATGGCCAAGGAAAGTTGGAAATAGTTTTTTTAGTTGGAAAAAAATTATTTAGATTCATAAACAGCGCCTTTTTATTTCTAAGTAAGCACTAGAGAGGTTTTGTAACCACTTAAGGGATCACTTATTGGTTGGAAAAAAATTAACTTTGTGTTTCATTTTTCTTGCTTAAAGCACGATTCAGTATTGATGGCTGTTTCTTAATAAGAAAATGCGCCCCATTGCTAAAAGTGTCTTTTTCCAGGGAATTCCTCGAATTGAAGCGAATCGAAGCGATCTCCCAGAACAATAAGATCTACTACGGTAGCGACATCCCGAACGCATTTATTCATCCTTCAGTCGACATTAAAGCTAATTAATCACTAATTTATTGATCTTGTATGTAAGAACTATGCCCATTGTATAATTTCACATGGAAGAACTATGCCCATTGTATAATTCCAGAATTTCTCATTTTTACCCTCGCCCTGAAACGTATCATTCCTCAGCTTTACTTCACGTTTTCCAATGCTTGAATAAAAAATCTCACTTTTCCCCAGAACTTCAATTTACATTGATATGATTGCGGATAACCCACTTTTACCTCGATTTTAGATTTTCCGCAATTATTGAGTTTCGCGCCAGTGCAAAATGCCCGGCTCCGCCCACTTCTCCCAACGCCACGCCCACTTTTCATCCTCCATTTCCTTGTCAAGTAAGCTCTTCAGTTTTGATGCGCTTCCCTTTTCAATACTTTTTATCTTAATTTGTCGATGTTTTGTGGGCGGAGCTTTCGTGGGAAGTTCAGACAAGCTCCGCCCATTTATTGACTTTTTTTGGGCCTTTTTTGAGTCGATTAATCAGTGGGCGGAGCTTAAATTATAACAGTTCTTTATATAAATTGATCGGGTTGGTAGTTGAATTTTTTTTTCAAATAATCGTTTTTCAAAAAATCGATTTATTAGTGAAAGGAGCTTTTTTCAAGTACCTTAAGCCACGCCCCTCGAATTTTATTTTATTTCGCTTTTTTTTCGAATTTTTCAACTGTTTATTGTCATTGCGGTTTCTAAAAAAACAGTTTTTTTTATCAAAAAGAGGCGTGGCTTACCGGATTTTGAAGCTCCTCCCCTTTTTGCACTGATAAGCAGAGGGAAAATTTCGATCGATTTGAGGTGGGCGTGGCTTTGAAAGACACGCCCCTTTTCTAAATCAATTGTGAAACGGTTTTTAAGAATAAAGCCTGATCAAAAAAGTCTTTGAACTTCAATTTTTCCATATTTATGCCTAGGCCACGCCCACTTTCTATTAAAAAGAGGCATGGCTCATCAGATTTTGAAGCTCCTCCCCTTTTATCTGCACTGATAAGCAATGGGAAAATTTTGATTGATGGGCGTGGCTTTAGAAGGCATGCCTTCTTTTTAATTTTTTAGTTTTGAAATCTTTTCCGTATAAAAATTGATCGAAAAAATCTTCACATTCGATTTTTTCCTTATTTATTTTTAGGCCACGCCCACTTTTGATTAAAAAGAGGCGTGGCTTATCAGAATTTGAAGCTCATCCCGTTTTCTCTGCACTGATAAGCAATGGAAAAATTTGGATCGATTTGAAATGGGCGTGGCTTCAAAAGACACGCCCCTTTTTTCTAATTTTCAGAGTTTGAAAGCTTTTCTGAATACAGCCTCATCGAAAAAATTTTTTGAATTTTTTTTTAAAACTATGCTGAAGTCACGCCCAATCCAAAGGGTTTTCCCTATCTAAAAGACTTTTTTTCCCCCACTTTTTCTCGCGCTCTGATTGGATTTCTCCAAACGCTGCCTTCCCTATAACTCGCCTCGAACGTTTGTTTTTTGCGCCAAATTAGTTGGATTTGGTCCCGTCTCTTTTCTTAAAAATAGAACGAAAAAAACAGACAGAGTTTTTGGTTTGCAAGCAATAATTAAGGATGTGATTACTGTTGTCGGCAGCGTGATGATAATTTCTTTCTTTGAATAGTTTTGGGGATTTTTAAAGGTTTTTTCGAGGTTTTTGGAGCTTCAAAGTTTGGTTTTCTGTGTGGAGAACTGTTTTTGTCGATCTTTTATTAGTTTTGGAATTTTTGAAGATTTTCTCGAGCTTTAAAGTTCGATAATCTATGGTGGAAAAAATGCTTTAGTCGAAATTTGAGTCTTGTAAGATCGTTTTATTTCGATTAAGAGGCTTTTTCAAGGCTAAAAAAATATTCAATCAATAAAATTTGCATTTAATTTGGCTTCAGAAAATCGGATTTTTTTGATTTTTTTAACTCAAAATTTGAGCAAAAAGTGCGATTTTCGGCTTTTTTTTTCAGGATTTTTGTAAACCTGGCACCTAAATCGAAAAAAAATCGCTAAAAACTCGATTTTCTTGCTGGAAATGAAGTTTTTTAACCTTTTGAAAGTTCTTCGGCTCTTGAAAAGGTAGTTTTGCAAATTTAAAACTTAAATATTGTGGTTAAATAATGTTTCGATTTGTTAGTAAGCGGAAAAATCGATTTTTCTTCGTTTCTCATGGAATTTAGGCTTTAGAAAACATTCTAATCTCTTAAAAAGCTGCAGAATCAGCTCAAGGAAGGTCATATTTTCATTTTTCTGCAGGAAATTCGAGAAAAAATTATTTTTTTAGGTATAAAATGAGATTTTGACATTTTCCAATTCCTCAACTACTTCTAAATAATGGGAATTTTCGAAAAAACTGCACATTTTTCAAGAAATTTAGTTCAAAGATCCTTCTCGGATCAGTGCAAGTGTTCCGTGCAACTTGGCATTTCTTTTATCTTGATTGGAGTTGACGTCTTCCTTTTTTGGGGGCTTGTTCCCTTGCAGAATCACACTTTTTGCGCTTTTTTCTTTTCTCAAAAAGTGATGTGAACACAAAATTGTATGAGTAAATCGGTTCATATTTCCTTCAAAAGCGGAAATTTTCATCAAAGAATGAGTATCCATAAAATCTCTTTTATTAGAGCATTTCCTCCATTTCCTGGTTTATAAGATGAAATTTTGATAGCTTTTTTAAAATTAAATAATAATTAAGGAAATCGAAAATTTTACCTCATTTTTTCATTTTTTCCAACTCAAACAAGGGTACAAGGTGCAGAATTTTTAACGATTATTTTTTTCTTCAAACATGGATTTTTATTTTTTTTTTTGTTCAAAAAATTGACACTTTTCTGTAAATTGTCCGTAGAGCATATATAACATGACACTGAGCAGCTCAAATTTCCGTAATTTTTTTCGGGCTCTTTTTTTTTCTTATGTTTCAACTCAAACATGTATACAAGGTACAGGGTTTTCAAACCTTTTTTCTCTACAAACGCCAATTTTTTTTTCTGTTATCTTTTGAAAACGTATCGAAGTACCTTTTATTATTCAAAAAATCACATTTTTGACACAATTCAAAAAGTTTCAAGCTTCATCAGATTATATATCTCGAGATTCTTCGAGATTCTTCGAGAAAATCCGAAAAATTGTAAATTTTCTGTAAGTTGTCCGTAGAGCACATATACCATAATAAGTAGCAGCTCAAATTTCCGTATTTCTTTTTCGATTTTTTTCTCTATTCATACTAATTCTGATATAAGGTTACAAGGTAAGGAATGTTTAGAACTTATTTTTCTGTAGATATGAATTTTTATGTCAAGATCAAAACGTCAAAAAATATATCTTACCTTCCAAAAAGTCCCACTTTCCACTTGGAACATATTCTGAGGAGACGCCCGAGGGCCTCCTCAGAAAGCCGAGTCCCTCCCACCGCCTCCTTCGCCCGGTGATCGCTTTATTAGCCTCATTCCTTTCCTCTCTATCGACGTCACTGAGGACTGAGATGTCTTTTTCGAGACTGCAGTCTTGCCGCCTTTTTTCTCTTTCTTTGTCACATTTTCTGAAGGAAAAGATAGTTTTTCTTCGAACTTACTGCGTTGAAATTTTCCGAAAGCTAGTTTCAAAAAAAAAAACTTCCATAGCGCCCAAAAATTTGGGCATCTATGCTCCAAGGCTAATTTCCCGATGATCATGCTCCTGCTACAAATTTGAGTCGATTATTATTTTTATTTTTCATAATTGAAGCCTTGTTCGCATTTGGAATGGTTCCAAGCGAAGCGGCTATTTTTAAGTTGCGCCCGACCATAAAACGACTTTCGCCTACTCATTTTTGAAGCTTTGAAAACAGTGGCATTTCAATTCTCGAACCGCAGCGCGACCGCAAAGCATACAGCCATTCCAAATGCGACCAGGAAAATTTCTATAATCTCCAAACTGACCTTAAACATGAGAATTTCTTTCTTGGAGGAAAAAACAGCCGCCTCAATCTTAAAAATTTGTTTGCTCCGTTGCTAATTTCCGTCTTCTTAGTATCCTCATTCTGCAAAACTTGTTTTTTGAATGAAAAAATGTCATGTTTACCACATAAATGTGTCATCCAGTTATCATTGGACCGTGAAAATTTTCTTCTTTTTCTATTAGGATAGATTTTGCACACATGGCAGGATACTTAGGGCATAAGAAACAGTGAAAAATTTGAAAAAAAAGCAAAATTAAAGATGTTTGTCCTTAGAGCGCATTTGTGTCGTTCTTCGCGGCTGTTTTTTCTCAACTCGTTTTTTTTATCAGGATAGATTTTGCACACATGGCAGGAGATATAGGGCAAAAGAAACAGTGAAAAAAATTTGAAAAAAATAAGATCTTTGTCCTTAGAGCGCATTTGTGTCGTTTTTTTCGCGGCTGTTTTTTTCTCAGCTTGATTTTTCGAACTTGCTTTTCGAAAACTTGTTTCTTTGCTTTTTATCGTCATTTTTTTAAGTTCAAAGTTTATTTTTTTCTTTACGAAAATGCGTAGATTCCATGAGAAAAATAATTTCCAAAATTTGCAGTTAATGACCAAAAAAATCAGTCGTAGGTTAGCAATTCAACTAGGAATGTCCGAATTTTACAGATTAATTAGATCTTTTCTTGAATTATTCACTTGAAAAGCCCCATTTTTTCAAGAATTTGAGATCGGAAGGTTCAATTTTGGGCTCCTAATCTCATATAGAACAACAAAAAAGCTCAAATCCGTCCAAACTTTTTTTTTCTAATCTTTTGGATTACTGCAAGTTTTGAGCCTTTTCTCAAGCTTGGAAAAACCAAAAAACTATTTTCGAAAGAAAAAAATGAATTTTCTACGAACTTGAACCGGATGAACGCAATTCCTGTTAGTAAAAGTGCACTTTTTGAAAATATTTTTGAAATTTTGTCTCATTAGCCGAATCAGAAGCTTCACATTTCTATATAGAAAAAAAGTTTTTCACTCTTTTTTTATTTAAAAAAATTAAGGTAAATTTTAGTTTTTAAAGTAGAAAAAAATGAATAAAAAAACTAGTTTTTTTCGCTTCAAATCGACCATTTTCTTTGAATTTTTTTCCAGTATTTTTAACTTTTTTCTGACCTTAAGAACTTAAAAAGGTTGATTTAGTGATAAAATTCTAAAATTCCTTGAAAAAAATTATTTTTTTAACTTTAGACGCTTTGCGGTCGCGTCGCGGCTCGAAGTAAAAAAATTTATTTTTTTCTAAAAAGTAAAAAGTCTCCCTACAACATCGTCACTAATGAACTCCTCGCCCCCCAAAAAACCAACTAATTTTTGAGATTTTTTTGTTTTTCTCTCCGCCGCTTCTCCTTGTTTTGTTGGCCTCATTTTTCGTTTCCAAGTTTTTAATTTTTGACTACTTTTTTTGGGTATTCGTTTTGGGGATCCTAAAAGAAGGTTTTTTTCGGAAAGTTTGCTTGGAGCTCATTTTCTTCAAAAAATATGTAGTTTCAAAGAGAACAGACGCGTTTGCGGTCGCGTCGCGGCTTGGGAATATTTTCAAAAATTTCCAATTAATTTTTTTTCTCCATGATTTTTGTTGTATATCTTCAAAGATTTTATTGAAATTTCTAAATTTTTAAAAAGAAAAAAAATTCATCTTTTATGAGTTTCGTCAGCTGCGTGCGCGGTCGCGTCGCGGTTTGGGTAAATTTTCAAAAAAATCTCCAATTAATCTTGAACTGTTTCCGTTGATTATCTTCCAAGATGTCATTGAAACTCCTATTTTTTTCAAAAGGAAAAATTCAAATTTTTATCAGTTTTTTTCAGCTGCGCACGCGGTCGCGTCGCGGCTTGGGTATATTTTCAGAAATTTCAATTGATTTTTTCTTTGACTTTTTTTGTTGTATATCGTCCACGACTTCATTGAAACTCCTATTTTTTCGAAGTTTATATCAATTTTTATGAGTTTTGTCAGCTGCGTGCGCGGTCGCGTCGCGGTCCGCCTTCTAAATTTCCTCTTGAACCCAATTTTCTGTATTTTTTCCCAGTAATTTTCAAATTCTTCTAACTAGGAACTTCTCTGGGAAAAAGTTCCTCATTTGCTTTCTTTTCAACTGGCCTTCCGGCCCCAATTAGTTCACTTCCGTTCCTTTTCTTGGGCTTTTTTTCTTATTTTTATTCTTTTGAAATGAAGTTAGGGTTGTAACAAAGATTTAAAGTCTTGATTGACAGGAAAATCATTATTTTCATGAACTGAGAGAAAAAATACTATAAAAAAATTGATGGAAAATGGTTGTTTTTAGTGAATAAAAAAATGGAGAAAAATTTTTCATTTTTTTCTCAATTTTTTTCAATATTTTTAATCAAAAAGAGAAGTTCATGTTCAAGAAAATGAGAGTAGATTTGAAAATTTCATGACATTTTCAAATTTGAAAATCAAAAACAAAAATGAAAAAAAAAATGTTTCCTGTTATTTTTCGTACGTCACTCCGAAGAAACAGCCGTTTTCCTAGTAACTGTATAAATTTTACCCCAATTTTCCGAAAATTATCAAAATTATCGATCCCACGCAATAATATCACATGACTACGTGAGCAGGAATCGGCGCCGTCGCCTCCGGCTCGTTTAGTATAGTGGTTAGTACTCCACGTTGTGGCCGTGGCGACGCAGGTTCGATTCCTGCAACGAGCAACTTCTTTTGCCATTTTTTAAATACTTTTTTCATGCTGCTTTTTGGACATATTTGACGATATCAAGCTTTTTTATATGAATTTTCAACCTTGTTCATCAAATTTTCGTCATTTTATCTATATTTCGAAATCTAAAATGCTCTAATTTTAGCAAATTTCAACGCTTCCTGGCTAGTTCCATCATCGGGATTTTGTGTGACGTGACGTCACCGCGATGACGTCATTACTCGGATTTTTCGCCGAAATTTTCTCCTACGAAAACGTCGAATTCGTCATCTACATGTATCTCATTCCATTGGTCAGTTTTTTTTTCCTAGTTTGAGGGATTTTTATAAAAGGGAGTTTTTCTTTTCAAGCTTTACCTCTAACATGAGCAATAGGTACCTCAATTCCAAGAAAGATTCCCTTGAAAACAATTTTAGAAAGTTTTGTTTTCGTCTCCTTCTTTCCAATTTAGTTTCTTCTTCCAATCCCTTTTTTTCTTATTTTATTCTTCGCGTGGGCAATCGAGCTGGTAATGAAAAAATAGATCCGATGTTTGTAATCTGAGCAATAGGGATGGGAAAAAGAGTTCGAAGATCTTTTTTCGGCAAAGGGAGGTTCAAAATTTGGGTTTTATGGAGTTTTTTTTTGAGACTTGAAAAACTTTCATACTTTTGGCCTTACTCAAATAGTTTCCAATAGTATTTCATACATGCGAAAAAAATATTTTTTTAGAAAAAAATTTCAAAAAGAGGTTTTTTGGGGTCGCATGTAGAATGGCTCGGAAGACGTGCGGTTCAAAATAAATTTCGAACTCTTGTACCTATATTATAGCTTCAGGAATAATTTATTAGGTCGTTTACTAAGTTTATTTCTTTTTTCGGTTGAAAGTTACTTGGTGTATAACTTTTCAATTTTGGATTCAAACAGCAAACAATTTCTCCCCCGTCATCCTCAGCTATCTGTTAACATGTCTGTTAATTTTGGAGTTCTTGACTTTAAAACGAGCAATGATATACTTAAAAAAAGGGCAACTAACTCGATTTCAACCCCTCTTAGAGAAATTTTCTTCTAAAAAAAATTTATGATTCAATGTTTTGTAGTTGATGACAACGAGGGAGGATGGAAGTACAGATAGAGTAGGCAAGCTGACTTTTTAAACAAAAAACCAGCCTAAAAATCTTTTTTCTTTAAAAGTTTTGGTCAGTGATCAATGACAATGACAGGGTCGCTGAACATTTAGACGCTTTTCTCATGAACGGCTTTGAGGATGATTTTGATTTTTTGTGGTTATTTAGTACAGACATGGTCTGTATCAGTCACGTTTTCTTCAGAAGGTCTAAACGTTTGATGCCGTCAGAGAGCCTCCAGAAGTTAATCAAGCTATCATTTCAGTTGAATACCGTTTCTCAAAATTTTAGGCCGGAAAAACTCAGTTGAACCACTTCTGCTTTGACACATGGCTGCAGTGACCTTTGTTGTACTTGTTTTTTTATTAACTTGAGAGATAGCAAAAGAACAGAAAATTTGAGAGTGGATAGAAACCACTGCCCCCGGGCTATAAACATTTTTTGATGAAAAAAGCCTGTAAAATTAAATCCTCGAGTTTCACGGTAGCTGCCGGTTGCTAACGTTATGCCTATATTTTTTTTCAAAACCCCAAACCTGATAGATAATTATGAATGTACTTCGGGGGAAATCAAACGAAAACAGGACGCGCATTATTTCAACAATGTTGGCCGATCATAAATTTGTATGGTCTGGCTTTTGAATAAATAACTCATTTCTCAAATTTTTTGGAAGCTAACGAAAACTTTCACGAGCAACCACACGACCTCAGTTTACGTTTTATGTAACTCGTTCGAATGATAAAATTGAAAAAGTAAGATAAAAAATAAGTTCGCAAAACTTTCCAAAAATCGAGATTTTTCGAGTTCGGACAAAGTTCTGTATCTTTTTTCTGCATAGTGTTATAGGAATACAGTTAGTTTTAATCTGAACTTCAGATTGTGTAGTAGTAAATACTATATGAAGCAAAATTGTGAGAAGTGCTTTTCTGGTTGAAAACTTTTTTAAAAAAAGTCCTTCAAAAAAGAAAGAAACTTAGTAAACAACCTAATATTTACGCGTAAGTCGTTTCTTGGTCGGCTGCAATTTATTTGGAGCATTTTGAGCCATTCCAAATGCGGCCAGAGGTGTTTCAAGCTGACGTGAATTCACAAACCCTTGTTATATTTTTTCAAAAATTAGTTCTTTCAGATTTTGAACTTTCATTAAAAAAATTCCTTTATTTAAAAGTATATTCTTGTTTTTCTAGTCGCAAATTGTCTTCTTGTTTTTCCTCCAACTTGAGCAAAAATCAAGAAAAAAAGTCATTTCCTCGTTTTTTGCACGGTTTCTCGCTCAAAGTTAATCCCGGAACTCGTCTTTTCGTTTTAAGACCTCTGTCGATGAAGCTTTTAATTGAGTTTTGGTCTTGTTTTCTTCCTTCCCCCTTACTTTACTTCATTTACTGCAAAAAGGAAAAATTTTCCTTTTAATTGAATTTGAGCTTAGAAAGAGGAAACTTCAAGGGGTTTCTGGCCGACCAGGAAGTTTTTTTTTCGAAAATTTCGGTTGCTCTGAAAGAGAAGTGCTCTAGTAGACTGTGGATAAGTTATAAAATTAAAAAAAAGAATTTTTTTGAAAAAAATTTTTGAAGAAATTTCAGAATTATCTACTCAGAAGTGTGCTCTAGGAGCCCGTAGATAAGTTATAAAATTTAAAAAAAGTAATTTTTTTCAAAAAGGTTGTTAATCTAGCTTCTTTGATTCCGAGTTTTTCGACCGCATTTGGAATGGCTCAAACAGTCGCGGCTCAATTTTAGCGAAACTGGTTTTAATACGAGTGTTTTTCTGGGTCTTGCGCAAGTAGTTTCAAGTCGGGCGCTTCTCAAAGCCTAAATCTACTGATTTTTAAAATTTCCACCGCTTCTGTAATGACTCAAAGTGTCAGAGCATTTTGAAATCGAAAAATCTTGATTTCAAAATCTTCCGAGCGCAAGTAGTTTTAAGTCGGACGCGAAGGGTTAAGCCATTCCAAGTGCGACCAAGCCTTGAGGCATATACTTTATACCTCCCAATCTAAAAAAGACTGAACTATCTGCGTTCTCTCGTGTTTACACGCTATTTTCTCTCCCATGACCTGACCGATGAGAGAAAAGAGAGCGCAGACAGGTCAGACTGTTACAAGTTGTGGTGAATGAACTTTAGGCCATTTTTTGAAAAAAGAAAGATAATGAAGCATCGCGAAACTTTCTCCAAGGGTAGAATAATTATCGGTGGAACGTTTATTCAGGTAATTAAGTCATTTATGAGTAATTGAAATAATGTTCCGGAGGCAATTTTTGAGCCAAAAGTGGACTTTTTTATGTTTCTTGATGAAGGGAATGTATAGGGAGTTTTGCTAAATTTGAAAAAAAAAATCATGTGGTTAAAAAGATCCAGTGTTTTAACTGATCAAGCGACGCCCCTTTTCATTCAAAGATGCAAAACCCTTTTTTAAAAGTACCCCTGCGCCTTTAATAAGGCTGAAAAATGGTCAAATTTCAATTTCATTTTTCTTGATGAAGGGGATGTATAGGGAGTTTTGATGAAAAAAGCTGACCAAGCCACGCCCCTTTTCATTCAAAGTTCAATACCCTTTTTTGAAAGTACACCTGCGCCTTTAATAAGGCTAAAAAATGGTCAAATTTCAAATTTTTTCCATTTTTTAAAATTGGAAAATTCTCAAAAAATTTCCTGCGCCTTTAATTGAGCAACAATTAAAAACGAAACGAAACAAATAAAAACGATCTTTGAGCAAAAAAAAAGGGAACTAGACGAAAAACCGCCTGAGGTCATTACGTGAAGCCGTTATGTCTCTAATTACGTCTGGCCGCATCTTTTTCATAAATTTTTCTCTCATTTGAGAAAATTTGGAAAATATCGTCTGCAGACATAAGTTTTGAGCTTAGAAAATGAAAATTTCTAGTCGGGAATCTTTTAAAAAAAACTTTTTTTAACGGAGTTTTCTGTTTCAATCAGCTTATTCACGTTCCATTTTTTTTACTTTGAAGATAAGTCTATTATGCCGGATTCGAAAATAATAAACTCATTTTACTTTCGTCTGTGATGACGTCATTTTTTTCGTCCAAATGACGTCAGAACCAATAAGTTTGTCAGCAAAAATCGGAGCGGGATCGAACCAGCGACCTTTCGAGCCATAATCTGCTTTCTTAGCCGCTTAGCTATAGAGCAAAATCTTTCGAGAAAGTCTTAGATACCCCTTTGGAAAATTAATCGAACTTATCAATGACGTCACAATATATACTAAAATGACGTCACTTTCATAATTTGACTTCTTCAGCAAAAACAGCTGAGGGGATCGAACCAGCGACCTTTTCAGCCTTAAGCTGACCTTTTAGCCATTTTACCATTCGATTATATAGACCTTAACTCTCCAAAATCATCGAAACGCGGAGGAGAAGCTGAAATTTGCATTTGGCAGTGGGGCGACATTGATATGAATTATTCATGGGTGTTGAGTTTTTTGAAGAGAGAGGAAACTATCCATTGATATCGAAGGGTTTCTTGAAAAGAAGATGACGTCATCATGAGGGATTCGGGAGCCACAATCAAGCTTCTGATTGGCTCGAAATTTCGAATTCTCTTGGGTGATGACGTCATCTTTTGGTTTTGATGAAGTGGTTCTTTAATTTATGTACGTTTCGAAGGCAAAAAAGTTTGGAAGGGGTTAGGATCGAACCAGGGACCTTTGGATTGATAGTCAAGAGCTCTACCGACTGAGCCAAGGAGTATAGTTCTCGAGTACGGTTAAGCTAGTGTGAGGATAGAAATTTTCATTAAAATATTGATTTTTTCCCACAAAAATGCCTAGAAGACCGACGACCCTCCGGACGTTATTTGAGCAATTCACCGATTGAACCAAGATTTCCTCTTCAAAAAAAACTTTAAAAAATGTGTTCTGTGCCTAAAAAAATGGCAAAAACGGCGATGAGATCGATCCTGTGACCCTTTTAGTGGCTATAAACCTTTTTTCTGATCCACCCGTTTTATTAAAAAATTAAAAAAGTATTTCTAACTTTCCAAGAAAAAGTTCGACTTCCGTAAAAGGTCGATTTTCCTTTTTACGACGAAATTTTCGAGCCCTAATCAATTGAATTTACCGGTGCCTGGCACGATATGGCACCAAATTACACTCGAATTCATATTAATTCTGATTTGAAATTGAAAAAGTGATTTCCTCGGCACTCCATTGAATAAAAGAGCAGGGTTTAGAACAAAATATATGAAAAAAAGGGGAAAAATTGAAAAAAAAAAATCCGAAGTTGCCAAACTCGCTGAAGATTTGAGAAAGTGCGCTCTATCGATAAAAGGACATCTGCGAAGTTGTTCATAAAAATTCAAAACTTATCAAAGCTCCCGACATATTTTTGAAAACTTTTTTTCCCCAGTTTTTTCAATGTTTCAAAATCCCCAAAAACTTTAAAGAAAAGCTATTTCTCAGGTCTGTATCCCCGGAATCATCGCCGCTACCATGTCTTCGATTGTCTTCGCCAGAATGCGACAAACTTCTTTGGAGGTTTCTATTTTTTATTCGGATTTTTAAAAAAATCGAAAGTCGGTGTGACTTTGAATATTTGGCTCCTAGAGTTGCCCTAGAAACATGATTTTGTGCTTGAGATTTTTTGAGTCTTAGAATTGACATTTTAGGTCAACTTACTGTTTCAGTGAAATCGGGATTATTGAGAAATTTCATATATTTTCAATCCGTATTTGTTTGACAAGACCAAAATTATCCTCTCATTTTATCATGTGATCCGCTAAAAAAAAATAATCAACCCTGGTTTTTAAAACTATTTATTTCGAAAAGTCACAAGTTCCCTTCGAGACCCAAAAAAATCCAAAAAAAGTTTTTTTCAAATCAGGTGAATTTTTTTCATGATTCAATCATTATTTTTAAACTGGAAAGACTTACAAAAATATATATATATATGTATTTTTTTCAATTTTACCCAATTTTTTTAATCATTTATCATTCAAAAAAATATAGAAAAAAACCCTTACAAGGAACTTTTTTTTTCCTTCCCAAAAAAGGCCGGAATTTATGAGGGCGCGTAGGAAATGAAGCGCAACGTGAATAATTTGCCCTTCTCCACTCGAGTTGTTAAATTAAAGAGTGGTAGGATAAAGGGCAAGTGCAGGAGGATGAAATTCGGAAAAAAGTGCTTATTTTTCTGATTTTTAATGGTTAAAGGGACTTCTTTCAAAGTAAAATTGTGGAAAATCTCATTTTTAAAAAATTTCTTGAAGCTGACCAGGGAATGTTCTCAGTTCACACTTCTGAATGAAACTAGGCTCACTAGATGCAGTTTTTCACGCTGATTCTGAATCTGTGCTCAAAAACTTCCGAGGAGCTCTGTGAAAAAAGTTATGGACCCAGTCGAAGATTTCATAATTTCCGATTGAGCTCATTTTTGAAAGATATATAGTCCTTGCTCCCTTTGTCACGAATAACTATTTGATTTTCTCAAAAAGGTTCCGGAGCCTAGATATGATTTTTCAAAGTCACAAGAGCAAGCGCGCGCGGCGATCCGGCGGCCGGCGAAGCAACGGCACCGAGGAGCAGTGGTAAAGCGGCGGACTGGGGTCCACGAGGTCATAGGTTCGGTCCCCACGCTGTGCAAACTTTTTTGCAATTTTTGCTTTTCCGGATATTTTCGTACAACTGCATCTAGTGAGCCTAGTCTCAGAAGTCCCACTTTGAGCTGAGAACTTCCCTTGTGATGTGTAAAAAGGGAATTTTCGACATTTTTCCATAATGTGCCCGACTTGAAACCACTTTAAGGATAATAAATTTTTTCGAGGCTTTCTTGTCCTTATTTTTTACAAGTAATCAGATCGTTGTGTTCAAGTTGAAGGGAAAAATAATTCCCAAAACAGTAATTGTTTGAGTTTTCAATATTCAAGGTTCCACTACCATATAAAAAAAACCACGCGTTTTAAAATTTTCATTTATATTTCTAGAAAATGATGAAAAAAAGAATATTTCAAAGTTTTTAAATGTTGAGTTATTCATTACAGCGGGCTGATGAGCTTCATCCGATGCTATTATGCGAAAACCGTTACGAGTCGGGCGCGCCTTTTTTTCTTAAAACTATGAAAAAAGAGCCATTAAAAATGCACATAGAAGCCTCAAAATATAAATTGTGCAAGAAAAATTCGATTTATCTTCAATCATTCATTTTTCCCTCAAGGTTCTACTCTGTGGCCTATCTTTATTTGACGTCATCTTACTAACTTCCTCCATTCTGATCTACCCGTCAATGTGCGCCTGCTCCAAAGAGGAGAATCGGGTAAGATGAGCAATATTGATCGAAAATGAGCAACACATTTTACAGGCCGACAGTTTTGTCTGTCACTTTTTCTGGCGATGTACCATCATCATCTGGCCGTTGTCCTTGATGGCGCAAGTTGGTGAGTATTTTCGATTTTTGGGTTTATTGAAGTGTTCAAAATCTGAAAATTGGTCGTTTAGTTTCAATCGATAGAGGAGATCACGGAGATCAAGGAAAACTTGGTTTGACCTTCGTAGGTCAAATAGGATCTGAGATATAGGCGATCAAACTTTGAGGTCGACTATTGAAAAATTGATCAAGTTTAGTATCAATCGATAGAGGAGATCACGGAGATTGAGAAAAACTAGATCTCTAAGTTCCTAACCTCCCAGAAGTCGAGTTGTGAGTCTTCAAAAACTTCAAAAAATCATAACTTTCTTTCTAGGAGCCCAAAAACTTTTTTACCTAGATATTATGGCTTCTGACGTCATTTCCTATCGATTCATGTCAAAATCTCGAAAACTTCGATTTTCGGAAAAAATCGAAAAAAGTACAGTCTAACCCCTTCGGATTTTTTGAGCTTCTGAGGTCATGGAAGCCGATCTGGACGAAATGTATACCAATCGACAGATCTCGATTAAAAAATAACCGGAGGCCAGGTTTGACCTCCGTAGGTCAAATAGGAACTAAGTTATAGGCGATCAAACTAAGAGGTCAAAATCTGAAAATAGGTCAAATTTCGTATCAATCGATAAAGGGGATCGAGGAGATCAAGAAAAACTTGGTTTGACTTTCGTAGGTCAAATAGAATCTGAGATATAGGCGATCAAACTTTGAGGTCGACCATTGGAAAATTGATCAAATTCCGTTTCAATCGATAAAGGGGATCAAGGAAATCAAGAAAAAGTATGTCTCTAAGTTCTTAACCTCCTAGAAGTCGAGTTATGACTCTTTCTAAAAACTTCAAAAATTCATAACTTTGTTCCTAGGATCCCAGGAACTTTTTGACTTAGATATTTGAGCTTCTGAGATCATTTCCTATCGATTGATATGAAAATCTCGGAAACTTTGGTTTTCGGGAAAATCGAAAAAAGTACAGTCTAACCCTTACGTTTTTTTTGAGCTTCTAAGGTCATGGAAGCCGATCTGGACGAAATGTATATCAGTCGATAGATCTCGATAAAAAAAATAACCGGAAGCCAGGTTTGACCTCCCTAGGTCAACTAGGAACTAAGTTATAGGCGGTCAAACTATGAGGTAAAAACCTGAAAATTGGTCGAATTTGGTCTCAATCGATAGAGGAGGTCACGGAGATCAAGAAAAACTAGGTCTCTAAGCTCCTAACCTCCTAGAAGTCGAAAAAACAAAAAATTTCAAATTCGAAATTCCTCGACAACTATGACGTCATGGAATCAAATATATATAACAAGGCGAAACTCAGGTTCGGTCTGGACATGCGTCGCCGTCACGTTCGACCGATTCATCGCCGTCTCTTTTCCGATCAAGAAGCGCGTCTGGTGCACACCGTCGACGTCAGCCGCGGTCCTCTGCGTCATCACTGTTTTCAGGTACCTAGTGACGTCATCTCATTGAATGCACCAGATTTTTACACAGTTACATTCCAAAAACCGCTTCAAGTCGGTCGCAAAATGGCATAATTCAGCGCCCTGTTCAAGCTGCCGTCCTTCTTCGAGGTGCGGCTCGACGAGAAGGGCGAGGTTCAGATGACGTGGCTCCGGGAGAACGTCTTCTACATCACTTTCTACGTCTTCTACCTCTACGTCGCCGTCATTCAGTTGGTCCCGTGGACGGCTATCATCGCACTGAATGCCGTAGTTATTCACAAGGTGGTCACTTGAGGGTTTGAGATTCATGACGTCATTTTTTAAGGTCCGATTAGCGTACCGACTTCAGGCGGTTTTGATCCAGAACTCGGAGAAGCCTCGCTCGAAGAGAGAAGATGCGGAGAGACGGTTCGTTCTTTTCGATTTATTACTGTAGATTACTGTATTTTGAATGAAGATTACGGTAGATATTATAGTTTCGAAAATTGACCGTTCGATCGACCGTTCGACCAATATTTTTTCAACATGTCATAATAAATGGTCATTGGTCGAACGGTTGGAGTTTCAACATTTCAACATGTCACTTCAGAGTGACATGTTGGTTTTTGACCGTTCGAAATGTCTTTCTGAAAATGGTCGGTCATTTTTCGAACGTTCGAAATGTCACTTCGAAATTGGTCGGTCATTTTTCGAACGTTCGAAATGTCACTTCGAAATTGGTCGGTCATTTTTCGAACGTTCGAAATGTCACTTCAAAAATGTTCGGTCAGTTTTTGACCGTTCAAAATGTCACTCTTAAAATGGTCGGTCATTTTTTGACCGTTCGAAATGCCTATTCGTAAATTTTCTGTTACGCTGGAAGTGAGGGCTCGTGCGAGAGACACATTCCTTCTTGCTGCGTTCCAGTATTTCATTTGCAAACTTTGAGCCGTCATAATTTGACTACGAGGCTAAAGGCGAGATATTTTATTTTTGATTTGGAATCAGCATGCCTTAAAGTACACCCCTGCGAAGTTTCATCAAAAATTCAACCGGGGGATTGAAACAGTTTCCTTGTCAGAGTAACTAGAAGCTTATTTATTATCACGAAGCACGCGGAGTTTTTTCAAAATTCCATACTTTTCGCAAACGTTGATTCAATTTATTTCATTTCAGACACTTCAAACTTTTTTCAGTCAAATTTCGATCGTTTGAAACGCCATTTCAAAATTGGTTGTTCATTTTTTGACCGTTCGAAATGTCACTCTGAAAATGGTCGGTCATTTTTCGAACGTTCGAAATGTCACTTCCAAATTGGTCGGTCATTTTTCGAACGTTCGAAATGTCACTTCAAAAATGTTCGGTCAGTTTTTGACCGTTCGAAATGTCACTCTGAAAATGGTCGGTCATTTTTCGAACGTTCGAAATGTCACTTCCAAATTGGTCGGTCATTTTTCGAACGTTCGAAATGTCACTTCCAAATTGGTCGGTTGGTTTCGTAAATTTCAGAAATTGGTCGGTCAAACGAACGGTCAGAAAAATGACATGTTATAACCGTTCGAAAAACTGAACGGTCATATCAGTTGAACGGTCTAATTGGTCGAACGGTCGAATTTTAGAACACTAGTAGATATATAGCTTGGTTTCTTTTTAATGTTTTTGTGTTCGATAGTGCCTTCTTTCTGCTGTTTTGTTAAAGTTTTACCTCGAAATTTACACTTTTTTCAGGGTTACGGTAATGGCGACAGTAATGACTGGAATATTCATAATCTGCAACATTCCGCCGGGTGTCAACAACCTCGTCGATCACCTCGACGTCAGCTATAAATACGTCTTCAGGCAGAGGATTCCTCTGTCGAATTTGCTCGTCTGTGTTAATAGGTATAGCTTTTTTCAGATTTTAAATCTTCTGATTCCCGTTTCAACTCAAAAAACTACATTTTCAGTGCCTCGAACATGTTGATCTACTGCGTATTCAATGCAAAGTTCCGACAAGGAGCTCTGAGATTAATCGGAGTCCGAAGGAAAGGAAGCCGTGGCAGTGTTTCGCGTCTTCATGAGACCAGTTATATGGTTAGTTTTAGACCACAGGAAAAATGGCAAAAAAATTTTTTCGGTTGGGATCGAACCCTTAACCTTCCGAGCCTTGAGCTAGAACGTAACCGGCTGAGCTAATACAAAGGCAAAAACATTTTTTTCTTGTTAGGGATCGGAGCTGAGACCTTCCAAGTATCAAGCTGGTATCTTGTCTGAGATTTGGATTTTTGAATACAGAAAAATGGCAAAAAATTTTCTGTCGCTGTGTGGGATTGAACCTACAACCTCTCAAGCGGGTCCATTGCCGTCTGAGCCAGTTTTAATTTGAAATTTTGATCACAGAAAAAGGGCAAAAAACTTTCTGTCCTGGTGTGGGATTGAACCTGTGACCTCTCGAACTTCAAACTGGTCTCTTACCGACAGATCCAGCCTGAATTTTTGATTTTTTGAGTACAGAAAAATGGCAAAGAATTTTCTGTTCTTGTGGGGGATTGAACCTGAGACCTTTCAAGCCTCAAGCTATCCTCTTACCAACTTAGCCAACCAAAATTTTTGATTTTTAAGCACAGAAAAATGGCAAAAAACTTTCTGTCCTGGTGAGGGATTGAACCCGTGACTCTTTGAGGCTCAAGCTGGTCTCTTACCAACAGATCCCGTCTGGATTTTTGATTTTTAAATACTAAAAAATGGCAAAAAACGTTGTCAGGGATTGAACCTACGACCTCTCAAGCGTGTCCCTTACCGTCTGAACCAGTATAAATTTTAAAATTTGGTTTCATAAAAATGGCAAAAAGCTTTCTGTCCTTGTGAGGGATTGAACCTGTGACTTCTTGAGCCTCAAGCTATCCTCTTACCAACTGGGCCAACCGGAATTTTTTTGATTTTTAAATACAGAAAAAGTGGCAAAAAATTTTTCTGTCCTTGCGGGGGATTGAACCTGAGAGCTCTCAAGCCTCAAGCTGGTCTCTTACCAACAGATCCCGTCTGGATTTTTGATATTTAAATACTAAAGAATGGCAAAAAACGTTGTCAGGGATTGAACCTACGACCTCTCAAGCGTGTCCCTTACCGTCTGAACCAGTATAAATTTTAAAATTTGGTTTCATAAAAATGGCAAAAAGCTTTCTGTCCTTGTGAGGGATTGAACCTACGACCATTCAATCGAGACTGAGCCAGCTTAAATTCGAAATTTTGATCACGGAAAAATGGCAAAAAACTTTATGTCCTTGTGGGGGATTGAACCTGAAAGTTCTCAAGCGGCTCTCTTACCGTTTAAGCCAACCGGAATTTTTGTTTTCAAACAGCGAAAAAGGGCAAAAAACGCGCTACCCTTGTGTGGGATTGAACCTGTGACCTCTCGAACTTCAAGCTAACCTCTAACCAACTGAGCCAAGTCTAAGATTTTTAGTTTCAGATGCGTTCCCGCGTCGCTACCAGTGAAAACCTACAGAAAAACGCCGATTCTCCGACGCCTTGCTGATTTTTCTTTTCTTCCCATTTCCTCGCTCAATAACTACGAGTAATCACTTCATTTCTGTATTATATCGGGGGAAAAAAACATTTTTCAATTACATTTGTGTTGTACAGTAAAATAAAAGCTACAGTATCCTAAAATCGTCGTGAGACCCATGTGGAATGGAGTTTGAACGTAACGATTAAAAAAATAGAATGTACACTCTATAAAAACACAGTAAAAGAAGAGCTACAGTAATCCTAGAGGAGAATCGTCGCGAGACCCATAACCTGGGGGGAATGTAATTTCAATGTATTGTAAAGCTGATTTGGTTTCTTTTTGGTCAAAATTGTACAATCGACTAGATATGACGTCATCGTGACGTATGAGGAATGATGTGAAGGGGGAAATGTACAGGTAGATTTTGATTACAGTATACCTATTTTTGCTCTATTTGGACTTGAGTTTTTTATGTTGTTCGCGTTCCGTGGAAGACTCTGGGGGTTCGCATTCGAAGGACATTATCATCGAATCTGCAAAATGGCAAAAATTCGGTGGTATGACTCGAACCAGGGACCCCTTTCCTTAAAAAAATTTGAATTTTTTGAAAATTGAATTTCAATAATTTCATACGATGCAATCAACTGGGCTAAAGTTAAAAATGGATTTAAAAAATGAGATCAGCAAAAAACTTTTTAACCGACCGGATTCAAACCTGCGACCTTATGAGCAATAGTTGGAAGCTTAAAAATTGTTGCTGTGCGATTTTTTTGAAGTCTACAGGGTTTCTGAGTATTCCCTAGTCATTAATAACCATTAGAAGCTCAAAAAATAAATGGCAAAAAAGAAATCCCTGCGTGGGACTCGAACCCTCGACCCTTCGAGCGATGGACAAAGCCTCAACCAACTGAGCCAACCTTTCTCTCCAGTCACCGCCGTGATGAGCAGATACTGCAGGACCTGGGGATTCTTCTCGAAGGAGCAGACGTTGGATTTCCAGGTGATGACGTCACGAAGCTGGTCGGCCAATTGGGCAAACGCCTTGAAATTGTCATAATTTGCTTCAAAATTGGAATTATGTTTCGAAATGCATATTTTCTGGATCCTTGAGAGGAGATCTTTGATTTGAAATCGATAATGAGAGGGAAAAACTAACCAGGAAGTTCAAATGGCCGTTGGGAAGGGATCTCGGACTGCCATGGTAGATCAAAAAGAGGTCCTTGAGGAGCAGGACGAAAAATGGTATAACTATCTGCAAAAAAGTTCAAATCTCAGTATGAATTTGAACTTACTCATTTTTAAAACTTGGCCGCATTTGGAATGGCTTGTAAGAAAAAAATAATAAAGTTTGAAAAATTTTTTTAAAAAAATTTGGCTCTCCTGTCTTATGGATAAATTGAAAACAAAATTATAAATTTTTGTTGAAAATAAAAAAATGTTGAAACAGTAATGATATCTAATTTTTAATATTTTTCTTTTAGTGGATTTTCGTCACCTTTCACTGAAAAAACTTTTGCGCCCGACCCAAAAAGGCTTGCGCGCTTGAGCATCATGGATAATTGAATCAAACGGTGAATTTCAATTAACGAAAAAGCTAGAGTGAGTGTTTCTGAAACAGTAATGTCTCCAAAATAAAAAATGAAAAAATAAAACTTTTCACACACTTTTCTATACAATACACGGTGAATAAAATTGAGTTTGGTCCTTTAATGAAAATTAGACCGCAAAAATAACGTTAAAAATAAAAATTCCGGAAAAAAACCTTTGGCTGATTGGCCCGGGCACTGTCAGCCCTCCATTGAGCGGCTTTCATTGTGGCTCGATAGGAGAGGAAATTTCCACTTGGGTCCAGCTGATGTTGAAGAATTTCCAGCTTGCTTTTTCTCCACTCGGCACCACTGAAATCATGTTTTTTTATTCATTTATTTTTTTAATTGAAAGCGGAAAAAAAGTGGTCATTTTTTCAAGAAAAAAAATTTTTGATATACAAAAAAATTTCAGATAAACATTGTTTTTTTGTTGAAAAAAAATACCGAAAAAAATTGCGAATCTACCGTGTTTTTTTACAGTACTCCTCAAAAAGCTTGACTGTAAATAAAAAAATATCGATTTTTTTAAAAAAAGGAAGATAATTTAAAAAAAAGGTTCCAACACAAAAACGCTTATAAAAACATCATTTTTCATTGAAAAATACCGAAAAATGGCAAGTTTACCGTATTCTACCTACAGTATTTTTTTAGAAATCTGTCCGTAAGTTAAAAAAATCGATTTTTTTTTTAAAGGAAGATAATTAAAAAAAAGTTTCCAACACAAAAAGCGCTTATGAAAACATCCTTTTCCGTGAAAAAAAAATACTGAAAAATTGCAAAATTCACCGTATTCTCTCTACAGTACTCTTCAAAAAAAGAGGCGGAGTCTGTCCGTAATTTTAAAAAATTTTTTTAGTCAAAAAGTTTCCAACACAAAAAAATGCTCATGAAAACATCACTTTTTTGTTTAAAAACAACGAAGAATTGAAAAATCTACCGTATTCTCTCTACAGTACTCTTTTAAGAAAGGGGCGGAGTCTGTTCCTAGTTTAAAAAGTTTCCAACACAAAAAAACGCTTATAAAAAAACATCATTTTCAGTAGAAAAAAAAGGAAAATTTCAAATTTTACCGTATTCTACCTACAGTACTCCTCAAAAAAAGAGGCGGAGTCTATCGGTAGGTCAATCTACAAGTTCTAAAAAAAGGACAATAATTTTTGAAATCAGACCGTTCCGAAACAATTATTTCAACAAAAAAAGGAAAAAAATAATTTTTTTCCGTTGAAAAACTTTCGAAACAACAACTTCTAGGATCTGAATTAGGATGCGAAAAATGGTCTCCATCTTTAAATTCACTTTAAAAAAACGCAAAAATCAATCCGCCCTCGAGAGGAACCGAACTCGGACCGTTTTCTTGAGCCTAGAGATTGAAGGCAATGATAATCCAGCTACAATGGCCATCATCGAGTTGAAATTCCCGATTTCGCAACATTCTTTGGCGACGTCGATCAGGTACTCTACCACAGCTACTCGATGCCTGGAAATTGACATTTTATTACAAAAAAATTGAAGAAAATCGCCAAAATCTGACGAAAATTATACTTTTTATCAAGTACCTCCTTTTAGTCTGCCTGAGAACTTCAATCGCCGAAAAAGCCGACAATCTGTTGAACCATTCAATGTAGAAAGCGATGGAGCAGACGCCGTTTTGAGCCTGAAAACGAGGATCTAGAGGTCGAGGGTTCGAATCCTGTCCGGGTTTTGCAATTTTTGCCATTTTTCTAGAGCACTTTTGGAATTTTTTTTTCGAAATTCTTGAGATAGATTTGCAAATTAAGAATACGTTTTCTCACTTTCAGACTTTTAAAATAATTTTTCAACACCACAAATATTTTCAACTGTTTTTAGTGCAAAATGAATAGATCTAACGGTACAAAGGTCTATAAAATTCTGCAAAAAATTATTAAAAAAACTGTTTTTTTCGCCCAATTTACTATAATTCAAAATTCTCGTATTGAACAACCTTAGAATGCCTTCCAATATCCGCCAAATCGTCAGTGGCCAAAGAGGTGACGATTTCGTCGACTCCGACCATACTGAATCGTTCCTGAAAAAAAAAATTGAACGAATTCTGACAAACAAAAACAAAACAACAACAAAAAAAAACTAATCGCAAAGAGGATCTAGTTTTAAAAAATCAAAAACTCCAAAAAACTAAAAAAAAAACCGACCATTTCAATATGTGCCAATTGCTGGGCGACAATTTTCGGGTCAGGGCATAGGGTTATTAATCCGACCTGAAATAAACCTTAACTGATTTTTTTCGATAAATGAAAACTATAAACGATATTTTTGAAAAAGCGGAAAAAAATAAACTTACCAAAATATCGAATTGCTGTGGATGCTGAACATTTCCGGCGAGCGTTTTTCTGTAGATTCGTCACGGCTTTTTCGTATCTTTCCAATTTATTCAACTGAAACAACACGAATTGATTGATTTGTTCAAAAATCGCAAAAAAGATGATTATTTTCGAAATTTGCCGTGTTGTCGTAGCGTCCAGTGTTTTGGACGTAATAATGTGATGCACACAAAACTCTTGAAATGACGCGCAAAATTTAAGTTTCACGTTTTTTTTTAGTTTCCCTGATTTTTCCTAGTCTTTTCATTATCATTCGGTCGGCATGAAATATTTGTTGTCGATTTAATAAAATTTTTCAAGACATTAAATGAGCCAGACTTCTTCAAAAATAAAAGAAAGAAACATACCGAAGCGCGCAAATTAGACTGAAGGTCCGTCACTCGATGTTGGTACGACTTGTCCACGGAGCACAATCGGAGCAGCTCATTAAGCCTTAATTTTTCTTATTTCATAAATTTTTCCAACAGTTTTCAGTCAAAAAACACACATTTTTGAACTTTTGATAAATTTACCTCGTCCTCATGTATTCTGACCGAAAATCATAGGGAATATTGGTGGCCCACTCGGAACAGAGGCGAAAAATGTGGGCGAACATTCGGCCGCGGCCTTCTTTCGCAAAATTGTGCGCGTCGGCGTTTTGGGCGAACATGCAGTACTGAAAATTCTTCGTATAATTGATGAAATCTTTAAATTCAAAGAAAAAAAGTCTAGTTTGCAAATTTTGAAGCTTTGATGCTTCTTCAAGCTTTCAAAATTGCTACTAAAGTTTTTTTTCGATCCCAAGACCAAATATAAAATTCTCAACACATTAAGTTCACTTAATGACTTTAAATAATCTTACAAAACGGCAAAAATCGATAAATTCCCTCGGCAGGACTCGAACCTGCGACCTTTTTTCCGATTTTTATTGAATTTTCTGGCAAAAACCTCAACCGGATTCGAACCAACAGCCCTCTGAGCCACAGCCTAGCTTTTTGCCTATTTAGCTCCTCTTTTATATTTTTTCAAAACGGCGAAAAAAACGCTCACATTTCAATAATTCCCACCAAAAAGCCCTCTTTTGGACTATTTTCGTCGGCCGAATGAAATTTCCGCGACACCCGCGGGAGCGATTCGTCAAAAAACTATGGGAAATGGCCTTTTTTCGACGCGTTCTTGAAATATCTGGTGCTATAAAGGTCGTTGGTTCGGATCCTTTTCAGGAAAAATTATTTTGGCGTTTTTTGAATTTTTTCCAAGTTGAACGATTTTTCGAGAGAATCTGAACGAACTTCAATATATAAAAAATTTGAATTCAGTATCCAAAAAACTGAGAAAAAATAGAAACCCGTTAGTCAACCTGGGAAAGCTTAAAAGTAGAGTAAATGGGTCACAAGTTCGAGTCCTCTCTAGGAAACTTTTTTTGCCATTTTTTAAATCGATAAAACCGTTAGTTCTAATGCATTTTCATTCAAATATTCTGTTTTAAAATCAAATTTACAAGGCTCTAGAGGTCAAGGGTTCGATTCCCTTCCAGAGCGACCTGATTTTTGGCATTTTTTAAGAAGTACCTGAACAATTTTCTGCATGAGTTCGGATTGGTGAATTATTTTTCGATTGGTGAACTGTTAGAATATCACCAAAAACGTCACAAGTTCGAATCCCCTTCATGAAAAACTTTTTTTGCCATTTTTTTCTGATGCATTTTCATTCAGATCTTCTCTTCTAAAACCATATTCACAAGGCTCCAGAGGTCAAGGGTTCGATTCCCCTCCAAAGCGACCTGATTTTTGGCTTTACCTGGACAATTTTCTGCATGAGCTCGGGCGGCGATATGAAGGTGCGAACGTTGACGAGAAGGGCGAAAATGTAAGAACTGTCGGGACAAAAGTCGCGCGACGGAACGAGGCGACTGATGAGGGCGTCGCGGCTTCCCGACAACACCGTCCCGTCGTTGTGCAGCACCAGGTCCTGAAATCGGCAAATGTTCATTAAAACTTGCTTGGAGCAGCGGCTGAGCTCTTGATTACGGTCTGAAGGGCCACAGGTTCGATCCCGGGACCCGGCAAAAGTTTCAGAAAATTTCCAGATTTCTAAGAAGTTTTTAAAGTCTCAAACGGATGAAATGACATCTCAGAATGAAAATAGACTCATGGCTCAGCGGGTAATCTCCAAAATAATGTAAAAAGGGTCCTTGGTTCGATTTTCTTCACTTATTAAAAAAGAAAAATCAAAATTCAGTCTGAACGTTTCTCTCAACCTCAGTAGCTTTCAATACAAACTGTAAAATAAGCTGTGGCTCAATTTTAAAGCTGAAAACTGTCATCAAATGGGTCCTGGTTCAAATCCTATCCTCCTTTTTGCCATTAAAACCATTTTTCCAATCAATTTTTCAACCGATTTTCGATCTAAACTCAGTAGCTCCCCATTAAATCTATACAACAATGGCCCAACTCTTAAAGCTGAAAACTGATGGAAAATGGGTCCCTGGTTCATTTCCTATCCTCGTTTTTTTGCCATTTTTTTGATTATTTTTTCTTCACCTAATAATTCAGCTTAATTTTTTTCTTAAGCCTAGTAGCTCCCAATTTTTTTCTATAAAAAAAGTTTTTGGCCCAACTCCACAAGCTAAAAACTGCCATCAAATGGGTTCCTGGTTCGAGCCCTACCCTCGTTTTTGCCATTATCAAATGTGAAATCTTAAAATCCATTAAAAAAAACCTGCCTGAAATGCTTTCTAAAATTCAATAATGTGTAAAAAAGCCATGGCTCAGCTGGTAAACCTCTAAAATAACGCAAAAATGGTTCCTGGTTCGACTCTCGTCCCCGTTTTTGCCATTATCACTCGGAAAAACTCACATTCTGCTCGAATTTTTCGCTTTTCTGGGTGTCTAGCCGGACTTCAGCGAGCTGTGTCGACAGCGACAGCATTGCCTGCTGCGATTGCGAGTTCGCCAGAACGGCGGCCTGGAAATCCAAATATTGGGTAACATGAGGAATACATGTACTTGCGTCTATTAAAAAATTGTAAAAAGCATTCTTTTTTGAAAAATAATATTAAAAGCGTTTATAGGAATTAAAGAAGAAATTAACGACCTCGAAAACCAAATATGAGGTAGTCTGAGCAATAGTTAGGTTGAAAAAAGTCGTAAAGATCGTTTTTCTTATCAAGCATCACAATTTTATAAAATATGGCGGCCTGGAATTCCAAATATGAGGTAGTCTGAGCAATATGTAGGTTAAATTGAAAGTCGTGAAGATCTATAAAGCATCACATAGTTGTCTGAAGACAGTATTAGAAAGCTTCGAGAAAATTCTTAATACGGCGGCCTGCAAACCCAAATATGAGGTAGTCTGAGCAATAGGTAGGTTAAATTGAAATTCGTAAAGATCAAAATTTTTTTTATCAAGAATCATAACGTTAAATAGGTAATAGGCGAAAATTATGAAAAAAAACATGGTGGCCTGGAAATCCAAATATGAGGTAGTCTGAGCAATATTCAAGTTATTAAAAACGTCTCCAGTGAAAATTCAACTTTTGTGAAGAATATATATTACTCGAGAAACTCGAAAATGATCTTCAATCCTACAAAAAGTTTGTTTTTGACAAATGCGGCGGCCTAAAATTCCAAATAAAAGTCGACGGGTCCTACGTAACTTTCTTCACTATTTATTGACAATTTTGAGACTTTTTTTCAAAAAAATTCAAGACTTTTTGTTGTCGAGAAAAAAATGAGAACTGAAAGGTTAATATGATAAGAGATGAGAAACAAAAGAAATTTTTCAGACAAAAGATCGGTTTTTCATTTCATTTTCATTTTTTCTGCGTCCATGGATTGGTGAGGAAAAAAACTTATTTCAAAAAAAAATCAAGGAGCCACTATAGGTGTGACTTTAGGGTCAATAAAAAAACCTTAAAGTTAAAAAAAATTATTTAAAAAAGCTCTTATTTGGTACCAAAGTTATAATGAAAGGGTTCAGTTCCCTAGAGGGGCCACTCAAATTTTCTCTGACTAATCAAATGACCCCTTAATAAAACAAGATACGTGACTACTTAAGGGAAATTCGCAAGTGATTTTAAGTGGCCACTTAAGAACCCAGAAGCTCTGCATTCAAAGTGACCCCTTGAGGGCGCTTCAAGGGCATTTTTAAAGGAAGTGATCACTTAAGGAGGATTCGCAAGTTATTTTAAGTGATCACTTAAGGAGGATTCGCAAGTTATTTTAAGTGGCCACTTAAGAATACAGGGGCTCTGCATTCAAAGTGGCCCCTTAAGGGCGCTTCAAGGGCTTTTTTATAGGAAGCGATCCCTTAAGTGGAATTTTCAAATAATTTTGAGTGACCCCTTAAGTGAGCTTGGAAACTAACATAGAAGCTCTGCATTCAAAGTAGCCCCTTAAGGGCGCTTTGATCTGCTTCGAGGGCTTTTTCATAGGAAGTGATCACTTAAGGGAAATTCGCAAGTAATTCTAGTGACCACTTGAAAACCCAGAAGCTCTGCGTTCAAAGTGGCCCCTTAAGGGCGCTTCAAGGGCTTTTTTATAGGAAGTGATCCCTTAAGTGGGAGTGATCCTTTAAATTTTCAAATAATTTTGAGTGACCCCTTAAGTGAGCTTGGAAACTAACATAGAAGCTCTGCATTCAAAGTAGCCCCTTAAGGGCGCTTTGATCTGCTTCGAGGGCCTTTTTATAGTAAGTGATCACTTAAGTGAAATTTACATGTAACATTTAGTGGCTACTTAAGAACACAGGAGCTCTGCATTCAAAGTGGTCACTTAAGGGCGCTGCAAGGACTTTTTATAGCAAGTGACCACTTAAGGGGAATTTTCCAGTGATTTTTTCATTCTAAGCTTGAAAAAAAGGGAAAAAAGGGCCTAACAACTTCAAATTCCAAAAAAAAGACAAATTAAATCTTCAGAAAGAAGGAAAAAATGAAATATTGTGCTATATTTCAACAAGATCCTCGAAAAAATCGAGTTCAAACTTCAAAAAAAGGGGAAAAGTGTACTATCCGTCCTTTAAAAGTTGCCATTTCGGGTTGGCAGCTCTATGAATTTTTCAGTTGACTCAAAGTCGCTGAGACGGGATGTCGAGTGAGAGAAATGAGAAATGAAAAACGGGGGAAGATGCTGGAAAAGGAAAAGTTGTTTTTGGAGGGGCAGAAAAAGAAGGGGAGGAGGAGAAATCGCCTGAAGGCGGTCGTGGGAAAATGGCATTTTTTGGCCTCCTCCTCTTGCCTTTTTTAGTCAATTTGAGAAATTCTCCTAGCTTGGATGAGCATTTTCATACTGAATACTAGATTCGCAACTAGAATCTCACAAAATCTCTCATTTTTGCACGCTATTCCGCCAATCTTCAGAAGGCCAGAGTGTTCCCTAAAGGGGTTCAGAGTCTGGCCCTAAATCTTGAATCTCAAGTGGTCCCTATAGGGATTAGAAGGAAAATCAGCTTCATAAGGGGACGAGAAGTGACCCCTATAGGGGTTCAAAGTCTGACCCCTGAGCTCCTAAATCTCAAGCGGTCCCTATAGGGGTTAGAAGGAAAAAACAGGTTCATGAAGGGACGAAAAGTGCCCCCTATAGGGGTTTAAAGTCTGATCCCTGAGCTATTGAATCTCAAGTATTCCCTATAGGGATTAAAGGAAAAAACAGCCATATTAGGGTACAAGAAGTGCCCCTATAAGGGTAGAACTTTAGTGGTCCCTAAAGGGGTTTAGGGTCGGATCCCTGAGGCCCTCAATCTCAAGTGGTCCCTATAGGAGTTAGAGGAAAAACAGCCCTTTTAAGGGACAAAAAGTGCCCCCTAAAGAGGATACAATGTAAGTCTTCCCTATAGGGGTTTAGGGTCAGAAATCTGAGGCCCTAAATCTCAAGTGGTTCCTACAGGGCCTTCCAACTTTTTTTTTTCCAGTTTTGAGTTTTTCGCATGGAAATGAGTCTTCCCATAAAGTTTATAGCAATAATCGTCCCCTATAGGGGCCACTAACTGAACCTCTGGAGATTAGGGGTCCCTAAAGGGGGAGGTGAAGTGGTCCCTAGAGGGGAGCCTTCAAGAGCTCCACTAAGATTGCCCTAAAGGGATCTAGATCAGCTCTGTAATCAACATTCTTGGGAATTCACTGTTATTTTTAATCTTATCATGAAAATCTATAATCTTGATGGCCATAGGGCATTCAAGGCAAGCTGAAGACTGAAAAGAGCAATAAACGGCTAACAAGATCTAAGCTGAGCAATAAAACAGGATAGAAAATTTCACTTTTCTGTTACACTATAGTCAGCATCCTTACTCTAAATATCCTTTTCGAAGCAACGAACATCTTCAAATTCCCACGTTTCCACTGAAATTCGACTCCTGGTGTTCGCTTTGAAAATATCAATTTTTAATGAGATGAGCAAAGAACTAGTTATTAAATTTTACCAAGAAAATTACTGTAATAATGATGAAAAATAAATTAAAAATAACGACAAAACACCCCAAAGTGTGAAGATTTAAACTTGCAGAACTCGAAAAAAGTTTCAAACCGATTTTTTTTTCTATTTGATCTCAAAGACCTAAAATGGTTTTGCATGAACAAAAGAATAAATTAAAAAAAATGAACTAAAAGAAAATCAGTGAAATATTGGCCAGGAAAAGGACAAAACGATATTTGGACGGAAAACGGCGGGACGTTCCATTCATTTGCATGCGCTCAACGGGACGCAGGGACACTAATTAATTAATTTCCCCTTGTCCTTTTGCGAGTGTCGCGCGCGAAATTGGAGAGCAGCTCTGGTTTTGGTCCCCAAGGGATTGCTCAAGTGGTGACGCGGATTGCGTTTCATAAAGTTTTAACTTTTTCTGAAGTTCTTAAAACTCATTTTTCAAAGGAAAAATTGAAAAAAACTGAATGAATTTCGGAAAAAAACCTAATAAAAAGCTGATATTTAGCCCATATTACTCTATATTGCTCATGTTAGAAACATCCAGATATTTTTTCGAAAATTATAATAATACAACTCTATAAGAAAAACTAGAAAAAAAGTTATCAAGTGAAATAGCAATATGCAGCTAAATATTGCTGCATATTGCTCATGTTAGCCATGAAAAATTTTTATAATTCAGCTGGTTTTTCTGATTTTTTTTAAAAGGAGGCGAGTGGATTTTTTTATTGCTCTTTATTGCTCATGTTAGAAAAAGGACATTTTTTGGAATTCTGAAGGTGTTTGGGCTGAAAAAAAAACATGTATCCCGCCGAAAAATTATTGCCAGGTATTGCTCATCTTACAACGAAAAAATATTGATCTCACAACAAAATTGTTGCTATGTATTGCTCATCTTACAACTTCACTCATGAAGGGAGTCAATGAATCTCGAGAAAAAGCCGGAAAAAAAAATGGGAAGCTTCATTGCAATCAGTTGCTCATGTTAAAAAAAAAGATGGAAACCTCGCTCTTGAAACCTTATTGCTGAATATTGCTCATTTCGCCAAAAACTATCGTCTCCTATGAAAGAAACCCTAAAAAAATAAAGCCAAAAAAGGAAAAATGGGAAGCTTCATTGCAATCAATTGCTCATGTTTGCTCATTCTACCAAAAAAGCTACTGTCTTCTATGAAAAAAAAACCATTTTTCTTAAGGAGGAAGTCAATGAAGCTCGAGGAAAAGCCAAAAAAAAAGGGAAAATGCGAAGCTTTATTGCAGTCACTTGCTCATGTTAACGAAAATGATGACAATCTCCAGTTCAAAACCTTATTGCTGATTATTGCTCATTTTAACATGCACCTATAAATTAAAACCGTTTTTCTTGAAGAGGAAGTCAATGAATCTCAAAGAAAAGCCGAAAAAAAATGAGGCATTTGGAGCTTCATTGCAATCAATTGCTCAGGTTAACAAAAAATGATGAGAGCCTTGCTTTTGAGGACCTATTGCTGAATATTGCTCATTCTACCGTGTATCTACTGTCTCCTATGAAAGAAACCGTTTTTCTTAAAAAGGAAGTCAAGGAAGCTCAGGGAAAAGCCAAAAAAGAAAAAATTGGAAGCTTCATTGCAATCAATTGCTCAGGTTAACAAAAAATGATGAGAGCCTTGCTTTTGAGGACCTATTGCTGAATATTGCTCATTCTACCGTGTATCTACGGTCTCCTATGGAAAGAAACCGTTTTCCTTAAGGAGGAAGTCAAGGAAGCTCAGGGAAAAGCCAAAAAAGAAAAAATTGGAAGCTTCATTGCAATCAATTGCTCAGGTTAACAAAAAATGATGAGAGCCTTGCTTTTGAGGACCTATTGCTGAATATTGCTCATTCTACCGTGTATCTACTGTCTCCTATGAAAGAAACCGTTTTTCTTAAAAAGGAAGTCAAGGAAGCTCAGGGAAAAGCCAAAAAAGAAAAAATTGGAAGCTTCATTGCAATCAATTGCTCAGGTTAACAAAAAATGATGAGAGCCTTGCTTTTGAGGACCTATTGCTGAATATTGCTCATTCTACCGTGTATCTACGGTCTCCTATGGAAAGAAACCGTTTTCCTTAAGGAGGAAGTCAATGAAGCTCAGGGAAAAGCCAAAAAAGAAAAAATTGGAAGCTTCATTGCAATCAATTGCTCAGGTTAACAAAAAATGATGAGAGCCTTGCTTTTGAGGACCTATTGCTGAATATTGCTCATTCTACCATGAATCTACGGTCTCCTATGGAAAGAAACCGTTTTTCTTAAGGAGGAAGTCAATGAAGCTCAAGGAAAAGCCGGGGGAAAAAATGAGACATTTGGAGCATTTTAGAGCACGGGCAGGTGCGCGTGAGCGACCGCGTCTCGTATGTGTGCCAAAAAAACTCCGACAAGGTGATTAGGCGACGGCTCCGCGAGCACCAGGTGCAAAGAGCAAAACAGAACAGAAGGAAAAAAGGAACCTTTCTTGACTTTGTCCTCAAGGAAGTAGTTGGGGAATTTTTGAGGAGTAAAAGTCGGGAAGTGGAATTTTTCTAGTTGACAAAAAAAAATCAGCTTCAAAATGTTGTATAGCCGCGACTTGAAACGCTAAGAATTTCTCTGCGCCCTCCTTATCTCTCGACGTCTCTCTCCTGTTTACGTGCTATTTTCATGTTTCTCTGATCTCGTCGATGAGGGAACAGAGAGAAAAAAAAAACGGCAGGTAGAGATTTTTCTAGTTGCAATTCCTGTCCTTTGATTTCTTCATAATTTTGTTAATGGACTATTTTTCTAAAAAAAGTCCGTGGCTCTGTCTTCAAGGAAGTAGTTGATCATTTTTTTGACAGAATAGAACGAAAAAAAAGTTTTTTGAGATGAAATTAGGGTTCTGTAGATCACTCAGAGCCCTTTGAATGCTCTTTTTTTCCCAAAAATCTTCCTGGGCCTGGTTCAAAAAAATATAGTTCATTTAGGATATGTGTTTTTAGAAGGCAAAGAACAACACAATATTCAAGGAAGTAGTTAGAAATTTTATAGAAAAAAATCGGGAAGAAAAAGCTTTTTTTCAGTAGAAGTTCCTGTCCTTAAAGGCTTTCAAAATGTATAAATGGACTAATTTCTGAAAAACAGTTTTTAGCTTGGACTTCAAATAAGTAGTTTTAAGGAAATTTGGAAAAAAAGTGCGAAAAAGCTTCTTCAAGATGAAATTCAAATATATTGACCGCTCAACCTTTATGAACGAACCCTTTTTAAAACCGCTTCGCAGCCGCGACGCTTTGAACCAAAAATCCAAATGCCGTGTTGAAAGTAATTTAGGCAACTTGAAAAAAATTGACACGTTATTCGATTAATATTATTTCAGGAAATATCACCGAAATTACTTTTAACACGGCACAATTTCCTCAAAAGAAGCTGAAAACTGACGTGATCTACATAGGCAAACGTCTAAAAAAAAAAGAAAAAAAGGAGGAAAATAAACACTGGAAATGAGCCAAAATAAACAAACAAAAAGGCCTTTCATGGCTAAATATGGGGCCGATTCTGAAATTCATACGCCTCTGATTTGGAAATATGTCCTGGTGCGAAGATAGGGAAAATCTTAGAAAAGTATAATTTTGAAGAAGAAATTGAAAAAAGTGCTCAAACCGAGATAAATTTTCTTCGTGGCAAAATCAAAGAGAGGCCTTTTCAGAAACGCTCCGAAATTCAGAACAGTCATATAAAGTTCTGATCGCGAAGCTACTGGGAAAATTTTCAGTAGCCACTATAGGGTCTTGACGTTTTAGTGGCCCCTATAGCGGTCAAATTAGTGGCTACTCAAGGGGTTTAAAATTAGTGGCCACTATAGAGGTCTAAGTGCTACTACTAGACCACTTAGTGGCCACTTTAGGGGTCAATGGATCAACATAACTGGTCCAATCTGTTTGTTTTTAAATTATCAGAGTTACTGGAAGGAACACTGGATGAAAAACTACTGGAGTAGCCACTAAAACGGAAAATAGTGGCCACTATAGAGGTGGGTTTAGTGGCCACTTTAGTGTCCTCTCCAAGAAGTCATTGGCGAGCCTCTATAGTGGCCACTAAAAGTTTTCCCAGAGTAGATAAAAAGATATCGTGTAATGGTAGATCGATCAGTAAAATTTTTGAACAAAAATAAATTTCACGAGTTAGTTGTTTTTTTCAATAAGTGCACACTTAAGTTAATGGGAGCTACTGCTTAAGTGAGGCCTTCAGGGAGATCTTTTTCGCTCTTAAGTAGTCACTTACAAGTTCTTACAAAGTTGAACCAGTCTCACTATAGTTATTCGCTGTTCAATTGGTAGGTACTTGAGTTATTTCTAAACTGAAACCTTTAAGGTTCTCTTTTTTGCTCTCAAGTGGTCACTTACACGTTCTTGAGTAGTTATACCCGTCTAAAACTACAATAAGAAAAAAAGGCGACTGAAATGAAGGCAAAAATAAAAGAATTGGCTCTGGAATCCAAGTGGCCATTTGAGTGGCTCGCTCTTCAATAAGTAGCCACTAGAGTTATTGTTAAGTAAGAGGTTCAGGGAGGACTTTCTCGCTCTTAAGTAGTCACTTACAAGTCCTTGCAAAGCTGAACCATTCTCACTATAGCTAGTCACTATTGAACAGGTAGGTAGTCGAGTTTTTGCTAAAGTGAGACCTTCAGGGAGGTTTTTGCCGCTCTCAAGTGGTCCCTTGAGTAGTTGAACCAGTCTAAAACCACTACAAAATACTACTAAAAGACAAAAAAGGGCGGGCGAGGCGGAAATAGAAGAATCGGCTCTTGTGCTCATCGGATCGTCGGCTCGCCGAGCACACACACACACAGAACGCCGTGTTTGTCGTCGTCGAGGAGCCGACGCCTTTTACGGTTTTGCAACCGAAACCCGCCCCAAAACCGATATCTGTGTTTGTTTGCAGAGAAGGCTTGTGCAGGTTGGAAGAAATCGAAGAAAAAAAATACAGGGAGAATCGAATTTTCACTTGAATTTCTTCAATAAAAAGGCTGAAAAGGGCAAAAAAGGAATGCCTGGAAAAGCTCAATAGTTTTAAAATTTCGAAAAGCTATTATTATTTATAAAACTCGCAATTTTCTCTAAAAAAATGTTGAAACAATTATTCCAATAAAATATCAATTATTACCTCATACTGAAACCGGAAACCCCTAGAAAAATCAATTAATTTCATCACTTTCTCCTAAATTGATTTTCAAGAAAAAATCGACAAAAAAATCTGAAAAACTGAAAAAAAGTCGAGAAAAAAGAAAGAATTCCCATTGAATCATCTTTTGTAGTGATCCGTTTTTTTGTTAAGGGAACAAATTCATAACAAAAAGGGTGTTTTGAGAAAAATGAAAAAAACGGAACTTGAAATTGATGAGAAAAAAATGAGAGATTCAATATGAAAATTTATGGTTTTAGGTTGAGAAAAAAAAAGAAAAAAATTTTAAAATTAAAAAAATACAGATAGATTTTTTTGAAAAATTTTTTTCGCTTTTTCTGATTTTGTAATCTCCCTATATTCGAAAAACTGCTCATGGTTTGGATCGTCAAAAAAATGAGGAAAAAAATCAAAAAAAGAAACCAAAAAAGAAACGTGTTGGGAATCAGCCAAACAACGGACAATAAACCCAACAATTAAAGATTCATTGAGCGGTGGCGCGCATGTTTTATGCACACAGCTGCGACCTTCCTTGGGTTTTTGCGCCCTAAGAACAACCTTGGAACATCAAAATATAAGAAAAATGATGTGTAAAAAAATGGCAAAAAAGATTTGATCTCGGGCGGGCTCGAACCGCCGGCCTTCTGTGTGTTAGACAGATGTGATAACCACTACACCACGAGATCACCGGGTGGTCAGAGCGCGCGGAAGTAATGTGAAGCCTCTTCCCAAGGCGGCAGATGACGTCAGGTTAATGAAAAATTACCTGTTTTTTGAGGAGCTGGACGAGTTCATAAGGAATAGCTGGGAAGTGCTTTCGGCACATTCCGACGTAAAGAATAAGGCGAGAATAAAGTGTAGTTTTGGCGTTCTTCGCTCAAACTTGCAGATTTAGTTTGACGGGGGAACTTCAGAATATGTTAGTAGGGGAGAAATTTTGGAAAAAATGATAAGGAAGTAAAAAAAGAGTCTTAGGAATTTATTATAAGAGGTTAAAGTTATTTTTACTAGGTTAGGTGGGGTGAAAACGAATTAAAAAGGTTTAAATATGTTCCGAGTGTTTCAAAAGGTCTTTTTTAAACTTTGAAAAGTTGCAAAAATCATAAAATTATGTTAGAAGCTTAGGAGATGTTTTTAGTAAAGTTAAAAAAACATTCTGAACAACTTTTTTTCTTGAAAAAAATTTTTAAAAATGAATATTTAATCAATATTTTTAAAAATATTCTAAATGGGTTTCAGACGATGTTAGGAGTTAGAAAAAAAGACTATTTATGAAATTTTTTTACATTTTTTTCACATCCCAAAAAAACTTTTTAAAATCAAAAAAATAATCCATCGAAATTCTATTTAAAACACTCAGAAAAAGGCCTTTGGACGGGTTTGAAAGGTTCTTTCTCAATATAATTCAGGGTTCCAACTTCTCTAAACTATAATTATCACAGATAGACACATTGGCCACTCAAATAAGGCCAGAACAAGCCGACGTCGAGTAGAAATACCAGTTTAGCAGGTTCTGAAGACCCCAAAGACGATTTTAAGAGATCGAGTTACATTAGAGATCTGGTTCCGCCTAGAAAAAACAAATTAAGGGTTTTTTTTTGTTTCTGCAAAAAGTCATAGAACCTGAATGGCTCAAAAATGATCCCGGAAAATTTCAAAAAGACTTCAAAAAGTCATAAAAACTGAAAAAACGTCTCAAAAGTGCTCCAAAAGCCATGAAAATCTTACAAACTAACCAAAAAAGTACTGTTTCGAAAACTGAAGGAGAATGGAAATCTGAATCGCAGCTGGCTTTTTTCTAGTTCCACAGGGTCTTTAACAGTCTCATCTCAAAAAAAATCAAAGACACCTGTGAAAATTTGAAATTTTCGATCTGCATGCCAAAGCTTCCTACCAAAGAAATTCTGAAAAACCTAAATTCTCTCTAAAAATTCATAGAGAAAATCCCTATTTTGGACTCTCGAATAGTGTAAAAAAAATATTTTTTGGATCGTTCTGAAGAAATGGTTACGTATCTTGCATCAGTTTAAAAAAAATTTAGTCTTGATTAATAATATTCCAAAAAAACAGGGAAGTGTTCGAAAAAGAATTACCAGCTTTATGACGTCACTTTTTGAGCAAAAATCTGGTCTAAATTTTCAGAATTCTTGTATAAAAACATTCAGGAAGTGCATAAATTAGAAATAGCAAATTGTTTTCATTTGTTTTAAAATTCAAGTCAACCTTTCCAAACCTATACAAGAAAAAAAATATGATTAAAAAGCCTACTATTCTTTTTTTGTTTCTTTCTACGAAGCTCGAAAATTTAAAAAAAACTGTCAGGATCTCCATTTTTCAAGCTAAAAATCTCAAGAAGAAACCTTCAAACCCGTCTAAAATCTCTCTTTTCGGCTATAATGATCTCAAGAAGCTTACTGTTACTTTAAAAAAAAAAAAATGAAAAATAACGCAAATATTCTCGAAAAGTTACAGTCCCAGGTGTTTTTGGGAGGAGCTGGAGGAGATTTGTAAGCTCAAAAATTAAAAAACGACCAGGACCCCTTTTTCAAGCTAAAAATGACAAGAAAAAGCCTTCGAACCCGTCCAAATGCTCTATTTCTAACTTTTATGATGTCAAGAAACTTACTTCTATTTTGAAAAAAATGAAAAAAATAACAGATATTTTTCTCGAAAAGTTACAATCCCAGGTGTCTTCGGGAGGAGCTGGACGAGACTTGTAAGCTCAAAAATTAAAAAAAGATCAATTTTTCAAGCTTAAAAAATCTCAAGAACCTTTTTCAAACCCGTCCAAAGTCCCTATTTCTAACTTCTATGACGTCAAGAAGCTCACTTCTACTCTAAAAAAGGACTAAAACTTTTCAGAAAGTCACAATCGCAGGTGTGTTCGGGAACAATGGGAAGAGGAGGCCAAGGCGTGGCTCTGCCACAAAAAAGCCTCGCGCGTCTTTTTTTCGGAAGGACGAGGAAATCAGGCCAGGCAAATCAGGGGGTTGCAACTGTGCCGGGCGGCCCATTTTGATTGTCAGTTTATGTTACGGCTGATGTTATGGTTTGGATTGAGCCGACACGTCCCGGTTCTCGTAAACATGTATGTTTTGACCTGTATTTTATGAGACAAGGATGTTCGAGAATGGAAACTTATCAAACTGTACAGTCAATGATTCCTGACTTGAAAGGCGAGGGAGGCGGGGCAAGGGGCGGGACGCGTAGCGTGTGCGTACGCGGTTCTTGGCGCGAGTTCAATTCAACCGCCAGCGAGCATTTAGAGAGCTCATTTATCGCTCTTTTCACTCCTTTTTTAATTATTTATTGATTATGTTCAGGCGTGCATCAAAAATAGTAGAAAATACAGAAAAAAAGTGGTTTCCCAGCTTTTTAAATAGTCGGCGGCGATTGAATTGAACTGGCGCCAAGAACCGCGTACGCACACGCTACGCGTCCCGCCCCTTGCCCCGCCGCCCTCTCCTTTCAAGTCGGGAAAAATTGACTATATAGTCCGTTCAGATTTTGAAAGTCAAGAATGACGTCATTCAAAAACACTCTGTGGATGGCTCGCTCTCTGATTGGTTCATCGCACCATAAGGGGCGGAGCTTGAGCGAAGACTTGACATTTAAAATCTGAACAGACTATATCTATAGTCCGTTTTTCGCGACTTAGCTTTTTCTCTGCGCCCTCCTCGTCTCTCTTGTCGACGCGCTATTTTCATTTTTCTCTGACTCGCCGGTGAGGGAACAGAGAGACGCATACACGCGAAAATGGTCAAGAGGGTCTATGTAAGACCGCAAAAAAATCCTTCGACGAAAAATCAACCTAAAGTCTTGAATGGAATATTCTTTGTCAAGATATTGAGAGGTGAAAATAGCAGTCTGGAAAAATTATAAAAATTAAAAATCTTGAATACAAGCCAAAAAATGAAGTGGTGAAAATATACCAGGAAAGATCAGTTAAGAAAAAATAGCCGCAGCTGAAAAATCATGCCAGAAAAGCCCTTATTTTGAGCCTTTAGCCAAAGGTTTCAAAGAAAATAGACCATTCCTTGTCACGATTCCCTTCTCCAGAAGCTACAGGACCCTTTTTTCAATGCATCTATGCGCCTTTAATTAGGCCTCAAATTTCCGTTTATTTAAAGACGCATGCACAAAGACAGTCCGCGCGCATCGAAGCGAAGGGTTCTGTAGCACGGAAAAAAAAAAAATGAAAATCATGGCAATTTGACACGGAATTTGTGATGTTTCGAGATGATTATGAAAAAGTGGCTAAAAAAATAGCCGAAAAATCGTTCCAGAAAAAAAAAAACCAAGAAAAAATAGCCGCCGTGTAGAATATATCAACACCAGCATCACGAAAATAGCCACTTTTGAGCCTTGAAATAAAGCTTTTGCGCTCCAATGATTAAATCAGCGCCAGACAACTGAGCCGCGAGAAAATAATAGCTCCAAAAGAACAGCACCGATGAAAAATCAGAGCGTCAGATCAAGAGCTTTCGCGCTCTAATGAGAAAAACGGCTTCTGTGAGAAAATTTTGGCTTCGAAAAAACAAAAATGACGAAAAAGGGTTTTTCTGTACATAACTGACTGTTTCTATAGTTAAAATTCTCAGAAAAATCCAATTTTGAGAAAAAAAAATGCATTATGTGATGCAAATTTAAAGGCGCATCGACTCCGTTGAAAAAGAAATTTCGACACGAACCGTGTGATTTTTGAACGTTTGCCAATTTTGAAAAAAATGCTTAAACTTTAATAATGTATTCAACGCAAAATTATTTTCTCACTTTTTATTAAAACCAGAGTGAAACACAAATCTCGGCTTTACGATCAACATTTTCATTTTTGTTTTATTTTCAAAATTTCGAAAAGCTTTTAACGTGAAAGGTTTCTGTTTTGATAACGAAAAAAAGCACTCAACGTAAAAAAGTTCTATCGAAACCTAATGCATTTTGTCACATTGAAAAGCAACTTTCTCTGGTTTTAATCGTAAAAAAGCGTTGAATCATGATTTTTGGATGGGGGGAAGCGGAAAAAAATAAACAGAGGTGCGTTTGGAAAAAAATAATCAAACTTTTTTTCCCTAGTTTTGGTGAAAAAAAGATTTTTTTCAAAAAGTATTTCTGTAGAAAAAAATGATCTTTTTTTCGATTTTTTTAAAAAAACAATACATTTTTTTATGAAAATGGAATTTCAGTATAGATTCATACTGAAAAAAAAAACAATCCGAAAAAACAACTTTTTTGGTCAAAAAAAAATGGCAAAAATTAGAAATCCCTGGACAGGACTCGAACCTCCGTTCTCCAACTTTTTTTCAAAAAAACAAAAAAATAATCTTTTTTTCTGAAAGTATGCAACGTTTATGAATTTGCTAGGCGAAAATCCCACTGTTCTTGTCAAAATTCATTTTCCAACGGAGTCGATGCGCCTTTAAACTTGCATCAATTCATGCATTTTTCTCTCAAAATTGGATTTTTCCGAGTAATTTTACAATAAAAACAAAACAGTCAGTTATGAATATAAAAACCTGTAAAAAACCTACAAAGTTGAATTTTCAAACCAAAGAAGCACCTACTAAAAAAAGAAAAACCTGTATAAAACTGCGAGAAATCAAACCTCAAAGGGACAAAAAAAAATGAATAGCGACACGTTTCTGAGTGGTTCTTTTGTATTTGGCGGGGAGAGGGGGTCACTCTTTTTGCGCCAAATTTGGGCGGCCAAATCAAACAGAAAAAAAAGACATGGACCCGCGTGTATTTGTACAAATGGAGTGACCTTGCACATGAAAAGAGGTCTCGAAAGTGCGGATAGATATTAGTTTTTGGACCGGACGTTCATAAAAAACGATCAGTTCGGAAATTAAACGAATCCTTGTAAAATTCAGGTTTTTTGGCAAGTCAAAAAATTTTATATTGCTTTTTTTTTAATCCTTACTTGAACGATGACGTCATTGACTTTTTTTATGAATTCATGACGTCATTGATTAAAGTTATGACGTCATAAAAAAAAACAATCAGTTTGAAAAAACCCATGAAAAGAGGTCTCGAAAGTGCGGACAGAGATTAGTTTTTGGACGGGACGTTCATAAAGAACGATCAGTTCGGAAATTAAACAAATCCTTGTGAAATTCAGATTTGTTGCCAAGTCAAAAAATTTCAAATTGATTTTTTTTATCCTTTCTTAAACGGTGACGTCATTGAATTGGTTTTCTGATTCGTGACGTCATTAATTAAAGCTATGACGTCATAAAAAAATTTCGCAATTTTAATTTCATAAGAACTTGACTGAAACCCGTCAAAGTATACCGTCGGGAAAGGAATTAAAATATATTTTAAACTCCCCCGTTTGATGACGTCATATTTTTGAAAAAAATATTTCAACCTCCCCCGGGACTAATGACGTCATAACTTTATAATTGACGTTATAACTCCCTCCGAAAAATCCGAAAGCTTCATGACGTCATAAAAATAAATAGATGATGTCATAACATCTCCAGAAAACTCTAAAATAAGTAATATTCTCTACAATTTCAGTACAGACGGACCATCACTTAAAAACAAATGTTAGTCTCTAATAATAATATTCCAAAACAGGGAAGTGTTTGAAAAAAAATTTACCAGTTTTTATGACGTCATTTATGTAGCTATGACGTCACTTTTTGGGCAAAATCTACCCTAAATTTTTAGAATTTTTTATACAACTATAAGTAACAAACTTCGCGTCTATTCATTTTTTTTAAAATTGAAACTTCGCAGATACAAAAAAAAACACTTTTGCGGCCTATTGAAAAATTTTGAGTTAGAAAAAATCCTGAAAGAATTGAAAAAATACCCGTCTCGGCAACGTGTGATAACTTCGAGCCGACGTGCTCAACATCGGTTGGCTTGTCGAATTCTGAAAGAAAAATTTTTATTTTTTTGAGCTTGAAATTTCATGGAAAAGCTCAAAAATAGTCCACTGTTGGGGGGACAATCTTAAAAAATATTGAGTCAATTCAAAAAAATCAGAGCTAGAGAGCATGGAGACAGAGGAGATAGCCAGACACAAAAAGTTCCTCTGTCTGTTTAGAACTCTCTTTTTTCTTGATACTCTCTAGTTTCAGACATTCTTGGCCTATTTTCAACTCTAAGAAGCGAAAGAAATGACGAAAATCGAGAAAAAAAAAATCAATAATGATGAGAGAGTGTGCAAGAAACGGAGACAGCCAGACGCGAAAAAATTTCTTTGTCTCTCTGGAACTCTCTGCTTCCCCTATGTTCTCTAGCTTTTAGAATTTTCGGCCTACTTCCTAATCTAAAAAGCGAAAAAGGTCACGAAAATCTAGGAAAATATAATCAGGGATAGTGAGAGAGTGCGCAATAAACGGAGACAGCCAGACGCGAAAAAAACTTTCCTTATCATCTCTAGTTTTTGGAATTTCCTGATCCATTATTAAAATTCGATCCACGTGGAATTCCCATAAATAAAAACCAAATATTAATTTAGGTGAGTTGAAACAGGAATGTAAGACAAGAAAAGAAATTCATGTTCAAACTACACATAAAACACGGTTCATAAGATGCCATTAAAGCTTGAAACAAAGGCCAAAAAGCCTTTTTCCGCATTTTTTCCTCCGAAAAAAAAAGATCTGCGCAAACAAAAGACTTCCGCTGCAGTGCCTTTCTCGGGGGAAAAAAATTTTTATGAAAAAAAAATTATTTGGGATTAGACTTTTTCTTTTTTCTAGTGAACATTGCATATCAGAATCAGTGGAAATTCGAAAACTTTGATCAAAAAAAAAGTGAGCTCGTAACTAAATTCACAAAAAGAGCCTCTCAAAGCTCAGACAAAACTCTCGAAAAAGTCTCAAAAATAGCCGCCTGGCAAGGGGGCAAATATGCTCTACTGCTAAAATCTGAAATTCTTCATCTGGGAGTTCGTTGGAGCTAACTAAAGTCACAAAAATAGCCTCTTCAAGCTCAGAAAAAAATCTCAAAAAGATCTCAAAAACAGCCGCCTGGCAAAAAGTCAAAAATGCTCTACTGCTAAAATATGAAATTCTCAACCTGGAAGTCCGTTAGAGCTAACCCAATACGAAAAAATAGCCTCATGAAGCTCAAAAAAAAACTCTCGAAAAAATCACAAAATAGCCGACGGATAAAGGGCCAAATATGCTCCACTGCTAAAATTTTAAATTCAAGGTCTGGAAGTTCGTTGGAGCTAAATAAAGTCACAAAAAAAGCCTCTCAAAGTTCAGACAAAACTCTCAAAAAGGTCTCAAAACAGCCGCCTGGCAAGGGGCCAAATATGCTCCACTGCTAAAATTTTAAATTCAAGGTCTGGAAGTTCGTAGGAGCTAACTAAAATCACAAATTGAGCCTCTTGAAGCTCAGAAGGATCTTTCAAGCATGCCGAAAGTCCTCTAAAACCCAAAAAAAAAACTGGAGCAAAAAGAAACGTTGGCAGAAATGTGTCAGTGCATTTGGCGGGTAATTAGTTGCACATGTTCCCCGTTCAGTTTTCCCGCCTTGAAACACGCAATTCATGCCTTCGTTCATTCGTTTTCTGGATTTTTCATCGTTAAAAATTTTTTTCTTCAGAAGAAAAAAAGGACGGCAAGTTTCGTAAGTCCAAAATAAGCCCAATAAATTTTTTAAAAAAAGCTTTCAAAATTAAAAAAAGACCGAACTAAATCATGAAAATAAAATAGTTCGAAGATTCTAGCAATTCCAGAAAGAGATCAACTCTACTGATTGGACTACTTTCAAATCTGCACCCGACCACAAAACAACTTGCGCTTGTATAAAAAAAAAACACTAGGAAAAACTTCGAAAATCAGAATTTTCTTGAGATGAATACAGGTTTAAAACTTTTGAAAAAAAGTTGCTAAAAACGGTCATAAAATTTTACAAATACCTGCGACCGACCTAAAAACAACTTGCGCTAGACGATACCATGAGTTAACTGGCTAAGATGAGAACGAGCTCAAAAAATCACAAAAAAAGAGGCTGCGCCATAAACAACGAAACAGCACGTGAGAAATGGTCATACAATTATAAAACTTCTTGCGACCGACCTAAAACGACTTGCGCTTGGTAGTACTATAACCATTCAACCAAGTCACGGAGAAAAAATTCTCAAAAAGAAGATGCCTAAGGTAGACCAAAAATACAAAAAAGCAGGAAGAAAAGACAATGAAAGACCATGAAAGTGTCCAACTTTCTGCGACCGATCTAAAACGACTTGCGCTTGGTAGTACTATAAATCATGTAACCAAGCCACTAAACTAACAAATCTTTCTCAGGGCAAAAATACTCAAGAAGAAGATGCTAAGGTGGGCCAAAAACACAAGAAAGCACGTGAGAAACGGCCATAAAATTAAAAAAAAATCCTTGCGACCGGCTCAAAACGACTTACGCCTAACAGTACTAGGAAGCACCCGCCCAAGACAAGCTGCCGGATCCTCAAAAAAAAAATGCTAAGCCAGAAAGCACGTGAAAAACGACCATACAATTTAAAAAAATCCTTGCGACCGACTCAAAACGACTTGCGCTTCACAGTTCTGGAAAGCGCCAACTACAGTTCGAAATGAGCTGCAGAAATCTCAAAAAGAAGATGTTAAGGTGGTTCAAAAATAATAAGAAAACACGTGAGAAACGACCATAAAAGGGTCCAACTTTTTGCGACCGACCTGAAACGACTTGCGCCTAACAGTACTAGAAAGCGTCCTCCTAAGACAAGCTGCTGAATTCTCAAAAGGCCAAAAATAACGAGAAAGCGCTTGTGAAAAGGCCATGAAAAGCCATAATAGTGTCCGATTTCTTGCGACCGACCCAAAACTACTTGCGCCTAACAGTACTAGAAAGCGCCCTTCTAAGACAGCTGCAGAATTCTCAAAAGGCCAAAAATAACGAGAAAGCACGTGAGAATCTGCCATAAAAGGCCATAAAAATGTCCAAATTTGTGTGTTTTCTGTATCACGTTCGTTATCAGCTGCAGTGTGACCAGTTAACAGCTGCTTATAAAAAAAACTATAAAGAGTTCCATTTTCGGAGTGGGGGGAAAGAATGGGGCGTCAAATGTCAAATGATGAGAAAAATGGCCGTCCTCAAGGTTGCATTTCGGGTTTCGTTTTCCTTTTCGGTGTCGGTTGTGACATTGAAAATGACAGTTTTATTTAGGTGACAGGTCGGCAAGTGATCTCTTAAGTGGATTAAAATGGATATTTTCGCTGAAAAATGAAGTTTTTAAAAATTTTTTGAACTGAAAGTCTCAATGAAAAAAAATTTTCTGATTTTTTTCGTTTCTTATTCAAAAAAATGATTATAAGAAACTGGATATAAAGCAGTTATATATGACCCTGACAAGTGATCCCTCAAGTGAAAAAATCAGAAAATCTTCAATTTTCTTTATATAAACGGTGAGGTGTTAAAAAACCGAAAAAAAGAAAAAAAAAATTTTTTGGGAAAATGTGCTCCAATGATAAATCTTATTTTTAATATTCAAAAACCCACCGGAACCCTCCATTTGCAGTAACATTGCGGTCGTTTACAATAGGCGCTCAATGAATACGAAGATGATCCAATATACAGCATTTCTTCCTTTTTTCAACAATTTCCATTTTTAGAGTTGATGCGCAGCTGTTGGGAATGGCTTAAAGTGTCGCGGTTTGAAGAAATTGGTACAAAATATTGGAAATCCATTCAAAAGGCAGCAGGTGTTTCTGAAATTCGCTAAAATCTAATTTTTCGGCGACATTAGAGGCTTCGAATTATCACCAAAAGGTTGCGGGTTCGACTCCGGCTCACGTCAAACTTTTTTTGCCGGAAATTATCGCTTTCAAATCAGTTTAAATTCCCTTTTAATCTGTAAAATATCTTTTCCAGCATTGTGACAGGCTGATTTATCACCAAAAGGTTGCGGGTTCGACTCCCGCCCATGACAAACTTCTTTTTGCCAAAATATATCGCTCTCGAATATGTTTAAAAGTTCCTTTTTAAGCTCTAAAATAATATTTGGCAACCTTACAGGTTTCGAAGTGTCACCAAAAGGTCGCGGGTTCGACTCCGGCTCTCGTCAAACTTTTTTTTGCAAAAAATAATCGCTTTCAAATATGTTTAACATTTTCTTTTTGAGCTGTAAGTAGCAACATTTTAAGCCATAACAAGCAGCTTCCTAACTTTCAACCAACTTTCGACACATTTCGCTGCGCATCAACTCAAAAATAAGCAAAAAATAAAAAAGTGACTTTCCGGAAAAAGAAAAGACGAACAATTTGTCGGCCCAACGGAACAAAACGTTATATTTTTTATCCTTTGGTTTCGGCCAGCCTTTGTCGGCTCCTCTTCTAATTGCAAGAAGGGCAAACGGAAAGCGAAATAAATGGGTAATTGTGAAGGAAATTGGAAAAAGACGGGTGGAAGAGCGCGAAAAAAATATAATCAAAACTTAAATTGGATTGGCGTGTCAAGATTGGTAAACATTTGAGAGTGGGAAAAAGTGTCCGCATTATAAAACCGTCGTCACACGGATCAAATGGGCGGTGGTCGCATTTGGAATGGCTCAAAGCTTTATCTTATGCTTTATGATGCTATCGTGGCCAAGTCGTTTTTGGTCGGGGGCAACCGCTCCGCAAACGCTACGCGTCGAGCCATTCTAGATGCGACTTTCCAAAATTAAGGTCAGAATCATTTTCCAAAACTTCGTAACTCAAAAAATAGGAATTTTCTGGACCTATTCCAAAAGAAACAAATTTTTCTGAAAATTAGCCATGGAGCGTATAATCTCAAATTTTCGCGGCTATTTTTTCTCAGCAACTTTTGAAGGCGAATTTTTTCAAAAAACAAAAGAGTATCTTTCTGACCTTGAAATCTTTGTTTTTTCTCTATCTCAACTACAAAATTCCACTTTTTTTCTTCAAGGTAAGCTCAAAAAGATATTAAAAAAATACCTGTATTGAAGCAACATTGGCTGGATAGACTATGACGTTCCCGTTGGTTGGGTTCGAACTTTTCGCTCTTTTTCGTCGCATCGGTGACCAGGGCTGCAAGGAAATTATGAAAATACAGGAAATATGATCAAAAGAAAAAAACGGCAAAAGGAATTCGAGCTAGTGGGGGACCGAACTTTTGAACTTATTGTGATAATCAAACTTTCCAAGGGCGTCGGGCAAAGTCGGAATGGTGGATAATGGCCGCTAAAAGGGAGAGGCTTAAAAAAGGCAGCAAAAAGGAAGAAAAAAGGCTGAAAAATAGTCCCTTTATCGAGGCTTACATTTTTTTTTTTTCTGGGATTTCAAAGGCTCGAGAAATGGTGCATAAAAGCCGATGGAATGGCGCAAAAAGGCTGCAAGAAAGGAAAATCCCTATGGAGCCTTTTCCACCTCTTCCGACTTTGCCTATGGCCGAATTTTCCATTATTGTCCTTTAATGGCAAAAATGTATCAGCCTTGAAAAGGACTCGAACCCGTGACCTTTCTGGTGGCAGATAAGAGTCCTACCGTCTGCGCCAAGGTAATTGAAGCGCTTTTTCTAGTCAAAATTCATCAAAATTTAGTTTTTCATGGAAAAATTAGTTGTTTAAGACTGTTTAAGATCAAAAAAAATCAAAAAAACTTCAGCAAAAACATTTCCAACGCGACCTGGATCCGATCCCCTGACCCTCTCAGCGTTAATTGAGTTAACTACCGCCTACGTAAAAATCATCCTTCTTTTTTTTTTCGAATGAATCAGCCGAAAAAACTGACTTTTTGAATCCTCTACGTGATATGACTAACGTACAAATTCGATTAAATTCTGTTTTCTTTCCCAGGGGTTTGAAAGCCGAAAAAGCCATTCGACCTTAACACGATTTCAACTTCTATTTGACTTTGAAATCGATTTTTTAAAAAGGAAAAAGCGATCACAAGGCTTCCCCACGGCCGCAATAAACACGGGGAAAGACAATTTTTCCACATTTCTCCTCAGATTTTTCTGCTTTTCGCCGTCCCAATGAAGTATCTTGTGAGTTTTCTTTTATTTTTTTTTTTTGAATCTTGTAAAAATCTTTAAAATAAGGCCAGAGAATTTGAAAATGGAATGAAATAATTAAACTTTATAACATTTTCTTGTATTAAACGTGCATAATTAACTAATTTTTTTGGAATTTTTCGAAACTATTTTTTTTTCTAATATCACTCTAAAATCAATGATAATTCATTTTTTTCCAACTTGTTACTCTAAAAATGTATCAGAAAAACTCTCATAATACAGCGTCATGGTCGCAAAATTTACGACTTGAAGCTGCACCCGACCAAAAACTACTTGCGCATTCAGAAATCAAAAATTTTCAGAAATGGCTAAAAATCAGCGAAACCATTTTTAAAAATCATACACGCGGCTAAAAATTTCATATTTTTTCAGGAAAAATAACCAGAACCGCGTTAAAGACTATCATCTACAGATTTTCAGAAAGCTTCCGGAAAAATTTTTAAAAAAATTGTGGGTCAGAGCGTCATTTTCGAGGCGTGTTTTTAATAGTTCAATGAAAAGTAGACGCCCTCTAATTTTTTTCCAAAAAGTTTCCATTCAAAAATTGTCCTCCCCAGACAGCTATTGTTGCATTGCAGTGTATATTGCTGATTTTTGAACTTTTGGACTTTTTGAAAAATTTGGCCTACTAGCAATGAGGAAACGATAATTTTCAAAAAAGTGAGAGTTTTTTTCAAAAATTTTTGAAAGCACTTTTCCTAGTTTTTAAGGTTTAAAAATAAAGTTTCAGTTTTTTTTTTTCATTTTTTCAATTTTTCTGCAAAGAAACTCTATATAAGAGCCACCTAAAGAGGATTCTCACAGACTATTTGCTTAGTGACCACTATAGTGATATTTTTAGTGGTCTAGTATCACCACTTAGACTTCTAAAGGGACCACTACATTTCAACCACTTAAGTAGCCACTTCAGCCGTTTTTCTTGGTCTAGTAACACCACTTAGACTCCTAAAAAGGCCACTGAATTTCGTCACTCAAATGACCACTATTTGGACTACTATAGAGGCCATTAAAACGTCTAATCCCTAGAGTGGCCACTCAATTTTTCCCGTTTTTCAAAACTTCCCATACAAACTTAAAAGTTCAAACTATTTCCGACAAAAATAAAATATTTCCTGGTCCCTTGACATTACGATAAAGTTCATAATCATAGGTTTACTCACTGCAAAACGCCGTGATTATAATTGAACGTAAGGTCATTTTTTCATATAGAAATGACCTTTCGCTTTGAAAAATTGTTCGTCTGCGGAATTTTAGTAGTACTCCAGACAACCTTATCTCATTTTTGAAAAATCTGTAGGTCATAGGTTCGATTCCTCTCAAGTGTTTATTCGTTTTTTGCCGTTTTTTCAACTCGAGAAATGTTTTTATGTGATTCTTATGATACTATTTTTGCCATACTTGTGAATCTTAAGGTTCAGGTTCAATCTCAGTCGAGAAAGGACCATTTTTGCCAAAAACTCCGCTCAAAATGAGCTTTGTTTTAAAGATTATAGTAGTTTCTCGCACAATCTAACTAATTTTTCGTGAACTTTAAGGTCTTTGGTTCAATCCCCATTGAGTAACAATTTTTTTGCCAAAAATGTACAATTTTTCGACAATCTGAGCGCATAATTATGAAACTAGAGGTCTCAGGTTCAACCCCTGTCGAGGACCGACCAATTTTTGCAAGAAATAAGACTTGAAAAATGCGTTTTTTCGAAAATTCTAGCACTTTTTTTAGGCTTCAAAGAAGTTCTAGTTTTGAATCTTCTAGAAAAAAAATAATTTTTATAGATTTTCGGGTCAAAAAGCTTTGAAAATTCCAAAAATTGCACCGTATAAATAGGAATTAAGAGGTCTCAGGTTCGAGTCCGCACCAGGGAAAAAAATCATTTTTTGCCGATTTTTCAAGCCACGAAAAAAATGTCATTTTCTAAAAAAACTTTTTATTTCATGGAAAAAAATATCTCAGATTCAGTTCCTTTTCAAGAAATTTTTATTTCCAAGCTTTCGGCTCGAAAAAGCTTTGAAATTTTGAACAGCTCCATCGCAATCTAGAGGTCTCAGGTTCGGATCCTCACAAGGGAAAACCATTTTTTTGCCAATTTTTCAAGCCACAAAAAAACGTCATTTTTTTCGAAAAATTCTAGCAATTTTTTTGACAAATTTTTCAGACTAATCCGTGAAAAAAAGGTCTCAGGTTCGATTCCTCTCGAAAAAAAAGTTTATTTTTCCTAAAATAAGTACTCGAAAAAGCTTCAATTCCACCGTATAAGTTTGAATCTGGAGGTCTCAGGTTCGGATCCGCACCAGGGAAAAATCATTTTTGCCAGTTTTCAAGCTTCGAAAAGTGTCATTTTTCGAAAATTCTAGCAATTTTTTGACAAATTTTCAGGCTTTTACGTGAAAAAGATCTCAGATTCTACTCCTCCAGAACAAAATTTATTTCTTAATCTTCAAAAGCTCCAACAATTCCACCGTATCAATATGAATCTGAAGGTCTCAGGTTCGAATCCTTCGCAGGAAAAATTCATTTCTGCCCATTTTCAAGCCACGAAAAATGCCATTTTAGAGCTTTTCCTCCATCTTTCAGACCTTCTGACCTCCTCTTCCCAATCTCAGAACTCTCCAACTTCTTGCTAACCTCCACTCCTCCGGTGTCAACACCCTAATTCCCATCATCAGATCCATCATTATTTGTCGACCCAATAAAGGAAATAAAAAGAAAAAAGAAACTACGAGGCAAAAAAGGAGGCTGATGATGGCAATTTATTCCCAATGTTGCGTTCCGCTTCTCCTTTTCTCTTTATGCGCTTTTCATATAGCCAACCTTTTTGCGCTCTCATTTTTTTCCCCTTCTTCTTTGACCCCTCGTTCATCAAACCGTCAATTGCTTTCTCGAATGTCCTTTTCGCATAGATCAAATTTTTGCAGCGAAAAAAAGTTTTTTTGTCTGGTACTGTAGTTTTCTTTTTAATATTTGATGTCTTTCTTCAAAAAAATTTTTCAAAAAAATTCTATTAAAAAAAGTTTCCAATTTGAAAAAAATTTGGCCGCATTTAGAATGTCTCAAAGCGTCGCGGTCGCGCTGCGGTTCGATTTTTTTATATCTTATCTTTTTCCTTTCCTCAAACATTTTTACTTGATGAAATGTTAAATTTCTAATTTTTTTACAGTGAACAAACTATTTTTTTCCTACAACTAAAAAAATTCTATTGAAAAAAATTCCAATTTGAAAAAAATTTGGCCGCATTTAGAATGTCTCAACGCGTCGCGTCGCGCTGCGGTTCAATTTTTTTATATCTTCTCTTTTTCTTTTTCTCAATCATTTTAAAACAGAAAAATTAACTATTTTTTTCATACACCTAGAGCCTCAAATCAACACTAAAAGGGTCGCAGGTTCAAGTCCATCTCGCGCCAAACTTTTTTTTGCCATTTTTTATTTTTGCAGATAACCTCCTCAGAAAAAGATTTTTTCCAATTTCTTTCAAAAGTTCTCTCGTAAATTTTTTCCCAGTACAAAATTAGACTCAATTCATGAATAATGAACAATAAGGCGAGTGAAAATAGGCGCAGACTTAATTGTCGGAAAAAAAAACTGCTGTGAATTCGTCTCATGAATATTCAAGAAGTTCGTTGCCTTAAATTCGGACGTTCGAGTTTCAAAGAGAATTGGATGAAATTCTAAAGACGAAAAAAATCTTAAAAACGTGGAAAAGTGAGAAACCTATGAAGCAGAGCCATTCCAAATGCGAACATCATTCACAATTTATTGCCTATAAAGTATATGTAAAAAAGGACAGCGACAAGTATGACGTAAAGTCATTCCAAATGCGCCATTTTCATTGCAAAAATTTTTTGCAGAGGATTTGGGGTATCTCTGGCATGACTCCTAGCGCGCCCGACGTGAAACGACTTCAGCGCTGAGGCATGTAGAAACATTTAGCAATAGCCATTCCCAACCGCAACGCGACCGCGACGCTTTGAGCCATTCCAAGTGCGATCTTTCAAGTTTTTCAAAGTTAATTATAGTGCATGAATAAATTTAGCAAACCTGTAACTTGAATAAATTCTCAAAATCAATTGAGAAACACGGTGGAAGTGTTAGGATGAATACTTAATACGTGGAATAATAAATTTCTGAATAATTGTGCTCCAGTGCATCTCTAGTTGATCTTTCTGCTTGAAAATTGTCCTTAGAGGCTTTCTTTTCTGATTTAATAGTTAAATTCCTACGTCTCAAGCTTATCACTTTCGCCAAAAGGGTCGTTGGTTCGACCCCCGCTCGCGTCGAGCTTTTTTTGCCATTTTTTTCTGAGTTACACACCCAAATTTAGGCTTGTTTTCTCTTTTTCTTTCTGATTTTTCAAGGATCTAATCTTTTTTCTTTTTTCGAGAGGTCCAGGGTTCAATTCCTATCCAAGCGGAAACATTTTTGCCATTTTTCCATCCTCAATTCTATACCGTTTTCTAATCCCAATGACCTTCTCGTTCTAAATTTCACTATTTCAATATCAAATAGGTAGTGAAATGGTTAAATACCGCTCCTAATGCTCGAAGGACCACAGGTTCAATCCCCTCGCCTTCAAAATATTCTTTTTTCGAAATAAAAAGAAAGCAGAAAAACATGATTTGCCCTACGAACATAAATTTCAAGCACATGCGATCGTAAATTCGCCTTCTCCGCCCGAAAATAGAAACCAATTTTTCACGGGATTTCAGAGGGGGTGTTATTAAAATTTACAATTAAAAATGACGTTTGCTTAAAATTTCACGAAGTTTAACTTTTTTCAATTTGGGCTAGAGCCTAGTTTGCTCTGTTCTTTCACTTCAATTAGGTTTTCTAAAAAGTTCGATTTTGGTTTTTTTTCGTTTTGAAACTCATAACTTTCATCCCAAACTCTGAAATTTTCAAATTTTTTGCTTTTTTTTTAGAATTTCAGATGATTTATAAAACAAAAATGTCATTGTGATAAGAAAACAGTATAAAATTGAGGATAGAAAAATGGCAAAAAAATTTCCGCCGTGGACTAGAATTGAACCTGCGACCTTTTTGGTATGAGCTTGAAGCTTAAACCACTCTGTTATAGAGATATTTCATTGCTGAAATAAAAAAAAAGAACTTTTCAACCAAATAAAAATTCGAGAAAAAATGGCAAAAGAAATTCCGACGTGGGCTGGGGTCGAACCAGTGACCCTTTCAGTGGGATTTTGAAGCTCCTGGCCAGAACGCTATTTTTTAGAGTGTTAGATCGTCCAATTGAAAAAAATTTTGCTCTCTAATTATTTAAAAAAACCTTCAATTCAGGAAAATTTAAATTTAAATAAAAAAATCTTGAAATATTTTTCCTAGCGGCTAGAGATCAAGTGTCCGTGTCCTATCCAAATTTTTATTTATAAATTTCTTTCAAATTGTATATTTAGGTTTATCCAAATTTCCTAGCATTTCAAAACCCGGTCGCAGCTGCAAAAGTGCGCTTGCTCCGCCCAAATTTTCACCTGAAAATATATAAATTCTCCGATTTTTCTCCCTTATTTTTCTCCTCTCAATTTTTTTTCTTGACTTTTCCCTTATTTGGATCACGAATTATATTACCATTCAGTTAATGGGATAAGCGCAAAAAGGGAGGAATTTTTGATGAGAAGCAGGATTGAACCAGGAAGCTCTTGATTGGTATTCGAGCTCTTAACCAAATGAGCCAAGGGTTTTTTTTTTCATTTATAATTTTAAAGTAACCTACACTTTGAATTTAAGCTCAGAGTATCATCAATACAACGTTTGAAGCCGACGAAAAAATGGCAAAATTTTATTTTCCGCAGTGGAATCGAACCAGGAACCTATTCATCTATAGCCAAACTCTCTAACCGTTGCTCCATGCTCATTTTCCAGAAATTTAGCTTTTCTAGCACTAAAAAAGGCAAGAAGTGTCAGAATACCTCAAAAACTAACTGTCATTTCGAATCAAATTTATCGTGGAAAAAAGGGCAAAAAGGTTTCGCCCTCGAGCGGCATCGAACCAGTGACCCTTTTATCGATAGTCAAACCCTCTACCAGCTGCTCTATGCTTATTTTCCAGAAATTTGGTACTTTTAACATGACAAAAAGTGTCGGGATACCTCAAATTGAAAATCTAGCTGTCATTTTAAAGCAAATCTATCGTGAAAAAATGGCAAAAAAAGTTTCGCCCTCGAGCGGCATCGAACCAGTGACCCTTTTATCGAAGCGAGAAGCTCTACAGGCTGCTAGACTGTTCAGAATTTCCCCCAAAACTAACTTTAAAGCTAGAATAGTTCAAAAAATCTTTGATTTCACAATATTTCCTCCAAAATCTCTCCAAGCTTCTGCTTCCAATCGTTTCCCATAATTTTTCAAACCCTACAATTTCTCATCAAACAGAACCAGAACATCTCCTTCCCAGACACATTCAAAAAGATTTTCTCAACAATTAAAATGAAAAAAACAAACAGAGTCGTTGCCGAGGGGCGAAATGTGCCGCCCTTTTTTTTCTCCTCATTTTTACGACTTTGAATCCATTCCCTGTTTTGGTTCGCGTTTTTCGCCTTTTTCCCGCTTTTCCAGGATTTTCTTCCTGTTTCGAAGAAATAAAAAGGAAAAATAGTAAAAGTTTGAAGTTATTAAAGTCATAACTTGACTGAAAAAGAGCAAAAAAAAACTTTCTCCTCCAGGATTTGATCCAACAACCTTTCGAACAATAGTTCAACGCGTCATCCACTGAGCCATCTTTATAGTATTTAAAATTTCTACTTTTAGATCAAAAATACTAATTCTTAGGCTCCAATCAATAAATTTCCATCTGGCCATGCCTCCTTCATAAAAACATGAAAAGAGCAAAAACGGGGGCAGGACTCGAACCTGTGACCCCTGGTATCAAAGACAGCCATTTGTCCTTTCAAAATTGAAAAATATTCATCATCGATTTATTCGCCAAAACACGCCCTAGTTTTCAAATCCTCGCAATAGTGCGTCAGAGCGTGTTTTTTTGAAGTAGTTTCCTTTTATATGGTGCACTATTTTCATAAAAACAACTTGTTAAGCTTAATAAAACGTTTAATGAACCCAAATACCAGGCTCCAGAGGTCACAGGTTCGACTCCGGTCCACGTTTTTGCCAGCTTTATCAGTTTTGCTCCACATTCTCATGAAAGAGGCATGGCCAAAGAGCTAATTTTCCATTTCTTGAAACGTCATTTTTCGATTTTGAAATGGAAGCAACAAAAAACCTATCGAATTCATCGAAATTGTCAAATTTTCTATTTTTGGAACCATTATCCAACAGAAAAACCTGATTAAAATCCATTTTTCAAACGATTTCTCAATTTCGAAAGTCTATTGAGGTCTCTTTGTCCCATAAATCTCTCAAAATCTTCAATATCGACGAAAAAATAATCTGAACCAGTATTTATCGTCTAAAATAATTGAAAAAGGCGGAGAAAGGGGAATTTTCATTTAAATTGTGTTCTGGGCCGCATTTGGAAGCTGAAAGAACATTTTTTTCTGGTTTTTGAAATTTTCTTTTCGAATTTGGAATGAAAATAGTTCAATGAAACAAGTTTTTCTTTGACAAAAGTATGCACAAAACTATTATTCTACTCGGCTTTTTTTTCTGTTTCTTTGGCTACAAACGGTTAACATAGTACAAAACTTTGAAGTTTCCCATTTTTATTCCTTATTCTCACTATCACAGCAATTTTTGACTTTTTGGTCGCATTTGGAATGGCTAAGAGCCTCTAAAAACTTGTCTATGCTTCCGCGCGAAAGCCGTTTCTAGTCGGACGCGCTTCTGAAGCATCGATGAAGCTTTGAGATATCACAAATGCTCCTAATCCGCTTCCAGTATAATTATTAACCCTTAAATTAAATTTCCAAGGCCAAAAAAACTTTGACTCACAAGGAAAAAATGAACTAAACAACAGCTGAAACTCCCTTTGATTTCTGCTTTTTGATGAGCCTCCCGAACTTTGATCTCCTTGAAAAGGTTCTTCTAAATATAACTACAGGAAAAAATAAATAAATCAGCTGTCCAGTTTTACACCTGTTTTTAGGCGGAAAACCCAAAAAAAAAGTTTTGAGGAACTTGAGAAAAATTATTTTTGAAACAGGAGTTTGTTCAGTTTTTCTTGAGCTAGGTCAAATAAAAATCTCAAAAAAATTGAGAAAATGGATAAGTTAGATAGTACATGGAAAGGAGAGACAGTCAGACACCAAAAACTTCTCTACCTGTCTAGAACTCTCCCATTTCTCCATGTTCTCTAGTCTTTTTTTTCACGCCCTTTTTCTCAATTTTTTCAGATTCCTACAGTCTTACTTCTGTACGAATTCCTAGAGTACCAAATATCTATAAATATTCGTCAAGACTAACGAAAGATTATTAGAAAAGTGGAGACAACCAGACGCATAAAACCTTCTCTAACTGTCTAAACTCTCTTCTTTTCTCCCAATCTATAAATGTATGCTCCTCCACACTCTCAATTTGTTCTAAAAAGTCTTGAAACTTCAAAAAACCACCAATTATTATCATAACCGACGATAGACTAGGCGAAAAATGGAGACAACCAGACACAAAATCTACTGTTTATCTCTAAAAACTCCCCTTTTTCTTCACTCTCTAGTCGCATTCTGCTCCCTATAAAAAATCCCAAAAACCTTCAAAAACCTTTTTTCTTTCAGAAACGCTTGTTTGACCAGGAAAAGAAGTCGTCAAAGGCGAAAAACGGAGAAATGACGGGCCGAAGGGCGTCCTCCGTCACCGCACAGATCTCTCGACAGGCCAGGTACCTTATTTCATTCAATAATGGACCTAATTATAGAAATTAGGGGAGTTCAAAGCGAGGAAGAATGACAAAATAGGACAAAAAAATTTTCGAAACGACATTTCATGAGAAAAAATGCAGAGAATACAATTTAGGCAAGAAGAAAAAACAAAGAAATTCAATTTTTAGAGTCCTAAATAAATTTTAAGCTTGGAAAATCAATAAAAAAGGAAACCTAACAATACTGATTTTTTTATTATATTTTTTTGAATAATCTCCAATTCGTTGATCAAGTTCAAGTGATCACTTAAGAATTTTAAGCTTTAAGTAGTCCTAAAGAAACAGATTAATCGCTTAAAATTGCTGAAAAGGGAAAAATAAGTTTAATCTTTTTCCCATTTTTCCATTTTTCGGAGATTAAATTAAGCCAATTAAAGATAACAACAAGAAAATTTTAGAAAAAAATTTAAAAAGCTTTCAAGGGCTCTTAAGTGATCCCTTGGCGCGTTACAACTATTTTTTTGAAATGGTCCCTTAAGTGATCACTTGAAAATTGCCAATCGATAAATATTTATAAAAAAATAAATCCGTTTTTTTCACGTGAAACTAGACATTTTTAATAAAAAAGCTGAAAAAAAAACTTTCTCCAGAAAAAGCCGAACGTCAAGAAAAGGCGTTCGCCCTATTTTTTTAATTAATTCTTTTTCTAACCGGAAAATTCTTGAGCTGACGCCACTCAATTTCCCTTCAAATGGAGTATTAGAAGGAGCGGGAAAGAAAAAAAAAACTTCTTAGCGAAAATAAATGGAAGGAGAATTTCCCGCCTCTTCACCAAATTGAGCGGTGAATGTGTTTGATGGCACTTGAAGTGAGGAGGAAATAACAGAGCCGTCGGGATTTTCAGGCGATTTTCGACGGCAATCGCGCCCCAGCTGACTAAAATCGAGCCGGTCGCCGTGCTGCAGAAGCTCGAACAAGTACAGATCAAGATCAGTGACATGGCTCAGGTTGGTGGGCAAAAATGGCAAAAACAAGGGGAAGGATTGAACCTACGACCCTTTTGACAAGAGACAAGAGCTCTGCCGATTGAACCACATTTGGCAGAGATTTTGTCTCTTACCAAAAGGGTCATAGGTTCAATCCCTCCCCTTGTTTTTGCCATTTTCGCCCACTGTAAAAACTTCAATCTTTTTTCAAAGTTAAATGAAGAATGTGTAAAGCCCAAGGTCAGTAATATGACTCAGGTTGACTCGAAAAAAAATGGAAAAAAAATGAAAAAAATGGAGAGAGATTGAACCTAGAATCTTTTTGACAAGGCATAAGAGATCTGCCAATTGAACTAAATCAATAAAAAACCTTCAATCTTCTTTCAACGTTAAATTGAGAGTATATTAAGGTTCAATTCGGTGACATGGCTCAGGTTGGTGGGCGATAATGGCAAAAAATGGGGAAGGGATTGAACCTGTGACCCTTCTGACAAGAGACAGGAGCTCTGATGATTGAACCAAATTATGAAAAACGTTCAACTTTTTTTCAAAGTAAATAAAGAATATGATAATTTCAAGATCAGTGACATGGCTCAGGTTGGTGGGCGAAAATGGCAAAAACAAGGGGAGGGATTGAACCTACAACCCTTTTGACAAGAGACAAGAGCTCTACCGATTGAACCAAATTATGGAAAACGTTCAATCTTTTTTGAAATTTAGATAAAGAACATGTTAAGCACAAGGTCAGTAATATGACTTAGGTTAGCTGGAAATAATGGCAAAAAAATAAAGAAATAGAGAGGGATTGAACCTATGACCCTTTTGACAAGAGACAAGAGCTCTACCATTTGAACCAAACCAATAAAAACCTTTCAATCTTTTTTCAAAGTTGAATTAAGAACATGTTAAGCTCAAGATCAGTGATATGGCTCAGGTTAGCTGGTGAAAATGGCAAAAAATGGCAAAAAATGCTAAGGGATTGAACCTGGGACTTCTGGAGCGTCAGACAAGAGCTCTACCGGCTGAGCTGTCTAGAAAAATATCCAATATTTTTTATTTGAAAGGAATAAACACTTTAAAAATCAAAAAACTACAAAATTTAGATCCAAGGCTTTGCACACAAGTAAAAAACTTGAGCTAATCTTTAAATCTGTCAAAATCAAATGGGGATCGATCCAGCGACCCTCCGAGTAACAAACTAACTCCTAAGCAACTGACCTACAGCTCAAGTTTCAATATCGACCACACAAAATGCTGAAAATCATAGGAAATGCCGCAAAATGACAGCCTGGAGGCCAGTTTTTGACGTTTCTTGCGCAATTTTTTTCTTCAAATCGAAAATTTTCAGGTTTTTTCTTACTAATGAAATATGTATGACATTGTTAAATAAGAAATGGAAATAGCATTTTCTTATCAAGTTCGATTATTTATTTGCCTTTCCCATGTTGACGCATCGCATTATAACGCATTATCAGTTTGAACATTTCATCAATTAAAGGCATAGGGGCAGTAAAAAACGGGGTTTCAGGTGAAAGCAGTATCTTATACAGTTTTTCTTTGCGAATCGAATGGTGTACTCGAAAAAATTACAAATGTGACTACTTTTGAAGAAAAACGCGATTTTACTTTCCCGCCTTTAATTTTGAAAAAAGCTTTGGATCGGTATACAGACAAATGTTTACAGTAGCCGTGCACGCGATGTTGCGGACGTCTCATTAGACTCGCATTTTGGGAGAAATAACCGGCTATCTGCTTCGAATTAAGGGTTCTTTCTCTGAAAAAACGATTAAGAAAACAGGAAACACACACCGATAATAAGGAAAACACAAATAATCGCTATCCCAATCGAAACCTGTGTGAAATCATCATTTTTCACCAGAAAAGCTTTTTTGCAATCAAAGTTTGCAAATTATACATGAATAGAAAGCTTTTGTGACGAAAAGAACTTTGGTGACAACAGAAAAAATTGAAAATTGAAAGAAACGAAGAAAAAAGCGAAAATCCGGAAGTTGGCGAAGCCTGTTGTCCATAGAGCAACTTTACTGCAAAGCGCCCTTTTCGCGGGAACTCAAACTTTCCTCTCTCCGACTTTGAATTATTTTTTCTCCAAAACTAGGAACTTCTGTACGTTTCCAAATTCACCGTTCGATTCGCAATGAAAAACTCTACAAAATACTGCTTTGAACTGAAACACCGTTTTTTACTGCCCCTATGCCTTTAAAATGGCAAAAAACTTTTGAAACTTGATGGGGATCGAACCTATGACCTTTTTAGCGGTAGGAAAACGTTATAAAGGTGCTAGGAGAGGTTAGAAAAATTGTGTACTTATGAATTAAAAATAGCCTCTTTTTCATAAGATACAAGACTGAAAAGACAAACCGAGATGTAACTTGGATTTTAAAAAATGGCAAAAACGCAAAAACCTCTAGGGGATTCGAACTTGCGACTATTGGAACTGTAAAAAAAAGGTGATAAGGAAAGTTTTTAAAAGTTTTTGGATTTTTTTAAATAATGAAAAAGTTAAGATTTATTGAAGCTCAAAACCAAAGAGAACACCGAATTTCAACAAATAAAAAATGGCAAAAATTGAAAACCTTGACCGGGATCGAACCTGTGAGTCTTTTTTTGTGATTTTCGCCTTTCTTGCTACTTCTCCATAGCCTGAACTCGTTTAAAAACAGAAAATTAGGAAGTAAGGATTTCAATACTATTTTTTACGATCCTCAAAACATCTTGAATAAGATCAAAACTACAAAACTCCCGCGACAGGAATTGAACCAACGACCTCTCAATCCTCATATTATCTTCCTAGCCCCTTGACCAACCCAACAATTTCAGCTGCAACGGGCCGTTGAACAGTACGTGATGAGGAACTCGGTTCAATTCGAACCCGTCGAATTCGACATTTTCGACAAAGAAGGCTATCGCATTATGCAAGGTGAGGATTTGATCCAGGGGCCTTTTTCGCATAAATCAGGCTTTTTAGCCACTTTACCAAGGTCTCAAAAACCTAAAAGTGCATGAGAATATAGAGAGAAGTGCGGGAAATGTGAAAAATAGAGTATCGTTGCAGTTTTGTTGTCCAAAAATCCAATTACAGCGCATTTTGGGGGCAAAAAAGGGATACTTTCATCCGAAAATGCACTTTTTACGACTTGTTTTCAAGAAGAATTATGTTTCAAAGGTGTATTTTGCCGTTATTGCTCATATTAGGGCTTTCAAACTTCCCTTTGTGATACATGAGATGCAAAAAAGTGTTCAAATTCAAAATTTATGTGAGAAAAGTCGATTTTTTTCAAAATATCCCTTCTTGAACACTATTTTTATTGATTTTTTTATAAATTTGAGAAAAATTTTGTTCATTTTTTTGGATGAATTAATACTTTCTAGAGCTGAAATTGCTTCCTTTTTTTCAACTTTAGAACGAAAAAAACAGTTTTTTTACTTCGAAATTTAAATTAGTTCACTTTTTTTCAACTCGTTTATATAACTCAATGTGAGATATTATGAATAATCGACGGCATCTTAACAAGACCAACCAATAAGAAAAAAAAGAAAAAAAATTCCAAAAAAAGTGCTCATATTAACTAATTCCAGCTTCTCTGTACCCGGAAGAAGTGATTCTACAAGAGGGGTCACGGAAAATCTGCGAAATCTCACTGATCGATCCGGACGACGCGAGCTCCGTTTTGAAAATCAAGCATCCTGTCACAGGTGATTATTTTTTCTATTTAACTGAAATTATCTATAGATTTTACTCCTGGTAAAAAGTCACAAAAAGTTACCCATATCACAAAAAAAAAACGCTATTTTTGCTCCAAAATTCGCCTCAGAAGTCCAATTTCACGCCTATTTTCTCAGATCGCCTTATATTGCTCATGTTACCTCATGATATCTCCATTTTTCTCAGGAATGACAGTCTACGAACTACGAGAACTGGGCGGGACTATCGTTATCCAGACCAACACTGACGAGTTGAAAGGGTTGGCGTCTTATTGCTCATGTTACACAACGCATTGCTCATCTTATATCCTAAATGAGAAAAAAAAACAACTAGAAAAAAATCCAGAAAAGTTTTTCCTAGAAAAAAGTGCAATTTTCGAAGAATACACCAATTTAATGCATACTAAATGTCACGAAATCACGCTTCAATGCGTCTTTTTTGCAGTGAGCAAAAATCTATTGCTCATTTTAGAGCTGAGAAGTCGTTTAAAAGCCATAAAAGCATTATATAATGTTATTTGTCAATTTAAACGGACAAAAAAACTTTTTCAGAGCCCGAATCATGACTCAGACCAGCGGATTCGCGGGTCTTATGGTCGCTTGCGGGTGCGGATTCTCGAAAGAACGTTGGACTGTACTGACTCAAGATCGTCAGGTTGCCGTAGTGACGCCGGTCAAGTCATTCTTCTCCGAGAATGAAATCAAGGTTGATTTTTAAAGAAATAAAAAACTTCATAAACGCAAAAACTCGAGTTTTTCTCGAACTTTTTTCGATTTACTGTATCTCAAAAATCTGCAGACATCAAGCAGCTGTAGTTGGTGTGAACTTAAACCTTGAAAAAGCATTGAAAGTCGAAAAGAAAGAAAATCTGAGCCATAGATAGGGACCGCAAGCCATTTCTTCAGAACGATTCAAAAAATATGTTTTTCACATTGTTCGATAGAGGAGACTGTCCATTTTCATAATCCGTTTAGTTTTTGAAAAAAGCTTCACTAAGAAAAAAGTTATGGCCAAAAAACGAGCGCCCGCGGCGTACAACTGGAGGCAAAATCTCACGGTTTACCCGCTGCCGCACGCTTTCTTTTTAAATGTTTTTACGCGGTTCAGGACCGTTTTTAAATCGGTTTTCTGCTCTGAGAGGTTGTCCGAACTGAGCCTCATGTTTTGGTATGAATCTTTTGTACAATCCTCATAAGAATTTTTTTGATAAAATATCAAAAAAAACTACCTAGAAAAAAAGGTCAAAAGGAATTTTTTTCAGCTTATTTTTTTCTTTTTTTCTACGCAGAAAAAAATTATTATCATTCGATTTGGAAAAAAAGAAAAAAATGAAAAAAATAATGTTATTTCGAAATAAAACAGGAAAAAAAGTGCAATTTGACTCCGAAAAAAACGGCTCCTGCGACATTTAAAAGGGCGCATCGGTGTGTTTGACGCAAACACTGCTACGGACGCTTGCACGAAATCTTCCGAAATTTCAAAAAAATTGCCATTTTTTACGAGGTTTTTCAAAGCCGTTATTTTTTTCGCGTCGATCGATTTTTTTCATAATTTTTTTCATTGATAGAGTTTTGAACGCTTTAATAACCTGATCAAAAATGTAGACGCGATCCTATTCTCTCATGCGTCAACGAGGCAGGCGAAAAAAGGAGGTTTTGGTAAAACTCAAATATAACTTGATTCGCTGTCCCAATAATTATTTTCATTTTGAATTTTTTTATTTTTTTGGACACACTGTTAGTTTTTAAATCAAATAAAAAAAGTATACCATGTCGCTGAAATTTTTTTCGCATTTCAGCTTCAAAGTTTGGTGTCACTTTACAAGCTTTCAATATTTTTTTCGCGTCGGTAGATTTTTTTCATTTTCACTCAAAAAAATAAAGAAAGTGTTAATGTATAACATACTTAAAAATTTAGAAGCGTTCCTCACTTGGTTTTTCTGAAACGCGACGATTTTTGTGAAACTTGTCAGTTTTTTTCGTGTTAAATCTTACTTTTTTTCGCTTATTTTTTTGAAAAAAATACATAGTTTAAAAAAAATATTCAGTCCTGTAGAGCGTTGTCGATTACATAGATTAACAGAAACAGTTCATTTTTAAAGTGGGACTTTAGCTAGTATAAACGCCTCAAAACCGTTTTTGCAACAAAAAAATCGTCATTTTGGTGGCGTGAAGGGGCGGGGCTTTGCGCCCCCTAGCCATAGATCAATAATTTGTCAATTTTGGGTTACTGTATCGCAAAAGTCCGCAGACACCGAGAGACGTTTTTCCTTTGTGCATTTACGAAATTTTTTACTTTTTTCTTTCTCGAGGCGGTCATTTGCTTCAAAAATGATAATACTGACTTGAAAATTTTATTTCTTCCTTAAAATAAACCCTTTTCAATGCCCCTAGCACCGTTTGAATTAGAAATTGTGATATTTCGATAAAAAATCATGAAGTTCGGCAATTTCCAGGCAGAATGGATCGCGGCGTGCGATAACGAAGTCCGCTTGATCTCAGTGGCTTACGGTTTGAGCCAAATGATCCGTGAAGCGTTCCCTTCACTTCTCCACATCGTCAAGGAGCACAGCACCCGCAGAGCCATTTTTTGAAGAAATCCATCGTTTTATTCATTTATAATTAATGCTTTTCTGTCCCTTTCTCCACACGGGCTCCAAAGTGTCGTGTCAAAATGGCCGTGAAGATTTGAAAGAAATAACGGAACTTCTTTGTTTCTAGAGAAAAACCTTGGACATATCAAAAGTTGTTCAATGACTTGGGTTACTGTAGCTTCTAAAGACCGTAATCATTATAAATTCCAATGTTCTGTTCATAATTCCTCGCTAGGGGTTTTGAAAAGCGCCAAAATCTTGCAAAACTTGAAGTAGAACTTAAAAAGCTTTTCGTCTTGAGACTTTTATAAAATTACTCCCTGCGCCTTTAAAGTTCCCAGTAAAGAGGAAAATAACAACGAACAAACTATAAAAGCCCATAATTATTTCCATGCAAGTAATAACCAACTTATAATTTTTTTTTTAAAGAGCAAATCAAACCCGGTCATTATCTAAACTGAATGTACTTTATCATCTTCCTTTCATAATCTTTTTTGAGCCTGTGCCTTCTTAATTAATATTTTTTATCTTAATCCCGCACTCTTATCACATAATAGTTGCTTCAACAGGTGAATTTCTGTGCTTAGAAATAACAATGTGATTTTTTCCTATATTTCCTTTAGAATAAAAGTTAATTTATCAACACTGCACTTTGATCTACAAAAAAATTTGGATTACGGTATTCAGATTGACCGCAAACACAGGAGCCGTTCGGGGGGCAAGATTTACAATTTTTTTGATTTTTTTAAAGAAAAAAACTAACCTGTCCGAGAAACTGCGTGACAGAGCTTCTCATGATGGTTCAGTCTTCAATTCTGGAACAAATGGGTTTTTTTCAAAGAAATTGAAGATGGAATTTATTTTTAAAACGCAAAAAAATCAATGAATGACAGAAATAATAGGTAAGAACCATATTTATTAAAAGCGTTATTTTCTCCAACACCTACACAAACTCATACACGAACGAATGCAATCAAGTTTTTTCCAAGGAGAAAAACAAAAAAAAACTTGAGATTCCAGCATCGAAAAAAAAACCACATTAAAGTTTCGAATAAAAACGGCAGTTACATTAAATGCTTCATGCTTCCTCTAAAAAAACAGCATGGGATCTCAAAAACAAGCAGTTTTTGTTGAATTGAAGCAAACTAAGCAACAAAAAAACCAAAAATTTAGAAGAACGGAACTGGAAGTAAATTTCTCGGAAGACGGAACCAACAAATCCCAACAAGAAAAAAAGAAAAAAATCAATGAATAATAGCTCGTTTGAAGTGATTTTGATGAAATAAATCAAGTGATTAGTGGACTGTGATATATCACGGAAAGAAAACCTGGATTATCAATTTTTCAACCAAAAAAACACGACAAAATTTTTAGAATGCCGTGCTCAAAGTAATTTCGGCGATTTCAAAATAAACGCGTTATTCGTTTAAAATGATTTCGGGAAATAGGCGAAATTGGTACTCTGGGAAGGTGAGTCCTACAACGATATATCGTTGGATACGCATTTTTTACGGTGAGTTTTACGCGCGAATTTGAAATTTCAGTAGAAATTGCCCAAATAAGTCCAAAAGTTTGAGTTCCCGCGAAGAAATTACGATAAAAATGCAAATTTAACGATACATCGTTGTAGGACTCATTTATTCTTGCCATTCTCGGAATAGCAATTCTGCCTATTTCGTGAACTCATTTTAAACGAATAACGCGTCTATTTTGAAATCGCCGAAATTACTTTGAACACGGCAGAAAAAACAAAATCATCGAAATTCGTGAAGTTCGGTGTTTTGTACGCAGTGCACGCGCTGTACACAATGCAATCGACCGGTACGCGCAAAGTTATAAATTGATATCTTTTTTTATTTTTGAAAAAAAGGAGAAGTCATATTTTTTTCGGAACGCAAATATTTTTTTAGTAAAATGAAAAAAAGCCCTCTTAATAATATACAACCCAACGAAAGCTTGAAAAAACAGGTCAAAATTTTACAAAATTCGAACAAAAAGAGCTTTTTTTCCAAATCAAAGGAGAAAACATAAGAAAGGGCCATTCTGAAGCAAAATAAGCACTATCGTCCTTTTTTTATTGCAAGTAATTTAGAAAAAAATGCGCCTCTAAAACTGTTTATGAAGTGAATATTCATAAGAAAACATTGATTCCATAAAAAAGAAAACACAAAAAATGTTAAGGAAAAACTGTACAAAGTGAGGAAAAATTTGAAAACTCAAAACAAAAAATAAGCTTAGTTCAACGAAAAAACAGCAGCTTTTTTGCCCAGAATACAAAAAGTACAGTTTCGAGGCAAAGAACCGGTCAAAACTTGGACCCAAGTGGGGGCTAGCAGAGGTTCAGAGGGCCGGAAAAGCTTCGCAATTAGGCAAAACGGCGGACCGGACGTGCTCGGCGTCCCCCCTTCCAAAACGCAATTGCATTTGAACTGAACTGGAAGCCGACGCCTGGGGACGACGGCGACACTGAGACGAGCCCAACATCTCAGAAATGCATGTGTTGCGGGAGCTTCTTCAAGATATATTATGAGGGTCAGGGCCCCCGCCAAGCTTCAATCAACCGCAATTTCCTCCTCTAATGACTTTTTTCGTGGTTTTGGAGGCTTTCAAACGGTTTATATTTTCCAAAAACTAATTCAGAGTTTGTTTTTCCACTGCGGACTCATATTTTATGATAATCTTCATGGTTTTGAGGGTCTTGAAATGCTTTTGTTCTTTAATTTGCACCTGAAATTTACTTTCGAGTTCAATTAACTTCAGACTCATTTTTCTTCTTCACTTTAGATTTTTTTTTCGGGTCTCGGACCGATTTTGATCTTTAAATTAACTTTTTCAAAACTGAACATTACTGTCAATCCAGACTAAAACATTTTCTGTGGTTTTCTTGGGGTGAACTTTTTTGTGCTCCTTTGTATATCTTGAAACTATTTGATTTTTACTTCTTAATAATTTTTAAATCAATTTTTAGATAAAAAAACTTGACTCGAGCTTTTTACGTAAAAAAAAATTATAATATTCAAATCAACAAAAAAAATCAGCTTCAAGCACTTTTTCTGCCTCTTCCAACTTTTTTTGTCCTTTCGAACTTCAAATTTGCTTACTTTTTCCAAACCAAATTCAAATCATAATAATTTTTATAACAGCAATATTAAAAATATATACAGATGGTAACCAAATATGAACAGAGTTTTAAAGCCGTAATAGAAAAAAACACCGAAAAAAATCTTTTGTGCAGAGCATCTATCACAACAAAAACGACCCTATATTAGAAAAGCAGGAATGAAGAAACAAATTATGAACAGATTTTGAAGAAAAATGTTATCACGTACTTAATCGATAACTTTCCGTTTCTTCAGGTCCGTTCTCGCCTCTTTAATTTCTTCGACGAGTTCTTTTCTGGCTTCAGGGCAATCGTTGAACTTGGAAACGCCATAAACAACGGAGAAAAGAGCGTAAATCTAAACAAAAAGTAAAAAGTATGGTTGCTAGAGGTTTCAAAAAGAAAATTTGATATGTGTATATTTATTTATAAATAGTACTAAAGAAATTTATACCGAAAAATGCTATGTTTTTGAAAAAATAACCATGGACGAAAAATGATTAAGATAAAAAAAAACTCACCCCCAATCCAATGATTGCGTATATTGGCGCCTGAAAACGAAACAAAACTTTTTATTCACCTAAAAAAAAAACTCACGTATAACACAAAATGCAGCAAAAACTTGGGAATATAGGAAAGAACAGAAAATACGTCGTAAACGGCCATGAGCCAAAACGACAAAAGCGGGAAGGCGTGGCCGAGGTAAGTTACCAATTGCGATACCATTTCTGAATTCAAAAACTTCTTCAACAAAACCATCGAAACAAGGATGCTGAAGAAGAAAAACGACTGAGTGGAAATTGTGAATAAGACTTCGGTGGGGCGGAGCAAAACAATTTACGAACCAAACATCGGGTAAACAAGTGATGCGAGTTGCCGTAAACAATAGTGGATCTTTCAAAAATCATATCTTCAAGTAAATTTAATCGCTTAACTTATATTACACAGAAGAACCAGTTTCATTGAGAAAAAAAGTTATTATCTTTGAGCTCCATTTTGAAGTCCCATATCGGTGTTTTTAAAATAAAAAAATTGATAGAAAGAAGCCAACAACTAACAAACTTGAATTTTTTTGATTATAAACTTATTGGAAACTCAAGAAAAAAAGCGAAAAAAAGGATAAAAACCAATTACTATTCGTTTTTTTGTGTCTTTTTTTCCCTTTTTTTGGCTGGAATCGAAGATATTTGATTTTTGTGAAAGTTTTATAATCCATATGAACTGCGTTAATAATGTTAACAAAGCAAAATAATTGAAGAAATGGCAAATAGGGGTCATAAATAAACAAATACAAAAATTGAAAAAAAAAACATTCAAATGGCAGCTGGCCAAGTGGAATGTAAGATTCGCAGGTCTCGGTTGAAACCTCCTACTGTAGCGCGACTTGAGCTGTGCCAATCTCCGAGTTGCGGGCAACGTACCAATTTTTAGGCTAGCATTTTTTTATTTTTATATTTTTTTATATCAAGTTTTTGTTAAAATTGATAATTTCATCTATTTACCAGTTATTGAAGTGTTTTCAATTGCTTACTTCAAATATATGACGTAGTTTTTGCTCCGAAAATTTTTTTTTTCAATAAATTGAAGATTTTTTTATTTCGTTTTACTGAATTTTTTTCTGTTTAAAGAAATAACTAAAAAAACGTGTGCTTGAACTCTGGTTATTTATTTGATGAGTAAAAAAACATGATAATCTATAAAACCTTGTCCAATAAATAGTTTTAAGTTTTTTATTTATTTTTTTAAAAAATAACTTCTTTGCCTATTTTAAAGGTAAAAATTGAAAGATAAAATCGATAAATAAAAAGTAAATAAAATTTGAATTTTTCTTATTTGCTAGTTGTGGTTATTTTTATTTTTAACTAATTTTTTTGAGGAACTTTTTTATAAGAAAATCTTCTCAGTTATTTCTTTTCATTTTCAATCCAATGAAATTTTTTTAATTCCCTATATTTCATTTCCTTCTATCTTATTTTTGTTTTAAAAAAATTGGAAAGATGATTTATTGGTAATAATTTCAGGACATGGGAAAGCCGAAGGGACTCCATACGGCTCGCAAGCTGCGTAAGCATCGTCAGGACCAGAGATGGTGCGACAAGGCTTACAAGAAAGCTCACCTTGGAACCCGGTGGAAGTCGAATCCTTTCGGAGGAGCTTCTCACGCCAAGGGAATTGTTTTGGAAAAGATGTAAGTTTTTATTTCTAATTTTTTTCATCTTTCAAAAATTTTTTTGAATAAGTTTTTTTGTCGTATTTTTGGTTTTTCATTCCGTTTTTCTTGCCAATGAAATGTTTAGCGTCATATATACATCTCCATTATTGCGTGTCCATCGGAGAACCTGAACGTGCTTCAAAACAAAAAATTGTGTTCATCGGCGCGCCGAAGTTGCTCCAGAACAGTACCAATTTTTGTTTTGGAGCAATTTTCGTTTAGTCCGATAAACACGCCACTAAATTTTAATGTAACGGACTAGGGGACAGATAATTTTGTTTCCAAAACTGACGCATCACTAGTTTGCCAATGGCTTAATTATTTTTTTTTTCGAGGTGCATGAGCACGTTCTTTTTTGCGCAGAGCTGTGAATCTTCATTTCTTTTTTTTGTCTAGAACTGAAATTTACGGACTAGTTCAAGGAAAATAAGACATTTTTCAGTGGTGTCGAAGCCAAGCAGCCGAACTCTGCTATTCGCAAGTGCGTTCGTGTCCAGCTTATCAAGAACGGAAAGAAGATCACCGCCTTCGTCCCCAATGACGGTTGCTTGAACTTCGTTGAGGTTATATTTTTTGCTGAAAATTCAAAATTGAATTTAGTTTTAAACGAATGATGAATCTAGGAGAGGTCAATAAACGAAGCTTCAAATTCAGGAAAACGATGAAGTGCTCGTGTCTGGCTTCGGTCGATCTGGTCACGCCGTCGGAGATATTCCCGGTGTTCGTTTCAAGATCGTCAAGGTTGCCAACACTTCCCTCATCGCCCTCTTCAAGGGCAAGAAGGAGAGACCACGTTCGTAAATATTTGTTACTCTTTTTGTTATTCCGATGACATAAAGGTTATTGGTTCCTTTTAATAATTTGTTTTACATGAAATTTTTAATTAAAAATTCTTGAAAAAGTTGGAACCATTTTTCTCAGTGAACATCAAGCACAAAAGTCACAAAAAAGGTTGGGAAAGAACAGTTGCATTTTACTTTCTCGATAAGCGACCAGTCCGGTTTTCGTCGCACTGGTTTTTTTAGGTAGGCGGCGCAGATTTGGGTCAGCCCACGAACGACAACGAGTGTCCTCTCGTTTGCATGTAGCTGATAATATTTTTCCATTTTTTTAAGTAATTAGGAAAACTAATTTTAAGATATACTTTTTTTAATCGAACGATTTTAAGGAAGGACTTTCATTGCGAGAAAGTCACTAAGTTTCCACATTACTAGTCATCTAAGAAGTTATGCTCGGATTAAGATGGTAGTTGAAATTCGTCTCACAGCGTGAGAGTTAATACAGTTGGGCAACTCGTTGACCCTCATTCGGTCTACGTCGCCACCTCGACTTATCCTCTCGGCCGCTTTCCTGAGGACCCTCGCCGTCTTTGCCTCGTCCCGCCTCAGTTTGCAACCTGTTTGCGCAATATGTCTTCAGCCAATACTTCGTGTTGCGATTTTCAAGCCACGCTAAAGCCGTTCACCGGGCTTGTTTGGTTTTTATCCCGTCTGCGTGTCATTCTTTTTTTTTAGTGTATCTTTTATTTAATTTTTTGAATTTTTATTCTTCTTTCTCACCTTCCGAGCTCTTTCTGATTTCTTCGTCTTTATTAACCCCATCTGACGGTATCTGTTCCAAGAAACAAGCTTTTTATTTTTTCCACTATGGCAAACATAGTGTATCTTCAGACATCTCTAAGAAAATATTGGATAAAAACCGCACTTGGCTAGCCAGCGGCGCAATTTTCTCTAGGCGATCAAAGGATATAAGAGATAGAAGCCGTTGACAGAAAAAAGAACCGGAAATATTGAAACTTGCCAACTTGCTGATAGCTTGACGGTGATGAGTGATGGCTGACCAATGAAGCTGGGGCGATAATAGCCATTTTGAGTGTTTCGTTAGTTTCCGAAAACTTTGGTGCTAATATCTCTTGAAGTAATTCGGTTTAAGCTCGGAGTTTGGCTCGAAATTTCAAGAAACGCGAAGGCTTATAAGTTCAGTTCAGTATCATTTACGAGTTTTGAAATAACTTTTTGTCTAATTGATAAAAACAGAAAGGTCGTGTGATTTCTATAAAGCAGAGATTTTTTTTCCAATATTTTGGTAAATAACGAAAAAACTGTCTTTTTACTGTTCACTGAATTGGTCAACATAATATTTGAAAATTACTTTCTATGGTTTTTCGAGTTTCAGTCATGGAGCAAGAAACAGCAGTTCTAGGACAGTTCCTTAAGGCGTTATATTGATTTTCGCTCGAATTTTTTCTTCTAGCGTAATTTGAATCCTTTTTTTCATTCCTATCCATCTCCAAACATGGGAAATTCCTCGAGAGAGAACACGGGATCGTGAGAGACGCCGAGAAGCTTGACGGGGGGCCAGAACCAGTTCTGATTGTCCAGAAGAAGCGCCATTCCGTTGCTTGTCGTCTCTTTGGAGGCTTCATCCCATCGATTGGATGGATCGAAGGCTTTGAGAGATTTTTGGCCTTTGGAGTTTGGGCAAAAGAACTGAACTGATAGTTGAGTCGAATGAATGGTTGAGGTTAAGCCGAGTCGTGGAATATTTGGAAAAAAGGTGTGGGTTCCCAATTTTCGGTGAGAAGTGGTGAGAAGCTTGATGTCGAGATTCGATTCTCTGTTTTTAATATTTCGTGGATTTCAGCGGAGTTTTTGGATTTTTTAGAAAACGCAGTTTTCCTAGCCCATTCGCTGGAAGAAAAACTAAAAAAAATCAATTTTTTTTCAACCTCTTCCAACTTTTTCCTTTTTTTTTAATATTCATTTTTTTGTTCCAATAGAACATTTTTCTTCTGTCTTCTCGTGTAAAATCAAGAAAAAAGTGCAGCCGAGCGAATTATGCAACGAGGTCACCTACATCACGGCACATTATCCTCGATGATATGTTTGACCCTCAAACAAATGCAAAAAGAATCGAGGAAAAAGTAGGAAAGTAGAACGATTTATGTTTCTTCCGGCTGAAAATACAGTTTTTTCTCTTCCAACTTATGAGTGATCCATCGGAAAAACAACGGGAACTTTTTTGAATTTTTCAAAATTGCCATCTCGCCTTTTAGCATTGGAGCGCATTCACTTCATTTTTGAAACTCGACCTGATTTTTTCTGATAATTTTTATCATCGCTTCATGCGTTCAAACTTTATTTTTCTTGTTATTTTCATGATTAATCTATTTACCGCGTTTCTCAATGGAGCACGTTTTCTTCGAAAATTTCAATTTCTTCTTTTTCTTGTTTTTTCACCTTCTTAGTGAACTTTTTTTTTCTTCCTGGATTTTATAGTTTGATCTATTTGCAATAAACACTATTGTTTTTCGAAATCGACTCCGCCCACTTTTTCTTCTTTATTTTTTTTCTCACTTTTCAAACCAAAAAAGAAAAAAAAACTAATTTCTTCTATTGTATTCAATCTTGATGAAAAATGCTCAGTTTTATTGGGAGAAATGATGTTAAAAAATTTTTTTACTGTTTCAGCTGATAAATATGTTTTTCGGGATTTTTTTCGTTGATAAATATGATAAAAATCGCTGTAATTGTTTCAATAAAAGAGCAGAAAGCTCAGTTCAGCTCAATGTCCGAAATCTTGACTTTTTCCTTTTTAACTGTCTTCCTACATATTTAGCCACAGCTTTTCTCAATAGGTCTCTTGCGTAGCAGTTTTTTATTCCTGAAATTTCAACTGAAAACCATTTTCACGATGTCAGAAGAACAGCAACAAAAAACATTTTCCGGCCTTTTCATTCAAATCTCGGATTTTTATCAACATACATCCAATCTTTTCGAATTTTGAAGCACCTTTTTCGGACTATAAGATTCAACTAACTAACTAAGGTCTGCCATGTTTTCCAAACCAAAAAAAAGCAAAAAAACTCGAATCTGATTTTTCTGAGTTTTCAACTAGAAATATCAAAACAAGAACCAGAAATCTACTTGAATAGAGTGAAAAGCCTCATCCTTTGTCAGGACTCGAACTCGAGACCTCATTCTCCTCATCTAGGACGCTCACCAACTGAGCCAGCTTCTCAATTTCCTCCGAGTCGATTTTTTTTTGATGTCGCTCTCCAGATTTTTCAACCACAGGCATAATAATTTTACGGCAAAAATACTTAGACTTGGACAGGACTCGAACTCGAGACCTATTTATTCTTATCTTAAGCTCTTACCAACTGAGCCATCTTTCCAATTTCCTCTGGATCGATTTTCTTCCTTTTCGTATCGTTTTCCGGAGTTACGAAACGTAATTTTATCTTTAAAATACAGTAAAAAGCCTCAGCCTCGATCAGGACTCGAATCAGAGACCTAACTCTTCTCATCTTGGACTCTTACCAACTGAGCCATCTTACCAATTAGCTTCAAATCGATCTACTTTCCTCTCATGTCGTTTCCCAGAAGTTTCAACGAGAGAAATAATCTTTTGAATACAGCAAAAAGCCTCAGCTTCGGTCAGGAACCGAACCAGAGACCTTCTTATCCTCATCATGGACTCTTACCAACTGAGCCATCTTACCAGTCTCCTCAAAGTCAATTTTCTTCCTTTCATATCGTGGTCCAGAGTTTCCAAACAGATCATTCAGTATAGCAAAAAAAAACCTTAGCCTCGGCCAGGACTCGAACCAGAGACCTTCTTCTCCTCATCCTGAAATCTTACCAACTGAGCCACCTCTCCCTATCGATTTTCTTCCTCCTCCTCAGACCTTTTTTTCGTCGGCTGATTGAGGCTTCTTTCCAGGCAGAATATGATCGGATTTGAGGCGTCGAAGGCGGCGGGTCATTTGGATCTCGTTTTTGGGAACGGAACGATCGCCCAAGTGTGTTTCTTCTCAATGCCCAAGACTTTCACCGTCGCCTTTTCCGCTTTCTGATATATCCCGACACAGAACAACTTTCGCTTTTCGAAAGTTCGTCCTCGTGGGGAGGTCGGATCTGTTTTTCCGATCGGTTTAATCTGCGGGAAAAAAATTTATTTTTCTGTTTTTGGCTCTTCCCTCCCCCTCCCCCTCAACAATCTCTGGCCTGAAATTCATTTTTCATGACCTTCAGAACGAAAATTCACAATGAAAGTTGCATTTTTTCTGGTTTTTTACGACTTCCGAAGCGTTACGTCGTCATTCCAGAAAAAATCCCTCAAGGGTCTACTTTCAATTTTCTTTCACTTAAGTGGCCCCTTGGTCAAAAATTTTTTACTGCAGAGATTTTTAAGGCCAAATTGTGTTTTTTTGCTTTTCCGGTTGCGTTGCGCCGTCATTCTAGAAAATGATCCCTTAAGTGACAACTTTCAATTTTCTTTCACTTAAGTGGCCCCTTGGTTAAAAACTTTTTTCGGAGAGATTTTTAAGACCAAATTTGGGTTTTTTGCGTTTCCGATTGCGTTGCGCCGTCATTTCAAAATCAATCCCTTAAGGGGCTACTCTTATTTTCTTTCCCTTAAGTGGTCCCTTGGCTAAAAAATTTTCTGGAGTGATTTTCAAGGCCAAATTGTTTTTTTTTCCAGAAAAATATGCTGTCTAGCTAAATATTCATCATTTTTATACCAAAAAAATCGAATTAAAAATTCCAGAAAAATTTTTCTCAAGCTTCCGATCCCTCAAGTGACCCCTTGATCATGTTTTTTTAACCTTCCAAAAAAATTGTGAAAAATAGCCGTTATTTCCACAATTTCATGGAGAAACTTCGCTCCAACGCTAAAAACTCGCTTTTTTCTATTTTTTCCTTGTAGGAATTGAACCAACTTTCTCTTTATTTCCTTTTCTGAACTTCCTTTTCTCTTAACCTCATTATTTGGCAAGGGAAAAACTGAAGATATCCAGTTTTACACTGGTAATTATGGCGATTCGCAGCTCCCTCTCTGTTTTTCCAAACTTTTCCCTTTCCGTTCGCTTTTTCATTGATTTGCCCATTTTTTGTCTTGATTTATTATGCCCTTCGATGCTTCAATGAGGTCGAAAAATTTCGCAAGATTTCGTCTTCGATAACGATTTCGATTCTAATCTTTCAGCTTTTTTCTTTGTTCTGAACTTTCTCCTACTGGGAAAGTTTTTAGTGGTCACTATAGGGTTTTGACGTTTTATTGGCCACTATAGTAGTCAAATTAACGGCCACTTAAGGGGTTAAGGATTAGTGGCCACTATAGAGGTCCAAGTGCTAATAATAGACCACTAAAAATTCTACTCTGACCCCAGTCGCCAGCTTTCCGCCAATCTTTCGCCAGCGCGCGCCCCGTCTTTCGCGAGCTGGCGCGCCATATCGCGGCGAGCTGGCGAAAAACGCGCCAGAAATTCGCAAGGGTTATCTATAGCGCGCAGATTCCCCCTTTTTTCAATCATTTCCCTTCCTCCAATATTGTTATTTTTTTATATACTAAAAAAATTTATTTTTATCAACTTTTATTATTTCACAAATACAAAATTTAATGGAAATAAAATCAACATATAAAATCAAACATGAAGAGAATTTGAAAAAAATGAGATATAAGAAGGAAACGCTTGCAAAGCTTACAACTTAATTTAAAACAATATCTTTCGATTCGAAAAAGATCATAATAACAGAACATCAAAAACTTTACCAAACAATACATCTTAGAAAAATGTAAGCCAAAAAAATCCGAAGAAATAAAGGAAACTTGAAGCTGACTGCTCGTAAACCCAAAAAATTTTAAAATTTAAAATTTTTTAATTTTCGATAATATGCAAAGAGTTATTTGTTGCTTCAAAATACCAAAAAGAAGAGAGAAATTTTAAAGCTCCAACGCATTTAAGAAGTGATATCGACGAGCAGTCAATTTTTAAGTTTTAAAATTAATTTATAAAGAATTAAACAGAAGACTCTTATACAAAGTTTTTTGAAAAGAGGAAATTTTTTACTCGTGAAGAAAACTTTGAGCCATTTATCACTTTACTTCAAATGGCCACAAAAGAAAGAAAAATAGTGCGAAGAGATTCTGATTGTTCACAATTATGATCAAAGCATTACATTTTTGTTGTGCAGTGATACAACACGGTTCTTCAAATTTATCAGCCCCTTTTCAAAGCAAACTACGAAACGTATTTTTAAGTCCGAAAAAAACTGCTTCGAAAACTCTACTCGTCAGCCGAATTTCGCGAGCGTGACAAATCCGAGTAATATTTTTGAGGCTAAAATATATAAGCTGTATTTTTAAAGCTGAATTTTTACGACGGACACAAAAATACAATAATTTGGGTGCATCAAGATATTTTTGAGGCTCATAAAGTTCATGAACGTGTAAAGTTTACAAATATAAAAAAACTTGAAAATTTCGCGGACATTTTGCGTCGTACCCGTTCTCCGTATTTTGGTCAAAGCATCGTTATCCATTTGCAATGAACATCATGACGCCGTCGGGTGAGATCGAAAATATATCGATAAAATTACTTTACATGAAATCCAAAACTTACAAGTCAGAGTAAAAAAAAACATCCTTCAGCCGTAACGGGGACTTCCTGACGATGCTTTTTTTCTGAAGGAAGCAGTTGAGGAAAAAAGTAGAAAGCACTTACTAATTCAACTGGAGTCGTTCTTTCAGCCTCACGGAAAGAGAAGTTCAGCATGAAAACATTAAGCTTTTAGAGCGGTTGATCATCCAGGAAACTAAATCGAGAAAATAATTCGAATTTTCTTATTTACCAACCTTTCAAGCTGTTGTTTTTTAAACCTGAAACCCTCCGTCGCATCACATTTACTGAGCTTTACACAAATAAAACAAAGGTTTATATTCTAATAATTTTTCTGACTTTTTTTAAACTTCTTTTTCAACTAAAGTCTGTTCTTTTTGTTTCGTTTGAAGGAGGATACGTGCCTTTGCTGCAGAACTCCAGATGTAAAAAAATATCTTATAAATTTAATTCTCCTGCAAAAAAATCGCGTTTCTTTCTTTTGAATGACCTACGCAACCTACAGTTTTCTACTTCTATACACAGCTTTTTTTGAATTTTTTTACAGAAAAAAATGAAATCAAGAAAAAAATTGCTTGTTACATCAAAACTGCATTGCGGCATCGCTTTTTGCCCTAGTTTGGACAAAACAGGAAACGAACACTGAAAAATCGTGAAATCAGCAAAAAATCAAATAGAAAACAAAAAGACAAAAAACGCGAGTCCCAAAATTTTAGATCGAAATATAAAATACAGTAATAAAACCAAATTCGCGCTATTGGTTATGTCGCCAGAGAATCGCCAGGAAACCGCCACAAATTTGATGGGCGCGAGTTCGCGAAATGACTTTTTCTGGCGGATAGCTGGCGCCTGGGGTCAGAGTAGTAGCCACTTTAGGGGTCAATGGATCAACAAAACTGGTCAGATCTGTTTGTTTTAAAATTATCAGAGATACTGGAAGGAATACTTGATGAAAAACTACTGAAGTGGCCACTGAAACGGAAAATAGTGGCCACTTTAGTGTCCTCTTCAGGTAGTCCTTGGCGAGCCTCTATACACTTAAAATTATCCCAGTATAGTCAATTTTTCCTGATTTTCACTTCAATCCTCTTACTTGTTTAATTGAAAACTTTCAAAATCTTAAAAAATGAAAAAATAATTGAAAAACTATCAAAAAAGGTGGAAAAAACCGCGACGCGTACGCAACGCGCCCCCCATTGCCAATTTATTTAATTGCTTTTCAAGTCCGTAGGGATTGACTAGGTTTAGTGACGACTTTAGTGAATTTATGACGTCATTTAGCTTTGTTAATGACGTCAGAATATATGTCTTTCGGCTCATTTTTTGAGCCAATAAGTTGAAATTTTTGGATTTTTTCTTTGAAACTCCGTCTAACTAGTAACTTTTGAAAACTAAAAAATTTCTTTATATAGTTCATAATTTTTGAAGAATTAAAAAAACGCTTCCTATATAGTTAATGACGTCACCAACTTGATTTATACTACCCAGGCATTTATTATTTTTCAAAAAGTCAGATTTATAAAAAAATTTTTATTTCTCGTCTCCTCACGTCTCCATTTCCGAAAAATCCACGTCTCCAGTACCATTTTTCATTCATTTCCATCATTTTAAACTTTTAGTCGATTCATGAACAGTTCTCTGGCTGTTGAAACTTTCGCAAAAAACGCGAAAAAGTGTAAAAATAGGCCACGCCCCTCTGCTGCGCCTTTAAACACCTTGCCGAAAATAACTGTTCGTGAATCTTAGGAGAAGTTGAAGGGGCCCCTAGAGTGTCTGGGGAGAATGCCTGGAGGGGAAATTCTTCAGAGTGACCACTTAAGGGACCTCTTGATTTTCTAGATTTTCGCTCTTTCTTGACGTTTTTTCATCGTTTTTTTCGCTATATGAACTGTGAAAAGCTTCGGTTTTGTTATTTTTTGCAAGTAAATTGAAATTTTTACCATTTTTTTCAGTTTCGATTGCCGAAAACTGGGGAAAAATCGGCTCTTCACTGAATTTCCACCTCCGACTCTTTTTCTCAAATTCCTTGCCGATATCACCATATTAATCGATTTTCTCTACTTCTGAACAACCCCGAAATATTCCAATATTGACAATAATAAGAACGACAAACTAATGGCACACGTTCGCCGGGCGACGACGTCGCCCCGCTTCGCCACCGACATACTTCAAAAACCGGCCAGGTGCGCTCTATTGATAACTTTTCATCAGTTGAGTCCTATATCAGTTGATAGATCATGGAATGAGCTTTCTGAAAATGTAGATTTTGTTGAGAAAGGATGATTTTGAGTGAAGATATGATTTTTTGAAGTTGACCATCTTTTGAGTTGTACAAGATTTTTAGTTTTTGTTGTTTGAAACACTTATTTTTTCTCTCGATTTCCAAAATTTTCTCCATTTTTCATACTTCTCACGAAATTTTCTTTAAATTAACAAAATTTATAAGAAATTCAGTTCAAGAGCAGCCATGTGGCTTAAAAATAGCCGTCTTGTTTTTGGGAAAAAAAAAATTTTTCGTGAGTTTTCTGTTTCAAAAATCTTTATTTTTTTGGTACCAATTTTGGATTTTTTTCGTTATACCCTTTGCTTTTCCAGACTGTTGTAAATTTCAAAAATCAGGATTTTTGAAATATTTTTTTCAAAAAAATCTTAAAACCGTTCAGTTTTTCTCTGTCAAAAGACCTGTGAAAAAAATTCGGTAAATTGGGATTCGCCATCTTTTTTCGATAGGAAATGATAAAAAAATGAGTTTTTTTCAAATGAGGTATTAAGAAAATTTCAAAAAAATTATGAAGCCCAGGCTTGACTTTATCGCAAAACTTCGACCTTTCCGACATTACAGTTTCAAATTATCTATGTTAAAAAAAGAATAATTTTCGATAGTTTCCGTGTCTAAGCGCTATAACTATAGTGATTTTTCTATGAGAAAAAAAAAGCAATTTTTCGTTTTGATCTATCAAAAAACGGAAAAAAAAATAAAATAAACGCCGCCGACGTAACATTAAAGACGCGTGTGGATAGCCGACGGGGGAGCGCGTAAACCGGTTCTCGTCGGATGCAACAAAACAGTCGTTCCGATCGCCAATGGCCAAAAATTCCACCGCCAGCTTGATGATGGCTAGTGGGACTTTGCACCCTAAAAGAAACTTCCTGTGGCGATTTTTGAGGGTTTCGAAATTTTCTGGTTTGAAAGGAACTTGTGTTTTTTCCAGCAAAAAAAAAAACTCAGAGTTCACCTTGACTTTTCGCTGCACCCGACTTTCTCCTATTTTCGCGAAAAGCTATAGATAAAAACGTTATAGAGCGCGTTATTGGCTCAGTTTGAAACATAGAAAAGCGCGTAAGTCGCTAAGAGTCGGGCGCAAAAACACCTATTCCGGTTTAAGACATTTTCTCTGTGACTATGGTTTTATTAGTTGAAGCAGTTAGGTTATCAAAATAGGTATCTCTGATTTTTTTCCTTTAAAAGCCGTGGTCGCATTTGGAATGGCTCAATGCGTTGCGGCTGCGAAGCGGTTGGTATTTTAGGACACCGGACCATTAGGCGATTTGCGCACGACTGCATCGGGAAGCTTAAACTTGAGCCGCAGCGCGACCGCAACACGTTGAGCCATTCCAAATGCGACAAAGGCTATAATATGAGCAAAAGTTCTGCAAGAAGGTCAAAAAATCCTGCAAAAGAACACTCCCAATCGGCAAAAAAACGAGTTTTTTTGCAACTGGTTCTTCTATGTGATCATGATAGTACATATTAACAGTCATTCTCTCTTTTTTGATCACTTTTTTCAAATTTCTATGTTAATTATTGTTTTTAAAAAAATTAGATAAGGAGCCGAATTCTTGAAGTTGGTTAGTTTGAAGAAAATTAATTTGAAGGTTTTTTTGACCATTTTTTTCAGCCTCTTTTATTTCTTTTTTTCAAAATGTTCAAAAAAAGAAAGTTAATTTCAGTCATCATCCACACGCAAAATTGTTTTCAAATGTTTTTCTATATAATAATTATCTTCAATGACGTCACTAAAATAACTCTTAACTAACCCCTTCATGGAACGAAAGCCTGCAAATACTAGTTGTCAATTGTTAGAACTCTATAAGAAAAAGGCACTTATTAATTTTCAAATCTGACCCCTATAGCGACCACTTGAGCTTTAGGGGCTCAGAAGTCTAAACCCCTAGAGGGACCACTTAAAGTTCACCCCTATATAGAGCACTTTTTCGTCCCCTTTAGGGGCTTTTTTGTCTAAACCCTATAGGGACCACTCTCCTAGGCTCGTCGGAAGAAAAATGGGGAAGATTTTTTGAATTCCTCAAGTAGATTATTCAGAATCGCTTTCGTAAGCGTCTGACTCGAAACTCCCAAAAAGGTCATGAAATAGCCAATTTGAGACGTAGTCCTTCAAGACGAGGAAATGAGGCTCATTATGGAAAGCCTTATAAAGATCCCAGTTCTCAGGATCCTGGGGCAGATGAGGCTGGAGGAGCTGGCGACGGTGGTCGTCGTCGCTGGCGCCGTCTTCTTCCAGAATCTCCCGTTCGGCGTTACGATCACCATCCTCGTCTCGTTGTACGTCGCCGTCGTCTATGGCGACTTCATCTACCGGTCTTATCTGACCTTGAATCGCGACTTGACGTCAGTTTTCATTTTGATTAGAAAGTGATTTGGAAAAAATATCTTGATGACGTCATTTCAAGCTTGATGACGTCATCTTCAGCACGATGATGTCATTTTTAGCATGATGACGTCATTTTGAGCTTGATGACGTCATTTCAAGCTTGTTGATGTCATTTTTAGCATGATGACGTCATTTTGAGCATGATGACGTCATTAAAAAGAGTTCAATGAATTTCATCGATATTTTAAAAAAATTAAAAAGTCGATTACTGTTTTTTCAACGGTAATGACGTCATTAGAGGCTTTTCTTGGACTCTACTTGAAATAATAAAAAATATATATAGACAAATGACGTCACTTTTTTTTGATGACGTCATTTTAAGCTTGATGACGTCATTTGAAGGGTTAAGATAATTTTTTCGGATTAAGAAAAGTTGAAAAGCTAAGGAATTTATTCGTCATTCGATACCTTGCATGAAACAAAAAGGCTCAAAAATCTTCAAAATTAAATTAATGACGTCATTTCAAAAATTGATGACGTCACTTTGAAAATCATTTTTTTTCGCTGAAAATAACTTTGCCGTGTAAAATTTGTATGACGTCACTTTTGAGCTTTATGACGTCAAAAAAATTTTTATAAGGTTTTTTGAGCTTTTGAAGCGTTAGAGTCGTTTCAAAAGCCCATGACGTCATAATAAATTTAATGACGTCACCTTGAAGTTTCTGAAGTTAATGACGTCATTTTGATCATTTTTTTCATTTAACGACGTCATTTTATAAATTTTCAGAGGCCTCGCACTTATTCTCAACGTCAAGTTCGACTTGTGGTACCGGTTACACCAAAATAAGGGCATTCACGAAATTTTCCTCGGCGTTGTTAGGAGGTTTCCCGGCTTTTTTTTTGTTAAAGATTGGAAATGACGTGGTCGCACGGGGAATGGCTCGAGGCGTCGCGGTGGCGATGCGGTTCAGCTTTATAGTTGGCAGCACTTTACGTTGCCCTGGTGCGCAAACCGTTTTGAGTCGGGTGCAATTGCTTTGCAGCCGCTACCCGTCGAACCATTCTTCTTGCAACTTAGGAACTCCAGAGGGGACCCTATAGGGACGTCCTAAAGGGCCCTTGGTGGTTCCCCTCTAGGGACCACTTAGCCAACCCCTGAAGCTCACAAAAGTGGAAATTATATGGATTTTAGTTAGTGGTCCCTATAGAAGCCGTTTACCCCTTAACCTCTATAGGGACCACTCTCAAATTCCTAAGAACCATAAGCTTCCAAGTCCGAATTTTTGTATCATTTGATGAATTTTTCTGGTTGTTTTTTTCAAATTTCGAGTTTTTATGAAAAAAATTGAAGTGAATTTTAGTAATAAAGTCGTAGTAAATAAAAAAATATATTTTTTTCTTTAGGAACGGCCCGAAAACAGCAATGATCGATATTGAAACTTCCCAGACCTACACTTTTGACGCCTTCAATCGTCATTGTAATCGATACGCCAATCATTTTCAGGTAAATTCATGATTTTCCAAAAAACCGCGACGCAGGGTTACGCGTCGCGGCTTCTCAGTGACGTCATGACAAAAAGTTTCAGAGCCTCGGCTATCGATCCGGCGACGTGGTGGCGTTGTACATGGAGAACTCGGTGGAATTCGTGGCCGCATGGATGGGAATGGCTAAGGTTTGATGTGCAGGGGGCTCATGGATTTTTAAAAGTGGTTTAACTGTTTTTGGTCGCATTCGGAATGGTTTAGCAATAATTGCTTTTTTTTTCGCCGACTCGCGAAAGTAGTAACAGGTCGGGTGCAAGGTTTAAATTCTCAAGCGTCAATAATTTTTTTTTCCTCATTCGATTCAAAATTCCGGAATGACTAGCGCTTCGAAAAAACGCAATAATTCGCATTTTTCCACTTTTTCAACATTTCTCCTTACCCCAGTACGAAAGTAGTCTAGAGTCGGGCGCAGTCTTTTTAGTTTTGAGCCATTCTAAGTGCGACCGAGACCATTCAACACGTTTCAGATCGGTGTCGTGACGGCTTGGATCAACTCCAACCTCAAGCGCGAGCAGCTCGTCCACTGCATTACCGCCAGCAAGACCAAGGCTATTCTAACGAGTTCAACCCTTCAAAATGGTCCGTGTTGCTCATGTTAACTAACGTTAGCTGTTGATTGCAGTCCTGCAAGATGCGATCGATGAAGGGCTTTTCGAAGTTGGCTCAACTTCGGTTTATGTGCTCGGCGAGCCGGCTCCAAAATCGAAGAATTTCGAAAATTTGAAAGATACCTTGAAGATTCAGAGGACCGTGGAGCCCAAATCGATTGACGTCATTGATTTTAAAAGTGAGCTTTTGAGCTAGAGAGTGTGTGGAAAGTGGAGACGCAGACTGCTTTTGTGTCTGGTCCTTGAGAATCAGCTCTAGGATGCTATTGATTTCCAAAAAAAGGCTTTTCCATGAGATTTTCTCACCTTTCTCTGCGTCTCTCAATCTCTCCACACTTTTTTGCACTTTCTCTTCGCCGGATCCGAACCCACGACCTTTCCCCCTCACCTTAGCTCTTCCACCACTTGACCAACCCATTTTCCAGGCATCCTATGCTTCATCTACACTAGCGGCACCACCGGCATGCCAAAAGCCGCCGTCATGAAGCACTTCAGGTTGTTATCATGAGCTAACATGAGCAACACGAAGGTTTTTGCAGGTATTACTCGATCGCCGTCGGAGCCGCCAAATCTTTCGGAATCAGATCTTCGGATCGGATGTACGTCTCGATGCCGATTTATCATACGGCCGCTGGGATTCTTGGTGGGTTTGAAGGGGTTACTTAAGGGAAAATAATGATAAGATATCTGAAGTTCTCCTAGTTCTAGCGATTCGGTTTTTTTCAATTTTTTTTTTTCAACTTTCCAACATCTTCGTAGTCAATTAGAGGCATATGGCCAATGAAAAAATGCAAGTTGTTGAGCTTCTCATTTTTTTAGATTACGGTAGGCAACTTTCTGTAAACCAACCTTTTGGCGCGAAGTAAAAATTGAATTTTTCTCATAAAATCCAAAATTTACCCTGTTTCCAAGTACACTTCTTAAAATCCGAGGGGAATCCCTAAAAAATTACTTAGGAAAGCCAAAGTGGCCCCTATAGGGGCAACCTGGTTCCCCTCTAGGGACTACTTTACGTCCCCCTATAGAAGGCACTTGAGCATCTTACAAATACGTCATTTTGATCTTCAACTTCGAAAAAAAAATTAAAAAATCCCTATAAGGGCCACTTAAGCTTTAGGGGCTTAGGCTTAGGACTCTGAACCCCTGTAGGGACCACCTGGATTTTACCCCTATAGGGACTACTTTTTTGGTCCCTATACGGGCTATGTTTTCCTTCAACCCCTATAGGGACCACTTGGGCTTAAGGAGGTGGGAATTCAGACCCTGAACCCCTATAAGGACCACCTAAATTTGACCCCTTTAGGAACTACTTTTCCGGTCCCTGTAGGGGTTGTTTTTCCCCTAACCCCTATAGGGACCCCTTAGGCTTTAGGAGAGGCAGTTAGTACCTGAACCCCTATTAAGGGCCACCTAACTTTACCCCTATAAGAAGAACTTTTTCTTCTAACCCCTTTAGGGACCACTTAAGGGATTTAATGCTCAGACCCTGAACTCCTATAGAGACCACCTAAATTCTACCCCTATAGGGGCCACTTAGGCTCAAGGAAGTGGAGATTCAGACCCTGAACCCCTACAAGGACTACCTAAATCTCACTCCTATAGAGAGCACATTTTCCCCCAACCTTGTAGGGACCACTTAGGCTTGAGGAGCTTGACAGTCAGACCCTGACCCCCTATAGGGAGTTCTTTTTTGGTCCCTGTAGGGGCTGTTTTTCCTTTGGCCCCTATAGGGACCACTTGAGCTTCAGGGTCTTGTCTTAAGACCCTGAACCCCTATAAGGACCACCTAAATTTGACTCCTATAGAGCGCACTTTTATCTCTAACCCCTATAGGGACCACTTGAGCTTCAGGGTCTTGTCTTAAGACCCTGAACCCCTATAAGGACCACCTAAATTTGACTCCTATAGAGCGCACTTTTATCTCTAACCCCTATAGGGACCACTTGAGATTCAATGACTTGGCAGTTAGCCCCTGAATCCCTATAAAGACCACCTTAATGTTACCCTTATAAGGAGCACTTTCTCCTCGAACCCCTATAGGGACCACTCTGGTCTTCCACCTCATTTTTTTTCCAGGAGTCGGCCAAGCGCTCCTCCGCGGCTCCTCCTGCGTGATCCGGAAAAAGTTCTCGGCGAGCAACTTCTGGAAAGACTGCGTCAAGTACAACTGCACCGTGTCGCAGTACATCGGCGAGATTTGCCGATACCTTCTGGCGCAGCCGGTTGTTCCGGAAGAGGAGACCCATCGGATGCGGCTCCTCGTCGGGAATGGCTTGAGGGCCGAGATTTGGCAGCCGTTCGTCGACCGGTTCAAAGTCCGGATCGGAGAACTCTACGGTTCCACTGAGGGCACCTCGACTTTGGGTTAGATTTTGGTTATTCTCAAAATTATTCTTGGAGCCGAAAAAAATGAAAATAATTTTCACAAATAGAATTTTGAAGCTGTTCTCTTTTCCCACGAAATAAGCTTTTGACAATATTTTTTTGGGTGAGATTTTTGGATCAATTTTTTGAAGATTCTTTAAAAAAATAGTCGTTTTAGACCCTCAAAAAAATGGAAATAATTCTTAAAAAAATAGATTTTTTTAAAGCTATTCACTTTTCCCACAAAACAACCTTTTCACAGCATTTTTTTGACCTTTTCCGATTTATTTTTTGCTTTTTTTGATGACGTCATCTGAAAATCGCCAGCTGATTCACGGCTGGCTTGAACTATCGAGAAAAGGGCCCTGACACGATTAATAAAAAAAGAGAGTGCGTGGTTGGTTGAGAGCGCAGAGAGGGCCACGCCCCCTAAGTGTCCCGAGCCAGGCGTGATTTCAAATGACGTCATCAATTTTCGCACCGAAAATTATCGATTTTTATCTCACAGAGCACCAAAAGTGACATCGTATTCTCGACTTTTTTTCTGAAGCTCTACTTCTTTTGAAGCTTCTGGACGTTATTTGAAAATCCTTAAGGGGTCCTTTAAACCTTTCCATGACGTCAACGAATTTTCGAAATTCCAGTGAACATCGACGGCCACGTCGGCGCCTGCGGATTCCTGCCCATCTCGCCGCTCACCAAAAAAATGCACCCAGTAAGGCTCATCAAGGTCGATGACGTCACCGGCGAAGTGATCCGAACACCGGATGGACTGTGCGTCGCTTGCAATCCTGGTCACGCCCCCTTCCGTTGCTCATGTTTGTCGAGGTTACAGGCGAATCCGGCGCGATGGTCTCCACGATCCGGAAGAACAACCCTTTGCTACAGTTCGAGGGGTATCTGAACAAGTCGGAGACGAACAAGAAAATCATTCGCGACGTCTTCAGCCGCGGCGACAGCTGTTTCTTGACTGGTTCGGATAATTTATTTGCCAGGGGGTGATGATAATGATAATAGTCGATTCACTGTCATCCACATAAAAAAATAATAGAATTCTTCAAAAAAAAAAAAATTAAAAGAAGGAAAGGAGAACCCATAGGTGCAGATTTTCACGCTGATTCTGAATCTGGGCTTAAACATTGTCGAGGAGTTCTGTGAAAAAAGATAAAGTCCGTTTTTTGCGACTCGGGCAGGACTTCTCTGCGCCCTCCTCATCTCTAGACGTCCCTCTCATTTTCACGTGCTGTCTCCATGCTTCTCTGACCTCGCTGGTGAGGGAACAGAGAGACGCAGACACTCAAAAAGTTTCCAGTCGCGTCGAAGGGACTATAGTCTCTATCTTATATTTGTCTGTTTTCTCTGCTCCCTCTCATTTTCACGTGCTGTCTCCATGCTTCTCTGACCTCGCCGGTGAGGGAACAGAGAGACGCAGACACGCGAAAACTGTCAAGTCGCGGCGGACAAACTAAAATAAATATTTTTGACTCTCGGAAGGAAAATAGGCTTGAGCCATCGATAAAAGGGCTTGACACGAAGAAAAAGAGATAGTGCTTGATAGGTGGAGAGCGCAGACAGGCCACGCCCCTTGAGTAAAAGCCACGCCCTTTAAGTGCAAGCCACGCCCCCTTAAGTGTCCCAAGCTAGCCGGCAGCTCAGAAGGAACCGAGTAGAACTTTTTTAAAAGAAAATCTGAACCAAAATATTTTTTTTCGAACATTTTTGCCATGCTAACTGGGACTGCGGTATGCGTCCCGGACGTTTTTGAGCGTCCTAGGGATCACCTTAGAGTGATTATAATCCTAAAATGGTCCCTATAAAAGCTCCGGGCTGCCAAGGTCCAAGTAAGACATAACTGGGAGCAATTTTTCAACTTTGAACGGTTATAGTCTATTCAGATTTTCAATGTCAAGTGCAATGACGTCATTCAAAAACACTATGTGGATGGCTCGCTCTCTGATTGGTTTATCGCAATTTTAGGGGCGGAGCTTGAGCAACGTCTTGACATTCAAAATCTGAACAGACTATATACCTTTTTCACAGACCTCTAATGCATTTTCGAAGTGAAAATTAGAAATCAGCGTGAAAAGTTTTGCCTAGAGAACGTCTATCCCTTCCCGAAGTCTCTCTTTGATTTCGTCTCGAGACCTGCAAGAACCCCTAACTTTACAGGAGACCTGCTCCACTGGGACCGCCTTGGCTACGTCTACTTCAAGGACCGAACCGGCGACACGTTCCGTTGGAAGGGCGAGAACGTGAGCACGACCGAGGTCGAGGCGATCCTCCATCCGATCGCCGGAATCTCCGACGCGACCGTTTACGGCGTCCAGGTGCCGGGTCGTGAAGGTCGCGCCGGCATGGCTGCCGTCGTCCGCGGTGACCTCACTCTCGACGCTTCGGATGATGACGTCGTCGAGAGGATCGGCGGCAGATTGGCCGCCTCGTTGGCTCCATACGCCATCCCGCAGTTCATTCGTCTTTGTGAAGACGTCGAGAAGACTGGTGGGTGTATAAGTCTATTCGTCATAGTTTTCTGAGGCTATTAAAGGCGCAGAGGCGCGTTTGAAAAATGATTTTGAACTGAAAAGTGCTCAAAAAGCGCTTTGAAAGTCCATTCATAACTACTTTGTGAGGTCTTTAAAGGCGCAGAGGTTTTCTTGAAAAATGGTCTTGGACTGGAAAATTTTGATGACCTAAAAGCGCTCTGAAATTCCATTCATAACTACTTTTTGAGGCTATTAAAGGCGCAGAGGTTCGTTTGAAAAATGGCTTTGGACTGAAAAATGCTCCAAAAGCGCTCTGATCGTCCATTCATAGGCTTTTAAAGGCGCAGAGGTGTGTTTGAAAAAAGGTTTTGAACTGAAAAATGCTCTGAAAGCGCTCTGAAAGTCCATTCATAAAGTTCTTTAAAGGCGCAGAGGTGCATTTAGAGAATGGTTTTGGACGGAAAATTCTCCAAAAGTCCTTTGAAATTCCATTCATAACTTCTTTCTGAGCCCTTTAAAGGCGCAGAGGTTTGCTTGAAAAAAGATTTTGGACGGAAAATGCTCCAAAAGTGCTCTGAAAATCCATTCATAGGCTTTTGAAGGCGCAGAGGAAGGTTAAAAAAATGACTTTCAAGAAAGAAAATCTTAATTTTCCTAAGCTTCATGAAAGGCATTTCGAAGCAGTCTAGCCTGTCTAAACCCTCTCAATCTCTCACCAATCGAAAAATACCGTAGTTCATTCATTGGAAGGAACACCCATGACGTCACCGACTCTGATGGGAATGACGTCATTCGCACTATAACCATGAGAGATAAGAGATCGCAGACAGAAAAATAGCCTCTTCATTGAAATGATCCCTTTCAGGCACCTTCAAGCTGGTCAAGACGAATCTCCAGAGACTGGGCTACGCCAGGGGCGGGGCTTCCACCCATGCACTGTACATCTTCGACTCGTCGATCCGCAACTACGTGCCGTTCGACGAGGATCGAGCCCGACAAGTTCAACTCGGCACCTATTCTTTCTAATTTAACTTTTTTCTTTTAACTAGACTTTTTCACCTGCAAGAGTGGTGATAGCAAAACAGCCGCGTGAGATTAGCTTGCGAAAAATTAGCCTCTTGAGCTTATGCGCTCCGCGGATAATTTCAGGCATTTTTGTTTTTGGCAAATTTTTTTTAGCTCAAAAGCCGTGTTGTAACGCGCTCCATTGATAAACATAGCTTAACTGGAGTTTTTCTAGTTCTATTCTAGTTTATATAGAATTTTATCCATGGAGCGCAATTTCTTGGTTCTTTTTCGCGGCTGTTTCTTCAAGGCGCTATTTTTCGCGGCTCTTCTGTTTTCCCTGTATCTTTTTCTCTTTTATGTGTGTTTTCAACATTTTTTTTTTGTTTTTCCGCTGAATTTTTCCCGAGTGTTATCATTTGTCGTTTCGTGTCTTTTTTTATTGCCTCAGTCATTTTTTATTTCAAATTTATCGCCTCCTTTTCTCTTTTGGTGCGAACAACCAAAAAAATATTGCAAAGCTAGAGACTATGGCGAGTGAAGAGAGCTCAGAGAATCAATATGTCTGGGGCCCTCCCATTTTTCCATACTCTCTCGCTTCTACTCACTTCCTAAGTTATTTCCCGCTCTATTTATACCTGCCATTCGTTACAGGTTTCAACTTATCCAATCGCAAGTGGTCCCTCAAGTGATCACTTCATATTTTTTCCAACTAACAACTAAAAATCACCCAGTTGCCAACTGCCTCAAGGTCTTTCCCAACTTGTCTTGAATTTTTTTTTTCTCTCTACATAGACTTCAATAGGTCTCAAGATTGTTCTTTATTCCAATTTTTTTTCGCGTCATTTCTCAAAGTGGTCACTATAGTGCGCTCATTTCCGCGTTTTGCTCCAACAACTCGTTTTTTTTCATATCATTTCAGACAGAAAAATTTTTTTCTTTAAAAAAAAATAATACTCGTTCATTTCACATCTAAAAACACGGGAAAAAAAAATTTGAAGGGGTCACTTTAGGGGAGTAGAATTGAAAGATTGAATTCTTTGAAGGGATACATGAAAATCCCTCAAGTGGTCAGTAACAGAAAATGCCTTAAAGTGACTTCTTTCAAGAAGAAGGATTTTCATTTGGGAGAAGCCTCAAAAAGATCCCTTGAGTGAATTTTTTTCCAAGGGCCTCACAGAAACTCCTTAGAGCTTTCCAAGCCTCGAAAAATAATCCCTCAAGTGGCCCCTTGACCTAAAATTTCACCGATCAGAGGGCAAATGAAAAAGAAACCCCTAAAATGACCACTTCAAGACTTACAAAAAAGCGAGAAAAATCAATTACTTCAGGTTCTCATATCATTGAAAAAAAGTGGAATTTAAAAAAAAACCTAAAAAAAAATTATTGATTAAAAAGTTCTGAGCAATCATCATTCAATAAACCTAAAACGAATCTCAAAAAACACGTAAAATGCAAAAAACAAGTAAAAAAAAATCTATAACAAATCAGTTAGAATACTCTCTGTTCAAGGCCCGTCCAATGATCAATCGTCGAACCTGAGAAAAAAATCGATAAATTGATCAATAATTTGAAAAAAATCGATAAAATACCTCGCTGGTTCCAGCTCCGATTTCGTATAATTTCGCGTCACGGAGGAGTCGACCCGTTGGATAATCATTAATATATCCGTTTCCACCTTGAAAATCGGATTTTGAAAAATATTAAAAAAATTGAAAAATTCCTTCAAAACAATATAAAAAAACAGGCTAATCAGACATTTTTAAATACATCTGGAAGCATCAAGGGAACGCTAAAAGGGCACGAAATTCACTAAAGTGATCCCTAAACGGCTCGAAAAATGAATTACACAGGGCAGACGTCTCTGATAAGTGAAACGAGTAAGTTAGAGTTTGAAAAATTAATTTCAAAAATATTTATTGCTCAAAACTGAATGTGCGCTCCATGGACAAAAAACCTGTGCTCATTGAAAATCGCAATTAATCCACGGAGCATGAGAACTGGACGTTCCACAGCAAATTTGGAATCACTTAAGAGTTCTGACGCTACTAAAGTGGTCACTAGAAATGTTCCGACACCTTGCGAGGTCATTAAGGGTTTTCACGTTATTTTCCTCCCACTTTAAGCTTGAATTTTTGAATTTTTATCCTACCCAGGTGCATAGAAAACAAGATAATCATGAATAAAGTTATATATTTTTTTAAAAACAAGCGCAAAATTATTTAAAAATTATTGAAAATCCTCATTTTACACATGCTTCTCACCCCACAAATAGCGAAGTCTGGTTTCTCAAAAATCCTTATTTTTCCCTTAATAATTATTATTTTGGAATTTCTTTCCATCCATACATCGGTTGGATCCCATATCAACCTTTTGCGGGCGAAAAATTTGAAAAATTTAATGAGATAGGTCGGGGGTAGGCCGCAGTTTGAGAGGGGGGTGGGGGTTGGCCGAACACTGGGGTGGGCTCCAACCGACGTATTTCAATCCCAATTTTCTCCTAGAAACCAACCCAAAATTTGAATAGCGTCCAAGCAGACTTGGGTGCACTTCTCGGCGACGTAGAGGATCACTCCAGCGCAGTCCTTGAAAAATAATTCGGATTATCCCACAAAAAAAATCGAAAAATTCAGTGATTGAGGCTTTTAGACTCATGGAACCTTATCAACAGCAAAAAAAATTTTCTTTTTTTATTTGAAGTTAACAAACCTTATTGGAAACTCGTCCATTGTCAGCCGCCTTGGCGACCATGTACAAGTAAGATCTGCAGGCGTTCAAGGTCGTGTACATGTCGGCCAGTTTTCCTTGCAGAAGCTGAACATTTCCAACTCATCTTGATGGTTATATTCCAATCTTTAATGAGACATTCGGTTCGATAGGATAAAAAATGTTCCAAAAAAAACTTGAATAAAATTATAAAAGGCCGCCAACCCCTCCTCCTAATACTGAGCTAAAGTCGGTAATCTCACGGTGGTATGGAAAAAAAGACCAGCGAATTTTCAAACGGCGACTTTTCAGATTTTTTCATATCGCTAGGGAACTTTCCGACTTTTTTCCCTTATATTTTTCGGTTTATAAAACATCTATCAACATTTTTTTCCTATTTATTTGTGTTTAAATCATGAATCAACCACCCACTTTATATAGGCAGATTCAAAGCAAAGAGTTTATTGAGAAAAAAAAGTCGGAAAGTGATTCCGCGGTTCAAATTTTTGCTGGTCTTTTTTTTCATACCTCCTATATCCTGATTTTCAATGGGAATTCCGGTTCGGATGGCTAAGAAATGTTCAAAAAAATAGATGAAAATGAGTTAAAGATTGGAAAAAAATTCTCAAAAAAAGGCTTTTTCTATCATCTTTTTCCTATTAAAAAAACAACAATTTTTGAGAAAAATTCTAAAAAGTACTGAATTATCAAGACAGTTCCTATTTATTCAAAAATTTGCACAAGGAAAACTTTTTGCACCTTTCAAAACTCTTGAAAAAAAGCTGCAAATGTCCTTTTTTAAGCTCGGAAAAGGCCATAAAACAGAAAAAAAAAATGAAAATATAACCCTGAAATCTGCCCGAAACATAGAAACGTGAAAAACAGCTGAACAAAACTGTCAAAAAAGTGAGAATATCATTTTTCGACAGAAATCTCTTAAAAACCAACTTGGTAGGTTCCAATTTTCTGTCCAAACTGTTCTCTTTGATGGGCATAGTCGAACGCGACATCGCAGGCGGCTTGCATCAAACTTGAAAAATTCATTTTTCTGGGATTTTGGTTCGAAAAATGTACCCCAAAGGTCCTCCCGACAGAACCAGCCGTTCATAGTCCAATCCGGTCATGAGGACGTAGACACCTTTGCCGATTCCGCCCATGACTTGTTCCTCTAAAGTTTAAAATTCGCAAACTTCTCTCAAAAATCTATGAATTCTGTTCTTGCTCATATATGGACGGAGGCGTATGGGACGTTTCTGAGCATCCCTAGTGACCACTTTAGTAGCGTCAGCCCTCTTAAGTGATCCCTCGAATCGCTCAAAAACGTACGGCTTCCGTTACAGAGATAACAGTCTTTTCAGACTTTCAAAATTTCAAGTAAAATGACGTCATTCGGAAAAAGCTCTGGGATAGCTCGCTCTCTGATTAGTTCACGGCGCAATTAGGGGCGGAGCTTGAGCGAAGACTCAACTTTCAAATGTTCAATAGACCATTCAACATGAAACCAATTTTCTCAAGCCGAAAAATTTATTTTCAGAAAAGTTAGAGCAATGAAAAATACTGAATTTTGAGAATTTTGAGAAAATTGAGCTTTTGTCCCAGTAAAAAAAAGTTTTGTGTTTGATTTTTGACATTTTTAAACTTTAAAAAACCGTTTTTTCCACATTTTTCTTTCCAAAAACCCACCAGGAACCTCGCAGTTTTCAAAAACCAGTTCACAGGTATTCGAACCGCGCATTCCAAGTTTGTCGAGCTTCGGCGATTGGCTGAAGCCTTTGAAGCCCTGAAAAAAAATTTTTTTAAAAAAATAAATTACTTTTTGTCATTCCGTTTTTTTAAATACTTTTTTTAACAGAAAATCTGAAATATGACTGAAAACCTTAAAAAAATAAGTCTGAACTTCCAAATTTTTTTCTTCGTAAAATGAAAAGAATTTATTTCTGTGACAGGACGCTAGTTGACCTGACCTCAATGCCATATGTACTATCATGTAGGCGTGCCAATGGCACGCCGCCTACTTGTATTGTCACTCTTGCGCTCAGCACGCATACCAACTGGCGGTGCTGAGTTGCTCTAATAAAGATCCAAGAGCAATGTCGGTTCTACACACATCTAAATAACACGTCAAGGCCCGGTGAAGCCTTGCGCGGTTATATGGAGGTACCACCGTAGAATCCGGCTGCTTGGACTAATTCACCTATTTCATCTGTTCTACCTCGTCCATCAGCCGCCTGCAGAAGCTACAGTCTTCTGCGGGGAACTCGACCTATTCTATTCCGCTAGCAGTTTTCGCATATCGTGTTCGGGATTCCAGCGAGGCTACATCTTCCTTCTGAAGCTGCTCCAGTGAAGCAGTGCACGAGTCCGGTCCCAAGCAACGTCGACTCCTCCACATTGACAAGTATTTGAACTTTTTCACCGCGATTTTGACCCCTTTGTTGGTACGCGATACACGGTTGGGATGGTGGGATGTGTAGAGTGATATATATCGCCTGGCCTGTGAGCCCTTTTCTCGTCGATGACGACTTCAATCGCTAGTTCAATTGTGTTGAGAGTTTTTCCGTGCTTGTCTCGTTTTATTTTTGTTGTAAGCCCCCGATGTAGTTTACAAAAACTCTTTTTCTTCGATTTCCTTTTCTCATTCAATCTTTGACCGGATACGTCCTTTACCTTGTCTTTTTGATTGGGTTTCTAGATAAATAAGTGACGTAGGAATCGTTGTATAAGAGTCTGCTAGTGCTTAGAATTGTGTTGTAGAACTGATTTAGAGCGCAATTGTCCTCTTGCGTTAATATCTGTATTTTTGTTAGACCGTCCTTGATTGCCTAGTCCTCAAAAGTTGTCTTAGTTTCACTAATCCCCGCTTCGGGACGAAGCTTTCTTGGAGCGGAGGGATGTGACAGGACGCTAGTTGACCTGACCTCAATGCCATATGTACTATCATGTAGGCGTGCCAATGGCACGCCGCCTACTTGTATTGTCACTCTTGCGCTCAGCACGCATACCAACTGGCGGTGCTGAGTTGCTCTAATAAAGATCCAAGAGCAATGTCGGTTCTACACACATCTAAATAACACGTCAAGGCCCGGTGAAGCCTTGCGCGGTTATATTTCTTTACATGGTATCAACTCACATTATGTAAAATTAAAAAGGACTTAATATACATATTTTGACTTTGAAACCGTTCTTAGGAGCGCCAGAGTAGTCCCTACAGGGGCCAGGGAAAAAGCCCCAAAAGTGGACAAAATATTGCTCCATATAGGCACAAACTCATGTGGTCCCTATTGGAGTTTAGGATCTGACCTCTAAAGCTTAAGTGGCCCCTCTAGTGGTCTTTTGAGAGTAAATAAGACCTAAAGGAGCCACTATCATACACCCCTAGAGTGGCCCCTTTTGCAAAATTCAGTGCCCCTATGGGGGAGGTAAAGTGGTCCCTTGAGGGGAGCCTACAAGAGCCCTCTATTGACCACAATGGCGTTCCTAAGTTCGCCTACAACTGAAGTGGTCCCTATAGTGATCTTCTGATTTTAATGTACATAAGACGTAAAGGGACCACTATCGTACTTCCCTATAGTGCCCACTTTTGCAAACATTATCGTCTCCTACAAGTGGAGGTAAAGTGGTCTCTTGAGGGGAACCTACAAGGACCCTCTAGTGACCACACTGGCGCTCCTAAGTTCGCCTAAAACTGAAGTGGACCCTATAGTGGTATTTTTGATTTTTTCGATCTGATTTGAGAATAAATAAGACGTGGAGGAACCCTTAATACACTCCCCTAGAGTGGCCACTTTTGCAAGCTTTAGTGCCCCTATGAGGAAGGTAAACTGGTCCCTTGAGGGGAACCTACTAAATTCCATAAAGTCGCCCCTCTAGCGATCACTACGCCATTCCAAAGTTCAAAAAACATAATTTTGAGATCACTGTTTTCAAATAATGTTATTTGACGACTAGATTTGCCACATCATCATCTACCCCTGAATGACGTCACTACTTTTAAAAAAAAGCAAACCTGGAGAAGTTTCCGCTATAAAGTATATTCGAATAAATATGGAAAAATCAACAGCAAAATTTTAAAATCAGCCATTTTTCGCGCCAAAATTCAGCATGACGTCATCATGGACCTCCCAGATGACGTCACATCTTCGCACCTTCTCAATGAGGAAAGACGTAATTCCGTGCTGATGCTTTTTCGGATCAGTCTTGGCGTAGACGACCAACACGTCGGCGTCGGGTCCGTTGGTGATCCAGAACTTGGTTCCGTTCAGGACGTACTTGTTGCCCTTCTTCTCGGCGCGGAGCTTCATGCTCACGACGTCAGATCCGGAGCCGGATTCTGACATGGCGAGGGCGCCAATGTGTTCACCGCTGATCAGCTGCAAACATTGGAATATGCAGGACTTTTTTTTGTTTTTTGTTGGAAAAGCTGAGAATCGATTTTTTTTTTTCTTGGTTCCGGTCGACTGTTAGTCGATTCACGGCTAGCTTGGGACTCTGAGGGGGCGTGTCCTGTCTGAGCTCTCCCCGAACAAGAAAGTATCTCTTTTATTATCTTCTTAGGACCATTTATTTGAAAAAGGGTCCTGACACGATAGAAAAAAGATAGTGCTTGGTTCATGGAGAGAGCAGACAGGCCACGCCCTTTTTGTCTCGAGAACTCAACCGTCCCACCTGGCTTCATGAAGACGGCAAAGATTTCTACATAAAGGCAATTTTTCTGCGCAAAAGCGGCGTAGTGCATGCACACGACACAACACACTTTACGGAGGAAAAGTGGGCGGGGCGTCTTCGAAAAACGCCGAAAACCGGTTGTATTGCGTTTTCGACCAGAACGATTGTTGTAGCATATTTTTCAGCTCGAAAATCCATTTTTCTCCGCACCTTGGGCAAGTACTTCTGCTTCTGCTCAGCGCTTCCGTTGCGGCAGATCTGGTTGACGCAGAGGTTCGAATGAGCTCCATAAGAGAGGGCGATACCGCCGGCGGCACGCGACAACTCTTCCATGGCGATGACGTGCGAGAAGTAGTTCATCGCCGAGCCGCCGTACTCCGCTGAAGGACACTTTACTTTTTCCAAATTGTCTATTATAGATGAAATTTACTCGAAAATCATTACTGAGACTTTATTGCTGAAAAACATTTTTCTTTCCAAAAATCTTCGAGATATTCATCCTGCCCTTTTCGGAGGGTATACTTAAGGGTTTTTTTTTTAATTCCTAGGTAAAGCTGAAAAATACATCAGATGATACACGGAAATTCTATTGGTAATATAACCCTTTTTTTTTAAATTAGTGACTCGGACAGGTATCCCAGTACCTGGAGCCGTGATCCCTAGAAGGCCTTGTTCGCCGAGTTTGCGCCAAAACGGCCTCAACTGATCCCAATTGTTATCTTTGTCAATTTTCTCGGCGAAAGGCGCCAATTCCTTCTCGGCAAACTGTCGGACCGACTGGCGGAGCTGGAAAATGGATGACGTCATTGGGAAAAACGTCGAAAATGCTCGACTGGTGAAAACTCTAGGGGCCACATAAAAGTTTCCTCAAGGGACACTAAAGAGGCCACTGAAACAACCTCTTTAGAATCTCCTAATTGGCGTCTTAGTGGCCACTACAGTAGTCTTCAGAAGCCTACTAAAACCACTTAGACTCCCAAAGAGGCCACTAAACATTATTCATTTAAGTGGCCACTAATTCGACCACTATAGTGACCTCTAAAACGTCAAAACCCTAAAGTGGTCACTAAAACAATCTCTTTAGGAGCCACTACTTTGCGTCTTAGTGGCCACTATAGTCGTTTTAAGAGACCTACTAGTACCAGTTGGACTCCTAAAGAGGCCACTAAATTAAGTCACTTCAGAGGCCCCAATTTCGACTGCTATAGTGACCTCTAGAAAGTCATAAACCCTAAAGTGACCACTAAAAGAACCTCTTTAGAATCTCCTATTTGGCGTCTTAGTGGTCCCTATCTTGGTTTTTTTTGGTCTAGTATTACCACCTCTTATAGAGGCCCCTAATTCGACTACTATAGTGGCCTCTAGAAAGTCAAAACCCTAAAGTGGCCACCAAAACAACCTCATTGGAATCTCCTATTTGGCGTCTTAGTGGTAGTAGTTTTTAGAGACCTACTAGTACCACTAAGACTCCTAAAGAGGCCACTAAATCAAGTCACTCAAGAGGCCACTAATTTGACTACTTTAGGGGCCACCAAAACTTCAAACCCCTCAAGTGGTCCCTTAGAAATTTCCCAGTAAACCCCAAAAGACCTATGGTCCTTCAAATACCCAGTAAGATGTTATCAAAATTAATTTTTTATGAAAGAGAAAAGTCCAAAAAAATCCACCGCAATCTCATCCTCAGTAAGCCCAAACATGACGTCATCGATTGGATAAGCGGAAAAAGCGCGTCGAGACCCGTTTACTGTGGAAATTCGGCCGGCGGCGACGTTTCGAAGCAATTTCGAACACAGCGACATGGTTGGGCCCCTTCAAAATGTTTTTGAAAATCGAAAAACATAAAATGAACGAAAAAACCATGAAGCAATGACAAAAATAGCGATTTACACGTTGAAAATGATTTATATCTTTCACGCCCACGTTCCAAAATACTCGGTTCAATTTTTTTCAGTCAATACAGAAATGTAATTTTTAAAGGCGCAGAGATCCTGCCACGCCAAAAATGAAACTGAAAACGACTATTCGCCTCGAGACCTTTAAAAAAATTCTTCTGTGCTCCTTTAAAGTATTTTTAACTTCTCTTCATCTTGTACAGAAGTTTTTATCATAAGCTAGCAGTGATGATATCAAAAATTGACAGTTTAAAGACTATAAAAACAAAAATGAAACTTTTTGAAAGAGAGGCGCAAAAAACGCCTTGTCCAATATAAAACAAAAATGCAGAACAGAAAAGTGAGCCTCGGGTGAAAACAAAAAATGAAAAAAGGCGTTTTGAACCTTTACGCAATGCAATCAGGTGAAACTAAAGCTTTTTCGAAAAAATTTTCCATAAATAGGAATAAAAGCTCATTTTCAATCCAAGAAGACCTTCTCAAAAAACCTCTCTTCTGAGCTAATTTTTGAAAAAAACTAAAATAGGATGACTGAAAAGCGCAAAAACAAGCTGATCACATAGCGATAAAACAGAAAATCCCAAAAAAATTTTCCAAAATCATTGAAGAAAATTAACTTTTTTGCTCAAATATCTAGAAATTGAGCTTCGAAAAAGACCTAAAAACCCGAAATTCCATCGAAAATCACAAAAAAGGAGCTCCACGTGATGGTTATTTGAACTCGAAACCAAAAGCTGATCAACGGACGTAAAAAAGAAACGTTGCGTTTGAGCTTTTCCGCGACTTTCGCGACGAGAGATAGATGTTAAAGAGAGAGACCAGACGGCTCGACGTTTGCTTTTTGTTTCAAGCAAATTGAAACAGAACAAAGTCAAGAGAGTTAATTATCCCAGTCTGAGAAGTTCTTCTTGAAAAATGAACTAGACTAGAATCTACTCAAATTTTTGAAGGGGGCATTTTAAGGGTTTCAGATAAGAAAAATAGAGAAAAATTTATAAATGTAAAAAGTTGAATAAAAAAAGTTCTGAAAATGTGTTCCAGTAGGAAAAATCATATTCACACAAAAATTTAAAAAAAAAATGTCAACTTCCTGAAAACAAAACTTTAAACAAAATAATATAAGAATAACCACGCGATAACCATAGAACAGACCACCAAAACTCGTACGACGACAGCGTAATCGATAAGAAAACCACGGAAAACGACCAAAAAGGGAACGATTACAAAAATGACCACACTGTTCATTATCATTTGTCTGATGGCAAAAAATGATTTTGGCAGACAACAATGGAAACTGGACTTTCGAACTAGATCAGAAGATTGAACTATAACTACCCAAACCTTGGAGAAAATAGAAAAATAAAAATAAAAACAAAAGAAAGTCCAACTTCAGAAGAAAGTCGTAGAATAAAACGTTTTTGGTGCGTTCGCCGGCCATCGTAATCCCGAAATTTCGCCAAAAATTGCCTATCGTCCCGATTTCCTATTTTATACCATTGTTTTATGTTTTTCACTGATAATAAATGAAAGCAGACGATAAAAAGTGCTGTTGCCCTTTTGCCGTCAAAAAACTGTCAATTACAACAAGACATCATCATGAGAACGCAACACGGAATGGTTTTAAAGTGAGCCTCGTGAGGCGGGAAAATTTTTCTGAACAAACTTTTTCCAGACACACCAGGTGAGAGTAAATAGACACAGACAGGGAGACACGTGGGGCCGAAAGATTTAGAAAAAGACCGTCAAATAGGTTTTGAAGCAAAGCTTTATTTTAAAAGAGTATTGAAAATATTTTTAATATACTACAAAGATCCCTACGCTAAACTGAATAGTAGAAGCAAATCAACTGCAGCAATCTCAAATCTTTTTATACTATTTTTATTATTAATTTGCCTACAATGTTGTGAGACTAGGTAAATATTTGATAAGATAAAAGCTGTCAGAAAACAAATTTACACCTAGAAATCACACATAAAACATCACTGATCAGTTTGGGAGAAGATCAAAGGTTCAATCCTATCCTAAAGCTTGAACGAGGAAAGGTAAAAACCTTCGTTCCTTTCATTCGCAACAAACAACAATAAAAAACCAAGTGTAAACTAGACTATCCTCGCCATTAATTTACTGATGTTCAGTGTAACGTCAGAAGAGCGGGAATTCGAAAAAAAAGGTTTCCAAACTCCGTTTCGCTATGTAAAACCTTCCCAAAAATAAAAAAAATAATAAAACATTTAAAAACAACAGCAAAAAGTTCGATAGCGCTAATCAATACCTTAATAAAAAATTATAGTAAAATTTGAATTTTGCAAAAAGAATGAAAAATAACGCCAGAAAATAATAAAATTAACGTACAATTTAGACGTAAAATAAAATGCATGGTCCGTAACGACTAGTATGCACAAGTGCACAGTAATCCGAAAATTGAATTTTTACACTTTTTTAAAATTCCACTTTTCTTATAAGCTTAACATAATTTCAATTTCGAATGTTCAACTACATTTCAAGATGATTGAATGTAGAAAAAATTTCATCCAGAAATCGATTTCCAGGTTAAAATAAACCAAAATCTTAATCTTCAATAAAAACGCAAATTTTTTAAAATTTTATTCAAGGAACTAAAGCGATAGAATCAGATTCGTTATTATTAAAGCACTATGAGCCGTAAGGAAAAAAAAGTGAAGCAGATTGATATGACAAAAATCATGGTTAAATAGGCACAAATGGTTTGGGAACCGGTTAAAAGTACAAAATCAGGGCAATGTTATGACAAGAAAAAGTGTAACGTCTAGACGAAAAAATCTGGAAAATTTTGACAAGAACTATACAAAACAAGCAAAAAAACAGTTTTATAAAAAAATTATATAATTTAATGTTCAGGTGGGTTCGGCGCTTCGTTTCCCGAGAATTTTTTAATATTTTGCTTTTTCTTGTAAACTTCTCGTGCGATTTGTCTTTGTACGGCCGTCAAACGATCCAGTAATTCGTCAATTTTTCTGAAATTTGAAGAATATTTATAGAAAAAAATAAATCTACAAACCTTCTGAGAATTATTCATTCGGATTTGCGAATCCTGTAGTTTTTAATGCATGTGAATAAAGAGTCAGCGGCGCTTCATGCTCGTTTAATTCTCGCATAAACTGCAAAGAAATTTTTTTCATGAAATTATTTATAAACTAGTTTAACCTTGAAATATCATTATTATTTACCGAAAATGAAAAAAGAGATAATTTTATGAAGTGAAATAATCGAATATTGTTAACTATGCAAATCTTTAAAAAAAATTTATTTTATTTCAGGAGTTTTTCAATTTTTTTCACTCATTAACTTTAAAAACTATTGAACTTCGCTTACTTCTAACTATTCCAAAGAAAAAATAACAAATCAGATGAAAAAAAATTAGCTAAAAAAGCCACGAACCTCGGCTAAAAGCTCCGCGTTTTGATTCAAAGCTAGTTGAGCCGTTTTCGTGCTTTTAATCTGATCTTCTAAAGTTTTGATCGAAGTTGTCATGCTCTCAAGCAATAAATCGCCCGAATCGATTGCCACGTTTGCCATCTATAAGTAAATTATCTCAAAATTCAATAAAAAATAGAAATTTGAAAAATAAAAGAGTATGTGGGCGTGGCTCCGATCAAAGATCGCACGGTAAACTGTGCGCAGGGCTTGCAGAACATTCAAAATGTATAAAAAACCGATTATCAATTACAATTACATATATCTATTTTATTATCTAGATATATGTAAAAGACATGGTGATAGTCAATTTCAACTTTCAGGCTGATGAAAAAAACAATGTAAATATGAATGAATAAGTCGAAAAAAATCCGTGGGGAAAAATCTTTCTGTCTTTTTTTCAAGGTGTTTCAAAAATAAGTAATAAAAGGTTGCAAACAAGACCAGAAAAAAAGAGAACTTTAAAGCCGATGAAATGGTTCGTTTTTCTTGAAAAGAAAAAAATTTTTTAAAAAAACCTTCTAGGAAAATGAAAAAAATACTTCTCTGTTTGAGAGAAATCTCTTGGACTTAAATTTTCCGATTGAAAATAATATTATTATTCTCAAAATAGTTTTTCAAGCTTGCCCAAAGCACGTTAAAAAGCTTTTGGCGTCAACTATCCGATGAGAAATTCCTATAATCCTTCAAATATTACAGGAAATTACGAGAAATCCGCGAAAAAGGGCGGATTTGAAGGTTGAGGTCAATTGCGGCGCGTATCTGGCGTCCTTTCCTTGGCACGCGTCTCTGGCCGCTTATTCTCACAGACCTGCAGTTTTTGTACTCTTCTGTTCATTTTGATATGGAAACCATTCGTCCGCCGCACTACTTGGAACAGGTTTTTTTCATTTAGATTATTTGAGTCTGACTGGGAATTTTTTTTAGTGGTCACTATAGGGTTTTGACGTGTTAGTGGTCACTATAGTAGTCAAATTAGTGGCCGCTTGGGGGGTTAAAAATTAGTGGCCACTATAGAGGTCTAAGTGCTACTACTAGATAATAAAAAAATTTTAGTGGCTACTTTAGGGGTCAATGGATCAACATAACTGGTCCAATAGCTTTGGTTTAAAATTATCAGAGCTACTGGAAGGAGCCCTGGATGAAAAACTACTAAAATGGCCACTAAAACGGAAAATAGTGACCACTATAGTCTATAGAGGTGGGTTTAGTCGCCTCTAGAAAAGCCGGTCTAGAGTTACTATGTCAGAATTTTTCAAAAACCTTAAAACTATTTTTTTTTTCTCTATTTTTTCATCAAAGTTGATTTTCCAGCAACCCAACTACCGTGAGCAAAACGTCGAAATTCGAAAAAAGAATTTGGAACTTCGAGAGGAGATTTTGAAGAGGAGATCCACAGATGTGGAGCTGCGCGAAAAGGTTAGAAATTTGAAAAACCTTTTTGTTTTTTTGTTGCCTTTCCTCCTTTTCATTTTTTCACAGTTTGAATTTTTCCAAATATTTATCCCTTCTTTAAAAATTTCAACTGTACTTATCTTGTATTGATTTCAATCCCTTCTTCTAACCGAAACGCTTTGAGCCATTCCAAATGCGACCAAAATGAAGCAACTACGATCCCCATGGCCGCATTCGGAATGGCTCACGCTTGCAAAGCTGCCTGTTGATAAGGTTGTAGGAACCGAAAAAAAATTTGTGAAAGCTACCAAATTTGAAGACGAACCTGTTGAGCTCTCATCCATTCCAAATGCGAGCAAAACTTTTCCTTTGAAGGTCTACCAGCAACAGCTGCGTCCAAAAGCATGGAAAGTGGTCCGGTCGAAGGTGAAAGCGATGGCCGGCTGGCCGGAAGGTCGTGAGATGACGTCCTTCACGTCAACCATCTTCAACATCTTGAAGGCGTCGTTCATTGTGATCTACGCGGCGGCGTTGCTCGGCCTGGCCTGCCACGGGGCCTTCATCGTCGTCGTCTACGACAAGACGGAGCATTTGTGGCTGTTCGTGCTTGCCATGGCCGGTTGTTACGGCTTCTACGACTTCTGGAAGGCGAGGGAGAGATACTGGAATGACGTCGGGTCCAACTGGAACGTCCGGCCGGAAGTCCTCCTCGACCAGGCCGAAGAGAGAGCCATCGCTTCTCGGGAGCGCGAACTTGCCGAACATGCTGTTTGATTGATTTTGTGTTATATATTTATTCAAAGTATGTTTGTACATTTTGAAAGAGTTTTTGTCTTGGGAATAAAGAACTTTTAAAAACTTCTTCGAGTTTTGAAATCTTAAAAAAACGTCTGGCTTGTCTGCGCCCTCTTCTCTTTTCTGTCAATGAAGTGACGTCATTATTCAGAGTTCTAACAGCTATATTTGCTTTGGAATTCGTTGGAAAGTGAGCACAGGCTTGGAATCAGAGTAAAATTCGGATCATATTAGGTTCCTGAGATCTAATTTGACGTTCAAATTAGGGGGATTCCACTTCTTGTGACGTCGATTTCCAGCTTCTAAGGGGGATATAAAGCTTCAAACTCTACTTCTAGGAAAACCGAAGACAGATTTGGAATCAGCGGAGTTTTCTTATCATAACAGATAAATATACTGACAATCTGGACATGTAAAACTCCTATTTTTCGAGAGAAGGCACCTCAAAATCAAAGGAAACCTTTCGAAAAGCCCACTTTCCAAAAACAAAAAATACTGTAACTCGAAAATTCCTACAGTAACCTAAGATGGTATATACTGTAAAAGTTACTAGAATAGGATTATCTATCGATTGATATATCACTTGCCTAATGAAAACTCTTCAATACTGAGATACGCAGGTGCCCACCTGCCTACCGTAACCCGGCTACAGTAAGAGGGAATGGCTCAAAAAGTTGGGTCCGCATTTCTGATGATGGGTTATCACACTGGATGAAGTTTCATCAAGATCAAAAAACATTTTTTACCCGTTTTTTTGAGACTTTTTGAAAATTACAGAGACAGCGCTTCTTACGGCTATGAAAGCTGAGCACATACTTGATATCAAAAATAAACTTTCATTTTTTCAAGCCCAAAAATCCCCAAATCAAATCAAAAAAGGTCTCATTAAGCGTCAGATCAGCCCATTCCTACAGTACTCCAAAATAAAGCCATAAAAGGACGCGTGCCTGTGGCTCCTTGGCTTGGGACCCACCTGGCGGTCCCTCCCAGTCAATCGCTTTTCTCTCGACTTTCTTTACTCTTCCTTCATATCGCCTCAATTCAACTTTTGCAGTTCTATCGAAAAAAATGTCGCGAAATACACGAAATGCTCCGCCTCCTCCAGCTTATATGGACGTCTCACTGCATCCTGTGAGTTTTTTTCTTTGGGCGAATTTTTTGGCAAATTCTCAGTTTAACGTGTCACATACAGTTCAGTCAGAAAAGGGACGAAAAACGGTTTTCGATCAGACCTTCGCCCATGTTTAGGGACCGCAGACCAATTTTCAAAAAATTTTTTTCAGCATTGAGCTTTGTATGGTTTGATAGCTGTTTCGATTCAAAACTCAGAACCGTTTAGTTTTTCGAAAAAGATTGAGGATGAAAAAAGTTATGACGAAAAATGTGGCGCGCCGCGCACCATTTTTTTAGTACTGAAATTTTGGTATTATCCATTTTGACATTTTTTTCTCGATTTTTTTCTTCTAGAACAAGTTTTTGATACTGGTCTATTATGATGTAACAAATCATAATAGAGTGCTAAAATGATGCTCATCAGCTAGTTTGCCGAAAAAAAGTCGGTATTTTTCCAGAAAAACAAAAAAACTGACGCTTGCGGGCATCGAACTCGCGACCTCAAAATGAAAAAAATCGCAGCGCACGCGCTGCGCCAAGCTGCTAGGTCTAGCAAGGGGAGCTTCCATCCGCCTTACCCTTGAGCCGTTTAGATAGCACAGATTGCCTATTTCAAAAAAATAAAAAAACTTGAAGTAATTCAGCTATTTTTTTATCAGAATATGTTCGCAAATCTTTACTCAAACTTTCCGTGAAAAATTCACTTCGAAAAAAACTGTTTTTTTAGTGCTTTTTTTCCTCGTTTAACGATCGCTGCCTTAAAACGGCCCCGTAAATTTTTTTGGCAAAGACGAATTTTTTTATTTTTATTCTTTTTAATTGAAAGATTTTTTTCACTAATAAATGTATATAATCGTTTAAAAAAACCTGCGTTCGGCCGCTTTCTGTGTGATAAACGCCGCTAATTTTTATTCTCTAGTTTCAAGAGCATTTTTTTGCGTATTAAACAACTATTTCAAGCACAGATACTGTGAAGAAAAAAATTTAAGTAAGGCCATGATCTAAATTTTTTTAAAAAAACAAAAAAACTTGATTATATTCGCTTATTAACGATATTTTTGAATTATGACTTTCGGCGCTCCCTAAAATTTTTTTGGCAAAGACGAATTTTTTTATTTTATTGTTTTAAAAATTTTTCGTTACTTGAATCAAAAATCATTATTTAAAAAAAGAAAGAGTGCGTTCGACCTGAAAAACACATGAAAAAAAGCAAAAAAATGACAAAAATTTTTTTAGTTCCATTCACGTTTTTTTGTACGACATTCCGCGAGAACGCATCAAAAAAAGCGTGAAATATTTTTTTAAACGAAAGAGGAAGCTTTTTCTGTACATGTGTGTCAAATTTTATTCGCCAGTTCCACATATTTTGCAACTACAACAAAATGAAAGTTGAAAACCAAAAAAAAGCCACTTTTTCTATCGCGAAAAGGGGCGTGGCTTTGCGGTCCCTACCCATGTTATAACTAACACAGTAAGCATAAAGTCAAAAAGTCTTTTTTAATAACATTTTTTGAAAAGTGCATCTAAACAGGGACTCGAAACAAATTTTCAAAAAACCCTGATCTTCCAAACTTTCGTGAATCATTGCGGGAACGGAACTTGGGACCATTTTGACGATCTTTCAAGACTCTCGCCTCATAATTGAAGTTTTCAATTTTGAGGAAGTAGGGCCAATTTTTAACCGAGTTTTATATAAGAAGCAAGATTATCATAATCCTCTCTACCGTACTACTTTGAAGAAGATTTTCCCCTCTGCAGGACTCGCGAAGCGAAATGGAGCTCGCGATGCAGGAACGAGAGCTCTCCCAACGGGAGAAGATGCTGCGAGTGGCGGAGAAGGAGATCAGCAAACGCGAGGCGAGGATGACGCGTCGCGAAGACTGTCATCATCTGCAACTGCTGCTCGAGAAGTACGAGGCAAAGAGTACGGAGGCCGGCCGACTGAAACGGGCTTGTCTGGTGTCGCTGAGCTTCTGGGATCCATGTTTGACGTCACTCGTCTTCCTGCTCGCCGCCATCGGCCTTCTCTCGCTGAGTTGGCGACTTGTGGGCGTCTGGCCCAAGGAGGACTTGCCATCCATGATCAGATTGTGAGAATGAAATGCGCTCCGTTGATAAACTACATTTTATTTCAGTGGAAGGCCGTATTCAAACTCTTCTCTCGACTCCTGAGCGTCTGGGAGGAATCGCCAACTTCAAACTGTATACAATCGTGAAAATGCGCTCTGTTGATGGAAGCTTTTTTTTTGTGAATATGTGTAATAAATTGTGTCTTGTATTGATCTCTATGATTTTGAAAACCTGATATGAAGGTGATATGAAAGAGTGCAGATAAATTAGATTTGAAATTCATGAATAAATAAACTAGATAGAACAAAAAAAGATTTTCAAGTTAATTTTTTTTTGAGTTCATTGTCCCTTTTTTATTGGTCATCCAACGATTGGGAAAAGAAATTTTAATGAAAACCGCATCATTTTCTCTAACCGGCCTATCTATAGCTAATGGAAGCCTTCCCAATGCGATGCGCACCGTGGCGCAGTGCGATAGCGTCGAACTGCCACTGGCGAGGTCGCGGGTTCAAGTCTTGCATCCGCCTAATTTTTCATTTTTTCTGCAAAAATGACTTTTCTTCTCATTTTGTACTTTTTTCAATGATTTGAAACATTTTTCGACTTCGAAAAGCCTCTAAAGCTCGAGTGGCCCCTATAGGGTATTTCACTGTATTTTGTTCAGGATTTTTTCTTGATCCTCTGTTGATTTTTTCATTAAAAAAACGAATTTATTGATTCTTTCTCATAGAAATGCATGTCCCCTACAGGGGCCACTAGATAAAACCCTTAAAGGGGTCACTTTTGCAAGATTTAGTGTCTTTTTTAGTGAAATTTAATTATTCAGAATATCATGCAATGCAATTCCATTGCACTTTCGCTTTTTCGAGCTAGAAAAAATTTTGAAAGATCTTGACAATAAAAGCGAATTTTGTTACAAAAATAAATTTCCTGTCGGTTGCAAATCGGCCAACGGTTAGGCTATCAATGTCGGAAAACTTGACGACATCTTAATATCCTCGCCAGGAAAAAAAAACACGAGAGAAGACAAATGGCTCGCCCAGAACACCGGCGGTCGTCCCCCGGGCAACCTTTAATGACTCTGATTTACGATCCCTTTTCAAGTTTGCCGCCGCCGGCACAGCTTTCCTTTCAAACCCTCCTATCATTTTTATCACGCCCAGGGCAATAAGAAAGAGTTTCTCTCGACTGTACTTCTTATTTTGTTTTCCCGTTCCCATGTTCCATTTCCTGTTAATTACTCGTCATCATTTATCCACGTGAACCGAGGTTTATCAACAGTTTCTTCAGACTTCCTTTTCTATAGAGAATTTGTTCTTTTTTAAGAGGTACAGCTTGGAGCAGCGCGTGAGCTTTAATTTCTCGCAATAGATCTCGTTTCCGATTTATGGAGCTTCAAGGTCCGCAAAATACGAAAATTTTGACAAAAAGCGCTATTTTGAGCTTTTGAAGCGCTTAAACTTCAAAACGAGATCTATTTCGAGAAATTTTTCACTTTTTCTGCAATCAGGAGGTCCTAAAGAACATTTCAGCAAAGTTTCATCAAAAGTTCAACGGGGGGGTAAAACGTTCCCGAGTTAGATCTCTATTTTTGAGGTCTTTAGTTCGATACTCACAGTTTTCTAGAAAAAAATGTCTTTTTTCCAAAATTTAGCAAGTTATCATTATTTTGATTTTCTGATTTCGTACGATAAAAAAGGCCAGTTTCAAGATAAAAATCGAAAAAGTGTCTAGAAGGCACAATACCAAGATTTCAGTCCAAAATAAGTGGCGCACCTAAATTTAGTCATAACTTTTTTCTTTCTCAGACTTTTTTGAAAAACTAAACTGCTCTAAATTTCAAATCGAGGCCAGCTCAAGCTCAAAATTTTTTTTAGAAGTTCTGAAACCAGGAAAAAAAAAAACTAAAACGAGCAGAAATCCAATAAAAAATCACATAAAAGTCGTCTGGAATCAACAGCCGCAAAAAAAAAATTCAAATTCGGTCTTTTTAAAACTAAACTGCTCAGTAATATCCTCTCAAAAGAACGATCAGGTCCAGATTTTCCAGCAAACCAAAATAGCCTCTTTAAGGTGATTAATGCGCTCCAATGACAAATTTTTCAGTTTCTTGCGTTTATATAATTTATGTTGGTAAGAGCAAAGAATGAGACGTTTTTGAAGTTTCAAAAAATCATCAAAGAGCCAAAAAGGTACAAAAAGTACCCTATACCCTTTAAAATTCTTAAGGAGCTTCAAAAAATTACAAAAAAACCAAAAAAACGGCTCAATTTTTAAAATTTTGTCTAGTCTTTTTTCGCCGATTTCGAGCCCTCTTATCAGCTTCTACATCAAAAAATCCGCGATGATGGAAAAATTTGTTGTTTTTGGGTTCCTCCGGCGGCACGTTTGAAATCATAAAAGCGGTCGTCAAAAAGCATTTTCTTTTTCTTCTTTTTTTTCTCATTTTTTGGGTTCTTATCTCCAGCTTTTTATTTTTTCAGAAGGCGGACAGCAGGAAAATTTTTTTTAAAGGAAAAGAAATCTGAAAAGTTCGGCTTTATAGTTGTACTTCACATGAAAACCTGTTAATTTTTGAATTTTTGAATTTCGCGCTCTTTTTCATAAGGCCTGCTTCAACTTAAAATCGAGACAATTTTTCTTTCAAGCCAAATTTTATATTTTAAAGAAAAAAAGAGCAAATTTTTATTTTCTAGCCGTCTGCGTCTCTCGTCTCTCGACTTACTCATAACTTTCAATCATGCAAAACGGCATGTTTTGCTACGCGAATTTGGAAAAATACTTGAATTCCTGATGATTTTGAGCTTTTGGAGATTTTCAAGTGGTTTATTGCATATTCGAAAGCAAAAATTGATGAAAAAAACTTTCTGAGAACTCATTTCAACGGAACAAGTGGTCACTTGAGTGTTCAACTGCGATAGTTTATATAAGTTCGTTTAAAAGACCACTTGAGTGATTTTTAACTTGAAGTTGCCACTTAAGAGGTCCGCTAAGTTGAGATTCTAAACGGAAATTTGAGAAATTGAAAGGTTTTTTCGAAGCTCGTCCCTTAATGGGTCAACTAAGTGGACACTTGAGGGTTTCCAAAAAGTAAGAAGGCTTTCAACTTAATGAGTAGTGACATTTTTTTCTTCAAAAAGTTTGAAATTGAGAATTTTTTTCGATTTTTTCGCTTCTAACCGCAGAACTTTTGAAGGCTTGTTCATCCAATATTTATGGAGATTTTTTAATTCCCTGATAAAAACTCTAGTGGTCACTTAAGAGGTTTCTGGAGAAATAAATGGAAAGGTCACTAAAGTGGCCACTAAAACCGCCTCTATAGTGGTCACTAAAAAGGTTCTCCATTTAGTTGCCACTTCAGTAGTTTTACATCTATTATTCCTTCCAGTAACTCTGATAATTAAATAAAACAGATTGCACCAGTTATGTTGATCCCTTGACCCCTAAAGTGGCCACTAGAACTTTTAGTGGTCTAATAGTTGCACTTAGACCTCTATAGTGGCCACTCATTTTCAGCCCCTTAAGAGGCTACTAACTTGATTACTATAGTGGCCACTAAAAAATTTCCCAAAATGCTGTAGAAGTCCCTATTTTTCGTCTTAGTGATCGCTATAGTAGTTTTTAATGTTCCATTAGTACCGATAAACTTCTAAAGAGGCCACTCAACCACTTAAGTGGCCACTAGCCCGACTACTATAGATGCCTCTAAAAAGTCAAAAGCCTGAAGTCGCCACTATTTTCCGTCTTAGTAGCCACTAGAGTAGTTTTTAGAGGTCTACTAGAACCAGTTAGACCCCTAAAGAGGTCAACTTTCGTCACTTAAGTGGCCACTCGACTAATATAGTGGCCACTGAACAGCTTTTCTCGTTGTCTCTTGAGCGGCCACAATCACTTAAGTGGCCACTGATCCGTCTACTACAGAACGTCAAAACCCTAAAAGGATCACTAGAAAATCTCCAAGTACCTAACTACAACTTTTCTCTAAACCTTCAAGAATCCAACCAAACAAAACAACTTAGGCTTCTATAAAACGTGAAGAGCGTCGTTTGGGGGAACATATATGGGCGTGGATATTCTCCGGAGTGCCATATTTGGCGTGACGCCAAAATTGGCGAGGGCCAAGGCTCTTCCTATTTTGCGCGGGCAGAAAAAAATCTCTTCCTGCCGCCGGCGGCTCCTTTCCATTCCTTGTTTTCTTGTTGTTCATTTTCGTTCCTTCTGTTATTTTTGAAATTTACTGGTCGCATTTGGAATGGCTCGAAGCTTTGCAGATCGAAATTCATATGAAACTAGAGCGTTTCGGGAGATTATTCTGACTTTTTGACTTGTTTATTTTGGTTCCTTCTGTTTTTTTTTTAAAATTTCTTGGCCGCATTTGGAATGGCTCGGAGCTTTGCAGATCGAAATTCATATAAGAATAGAGCATTTCGGGAGATTATTTCGATATTTACTGACTTGTTGATTTTCGTTCCTGCAGTTTTTTATAATACTTGAAATTTCTTGGTCGCATTTGGAATGGCTCGGAGCTTTGCCGCCAGAAATTCATATGAAATTAAAGCATTTCGGGAGATTATTCTGACTTTTTGACTTGTTGATTTTCGTTCCTTCTGTTTTTTTATACTACTTGAAATTTCTTGGCCGCATTTGGAATGGCTCGCAACGTTGCAATTATTAATTCGTATACAGAGGGAGCATTTCGAGGAATTATTTCGATACTTTTTGACCCCAATAGGCGTAAGTAGTTTCAGGTCGGGTGCGCTTCTGCGCGTTGATCCACTCCAACTGATAATATTAAAAATTTATATTGAATCAAGTATGTTGATAAAACAGAACTGAACTCTAAAATGGTAGAAAAAAATGAGGATTCTACAGAAAAACCTTAATTTTCGTTTTTGCTACCCTTTTTCTCGACCCAAAAATCCCAGTCAAGAGTCCAAAAACTACAGTAAGCCTCCAAAAAAAAGAAGAGAACAATTGGCGCCTAAGAAACCATCAATTTCAAGGGTTTGTTGAAACTGAAATGGCCAATTTTTCTCGCTTTTTTAAAATTGCTCGAATTTTGCTTTTTTTCAACAGAAAACCATTCTAAAAACGCTCTAAAAAGTAGGCTTTTTTTTAAAAAATCAAAATAGGGGTTCAAAAAAATATTTAGATGATCTGAAACCTTTTAAAATCCAACAACTTAAATTTAAAAATAATGAAATATGGATTTTTTTTTTGCTTTTAAGTTTTTGAAAAGAGCAATTAGTGCATTCGTATACTCCGAAATTCAAAAAACCTCTTCTAATTTTTTTTTTTACTGGGTAAGGCTCAAAAAATAATTATTTACTGCGAGGCCAAACACCTCAAAACTCCAAAAAACTCGGTCTAGGACTCGAAGACCCTTACAAGGAGGTCATTTTACGGTTGGGATTTTTCTGAAACTTGGCCAGAACTCTCCTTGATGTACCAGAAGAAGATTCTGAAAATCTCAACCTACAAAACTTCCTCGTTTTTGGGAAAAAGACGCCTCAAAACCCATGAAAATAGGCTATTTTGAGCCCTTATTTCTCAAAAACTAAGAACTTTTGTAGGCTGAGATCATCTGGTACATCAAGAAATGTTCTGGCGAATTTTCAGGAAACCGAAAATTGAAAGACCTCCCCTGTTGGGAACCTATGAAACCAAGGCATTCAACTAAAAAAAACCGATCCCAAGATTTTCCTCATGGCACTTATTCACGGTCAGCTTGGGACGCTAAGAAGGCGTCTGCGCTCTCCACAAGCCAGGCACTATCTCGTGCTTTATCGTGTCAGGACCCTTTTTTCGATGGCTCAAGCCGGCCGTGAATCAGCTATACTCTTAGGTCAGCCTAACCAAACCTCAAAAACTTGGATCCAATCCTCTAAGATCCTTAAGAACCCATAAAACTCGCGGAAATCCATCGGCAGATCAATCAATAACCGAGCGACGACATTGTTTTCGGCACGTACGCGTGTTATACGACCGACGGAGGCCCCGGCGATGATGTCATCGGCTGCTGGGGGCCGCCGAGCAGCTGCAAGCGTTCGGTTTATGCGGCCGTGGTGGAGGTCGAGAGACTCACAATATTTTCCATTTGTTTTCGGATATTCTCTGTAGAGCTGGTCCAGCTCAGGAGGTCATCGTTGGGCTTGAGAAGTCTTGTAAGATTTTTTTTAACACATACAAACTTAAAGAGCTGGTCCAGCTCAGGAGGTTTTCGGATATTCTCTGTAGAGCTGGTCCAGCTCAGGAGGTCATCTTTGGGCATGAGAAGTCTCGTAAGATGTTTTTGAACACATACAAACTTAAAGAGCTGGTTCAGCTCAGGAGGTTTTCGGATAAGCTCTGTAGAGCTGGTCCAGCTCAGGAGGTCATTTTTGGGCTTGAGAAGTCTCGTAAGATGTTTTTGAACACATACAAACTTAAAGAGCTTGTTCAGCTCATGAGGTTTTCGGATGCGCTCTGTAGAGCTGGTCCAGCTCAGGAGGTCATCTTTGGGCTTGAGAAGTCTCGTAAGATGTTTTTGAACACACCAAACTTCTTGGTCTCGGGATTTCTTTCACTAAATGTAAAGTTGGTCCAGCTCAATAAGTTCTCACATCAAATCAAAAGCACAAGAAGTCTTGCAAGACGGGTCCTGTAGAACTGGTCCAGCTCGGAAGGTCATCCTATCAAATCCTGGGCTTGAGAAGCTCACAAGATGATTTTTAAACAGACGTTCTTCTTGATCCAGGGTTTATTTTTCTCATTGTAGACCTGGTCCAGCTCAGAAGGCTTTTCCGGTTTTTTTCGAAAATAGGATCTCTTATTTCCAGCTCAAGAGATCATCTTCTTACTTCTTACAAGGCAGTTATTGAAATGTAAAAAATTAGGATCAATCCATCTTTTTTATTGTTAAACTGGCTGGTCCAGCTCAAGAGATGTTCTTCAAAAAGTTGGTCCAGCTCCAGAGGTCACAAGCGATCTGAGGTGTAAGCAGGTTGGCTCTAGCTCTTCTGAGACTTGGACCAGCTCATAAACTGAAATTTGAACTGAAAAGCTTGACTTATATTAGAGTTGGTCCAGCTCCAGAGGTTATAAACTATCTGAGGACAGAGCAGGTTGACCCTAGCTCCTTTTCGACTTGGTCCAGCTCATGAAGAAAGCTCGTAGGCTCGAAATTTTCAGAACATTCAAGCTGATGCTTTCGAGATCCGGAAAACTAGGTTGAGCTCCTAAGGTCATGCTAAGATCTCAGGATAAAGCTGTCATCTCAATTTTGATTTGGGTGACTTTTCATTTTTTTTTTACGCCTTTTCAAAGCTTCCTATTAATTTTATGTTATACTTTTCCGCATAAAACTTTGAAAATGACTGATCCGGATCATACCAAATAAGGCTTGATTATTATTTCCATTTCTGATCCAGATTTCATGTTATGATTGGAACTACCAACCCAACTTCATCTTTTTGCTTTTTGTCTGATTAGTTTCCCACTTGATGAAGCTAGAAAAAGCTGAATATTTCCAGCGTCAAACATCACAATCAGGTGGTCCAGCTCCCATAAAGTGGTGCTCAGAACTTTTTATGATCCAATTCCAGGTCGAAAAGACGCCGCTAGGAACAATTCATATTTTCGACTTGAAGTTGAGCAGCTCTTTTACTTTTGACTTTAGGACAAGTTGGTCCAGCTCACGGGGTCAAAGGTGGAGCTGGAGCTACTTGGATAGTATCAAATTTTCATTTTTTGTGTTTTAAGAAAGTATGAATTAGGGTTCTGAAAGCGATCTTTCCAATGCAGACCTGGTCCAGCTCATGATCACTGATCACTATGGTTCATTTATTCGGATTCGTGTGATTTTTATTTTTTAGTCTCAGTTTACCTGGTCCAGCTCCTTCATTTGAACTCATGCTCTTTAGTCTAGACCAAAATGAAGCTAAAAAGGTGCTCGTTCGAGCATGACCTTTTTCGGAACTCATTGATAAATCTCCCAACTACACTTCGAATCCCTGCGGACCTGGTCCAGCTCATGAATCTGATCACTCATCATCTTCAAAATGTTTTTCAACAGTTTTTATCACTTTGATCAGTATGGTTCATTTATTGAAACTCGTGATTTTTTCTATTTTTGAACCATTGCAGACCTGGTCCAGCTCTTTCATCTTCTCAGTCAAGACCAAAATGGAGCTAAAATGTCGCTCGTTTGAGCATGACTTTTTTAGAAACTCATTGATAAATCTCCCAGCTACACATCAAATCACTGTAGACCTGGTCCAGCTCCTGCAGTTGAACTCATGTCCAGCTCATTAGTCAACTCCAAAATGGAGCAAAAATGTCTAGCACGACCTTTTTCGAAACCCATTGTTAAACCTCCCAACTAAAATTCGATTTTTTTTGGACCTGGTCCAGCTCTTTTATCTTTTCAGTCTAGACCAAAATGAAGCTAAAAAGGTGCTTTTTCGAGCATGACCTTTTTCGAAACTAATTGATTGAGGGTTCAGACCCGGTCCAGCTCATTCATTTGAACTCATTCCCATTAGTCTAGACCAAAATGGACCTAAAAAGTCGCTCATTCGAGCATGACCTTTTCCGAAAGCCATTGATAAACCTCCCAACTGAAGATCTTTGCAGACCTGGTCCAGCTCCTTTATTTGAACTGACGTCAAGTCCAAATTGAAGCATGACCTTTTTCGGAGCCCATTGATAAATCTTCCAACTATCATGAAATTCCATCTGCTCCAACTCTCTTCTGGCACGAGACCAGGAGAAAAAAGACGGGAATATAAAAAGTGAAAGCGAAAGTGAGGAGCAGAACAGACTGGCGGCAAGTCTCACTCGGCATTTTACTCCTAGGGATCAGGATGGGCGAGAGAGGTGGAGAGCAGGAGGCGAGCAGAGAAAGAGAGATTGAGAGAGCATGCGGACCAAAACCTTCCTCCCAACAGATGTGTCCTATATTACCCTTTGGTTCGCCTCCTTCCCTTTCTTTTCGAATCTCAGAATGAGCCTTTCTCTGTCCCTCTCACTTTCTAGTGCTCTCTAGGGTTCTTTATCTGCAACTTGCTTGCTTCAACTTGGATTTTGTAACAGATTTGAAGTTCTTCGGTAATTAGCAGTGGTTCAATAACAATTAAAAGGAATATTAGTCATTCAAAGCTTTCAGATGACGTCACTTCTCTGTTCCTCTCACATTCTAGTGCTTTCTGCGGTTCGACTTGATTTGATTTCTCTGTCCCTCTTACTTTCTAGTACTCTCCAGTGTTCTCTATTTAGATTCCGCATGTTCTTCCTGAGAAATTTGAAGCTTTTCGATTAATTATTAATGATCAGACAACCTATAGACCCAGTATTACCTTTTCAAGCTTAGAAATAACATCACTTCTCTGTCCCTCTCACTTTCTAGTGCTCTCTAGGGTTCTTTATCTGCATCTTGCTTGCTTCAACTTGAATTTTGTGACAGATTTGAAGTTCTTGGGATAATTAGTAGTGGTTCAATAGCAATTAGAAGAGATATCTGTCATTCAAAACATCCGAACGACTTGATTTCTCTGCCCCTCTCACTTTCTAGTGCTCTCTAGGGTTCTTTATCTGCATTTTGCTCGCTTCAACTTGGATTTTGTGACAAATTTGAAGTTCCTAGAACAGTTAGTGGTGATTTGACGTCAATTAGAAATAATGTGACGTCATTTAACGCATCCAGATGACGTCACTTCTCTGTCTCTCTCACTTTCCAGTGCTCTCTAGGATTCTTTATCTGCATCTTGCTTGCTTCAACTTGGATTTTGGGACAAATTTGAAGTTCTTAGGGTAATTAGTAGTGGTTCAATAACAATTAGAAAAGATATGCTTCCAAACGACTTGCTTTCTCTGTCCCTCTCATTTTCTAGTACTCTCTAATACTCTTTATCTAGGTTCCACTTGGATTTAATGACAAAATTTGAAGTTATTAGAACAATTAGTTGTGATTTAACGTCAATTAGAAATAATGTGACGTCATTTGAAGCTTCCATATGACGTCACTTCTCTGCCCCTCTCACTTTCTAGTATTCTTTATCTGCATTTCTGACAAATTTGAAGCTTTTCGATTAACTACTAATGATCGGACAACCTATAGAAACAATATTACCATTTCAAGCTTACAAATGACGTCACTTCTCTGATTCTCTCACTTTCCAGTGATCTCTAACATTGTTTTTATTTTTTAACTTGGAATATTTCAACAAATATGAAGTCATTTTGATGAATGACCTCGATCAGAATGGAAAATTCGTTATTGAAATCTTCCAAGATGACGTTTTTTAAGATCATTTTTCTCTTTTTTTTTGTGTCCATCAAGATTTTTTCGAATTATTGATTGATTGACTTTCGATCTGAATTTTTTGTTCATTGATAAATTAATGTTTAAAATAAGAAAATATTCAAAAAACAGAAGAATGGAGAATAAAATGTGCACCTTTTTGCCAGTAGCGGCCATTTATCATCTAGGCCGGAGCCTCGCCGAGTCCATCCTTTTTTTGTCTTTTTTTTCCGAGATTCCACGATCCCCATCTCAAAATTGAGGTTTACAATGCTCTATACGAATTTACGTTTTCGAAAAACATCGCATTTGGAATGGCTCACCGCGTAGGTCGTTTCAAGTCGGAGGCACATTTATAGTACCTCTTATGATAAGCCATTCCAAATGCGACCAAGTTTTGGGTAAATTGAGGAATTCGTCAGTGGCCACTTAAGGGTTTTTACGTTTCAATGGCAACTGTAGTAGTCAAATCAGTCGCCACTTAAGTGACGAAACTCCAAATGGTACTACTAGATCCCTAAAAACTACTATAGTGAACACTAAGACGCAAAATCGTGGCTTCTGTAGAGATTATAGTGGTCACTTTAGTGTCTTCTCCAAGTATCCCTCAAGGAACCTCTTAAGTGGTCACTAGATTTTATCACAGAAGGCCGAGAATCCCCAAAAATTTTCTCAAAATCATCATTTTCAATTTTTTCCGATCCTCAATTCTCATCCTCCATCTTCATCGCCACAATGTTTTCAACCTCTTCCAGAAAAATAAAATAGGAAATCTGCCCTTTATTGCAATAACATTGGGTGTTTTTGTCTAGTTAATGGTGACGAATTTGGTCTAATGGCTAAAATTAATTTATTCGTTGGATGGTCGCAGGTTTGAGTTTTGTGGGAGGTATGATCTTTTTGAGATAGTTTTTCTGTTTAATTTCGTCTTGGGAAAAGTTTTTAGCCATTTTTCTAGCTACTAGGATTGTGTTTCTCAGAGCTATAAGATT